GGGGGGGAGGAGGATGAAGCGGGAGGGAATGGGTGAAACCGGGGGTAGTGATTTTGGCTTGCTTACTTGGGGCCCATGTGGGTGTCGGCGGGGAAGACGTATCCATGCATCTCGCCAAAGGGGCCCTCGGGGGCGAAGTCGTCGGTCGACAGCGTGCCCTCGAGCACGATCTCGGAGCTGGCGGGGACGCGCAGCTCGTTGGTCTCGCACCTGACGACGTCGAGCGGCGTGCCCGCCATGGCGCCGACGTAGCCCGCCTCGGAGACGCCGTCGGGCAGCGGCATGCTGCTGGCCATGATGGCGGCCGGCGGCACCCCAAACGCCAGCGCCCACGGGAGCTCCTTCTTCCCCTCCCGCTTCCACATCTGCTGCACCTGCCAGATGTGCTGGGGCGCCATGACCAGGCCGACCAGGTGCCGCCCGTCGAGCACCATGGCGCGCGCGATGGACCAGTTCGTCCACGCGCCGTCGGGCGACTGCACCACGTGCATCCCGTACGTCTGGATGTACCGGCCGCCGTCGGCGGCGTGGATCAGCGGCGCCGGCAGCGCCGTGAGGTCGACGGCGTCGCCAAAGAGCTTGTTCTCCTTGCACGGCCCCGTCGCCACCTCGCGCGGCGGCAGCGGCGGCACCCCTTTCGCCGACAGCATCTTGTCCAGGATCTGCTTCATGCCCGCGTGCGGCGGCAGCGCGAGGTGGCGCGCCAGCCGCCCGTACTTGCCCTTGGCCGGGTCGCGCAGGGCGCCGGGCCCGCCGAGGATGCGGAACAGGCCGTTCTTGGCGCCCTTGACGTTGTTGAAGAGCGGCGCCTTGTCGTCCGTCTCGTTGGACCGCCGGATGATGGCTGCCACCTCGAGGTTGGGGTCCTTTTCGGTATTGATCTCGGCGATGTCGCCGTCCTGCTTGAGCGCCTCGACGAAGGAGCGGAAGTTCAGGTGGGGCGCATCCTGCGGCGAGGTGTGGTTCAGCCGGAAGGATGAGTAGGGCACCGTCCGTAGCGGCCTGAATGTGGCCCGGGGGGCGCTTCGTGCTGCTTGGGAGAGCATCGTGAGTTGTGGCGGGGTTTGATGGAGAAGTGTCCCATGACTGCAGTGTGTCTTTTATACGGCACTACGTGGAGGGTCCGTCCATACGATACGGGGTGAATAAGAGTAAAGTCGGCCGACGTATTCCGCGAGATTGGGCGATACTTAGGCGTAGTCGATAGAGATGATTGGTTGTTGTAGTGCTCGGACTCAGTCGGGGGCTCTCGGCCCCCTCGGCTTCGGGACCGGCATCGGCATCGGCCCAGTAGACGTCGCAGAAAAGGAGTGCCATGGGAGGCCCAAGGCACCCTATGCTCAAAGGATACGGAGTGCTAGTGGTCGTGGATCGATATAAGTAAAGCATGGGGCCGTCAGTTCTTCCTCGCATCAAGACGATTTCTCACCGGCACGACTTTCAAAATGCAGTCCACCACGCGAACACACATCACCCGGGCAATCCGCGCTCGGAATGCATCCCCACGTCTCGTCTCGACCCAAGCCCGGCGCACCATCCACAGCACCTCCCCCAGAACCACCAACAACAACCCCACCAACAGCCCCATCATGAAAAAAGCCCCTAGCCCCTTCCCCATCGTCCAACGCAACCCCCGCATCGTCGTCGGCGTCACGGGCGCCACCGGCACCGTCTACGCCATCCGCCTCCTCGAGATCCTGCGCGCCCTCGACATCGAAACCCACCTCATCCTCTCCAAATGGGCGCAAGCGACCATGAAGTACGAGACGGACCTGACCTGGGAGCACCTGCACGCGCTGGCCACGCACGCCTACGCCATGAAGGACGTGGCCGCGCCGCCGTCGAGCGGCTCCTTCCTGCACGACGGCATGATCGTCGTGCCGTGCTCGATGAAGACGCTGGCCGCGGTGCGCGCCGGCTACTGCGACGACCTCATCTCGCGCTCCGCCGACGTGTCGTTGAAGGAGGGGCGGAGGCTCGTCATGGTCGTGCGGGAGACGCCGCTGAGCGCCGTGCATCTGGATAACATGGCGTTTTTGCAGCGGGCGGGCGCGACCATTTTTCCGCCCGTGCCCGCGTTTTATACGCGCCCCAAGACGATTGCGGACCTGGTGGATCAGAGCGTGGGGAGGATGTTGGATTCGTTGGGGATCCACGTCGAGGGTTTTGAGCGGTGGGAGGGCATGCGGAAATGAAGAGGTGGGGATGCCGGTTTGGAATCGGATGGCAAAGTGCGGGGGGAAGCCGGCATGGCTGCCCTTCAGTCTCCAAACTCGAATCCGAGGAATGCTGTGTCGTCTTCTGAAAGAGACCTGTCTGGAAACGGGAGTCAGCTTTTCACCACATGATACCGGGCACTGGGGACTCACCCCAGATTATCGAATCCAGGAAAGCCATCGGGGAGAGATCGGACTGCAGGAAGTCAAAAGCGGGATCCGTGGCTGCGACGCCCAAACCATCGCTTGAAGGGACGGTTGAGTCGGCTGGAAAGGCGAGGGCGGGGTCCCGAGGCTCCTGTTGAGAAATTACGGATCCCATCCTGGGTCTCTCGGATGCTTCCTGCATGAGACGCTGCAAAGCCTTCAGGGCGTTGAGGTGGGAAGACGTGAGGGCATTATTCATCTTTCCGGGAGAATCATCCTGTGCGCGGGAGAGGAGCACATGGATGAGCCTCTTCTGCATGTTGGCGAGAGTGGAAGACTTTCTCGTTTCTCCGAGAATGGTCAGTAGCAGAGCGGAGCTGAGAGCTTCGTGGATGCTGGTCCATGAGCGTGTGGGGTATACGCTCATCGAGTGGAGGTCCAAGAACGACTTCACTGTCTGCGCAAGAGCATTCTTCCCAGTAGATAGAATATGCAAGAATGTCGAGTCATTGTCGATGCGCTGAAGCTTCTTGAAAGTCGGCCGGCAAACGGCAGAAATTGCAAATGAGCGATGCTGTGAAACAAGGAAATGCTGGACTTTTTCCTGCAAAGTAGTGCAGTCAGACTTGTTTCGGAGGTGCGGCGCCGCCTGGACCATGACTTGATCAAGTTCCTGCAGTTTTTCCAGAATGTTCTCTATGTTGGCGTCGGAGGATGTTCGTCTGGCCAAGAGCCTGAGGCCAATCTTGGACATGTCCCACATGACTTGTTGAAAGTTGTTTGGCTGATGGGACCCGATCGTGTCGCAGCTGACAAACGGCATGTATGCCAAAGCAGTGGGCCGGTCAAAGCAGAGGGACAGGACGCAGTCCTGCTGAGCGATGGTCAACCTGTCAACGTGTCAGCAGACGCTCAATCACGTAAGCGTATGCCGTCGGACCATAGCTTGCTCCGTGTGACCTTCTCCTTGTCTGGAATGTTCTCTGCCGTGCCGTACTCGGAATGGAGACCGAGACTTTGGGCCAGGCGCATGGTCGTTCCGCTCATGGCCCAGGCGGCGTCGGCGTTGCCTGTACAGCATTTCAGCAATGCACCACGTTTGTTTCATTCAATAGCGACTCTACCGTCGTTCTGCAGAAAGGTACCGAGGATCAACAAGGCTTGGAGGCTGGTGAGTAGCGGTCGGAGAAGGAAATTGGCAAGGCGGAGTGCGTGGAATGATCTTCTGGCTATGTTCACGGTCAGCAGCAGTTGTACGCAGGCGTGTGCAAGGGCGTTGTACCGAAGTCCCTGGATATTCTCCGCCTTTCCTGGGCATCTCTCTCGGAATACTGGGCGCCAGCTGCAAGTGTGGCAAGCAGAAGTGCGATTCGGGCAGCCTCCTCCCTTTCATTCGTCACAACGAGGCGGGTGGGAGTGCTGCCGGCCAGCTTCTCGAGATAATCGGCCAGACGTGATTCAAAGTCCTCGATGTCGACAATGAGAGGTGCAAGCGGAAAGGCGATGGCACGGTAAACATGATAGAAGCTGAGAATCTCGCCGTGGGTGGGGAGGACCTTGGCAAGCTCGCGGCTCTTTTCATCATCGGTCTCGGCATTGATGAAGGGATATTGGGCGCGGGTGTTGCGGAGCCCCAGGGCGGGCACAATGTCCCTTGCAATGTGGCTCTCGGCTCCTCCCATCTGACGCAGGTAAGACGCTGCCGAGTTTTCGCCCAAGAAGGACGTAGCGTTCCCGGGGGCATCTGTAGTGGAAGCCATGGCGGAGGTTGGTCGGCCCGATGAAGACGGATGATGGAGCACCTGGGGCACCTGGGGCTCGTGGTCGGGCTCGGAGGGCTTGTTGTGGTTGTAGTTGTAGATGCAGATTTCAGGATGGTTTCTCCCAACACATGCGCCGCACGGGTTTCTGGGTGTCTAGAATGAGAATACAATCTGCACCGAAGGGCTTGGAGAGGATCCACCCACTCCATGTCGCACCGGACTTTGCGTTGGTTGCAGGGATAACAGGCCCCTTTTCCTCGCGGCCGCTTCTTCGCGGCAAGCACCCTCTTGATCTCATCCTCCGAGACACGGCTGCGTTTGGGCATTATGGTGGTGCTCAATGTTGATGCCTCCGAGGTCGCGGGCGATGATTTCGGCGGTCGAAGGTGGAGATTGAAAGTTGTGGAGCGAAATTCCAGCTGAGTAAGTGCGTCATTCTTTAGGTCGTAAGTATCGCCGAATCTCGGTCCAACCGGAGATAAGAAACCATATGCACGAGCACTTTCCAAGTCAACACCATTAGGAAAAAACAAATTTACTACCTGTCACTCCTCTCAATATTTGCAAGCAAACCCCGTCAGTTAACATCTTCCAGATATATACATGTCGATTCTTTTGCAGGGACTGACTCGTAAATTCTGGAAGCTCGCAACCCTTCCTTTACTCAACTGCGTGCTACTTACTCATGTCTACCCCGCATTCAGTTATCGGCGGCAACCTCTCCTATTTGCCCATACATACCGCCCTTTTCCCGGCTGTTTGACGCGCCCACACCACCGAAAGCACCTCACACGTTGCCAAACACTACACCTCCAATTCATCCTCTTCTCTACGCAAAAGGCCTACTACTTCACTCTGAATCTGGTGGTAGGCAGCAAGAGTGGCTCCCGGACAATCGACTATCAGCTGCTTGCCAAGCCCAACACTGCCACACGGATACTGTCACATTCTGCATGTGCAAGGTGCTCCTGGACCATTGGTTTTGCATGTTATCTGAGAACGACGAGTCTTCCAGTGATCACGAGCTGATGAAGCCTCGGGTAGCTACTCACCTATCTCCTGTAACATGTGCAAGTTCAGCTACATTCCCTCAGGGATCGACGTAGGACCGTGTCCCAACCTGCACGTATACGTCGAACTACCAATACTACCAATGCGATAAGCTCACTTGGAGCATCAATACTAGGGCTAAGGAAGACCGATATACCAGCTTGAGCAGTACGGACATCATGCTTTCCGACACAATGGTAAGAATTCAATTATCAAGGGTTATTTTTGGACGTGGGGGCGGGAACAATGCAACATACGACCGCGTTCGTATCCGGACCTGTGCTCCGCGCAAAAAAAGCCAACCGAGCGACCCATCCACCGAATTGATGGGCTGGTCAGCTTGACAAGAACAAGTCCTCAAGCGACCGCCTTCCTTGTGCTGACAGCCAATTGGACCGAGCATATGTGTTGGATAGCTCAGGCAGCAGCACGGCCTTTGGAGTCCTTGTCTTGGAAACGAAACGCCTTCCCATTCAAGGGCCTTGGCTTGCGATCCCTGCACGTGGATGCGGGGCGGCCCATAAGTAGCCGACTTTTGTTAGGCTGCCTCCACTTTACGCCACAACCGCTACCACCTCAAGCCTCCGTAGAAAAAGAAAATAAGAAATTCAGACATACCTTCCAGCACAAACCACTGGAACCACATCCGCAATGGTCCCGCTATGGGATCCTCGCTCCGGCTCTGATATGGCGACCTTTCAACCCGACAACGTGTCATTTTCGCGAGCTGCTCGACCGGACTTCGCATCTGCCGGACCGGCACCGTCCACGTTTTTGTTCGTCGATGTCGGCGCTACGCAAAGCCGGGAAGACAGACGACGGGTGCGCTCCCAGGTCATGTTCGCCACACATGAGGCGAGACGGCGCCGAGGAATCCAGGGGCGCAAAGCCGGGAACGAGAACCGCAATGAAGATCAGGAAGCCGCTTCATCGAGTCCTATACAGGTTGCAAGTCTGACCCGCGAAGATCCATTCGACTCCTTGCCCGTCAGGAGCTTTCCGGGCATGCATGACGTCCTCAAGTTCTGTGAGTGCCGACGATGAGCACTAGCTTTTGGATACCGCTGAGACGAAGTTGCAACCAGTCATCAACGCTTACGCCGGTTTACCGCTCACAGACGGTACGCACATGCTCTCCACCGTGCGATGCAGCCGCGCTGATTCAAAACAAAAGACCCCTTGCTGAAGCATGGGGCCAGAGAACGAAGCGTCGTCGTGAAACGGAGCAATACTCTCTGGGACGTAATGACATCTGAAGAGACATCGCTCTTGGTCATGCTTGCGGAAACGGCCCGTCTCCTGAGCACAACCAGCCACTCTCCAAAGTGGATGACACGCCACCTGGCGCTGAAAGAAAGAGCCTTGAGATCCATCAGGGAAGGCTTGTCGTCATGGTCATCGAAAGAACCATGGACCGTCTCCGACTCTTACCTGACCGCAATAGCAGCCATGGGAGCCGCAGGGGTGCGCCAGAACTCTCTCACACGGCAGAAAGTCACAAGCACTGACACGCGCCCACCTCGTCCAGGTCCTATTCGGCGACAAAAACGCCGCCATCGCCCACCTCGTCGCCGTCCGCGAACTCATCCGCATGAGAGGCGGCATCGACACCTTCCAGACCGTCCCCCGCCGCATCATCATATGGTGCGAGTTCCACGGCTGCGCCGCGCACCAGCTGCTCCCCGTCCTCGCCCCCGCCGCCCCCGCTCCCTCCGACCCCTCCCTCGACGACGCGCTCTCGCCCTCGCCCTCGCCCTTCCCCCGCGCCTTCCGGTCCCTCGTCGCCGCCGCCCTCGCCCGCACGCTCACCCACCTCCCCGACGACCGACACCAAGCGCTGCCCCGCATCCTCCGCGCCCTCCACCTCTCCAGCATCGCGTCGACCCCGCGCTGGGAGCCCGCGCTCCTGCGTTCCACCGCCGCCGCCCGCGTCGCCGTCGCCTCCGTCCTCGACGACGGCGTGTACCACCTCCTCGTCGAGCTGGCGCGGCTGAAGGAGGACAGCGCACCTCCTTCATCGTGTTCCTCTTCGTCGTCGTCCTTCTCATCATCGTCATCGCCGCACTCCTCCGGAACCACCCCCGCTGTGAACCCAGACGACGGCTGCCACCCGCACCCGCACTCCATCGATCTCGTCATGCTACACGCCGCCCACGCGTACCTCTGGACCGCATCGAGCTACCTCCCGCCCGCCACGCCGATGAACCTGGCTCTCCTCGAAAGGCTGCGGGACGCGTTGTCTGCGCTGTTGTTGCCGTCAGCGACGAAAGTAAAGCAGGAGGAAGAAGAAGACGACAACGACGACGAGAACGAGGAGCAGGAGCAGGAGCCAGAGCAAGAGCGGGAGCAGGACCAGGTGCAAAGGTGTAAAAAAGCGGGAAACGAACAAGAAAGGGGAAGGGGAAGTGCGTCATCCGCGTCGCCGGTGGCGCTCTGGGCGTCGGTGGTGGGATGGGTCCTCGCGAAGAAGGTGTGCTCGATGGCGGCGGCGGCGGCGGCAGTGGGACGGAGCGGCGACGGGGGCGGCGGGGCGGAAGAGCAGCAAGGGGGTCAGCTGGGCGGGATGGCGGCGGAGCGGGGCGGGGGGATGTTGGCGTGGTTCGAGGAGGAGGTTCGGGTGTGGCTTGAGCGGGCGGCGGGATCGGCGTCCGCGTCCGGATCCCGGACGGTGGTTGGTGGTGGTTTCGGTCGTGGGGGGGAAGAAGGAGCGGTGGCGGTAGAGCGTGCGGCGAGGGTGATGGCGGATTTTCCTGGGACGGACGAGTTCAGCAGGGGGTGGCGGTGTTTGCTGCTGCGTCGGTTTTGTGGCGAGGAAAGAGGAGGTTTCGGTGGTGATTGCGGCGAGTGGCGTGGAAGCGGGTTGGTGCATTCGAGCAGCTGTCCCCTCCGGTGGGGCGGCCCACCAACCGCAACGTCTTGAGGGATTTGTTTTCGAGAAGAGGAGGAGTCCACTTGACGTCGGAGATAAACTTGCAGGCAACCTCTAACACATGATCAAGCTTGCGGGCCCTCGGCGCGAAAGTGAAAATTGCACGGACACGTACGTCGTATCCCGGAGGAAGAGCGCAATTCCCATAGCGCTTATAAAGGTGGTAAGTTCTCGTCATTTCCAGCCTCGTGGAGGATGCTACTCACAGGACTTCCTTCACGATAGCGGAAATTTTTGCCTTGGCGTGAAGACAAGGGTTGTGGGACGGGTCCACGTTGTTGGTAACCTCCGAAGCGCTTCGGTGATAAGCTGGTTCGACAGAATAACGGCTATTTACTACTGCCTGATCAGTCAATGGCGTACGCGGCCCTCTCTGATACGCGATGTATACACATGTCCTTTCATTGGTTTGAAAACCTCCCGCGCGCTCCACATTTGCAAACGCAAAAGTGCTGCATGTGGGGATGTGTAAGCAGAGCTGCAGCATAGGGTCGACAAGAGTAGTCGTGATTGGCCCGGGGCGCGGGAGCGGGGTTCTATCAATTTAGGCTCCACATGGACCCTAGTCCCCAAATGGGGTTGCGATAGTCCAAGTGCGTCCCTCATTGGTAGAGGCCCCTGGCGACATGTGCGCTACCTGCGCATGCGAAACTATGCAAGGGTTTGATTCAGCAGTAGTAGCAATGACCACAATCGTCAGATTGAGGGCTGCGGGCTTTTGTATCGGGCTGCGGCGGTTCTTTTATATTCTTTTCGAGGGCGAGAAATGTTGACTTTAAAGGCGCATGAGGCACCCGATACGAGCAGCCAGCCAGGGCGCCAACGCTTCTGCTCCTCTCGGCCTCTTTGTGTTTACCCGTCCTGGTTTTTGGACCTGACAGATTTCCTCTCTCTCGAAATGGTCGACTTCGAAATCGTCCGAGCCGGCTTCCAGCACGCGCTCCGGGCGCCGCCCGCGGGTGCCCTCGCCGCCGTGGCCGCCCTCTACGGCGTCCTCTTCCACGCCCTCGTCCTCCGCAAACTGCAGGTGGAAGAACACCTCTACTCGTTCCTCGGCTCGTATCTCGCGGCCATGGGCGCGGTTTTCCCCATCTGCCTATTGGTCCTGGACGCGCGCGCAGCCCTCGCACGGGCGGCCCTGCTGATCGTCTCGTTCAACGCGGGGCTGTATCTCAGCATGGGCGTTTACAGAGCGTTCTTCCACCGACTCCGCAAGTTTCCCGGGCCGTGGGGCGCGAAGCTGTCGCGGTTTTACGTCACGGCGACGTCGGCGAGGGATGTGCAGTATCACGTTGCGGTGAAGCGATGGCATGAGCAGTACGGGGACTTCATCAGGACTGGTACGTTGCTCCTCCTTTCTCGAGGGTGTGCTTTGCAGCTGACGATGGAGGGAAGGACCGCGCGAACTGGCGATTGTGAAAGCGTCGGCGGTGAATCTCATCTATGGGCCGCAGTCCAAGTGTGGGAAGTCGACGTGGTATACGCAGGTCTCGTCGGATCAAAACGAGTGCTCGATTCATATGACGAGGGACCCGAACGCGCATAAGAACAGACGCAAGGCTTGGGACAGGGGGTTCTCGGTTAAGGGTATGTGCTGATCGACTCACTCACCTGTGAGAGAGCACTGGCATGTTGACGGTGCTGGCACAGCCATCAACAGCTACGAGCCACGCATTGTGGCGAAGGTGGACGAGTTGCTGCAGCAGATGGGCCGGCATGCAGCTGCAGGCAAGCCAATGGACGCTACCATGTGGTCGATGCTCTTGACCTTCGACATCATGGGCTCAGTCGGCTTTGGCAAGGACTTTGGCGGGCTGAAGAGCGGCATCGAGCACCCCGCCATCAAGGGCATCCACGACCACATGGAAATCCTCGGTATCATGGCCACGGTGCCGTGGCTCCTGAACATTGCGTCCAAAATCCCCGGCGCCACGGCTGGCTACGCGCCCTTCCGCGACTGGTGCGACGAGCAGGTCAGGACGAAGCACCAGGTACGTACGTCCGGTCAGAAGCGAAAAGAAGTGGATGCTTACTGGCAGGCGACGGTAGACGTGGGCGGCGGAGAAGCAGCCGCAGGACATCTTCTCGCACCTGCTCAAAGCCTTTGTCGAAAAGGACGCCACGGCGCCGCCGTCGGTGGCCTCGCTCCACGAAGACTCGCGGGCCGTCGTCATCGCCGGGTCCGACACGACGGCCACGACGCTCGCACACGTGTGGTTCTTCCTAGCCAAGCACCCGGCGACGCAGCGCAAGCTCCAGGCGCAGCTCGACGGGGTCATGGGGCGGCCCGAGGACTGGACGTACGCGGCGGCGCGGTCCGTCGGCTTCGTCGACGACGTCATCAACGAGACGCTGCGGTTGAAACCGGTGCTGCTGACGGGCGGCTACCGCACGACGCCGCCGGAGGGCATCGTTGTCGACGGTGTCCACGTCCCCGGCAACACCAACGTCTTTGTCCCCATCCAGCTCGTCCAGACAGACGCCCGCTACCACCCCCACGCGGCCGAGTTCATCCCCGAGCGCTTCGGCGAGCGCAGGGCCGAGTGCCAGACGGAGAAGCAGCCGTGGATTCCCTTCAGCATCGGTGCCGTCATACCCCTCCCCCCTTTCTGGATTGTTGCTGACCATGGCGTGGGTTTGAACAGGACCGTACTCCTGCCCCGGCAAGTCCCTCGCGATCGCGACGCTACGCACGGCCGTCAGCCAGATCGCCATGCGGTTTGATGTCGAGCTCGCGGCGGGCGAGACGGGCGAGGCGTTCGACAAGGGCGCCATGGATACCTTTACCACGACGCTGAAGCCGCTGATGGTGCGGTTTACCCCGAGGAGGAAATGAGTGGCTGATGCGGGTTGTGCCGAGCGAGGATAAGGGAGTGATGGACGAGACGACGGTGGATGTGATGGCGGGGTTGCAGCTACGCTGGAGCTTGGATAGTTGTTCTGCGGTGGCGCATGTCATTATTTGTGGGGCTGGAGTGAATGTCTTGCGCAACTTCCCAAAGTGTCGCTGCATGTGACTCGAACCCGCATCCTTCCCGTTTCTGTAGAGTCCGATTGGCTGGGGGAATGAGCTGACGGGCACAGTAGACTTGTTTCATCAACGGGCCGGGTCGGGGAAGGGGTTAAAGTAGCGAACCATAGGTGGTGGCATGTGGTGATGCTCCGGTCCCGAACCATCGTTCAGGTTGTCTCAGCCCACAGCCACAGCTGATGGAAACCGCCCGGTAGTCGGCTTCGCACTCCGCACCCTCTTCGCCTTTGACGTATGAATCGATAGAGCCATCTTTGCACAGTGTCTGCCACGGGGGCAACTCAGGTCACGGCCCGACTTGTCCTCGGGATCGCGACTGAATGCCAGGGTTTCGCGTAGATCGGGGCGCCAAGTGTTCCCTCACGGCGGATCGAAATGCAGGGCATCCCGGTGCACATCGACACTTGGGTTGGTTCTGGGGATCGGGGAGCTCGGATCAGGGCCGTCGAAGCGGTACGTGGTACATAGCTTATCATTTAGATTTGGGGGTGGAGCATTAGGCACCAGCCACTCTGCATGCAGGCGCGGCAGAGCTGCAGCGTGGGCTGATTTTGCGCCTCCTTCAGTAGTCATCAAAATCTCTCGCCGATCGCGGCTCATGGTTCAACAAGTGCTACTGTGGGTTGCTGCTGGGGCGGCCGGCAGATTTGCACGCTCTGAATCATGGACCAATGGGCAGGGTCAAAGGATCGCTGCATGGCTGACCACGCAGATGACGACCGGCCCGCCCGATCGGAGACGAAAAAGAGGAAGACAAGCCAACCACCATCGTCAGCTATAACCCGATCTGCAATTGCGAAACGACACCGCCTGCCCCGCCGTTGCTTGACCCCTCACGCCTCTCACCCTCACACTGCCGCGCTACCAGCTGCAATGCCGCTACCGTCCAGACCCCATTCTTCGGGCACCCATGTGTGCATCCCTTGCAGCTGCGGACATGGCTGTGCCTGACCCTTACCCCTTCGGGACCGGTGGCGTCGACGGCCCCATTTCGCTCTCTGCCGACCACGACGGCTCTTTCTGGCACGAGCCCCGACTTGCCACCGAACCACGGATCCAACCTCCAACAGCCAACCACCATGCAGCCTCGGGACCTCTTCGGGCTCGTTCGCCGGCCTTCCCGTCGTGCCGCAGCCCGCGTCTTCCACTAGCACCGGCCACCGTCTTTCCGCGTCGAGACCACCGCTAGCCATGGCTCGCTGGCAGATGGAGATGATGAAATATTTCGACCCTCCCTTCACTCACGGCCCCTGCATTGCTCACTCCCCTCTCCACCCTCTCCACCCTCTCCACACTCCCTCCCGACCATGGGCCTTGTGCCTGTCTGAACACCCTACACCGTTTAGTCACATCATAAATCCCTTCCCCGTCCGACACAGGAGTAGCTTGCGTAGCTTCGGTAGCAACCATGATGGAACTACACGAGCGCGCCCCCGCCTTCTTCAGGGTCCTGGTGGCCATGGTCGTCATGGCAACAATATCCACCGCCCTGAGGGTCTACGTGAGACTAAAAATCGTCAAGTCCTTTGGAAAAGACGACTACCTGATGGTCGCCGCATTGGTCAGTCTTCAACACCACCCGCCCACAGAGCCAAACAGCCGCTAACACCCCAGCCCAGCTCTGCTTCATCATGTTCACCGCCTGCGCTCTGGGCGGAATCGCCTACGGCACCGGCCGACACATGGCCGAACTGACTCCCGAAAACACCATGAAAGCTCTCCGCGTACGTCGCTACCACCCCTCTCCCTCTCGCTCTCTCCCTGCTGGAAAACACACTGACACGCACAACACGCAGTACTGGTGGCTCTGCTACGCGGCCTACACCTCCACCATGATGTTCGCCAAAACCAGCATCGGCTTCTTCCTCCTCCGCGTCACCGTCGAGCAGGTCTACATCTACATCATCTACGCCGCCACCGCCATCACCGTCGCCACCGGCACCGTCTTCTTCTTCGTCACCATCCTGCAATGCCGCCCCGTCTCCTTCTTCTGGCTCAAGGCCACCGGCGCCGCCGGCACCTGCCTCGACATCGAGGTCATCATCGCCCTCACCTACTTCTACTCGGCCGTCTCCGCCCTCTGCGACTGCGTCTTCGGCCTCCTCCCCGTCGCCATGCTGTGGAACCTCAACATGTCGCGCTCCACCAAGATCGCCGTCGCCCCCATCCTCAGCATGGGCTGCATCGCCTCCGCCGGCATCCTCGTCCGCACCGCCTACGTCCGGGACTTCCGCGACCCCGACTTCCTCTGTACGTACACCCCCCCTCCGCCCCTCCTCCCCTCCACCCACCCACACCTATCTAACACCTCCCCAGACGCCACCGTCAACATCGCCATCTGGTCCGACATCGAATGCGGCCTCGCCATCACCGCCGGCTCCCTCGCCTGCCTCCGCCCCCTCTTCCGCACCTTCCGCGCCAAGCTGCTGTCGTCCTACGGTCTCTTTTCCTCCTCCGCCGCGCACCATCCCGACCGCGGCCGCGTCTGGCCCGCCGACTGCGTCGCACCGCCATCACTGCCACTACCGCCGAGCGCGGGTGGGCGGGCCAGGAAGGGGAGTGGTGGTTGTTACGGTTACGGGCGTTGGAGCTTGTTGGAGGAGACGAGGGTTGATATTGTGGGGGATGAGGAGGAGGCGGTGGGCGGGGGCGGGGGCGGACGGATGTCTGTGTTTGAGCTTGGTGGTGGTGGGGGCGGCGGCGGCGGCGGGAAGGAGGGGGTCGTCGTCGATGTCGAGAGCGTGCATGTGGATGTGGAGAGGGCGGCGTCGTGCCGCTCGGCTGAGGATGAGGCGTCGGCGCGGGGGATTTTGGTGCGGTGAATTTTACTTACTTATTTACCCGGCGATGGGGTTTTGTTTGGTGGGGACTGTCTGTCTGTCGGTCTGTTTATCTGTCTGTCTGTTTGTCTTTGTCTTGCGGGTTTTTAGCGATGTGGCGTTTCGGAGTGCGCGGAGGGCGGGGCTCTCTCTGACTTTTTGTTTCTTTTTTATTGGTCAAGAGCGGTTGGACTTTGCGAGAGGATTTGCATTGGAGTATGGACATGCTACGGCAGTGGGTGAATCCAGCACGGATAAGCGTTTTTATGAGAGGGTAGATGAAAGATCGATTTCTAAAGTACTAGTGTCAGCGTCTGGGTGGGTATGTTTGCTATACCTACTTCCAGTGTTATTGGGATTCGGAAGCACGTCGTCGAGTTGGAACAGATCCTTGAACCAGGTTCTCTGCCTCGTCGTACTTTGTCTTCAGGGCCTGGAGTTCGGCAAGGGCTTCCACAGCTGCTCCGCCAGCTCGGTTGTATATACATTCTTTGCCTTCTCAGCCGGTATCTTTGATCCTGGGTGTAGCCTTCCTCCTGGAGCTTCTGTTTCATAGAGAGCTCCATGATATCGGACCTCTGGGCGCCGAGGGTCTCGGTGGCAGTGACCGGGCAGATGTTGGTCGAGATGGCAACGGTCTGGATGACAACGCCCTCAGAGCCGGAGGAAATGGGGTGGAGTAGATGGTCGAAGCGGTCGACTGAGGAGTGACGGCCGGGGTGCTGGGTGGGTGGAGATCACGCCTTCAGCCTCAGAAAAGGCGGGGAAGGAGGCAGCCAGGGTGCTAACGGTGGGGACGGAAGTCGAGGCGTGGGAGCTGGCCCGGCAATCCGTGACCTTGGAGCCGCAAGAGGGGATGGTAATGCACGGGCAGGACGTTCGTTGGTCATCGGGCTTGAGATGGCTGTTGAGGGCGCGGTCATTGGGTGCGCGACGCGAGCACTGCCATGAAAGGCGGATGAGGAAGGAGCGAAGAAGGCTCAGCTCGCCGACAACGCGTGCTGACAACCGCCATCTCAACCCCCAAAGCCCCATACAACCGCACCGTCGCCACATCCTCCGGCGTCACCATAACCCTCACGCGAACGTCCCTCCTCTCCCTTCCCTCCACCTCACACCCGGGACGAACGAGCAGCCACCGAGTCGCCACCCAGCACAGCCCCTCGCCGAGCCCGCGCCGGCGCCACGCAGGCAGGGTGTACAAGGACAGCATCTGCCACCTTTCATCTTCCGCATCGGATCACACGGGGGGTTGGCTGTCTTCGTACTACGGTAAGCTGTCATATCGCTCCGCCGTCACGGGGACGAGGAGCGTGGCTTGGCCGACCCGTTCTCCTTGGGCGGCGTGGCCCAGCCTGACCTAGGCTCCTGCGCCGCGGCGGCGCTGCTGGGAGAGGCGAAGGCGGGGCTATCGTGGGCGACGCAGATGAAGGTCTGGCGGTCGGACAGGCAGAGGCGGTCTTCCTGCCACTGGTCGGGAAGGGCTGATTCGGCGGCTTGAGTGGAGGTGAAGGAGGTGGGGGAGTGGAGGAGGGAAGCGAGGTGGAGGGATTTGTATTCTTGGGCGAGGAGAGGCAGGGAAGGGGAGGGAGGGTCGATGGAGGTGTATGTGGATGCTGTGGTGGACATGCTTTTTTTTTGTACTGTACCTACTTTTAGTGTCACTGGGATTCGGAAACACGTCAACAAGTTCCGACAGTTATGGAAATTTCTGATTGCTCTAGCATTGTAAATATACATACAGAAGCAACCCCGTAACGGAATCGGTTTCAAGCCAGTAATGCGAAACCCGGAGCAAAGTAGCATCTATTATGAAACATTCCGGACTGTAACAAAATTCAGAAGACTTAAGCAGGAAAGGTAAACGAAATCCTCAAAGCTCAAGGATGTCGGAATGAGAAAGCAAAGCGGATCGAATGGTAGCTACTAACACACGTACAAAACCTCCGGGTATTGAGATCGTTGTACCAAATTGGCACACACTGCCTCACTGGGAATGGAGGAAGATTGCTGAGCCAGGTCGGTAATTTCAGAGTCCCAGGGCCTCCAGCGTCGATGTCGCCGTCGCCAATTGTTCCTGAAGAACCGCGTTCCTCGCCCGCTCGGCGGCAAGATCTTGCTGCAAACGGTTGAAGACTTCCCTTGATGGTGGTTGTTGTACAGGAACGCTAAGGCGGTTGGCTTCCACCGGCATCCTGTCGATCTTGTCGTTGGCGCCCACTGAATTCATCTGCGTCTGGACTTCCTTTCCTTTCTCGAGCATGATGGCATGGTGGATCATCTCAATGTTACCCTCGTCGAATTCCGACAGCAACATGTCTGCCAGCTGAAGTCTCTCTGCGTTCATGATCCACTGTGGAAGACCCCATCTCCGCACGAACGCCTGGAAGATTTCATCCTTCTTCTCTCGAATGGCACGCTCGGTCTCCGTAGAGAAACCCAGCCGAGATTCTTTCTCCTTTATCTGCTGCTCTTTCTGGGCAATTTCGAGCCGCAACTCGTCCAGTCGACTCTGTAGTTCCGAGATTCGCTGAGGATTCATGGCCGACGGGGCAATGCCCTGCCGTGGCGGAGGTAGGTTCAAGGCCTTTGTTATGGCAATTGCGGCAGACGAGACTTGTAGTTCTATGTCGGATACTGCAGTGTCGGGCATGGTTGGATGAATGACGCTGGTCGAGGTCGTTGGAGTCTGCCCACGTACGTCAGATGGATGCACCGGATTGTTAAGTCTGAGAGGGGGAGAACGAGAACTTGAGGCGCTCGAGAGAATACCTGCGAGCCCACCGCCGGAACCGCGGAGTCCCCGCGCACCTTCCCTCGAGCCCCGGGGCCCGTGTGTCTTGACGTCATGGACGGGCGAGAAGGAAGGACGCTCAGGGCCTGCCGCTGCATTGCAGGAAGGAGCGGGCCGTACTGCGCATCTGACGACAACCAAACCGGACAGAGAATGCTTCGCAAACCCCCGTCAAGTTCTATCGGCACAAGGCCTCCCGAGTCTGGTGGATGGAAGTTGGGAGTCTGTCGGGAGCTCGAACGCCTCGTACGACGATGCGATGGCTGTCGATTATTGCCTTCGCCCGATCCACCACTCGCCCATGTGAGACAATTCGCCGCCCATTACGCATTTTGAGAAGGGTGAAGTAGCTGACTTGACCTTCAGTGACCATAGCGCATTGAAATGCAACCATTCTGTCTACGTATCTGTCTACATACATTCAAGGTGTTGCCGGAATCAAACTGTTCAGGATGGCATCCCTATGAAACACCCACATGTAGCGGTCAAGGTCTCCTTGAAGGCTCTCGTCGAAAGTGAACTCGAAAAGATCAGTTTCTGGCACTTGCAGCGAAAACTTTACGTCGTCTGTGTCCATCACCCATCGGACAGCCTTGGTTGTTGCATGGACCAATTGTCCATGCACGACGATCCAGTATTCCTTTCCATCCTCACGTACTACCGTCACCACGTCATGGCCTAACCTCGTTGTGATCCTGAGCCGGTTTTTGTTTCCAAGCTCAACGAGATCATGGCCATTCTCCTCCTTGAAGCGGGCTAGCACCGTTTCGTCGAATTGCCCAAGATCGAGCGTCACCTCATCTCCGGGGTTCAGCACCTCTGCCGCCCCAACAAGCTGGCGGATAGATACTCCCTTTCGTATCTCGAAGCTGAGCAGCTCCACAGGAGCAGGCGTTGACTGAGTTTTCAGCCTCTCGTTTTCCGTTTGCAGATGTCCCATCTGGTCACGAAGGCGTTTGTTCTCTGCTTCGGCGACTTTTAGAGCCTTATCTGCTACTACGGCGTTGAGCGAAGCCGTGTCCTCGAGATCCTCTGTAGTCGTGCTGAGTTGGTTGGTCAAACGTTGGACATCCACTTGTGCTAAATCTCGCTCGTTTGTTCTGTCGACAATCGTCTGTGATGCAGTTTGGAACAGTTTCTGAAGCCTGTCTTTGGAACCGTGTAGATCTTGGATAGACAGTTCCAAGTTCTCGTTGGACTGCCGCAAGTCCTCGTTGGACTGTTGCAATTTCTCGTTGGATTGTTGCAGGGCCACGTTCTGGGTGCCCAGGCTCACGATTTTGCGGTCTTGCTCCTCTGCGCGCTTTTGAGAAGAACCTAATTCTGTCTGGACTGTCTTCAGTTCCAAACGAAGGTAATCTTCCTCGAACGTCGGCGGACGAATCCCCCTCTCCTCGATTGTTGTCACGGCTCGGTCGGCAGCACGGAGCTTCCCTTTGTCCAAGATCCATTCAGGCAGCTGAAAATGGTCAACGAATGTTTCCTTGACTCCTTGGATCGAGGCCCGTAAATCCTCAAGCTTCCTCTTTTGCCCGAGTGAGTCGCAATCGGCCTCCATCCTTATCCGCAGCTGTGTGGTGGCTCCCGGTCCAGCGGACCACTGGTTGTATTCCATCCTTTTCCTGAGTAATATAGCATCCATGTCGGCGCTCTCTCTGATTAGCTCTCTCCGCTGCTCCATATACTTGCCCAGCAGAGCATCTGTACGGGTGCGCGCTTTCTCATACTTTGCTGTCTGAGACTCTGCTGTGTCTGGAGTGCCTTGGTCGCGGTCGGCATCGGAATCGTCGCCTTGGGCCACCAGGTGACCGCCAATGTCTCTCAAGATGTCTTCCAGCTCCTCCATGGTGCTTGTGTGACGACAATAAATTGCCGTAAGCTGTCGCTGAGTGGGTCTGGCCTCTCAAAAGCAGGGTTCGCGATTGAAACTCGCCGATTGCAATCGAACAAGCAATTGGATTGCAAGCGGCCTTATATATCACCGGCTCACGAGTGAGCTTCGGGAGGTGATTCTGTATCGATCGTCTCTCAAGAAGATTCCCGTCGATCATTCCATCCAAGACAAGTTCCTCGAGTGTGCAAAGGACTTCTGTTGCTGCTTGGACGTCGTCCGGATCCTGTAAATTCAGCGGGCTGTCCGTCTTCGTACGTGGATTCTCGCGGTCGATGGCAACGATTTCAAGCAAGAGGTGGAAACGGCTCTCCTTCTTTTCCAACCGTAACCGCGCGGCATTGATGGGCGATGGTGGTGACCACGCCGCAGTTCTCGCTGGAGCTGGAAGGGGAGAGGCACCACGTTTGTGGCTCGTGGTTGGAGCGGCCAGTGTGTAGGTGGCGGATGCAATGGAGGGTGAGTGGAGTTGTCGCTGTAGTGGAAACGGGCGCGGTGTTGCGGCAACTGCGAAATGAGGCTGCAAGGTGAGATATCCGGCTTGATCGATCAGGAGGGCATTCATCCGAGTCAGGTGCATCTCAGGGGCAGGAAATGGCGCTCAGTAGAGTGATGTTGCGGCTGTGGAGAGGGAGGATGACTCGGGCTCTGGTGAGGGTGAGGGCGTTGACCAGAGTGACAAAGACGAGAAGGCCTGGACTGGTAAGCACGGGTGACGACGGACCCCGAAGCCGACGTTGCGCCGTGGAGCACCTTCCGCTGTCGCCCAGTGACGTCATCGGTCAAGCATCTGGTGAGGCTGTTGCCTACCCGCCCGCGCCGGCCACACTGCGCAGAAAATTTGCACTGCGCCTTCGCGAAATAACTACACCCTCGGCCTACACAACTTCAGTTTCCAGTCTCCCATCTGCGGAACTCACAAGATGGCGAACAACTCCGACAGCACGGCTAACAACCCTCACGGCCCAAAGACGTGACGGACATTGGTCATTGTCTGTCTCGACCTAGGTGCAGGAGAAATTATGCAGATTGAGCGTAACCAGCTTCAGATCTTCTTGGACACTGCAGCCCAATTCGACGATTGCAAAGAGTCTGTCAATCATCAGAGCTAACGTCATCGAGACTGACGAGTTAGACGGAGATGTGATGGTTCCTGCCGGCGCTCCAAAGGAAGCCTACTTCTACATTTGCGAAAAGCTCTTACTTAACCACCCAGAGGTCTGCGAGAGATCTGGATTCGACGATGAGAACGCCTGGGGTATCGACGATAATTCCTACGGATACGAGGCGATGACAGGCCCGCTCAATATGACCCATTCATACAACTCTTGGACAAATCGGTTCGGAGGCAAGGCCACGTTCTCGAAGTACATGGTGTACACCGCAAAGGCACGTAAGCGCCGCTACAAAAGAAATGACGAGACAAGCGCAGGACGGAACCCCGCACTCGGTTTGCCTGGTCCCGTTGTCAGTACGCCACTTAAGACCTTAGACCGATCCCCCGATGACGGACCCCAAAGCTCCATCGACAGCCTCGTTCGACGGCAACGGCGCCGTCGATACAACAGCCGCCACAGCTGTTGAGGGCGAAAACAACAGCGAGAAGGTCGTGACCGTCGCCAAGGTCGTCTTCGGTACCCTCGTCGATATAGCGGTGTCCAGGCTGCCCGTCGACTTCGACGTTCGAGCGCTGTCGGCCCGCCTCATGCCCCCGTCATGCATCACCGCGACCCCATGAACAAGATCGAGATTGACCACAACAATATGGAGCTAATCAACAAGGCCCATTGCGATGCTCGAGGCCGTAGATTACCAGGGGACGTTGGGAAAGACTGAGATCAGCGAGCTTCACAAGCAGGAGTACGAGCAGGTCAAGCGGCAGCTTGGATACACGCTGGATACTCTCGAAGCTTTCCCTCTTGCACTCGAGAGTCAAGAGTACGCGCCTCCGAACATATCTGATCACGAACCCGGACCCTCCGGTTGAAGGGGAAGATATTGACATGCTCAATGAAATTGGGATGATGCTGGAAACATGAGACACAGATGGACAGACGACGGGAACCATGACAGATAGAGTCTTCCAGAGCTAGGGTGTTCATTAGATTTCTCAAGACCAATGAAATGTGAAGTTTACCCTATCATGACCTTGTAGAACGGCTACACCTTGTGAAGAGTTTTGTGTGTCGATAGTGCATGTTCATCGAAATCTAATACAATGATGTCGTTAAGGGCCACAGCGAATGAAGGGGACATACAATTTACCGTTTAACGGTAAATCGATTAATAGAAAATGTAAATGAGCTTCACGGCGAGGTCGAATATCTCAAGCGAGTGTGTGTTTGGAAATGGAAGAGTGCAGGCACCACACATCGCTCTGTTTCCCTGCGCGTACAAGCCATCCAACTTGTTTCAGGTGGAATCGCTGAAAGCTATCTTGGGAGGAAATCTATGAGATTCGCGGTGATTTGGAAGTGCAAGGGTGATTGAAAGTTACGTTAGGTGGTGGTGGACGTAGGTGAAGCTGCGCCCCGTTGTTGCACTAAACAAAAGAGGCAGGTTACGGAAGGCACGTGCACATGCGCGCGCGGACGGACGACACTCATAAGCTTCGCTCTTGCACCAACTGCCACTTCGATTGCACGATAACGACTCCCCCTCGAGTGCTCAAGTGTCCACGTCTTCATTCCGCTCGGGCGCGACGGCCACTGAAGAGTCGCAATCCATTTCCGTCCCGTCGCAGCCAGTGCAACCCGAGCACTTCTTCCGACGTGACCCCAGTTGAAGCTCTGCGTTCAGACATTGTCTGAGCGATAGATAGTGCGACGACCATTGCGTCATCGTAGCACCCACGCAGCCATGCGTAAGTTTCCTTTCGCGTCTTCTCTCACTCGAGGTTAGCTCGTCTCACTTACTGAACTACTTGCAGCTTCCTACAAAACTGACCGCGATGATGCTATCGAAGATCTTGAGGATGCAGGACCCGCGGAACTGAAGACCACCAAGAAGCGTGCGCGGAAAAGGACTCCAATTGAAGATACTGACCGTGATGATGCTATCGAAGATCTTGAGGATATGTGTAAGCCACTTGTCTCCCTTCACCTTACTTGAGGTTGGTTTGCCTCACTCGTCGAATGCTGACTGACAACCTCTAGCTGATGCCGGACCTGCGGAACCGAAGGCCACTAGGAAGCGTGCGCGGAAAAGGACTCCAATTGAAGATACTGACCGTGATGATGCTATCGAAGATCTTGAGGAAACGTGTAAGTCACCTGTCACCCTTCACCTCACTTGAGGCTGGCTTGCCTCACTTGCCGAATGCTGACTGACAACCTCTAGCTGATGCCGAACATGCGGAACCGAAGGCCACTAAGAAGCGTGCGCAGAAAAGGACCCCAATTGAAGATGTGGTATTCATCGCAGTGGTTGGTGTCCCGGTCGGCAGAGCCAGAACCCCACACAGTCTGAAGGACAAAGGAAAGGATGTTTGGGCGACACTCGGCGAAGACAACAACGTCCTATACAGAATCAACGGTGGCAAGCGCATCGCCACAGACGAGATTGAGTGGTCCACGACATTCGACCAAAGCGACATGATGGGGAGGCTGGAGGCCAATAGGAAACTGGCCAATGTAGGTCAGAATCAGCAGTCGCAAGTGAGCTTTGCTAACGATGGGTCGCAGTCTTTGAAGGAGGCCTGGTACCTCGACATCCTGTCTGAAGAAGAAGTGAAGGAAGTCCAAAGGGACCCTCGCCTGACGAACGTCGCATTCGCAATTTGCGGATTCCACAAACTCTTGACGGCCCTACCACCGATGCCTGCAGTGCGAAACCTAGTCCCCAACAACTTTCTCGCCAAGCGCAGAGATGCGCAATCATTGCTCGACAAACTCAAGGACCAGTACACGGAATTTGCCCCGACCATCAACGCTTACGCTGCAGCTCGAGCTGCCGGGTACATGAAAGTGTTCGAGAAGGCTTTCCCGAACGGATTCTTCGACATCGGTGGCAACAATAGTTTCCATCTGGACATCTATGTCATGCGAGCATGCGCACGTTTTTGGGGCTCAAGTCGAGCTGGCAAGCCGCATGGCTATGCGAAGCGGATGATATGGGATGACGACGATGGTTTCACAGGGTTTGCGAAAGAGCTGAGCAGACAAATGGAATCCACGACGACAAACGAGCTCGTAAAGCCTCGCTTCATGACACAACAGTGGATGAAAGAAAAGAAACCGGTCTTCGTCTCCAAATACCAGGTGGAGAAACTGGAAGTGTTGTCCCTCATCTTCTCGACGCTCTCTGATGGCCCCCCCAAGACTCGGAGGATTTTGGAAAAGGAGTACAACAATCCTCTCAACGACAAATTGAAGACGAAACAGATACTAGAGATAAAGGCTCGAAAGAACGCCGAGAGCGGAGTCTTTTGTGGACCAGTAGTACCGACCCCGGGTTGGAGAGAGATACTGGAGCCTCATCTGGCTCCTGGCGAGATCATCAACTTCCCGAGCACAAACGGAGTGCCAAGCTTCGGCGAAGCCACAATGTTCCCACTTGGGTTCGAACGTCGATTGAAATACTACGAGTACATCAAGAAGCTTAGTGGTCATCAGTCAATGGCCCTTGGCGTCGTCCTGGCTGCCCTGTTGAAGGAGTCGCTCGACGACGAGAGGGAGTTCGACAAGTGGGCCAAAGTCGTTGACGACTGCTTGGAACACAACAAGTTCCAGATCCCGAAGAACATATGGAAGAAGGTCGAAACGCTACACAAGCAGGCTGAAGAACTAGCGGTCCTTGGACCCGAGGCCCCTGATGCTGAGGATTCTGAACTTGAGGAGTTCGGCTCTGAGGATGAGTGAGTATTGGTGTGGCCATTGTGTCACACCGCATCTGATGTAATGCCATTTGCATCATCGTCAGTGGAGCCATTGCATTCTATCGTTTCCTCCCTGGTCAATCTTACGGGCGAACAACGACTTTGCTTGGATATCATTCTTTCAGACCTTTCTTTCTCTTCCCCTTTTACTTTTATTGCTCGATATGCATAGGGTTAGTTCTGCTAAAAGTCTATTCATTTTAAAAGAAATATCACACTCTTCCCGCTTAGCGGGAAAAAAAGTCGTCCCCGTTCTCATTGACGGCACACCGATTTTAAACATAGCACGTAAGGTGGTTAGGTATGGAAGAGCGAGACGAAGTATTGTTAATGGCATGGTGAAAAATTCGCTCAGTGACGTCATCGCTCGAGCATCTGGCGTAGCCCGCCTGTCCGGTGTCCGAGGCTCTCGGCCGGGCCGATATTACCACCGATAGCCACTACGGTGCTTTAAAGTTCTCGCCCGCTGCCACTCCTGCTCTATCAAGTTCACCTCCACAAGGAAAATCTCCACTGCCTTCCAATATTCCATACTCAGCCCTTACAAAATATCTGACAACCCCTACAGCAGCAGCCAAACATGGTCGGCGGTCCCAACGGTTACATATTCCAGGATGGCTGGGACTTGGGCGATGGTTCGGTTCTTCTGATGGACAAGACTCAGCTGAACGCCATCTTGAACTTCATGTCTCAATTCCACAGATACAAATCTGACGTCCGTATCGCAAAGGACGCCATCGTCGAGGACGGCGATCTGCCCGGAGAAGCCATTGTTGGTGGTGCCGCTAAGGCGAACTTGTTTCATCTACTGGAACATTTCCTGCGTGAACACTCGACAAATTTCAAAGGCGAAGACCAGAATCGTTGGATCTTTGGGCGGATCCTCTGGGGACACAGCGCGGAGAAAGACACATGTGCGCAATACGACACTTACTTGTCTTGGAAGATCAAGTACAACACCGACGCCTTATTTAGCGAGTACAAGAGCTTCCTTGATGGAGGGCGCAAGCTCCGCGAGATCGCAGAGAAGGACAAGGGCCCAGAGTGAGGCTTTATAGTGCGACCATTGCGTCGTACTTAACGTCCATACGTTATCCTAACACAGACTGATCCTCAGACAGCGCAGTCACCATGCTATACTAATAAATGACGACAGAGGGGAGCATGGGGTTCACAACAAAAGGAAAACTGCAAGTGGGAAGGAAGCATAAAATACAGGAATTTCTTAGCAGAGCAGGGGAAACACCATACCTGGATAGCTTCCGAGAATCACCTTCCATGTAGCATATAGTAACAGGCTTTTAAAGAATTCAGATGGCCTTGACCCTAGATGCCTTGAATTTTGCTGAGGGTCGGACTGTCCGAAGAGTGGATGAAAGGATTGAGTTTGGGGATTTTGACGACGTGGAGCCGTGGCTGGTGGCGAGTGAGGTAAGTAGGCCTGGTTGGTGTAAAGTATCGACTTTATTTATGGTGTTGCCTATCCTTGGGGCTCAAGTAGACGTTGGACGTTGCGCGACAACGAGCTGGAAGACGGAATCGCTTAGCTGGACGCCAACCATAGCCGCGCCAGCAAAGTCCTCGCCCTGCTCTACATCCTTGGCGTAATGCTCCATGACCATCCTCACGTCCTCCACCCACGCCGGGAACAACAACGTCCGGACCTCACCCTCGCGCTGCCCACCACCCCACTTGAAAACCGCCGCCGCATGCCTCACCTCCCCATCCCGCCGCGGACCGGCATCTCGCCCCCACTCACACTCATTCCAGGGCGCCTTCCCACCCCCCTGCCGCTTGTACACCGTCCTAAAAGCGTCGGCATCCAGCCCAGCCGCAGCCGAGAACGTCTGCCGACCCGGCGGCACCGCCAACTCGATGGACCGGATGCCGCAAGGCTCCAACACCCCGCCGCTCCCCAACAAACACAGCACCACGCCGCGGTCGCTATCGATGACATCCTGGCGCAGGACAGACGGCGCCACAGCCGCGCCCTCCGCGACCTGCTCCACCCCGACGACCCGCACGCCGGGAGTACACCTTTCCATCACAGCCGCCGACCTCAGCAGGAAGCCGCCGCCGCACATGGGATCCACCTCCGCGTCAAACTGCGAGCGGATCGCCGCGCGCCGCACGCTGCTGCCGCTTGGTCCCAAGCTCAGCGCGCCGTCCACCAGCGCCGCGACCCAGTTGCGGTCGACGTGGAAGAAGCGCAGGGACTCGGGCGGGAGGGACGCCGTGTCCGCGACGAGGTGGGTGGTTGGGACGTTGCGCAGGAGGGCGAGGTCTTGGAGCCAGCGGTGCACCGCTTTCCAATCTGGCGAGGAGGCGACGGGGGCGGCGGAGGTGGTGGAGGTGAGGAGACGGGTCAGCGCAGTGGTGAAGGAGGGGGAGGCGAGGGCTAGCGTCCGGCCGACCTGGCGCGCTGCGGAGTACGTGATGTCTGGGATACCGAGGTCGGGGTCGAGGGTCGGGAGGGTGTTGGCGCTGGGGGAGGGCGGGAGAGGGTAGGGCACGGCTACTGGCGTCAAGGGACCGCGGAGTAGTGCCGCGGTCGTCTCGCCCGTGGGGGTGCGGTATCTGGTTAGGGTGTAGCCATCGTGCAGCCGCTGCCTCAAACACTTTGGATCGGCGGTGGGGCAGTAGTCCCCGGGGCTGATGGTTGGGTCTGGAACACGCAGCATGCCCGCGGTCTGGCCTAGCTTCCGGAGGGTCGCGTCCATGTGCGGAGAGCCTGCCGGTAGCGTGGTGAAGCTCCAGCTGTGCAGCGATGCCATGGCGACGCGGGGGCTCTTGGAGTGGTCGAGCGGCCAGTCCATGTCTTCGACCCCCTCGATCGACACGAGGTGAGCGACCACGGCTTCGGGCTGCGTTCCTGCCAGCGGACCCGTGCGATGCGACAGGACGATGCCGAAGGAGCCCTCGTCCTCCGCCCCGGCTTCGGCCATCCCGTCCGCCTGGACCTCCCGCACGTGCGCCAGATACTTGTACCGCGACGCGTCCGGCCGCGCCTGCGGAACCACGTCGCCGTCGTTATCGTACGCGGTCACGAGCTCGGCGAACAGGGTAGACGGCACGAAAACGACGTCCGTGGTCTCGTCCTCGTCGTCCTGGCATGCCGCCAGGGAAGACACCGTCGACCTCAGCTTGACGACATCCGCCGCCTTCATCGTCACGGCCAGCGTCGTCTCCGCCTGCTCGACGACGCCATCCCTCAAGCTCGTTTCTGAGAACATCTCGCGCAGCTCCTCTGCCGGAACGCTGAGTTCCTCGCGCGTGAACACCAGCACAGCCAGCCACGGCACCGCATCTCGGGCGCCGTCGCCGCCGCCGGGCCCCTCCTCCCTGCTCAGAGGCCTCGCCCAGGGAAGGTGCGGGTCGGACAGAACGACATGAGCGAGCGCGTTCGCCGGCGCGCCTTGACCCGGTGTCGGGAATGAAGAAAGGACGGACCCGTTGGGGAGGCGGAACGGCAGGGCCTGACCCTCGAATTGCCGCCCCGGGCCGTAGACTCCACAGGGCGGGCGAGTGGAGGGGCGCGACATGCTGGGCTCTCTTCGGCTGGGTCGTGTTGTTGGCAGCGCGTATTTATGTACGAAAGTCTGAAATGATGGCGACTATGTGGGAAGTGGTTTCGAATACCAGTCGGTTTGGATGAAAAAAATCAGTTGGTCAATATCAGCGCTGTGTGGCTTGAAGCCGTGGCGCAGGGCGCGTGGACAGCCGCGCGGCACAACAGCTTGGCTGATACGCCGCCCGCGTTGCCATTGCAGCCTCCTTTGCTTGGCCGAGGGGGAGGCTTTGCAGACGGTAAGCCATGGCGGTCGGGAGAAGATAAGCTTTCAAGCTGGGAAGAGACGTGATTGGTCAATGGCTCGTCTACGAAAAAAAAAATGCAGAGAAAATGCTCAATCCAAGTGGATATGTCTATGTGTCGTCAGGTGGGACCCTTCTTTTCTCACCAGCGGCAGACCTTTGCACGACGAGCAGAAAGGGCGAGCGGCGAGTTGCGAAGAAGATGGAATTCTCTAGCCCGTGGAAGCGGGGAAGCGGTGTAAAAAGAGTAGGATTTGAACGGCCTGGATCCTTTGCCACCCTTGGAAGTGCCGATCAGGGGTGCCGGACCCATTATGGCCTAAACACACACTCGACAGGGCTTTAGTGTGTCTGTATACTTCCATCCACTCGGCCCTACTTGAGGAAGGGAGGCAGCCCACAACCACGAAAAAAGCTAGAAAGAACCGCCACATGGCTGAGAGAGGAAGTCCGGGGAATTCTAGGCTACCGTTTCTAGCGCAGTCTGGACCGGATCGCTGGCACCCGCGGGCCACGTGTACGCCTGGAATGGTAGGTACTAACTTGATGTAGCCATTCAGCGGCGCTAAACCAGCCACAGCCCGCCGCTAGTCCCCATGCCTCGTATTCTGAGGCTGAGAAAACAGTTCTATGGCTGGCTGGAGCAGACTCTCGGATGATTTTCTATGCAGTTGACATCTATTGCGACACGCGGCCTCGGCTGTTGCACAGCTGCACCGCTCGGGCGGCAGTTGGACATGTTCTCCAACAGTCGAGGCCCGCCACAGACCACCGCTATCCACAAAGGTTGGCGACTTCAACACTCTTTCTGCTAAGTCTTAGCCTCTACTACTACTGTGTATGCAGCCACCGCTCAGCTGGTGGCGTTTTAATTTGGTGGCGCTCCGCGGCTATACAGGGACTTTTTTGTGAGCAAAGCAAGCTGATCACAATATAAATACTTTGCTCGACTGGTAGCGTTTTGGGTATCAGCAACTGACTGCAACTCTAGCTCTTCGAGAAAATGCGTTACCTTCCTCTGTTGGCCCTGCCCGTGGCGGTCTCCGCCTCGCCTCTGGTTCAGAGGGACTTGCTTTCCGCCGCCAAGAGCCTGTTCTGCTCCCTCAACAACGATGTTGTCACTGCCCTCAAGCAACAGTCGACGGCCACTAGCTACTGCAGTAGCTATCTGTCCATTCCCACCAAGACATTGTATGCTACAATCTTCTAACCCCAGCCATACTCACTGACTCACATTGAAAAAGCTCTACCACGTCCACGGTTACTCCTACAAGCGTGCACGTAACAACGACCGCTACCATTACTGGAGATCCGTACATCACCACCGAGACTGCTACCGAAACCACGTCTACCGATCTCCATGTGCCCTCGACCGTCGTTGAAGTGAGTCCCCCCCGAATCGGACAGAGGAAATTTAACTGATCCCTTGATAGACGGACACAACGACGGTGACTGTCACCTCATCCACTGTCACGCTTTCTTGCCTGAGCAGCGCATACACGGCCACTCCCTCGGCTCAGAATGCGAAGCGCGGCAACGTGCAGAAGCCAACTTGCCTGCCCTCGACCTGGGCCTCTCCGGCAATCTCCAGTGCCTGCTCCTGCTTGAGCATCCCGACACCCTCGATTACCTCAACCATCACCACCACCCTCGCACCTGGCACTGTGACCGATACCGCCACCCAGACCCTCACCCCCACTGAGACAAGGTAAGCACAGACACTCAAGCCGCGAATGATTCGAACGAGTCTGCTAACGACAGCAGCACTGTCACCACGACCGAAACGTCCACCAACACCGTCATCGACTACACGACCACCACGACCACCACCACCGAGACCGTGTACGCCACGGCCACCACCATCTCCACCACCGGCCTCGCCTACCGCAAGTACACGCACTCGTACAACGCCGACTCGTCCAGCAGCGGCTTCACGTCCTCGTACTTCAAGACCGCCAGCGTCGACTTCAGCGGCACGCTGCAGGACATCGACTTCTCCACCCCCAACTGGCCGTCCGGCAGCACCTACCTCACCCTCCCCGGCAACTCTGCCTTCAACTCGGCCCAGTCCGCCGTCCTCATGAACGGCTTCTTCGTCGCCCCCGCCGCCGGCACCTACACCTTCTCGTCGTCCAGCAGCTACATCGACAACTGGGGCTACCTGTGGACCGGCGACGCCGCCTACAGCTCCTGGTCCGACAGCAACGCCGCGTACAAGGCCTCGAGGACCAGCGCCGGCTACATCGGCGGCTCTACGTCCTTCACCTTGAGTGCGGGCGACGCCATTCCCATGACTCTGCTGTGGGCCAACGGCGGCGGCGTCGGCCAGTCGATTTTCACCATCACGCTTCCCAGTGGATCGACCGTCAGCGATAGCACCGGGTACTTTGCCCCTGGCTGTGATGCTGTTTTCTCGTAGGGATTTAGTCGTGCATGGCGAGCAAAAGCACGGAGCGTAGTTGACTGGGGGGAGTTAGTAAGACGCTGATGTAGGGGGATAATTGACTGTATGAGAAATTACGGGTAGTAATTAGGAAATGAAAGTTAATGTTTTTCGTCTGACAAATATTCGAACCGCCTACTCGAGTGAAATGGAGCCGTAGGAAAATAACGGGAAGTTGAAGCAATTGCTCGGACTCAGATTTGAGTATCAAAAGTCTCTAAATGCGTCCAAATATAGGAACCAAGCCCCTGTGTGAGGTAGACGTAGGTAGGTCTAATGAAGTGCTACTGGAAGATGCACTGGTTGGTGAGCTCCGCGGCTGTGCCCTTGATGTAGTCCGCGTTGTCTGTCGCCTTGGCGAATGGCTTCTTGCAAATTATCATCCCGTATTATTCTTTGATGTGTTGCTTGATGAACCTCACCTATACAAATGCGATGGACTTTCCATGCTATTCATTAACTTACCTGCGCTTACCGGCGATATCCGCGCATTGCGAAAAACCACTATGGCTCGAGCAGCCGTCTCCGTCTGAAGCACCCCAATAGAAACACCTGTCCTAATATAAACGCCTGTCCCGACATAAACGCCTGTCATCAGTCATGGCCCCGTCTCCAATTCATCCAACTCCGCGTCCCCACGGCGGCGAAGCAGCAAGCGGAACGGCTAGCACCCGCCGCATCTCCATCTCCATCGCCGGATCGTCTCCCACCATCGACATAATCAGCCACGCTAAGTTCTTCCTCACAATCACCTTCACACTGTGTGACTCCGCTCGCGCCGCCCATCGCACTTTTCAAATCAGCCTCCCCCCTTTTCCAACCAACGACGGCCGTACGTCATACCCTCTAGCAGCCTCGCATCCATCAACGTCAACCCCCCTTCCGCCCACCCCTTCCACTGCCGACGACATCCACGCCAAGAGCCCGGGTCCCCCCTACCAAGCCGAACACCCACCCTATTCCCCACCTCCACCATCGGCACATCCCACAATCCGTCGCCACATCCAAACCCTTAGCCCGGCCGTGACGACGGCGACACTGGCGGCTCCGGCTCCGGTTCGACCCTTCCCTCCCCACCCGAAATAGCCTCCTCTTCCCTCTCCATCCTCATCCTCATCCTCCCTATCATCATCCTCCTAGTCCAACACTGCCCTCCCCCCACTTTAAGAAAGAAAGAAGAAAGGGTAAGTAGTAAGTAGATTAAGAGCAAAGATAAGAGAGAGGGAGGATAGAAGCACGGGGTGCGTCACCTATACCGAATCGGGGTAAAACACTAAGAAAAATCTCACGATAGTGGCTCGTGTACACACTAACCAGACAGTCAAAAGATCTTTGCAAAGATGGCAGCCCTCCGTCTTTGCTTGCTTTTGGGGGTAGGTGGTCGGTCGAATGCGCGGCAGTACGTCTGGGGCGTGACTAGCGCGATCGAAGGGGGCAGGGCGGGGCGGGCAGCGGGAGGTGCATGCCGCGTGGCTGGAGTGTTTGTGTGTGTGTGTGTGCGGGCGGACGGACGGGGCCGGTGGGGAGGGAGGGAGGAGGGAGGAGGGCAGTGGTAATGGGCATAGTATACCGGGATTGGTGGGGTGGGTATAAGTATGGGGACGGGTATGGCGGGGCGGAGGGGAGGGGACGGGACGGTGGCGGTGGGGCTGGAGTTGCGAGGCGGATGGAGGGGGTTATTGGAGGGGGCTTGTGATGCGCGGTGCGCGTGGGGAGGGAGGCGGGTGGTGGGTGGGCTTTGGATGGCTTCGTGGTTGTGGGATGTATGGAGGAGGGTGAGATGGTCTATCTTCTCGGTCTCTTTGCTGCTGGCCCCTCGGTGTCGTGCTCTGATGCAGCGCGCCTGGTCGTTGCGGGGCTAGCGTTGCTCGCACCATCGGTGGCAATGCTCATGGCATCTGGATCCCTGGGTGCCGTGGAACGTCGCACGTGTGATTGGGCCGAAGGCTCCGAGGCAGCCTGTGTGCTTGGATGGACCATGTTGAATGCTACCGCATCGATTGCGTCGCGGAGGCGGTCGCGAAGACGAGGCGCCCATATTTCGTACACGTTCCGGACAAAGTTCCACGATCGACGGGTATCAGTGGTCTCATCGGGCGAAAGGTTATATTTATACACCTTTCGGCGATAGATGGTGGTTTCTTCTCCGTCCAGAATGGGATAGTAGGCATGGATGTACACCCATTCGTGATTGTAGGATATGGAGAAGGCCATGATATGACCGCTGCCGGTAAAGTCGGTTTTGGCGGCCCGGAACAAGTCGACCATAGAGCGCACAGCAACCAGCATGCTATAGCCGTTTTGGTTATCTGCGACCTCAATGGATTCAGTTGGCGCCTTTACCTCGCAAGTAAGAAACGGAAAGTACATCCGGTTTGCTTGCATGAAAGTCGTCTTCTCACTGGCCATGATGGTGAGGGTATCCCGTTGACTCTGTGAAAAGGCCTTTCGGGAGAAGCCCACGCAATAGTCGGGTTGTGGTGGTTTTGTGAAGACAGGTGCGAGAACCGACCTCTCCCAAGGCTGATCCCACAGATTGACCAAGTAACTGTAAGTCTCCTTTAGCTTTTTGTCCGAGGAGCTGCGGTCTCCCAGAGCTCCGGCCGACGGACAGACAACTGCGGACATTTCTTGAGCGACACCGCGCTCATTTTGCATGTGCATTCGTTCGAGTAGAGCCTCGATGGTGTCTTGGTGAAATTTACCGCCTGGAGCTTCGTCCGAGACCTTCTTCCGGCTGTGGGTGGTCAGAGTTTGCAACAGTGTCCTGCTCTCCGTTTTCAGGTCGGCATCAGACTGGTTTTGCTTGACCTCTGCCATGATCAGGGATACGCCGTCCACTCCATACTCAAGCATTTCGCGGTGGCTTCTCTTCTTGTAATCTGGGCTCCGTTTGTCTGATGCGCGTGATCCGTTGGGCTGGGAAGCGCTTTCTTCCTGTTCCGTAGCTCCATTTTGGGATTGATTCTGGATGCGCTGTAGTGCCTGAATGCGTAGAATGTCGCCTGGATTGACGGCCTTGGCCGACTTGCGTCGTGCAGAGCCCGCCATGATGTCTTCTGTGGGAGGGACTTCGGGCGTGCCTTGCAACCAACTTCTGATTGGATGGATATCCTCCTGTCTGGGCTGTGGCGATGCTTCGACAGTATCTTTCGCACCCCGCCTCTTTCTTCGTTGGTTGCGACGCTCGGGAGCTAGGTTCGGATTTGGTGGGAGAGGGTTCTGGGGCTGCAGTGTTCCAAGTTGATCTTGCTGTCCCCGGCCTGTCAATGCGATGGAGCAGCAATGGGAGGTCAAACGCACTGACCTTCCGTTTCCTCGGCGAATCTTCGAGTCTGCCGTATTCAACAGGCAGTCCTTGGGTGCGGCGACTTGTGCGTCCTGGCGTCCTTTCCCGAGCTGGGTGCAACGGATCAATACATGAAGCTCGCTTTGGCCGGAGAACAACGAACTTGCGGGCTTCTGGACCGGACGACGGGTAGCAGGGGCAGACGGGAGTGGCTTCTTCTTCGGACGGCCACGTCTACCGGTGGCCGTGGCGGTGGCAGTCGGCTTGGTGATGGTCTTAGCGGGTGATGCGGCGGCACGGCCACTGCGGCGCAGTGTTGAGAATCGAGTCTGTGGCGCCATGGTGGACGGGAGCGGGCTGTATATCTATGAGTACGAAGAGGCGGTGGGCGAGATGAGGCTCTTTCGCTGGTGAGGGGGAGATCGATTTGCTGGCAGGACAGACACCGAGAGAAGGGGAATGCGCCACGTTTAGAGTCGTCCATCGAGCGGGCCGCTTCTCTCCCCCAGTAAGCAAAACCTGTCTGTCCGGTGCCCGCGTACGGGTCTCGCACCGTTGACCGGTTAGCTTCCGGAAGACGGGACCGGATTTGTGTGTTCATTGGGGCGGGGGTCTTTCCGGCGTCCGGGCGGGTCCTCCCTTTTGCGAGTCGTCACGCGAGCGAGCATGGGTCGCTCCCTTTTGGCGCGATAGTCGATGCCCGCCTGCTTTTTACTGCCCCATACACCGTCGGCTTTGACGGGACGCTGTAAATGCCTCGTAGTTGAAACAGAGCCAATTGCAAAACCGCACGCCTCGAGCACCACCATTTTTGAGGTCCTCCATGTTGCTGTGCCGCACACGTCGTGCTATGCACCCTGTGGAGTGGGGGTGGGAGATGGCCCGGATAGCGGGCAAGATCGACGGGATTTGAAATGCCCATGATCTGGACCGCCTGGCATGCCGCCGTTGGCGCTTCAATTCTCCATGTGATTGGTCTTTTGTTACAACATGACTTGACCGTAGCTTGTCTGGATATGGTGGCCTGCACACCATCTTATCGTCTGCGCAAGCTTTCAAAATGCCGGTAGTCCGACTAGCCGCAACACTGCCCATGTCAAATCTGTCATGTCCACACCGTACTTTTCAACAATGCAGTACATATTCGCGGCATGCTCATCGCAGCGGGGCTACCTGGTCCGCATCTGCACCTTTTATCAACCGCATGTAGCCAGATCCAGCGACCTCCTGACTCGACAGTCTCGCTGGTTGCATCTCGACACAGTTCCTTCGTCGTATTCCTACCAATACTTCCCGCAGCTTCCTGCAGCTAGGTCCAGCATTGGATGGTTTCTCCGCCCTTCTCCATTGTCGGCTGATGACTGCTCCCACTTGTCTTTTGAGGAGATAGCTTGAGGCGGAGTCAAAGGTTCCGAGTACTTGTCATAGTAACAGCTAATATAGACCAAGGTTTGCGGGTTTGTCAGACCTAATCACTAAACAAAGTTGCGTTCACGAAGCGCGGTAAACAGCTTTACAAGATAATGCAACATCAGCATGACGAACCAGCACTGCAGAAAGAACGACTGGCAGTACCTTCCTCCATTCAAACATGACTTCCCACTCAAACACCACATTTGCCAAACACCGTCTCAACCTCCCCAGAAACATTCACTCCTCCACCTCCGCAGAAGAAGTCTCCCCGCCCGCATGCCGCTTCACCTCCTCATTGTGCTTCCTCACCCACTCCTCCAGATACTCCGGCACCGGCTCAACGCGATTATCCCCACACGGCACCGGCGTCCCAAACAGCTCCGAACAAACCGGCACGACACCCGTCCACACCCGCCCCACCACCCCCTCATCCTTCAACTCCGCCCTCGAATTATTCGGCCCCGCCACATTAACCTTCGCACTCGCCCCATCCACCACGACCTTCAAAATACTCGTACTCCTCACCTCCCCCTCCGTCGGCGGCGTCCGCGACCCCTCCCAGCGCCCCGCCACCAACCCATCTGTAATCAGCCGCATCGCCCACAGCTTCTCATCCGCGTCCCGCACGACGCTCGCGCGCCCCACCACCACCGCGCTGCGGAACTGGCAGTTGTGGTTGTACGGCGTCAGCGCCAGCACCACGCCGTCCAGCAGCGCCGCGCTGACGCTGACCGCCGTCTCCGATGGCTGCCGCATCAGCCGCGCCGAGGCGTGCCCGTGCAGGTAGAGGTCGAGCGGCGTGTGCGCCGGGTCTGCGTCTGGCTGCGCGTAGAGGCCCATCGTGCCGATCATGGGGAGGATGGCGGGGTAGGAAGGCGGCGGCGGCGCTGCGGGTGAGGGTGCGGGTGAGGGTGCGGGTGCGGCTGCGGGTGCGTTTGTGGCTGCGTCTGCGTCTGCTGCGGCGGGGCTGAAGCTGACGTGCAGGATTGTGGCGGCGTTGATGATGGAGTGGACTGTGCGGTAGTCGTAGGTGACGAGCCGCTTGTAGCGGTGCGCGGCGGTTTGTTGGATTACGCGGTAGGCGGACATTTTATTCCTTGGGGGTGGGGAACTGCGGGGGTGGGTCGGTGGTGTGTGTTTGGGGACTGCGGAGCCGGATGAGTGTGGGTCGGCCCACGTCGCGTCCCCCGCTGTGGGTTTACTTATACGTATGTCTTCTGCCCCCGCGGTTTCCCGAAGTGGAATTGTTTTGCAGTCTGGAGGGCGGCGGGCGCTAGCCTCAACAAGGGAGGTGCAGCCGGTGTTGGAGCGGGGCCCAGGAATGATGCAGTTTGCGTTCGGTTTGATTGGGTGCTGAGCGAGGGGCGTCGCGGGGATGACTGGCTTGCGGTTGGGAATGACGTGGGCATGTTGTACAGAGTCGCACTGTCCATATCGCGTGGGCGGGGGGCGTCACCGGCGGCGGGCTGGCACGGAGGTAATAAAGTGGCCACTAGCCAGCGACGATCTTCGGTACGATCATCTCCCACTCTGTCGTGTGGGGGATTTGCGGGCGGAACGGCACGTCAGCACAGGGTCCCGCTACTTCCCGTTGCTAATCGTATCGGGGCTGGCCTCTGTATCGTAAAGGCCGACCATCCATTGGAGCGCTTGATACGCACGTACAAGGCAGCCAATTAGACATTCCCAGCACTGGTAGCGGGCTTGACTACTTCTCCACCGGATGCACAGAGCAAAGGAACAAAGAACATTTTACAGGCTCTGATAAATGAATTGAATTTCCCAACATGTTGTACGAGCCCCGCCCTTTGCCTACTCTCCCGTGACTTCCCACGTGCACATCTACTATGCAGGCTGAAGCAAGTACTCATCTGTGAGTGGTATCAGACGCTGCTGAATATGGTATAAGCAGGGAGCACTTACGGATCGGCCCGTCGGGAAGGTTCCAAGAGTCCTTTACATCGAAACCAGCCCTGGCGAACATGTCTTTCATTATGGCCGGGCCCCATTTGTAGGACTCGTAAAAGTCAATGTGATCGCCAACGGCAAAGCGGGTGTTGAGCGGATCACAATCGACGTCGTAAACGGGCTTGAACATGCATCTGTGAACGATAGTGTCCTTCTCGATAGAAATCTTCCCCGTCACCGTCCAGTCTTCGTCGCGGTACCAAGTCGATTCGAGCACTCTGTTCGAGTGAGCGAAAGCGTTGCGGAGGAACCGATGGACCACGCCGTCCGGGTCGTTGTAGGACTCCCAAACCCTCTGTTCGTCGCGCTCGGCGTCGATGCCGAGCAGCATGCGGTCATGTGGCCGCATTCTCTTGGACCACTTCTGCAGCAGACCCACGGCATCGTCGAAGGCGTCGTTTCCAAAGATGGACCCCAGGGAGAGGAACCATCTGGGAGACTCGACGGTGCGTGACCAAGCCAGGCCATCCTCAAAAGTGCCGTGCAGGCCAAAGCACCGCACATGGCGGTACCGAGGGATGAGCTGAGCCATGTTCTGCTCCAGAGAGGGGCGCGAGAGATCCAAAGCAAGGTAGGAGGCCTGCTTCCCCGCTCTCTCCAGGCTGTCGAGCACGGGGATGATTTTGCGTACATCTCTGTGCAACCGTCAGCCGTGCCAGAGTCGCCGGGCCATGCAGGGGAACGCTCACCCGCATCCCAAGTCGATGATTACGGAGCCGGGCTCCACAGCTTCTGCAATTCGACCGCCGCAGTCCTCCAGGAGGCGGATCTCCTCGGCGGTAGCATAGTAGCCCGGCAGACGGGTGACGTCTCGCCACATGGCCAGCCCAGCGTCGTCTGAGAGGAGGGCAGAAGGAAACAGCTTCCGCTCGCCTGGCTTCTTGGAGCCTAGCCTTTCCCTCAGCATGGTCCGGAAGCTCTCCTGCACCGAGTGCCCGCCCACGTCCAAGACGGTGCCTGCCGCAAGATTGGACAGACTGTCGATTTCCGTACCGTTGGCGGCCATGCTGAGGCGTTTCTGGTTGATACGTTTGGGGGGCGTGTTTGTGTCGCAGTTGAATCTGATCTGGAGAGCAGCAGCAGCGCGCTGGAGGTGGTCTTAATATCCCCGCCCGGATACGCGCTGGGGCGTGTTGCACTGCAGCTGAGCCAGCGCTAGCGGCAATATGCATGCAGGACGGCCAAAGACTGAAAAATGCCGCGCCAACGGACGTGCCACTTGACAAATCGCTACGATGCACAGCTAGCGCGATATCTTGTGCCTGCAGCCGCCGACACGCCTGGGCTGTATGTAGGTCGCGATGGTTTCGGAATGCTATGACTTCACCGCGTATCCCAATGCGGAGAGACGACGCTGGACGGCTGCCCCGTGTATAAGACAGGATGCACTGCGTCAAGAACGCCACCGATAACAACGTCTTTTGATTCTGCCACGACGTACGTCAACGCTTCCAAGTGCCGAGACAGCACCATGGCGTCGCCAAGGGGGTCCCGTACGTCGCCGGGGCTCAAGGCCTCTTGCGACCTATGCCACCGAGCCAAGGTCAAATGCATCTTCGACGGCTCGGACCGATGCACACGATGCGCGAAGCACGACTACGTCTGCAGGCGGAGCCCCTCGCTTCCAATGGGACGCACTCCCGGATCGTCGACCGCTCGTCGTCGCCGATATTGCGCATGCTCCGCCGGACCATCGACGACCAGCATTGTCGCCGAAACGCCCGTCTCGATGCCGACCACCCCCGTCGCCGACATGTCGCCTGCCCGCCACGCCGGACCCTTCGACTTCGACATGATGCCGATGCTGACGCTGGACTGCGGCGACGCCGCCGACCCCTCCATCACCCCGGCCATCTCCACGTCCCCGATCAGCAACGCCGCTTCCGGCGTCTACTGCCTGTGCTTCTCCGCCATCGCCGGCGCCATGGAGCAGCTGCGGCAGTCATCTCGTCCGGACAGCCGCCCCGGCCTGGATGCCATCCTGCGCCAGAACAGAGCGGCGCTGCTCACCGTCGACCAGTTCGCGCAGTGCAACGCCTCGCACGAGATGACGCTCGTGCTGCTCGTCTACCTGCTGCTCTACCACGTCCTCGCCGGCTACAGCGCCGCCGCGTCGCACTCGTTTGCCGCGACCGAGTGCCCGCAGCGCGCCGTGCTGGGCGAGTTTGAGATCGACAAGGACGAGATTCACGTGCTCAAGCGCCACTTCATCCTGCTGGATCTGTCAAAGGTGCCTGGGATGCTGGATACGCTTGCTGAGCGCGTGGCTGCGAGGGACGGCGCGAGCTACGATCGGGCTAGTTGGTTTGTGCAGAACTTGCTGAAGAAGGAGGCCGAGGGGCTCGTGGAGACGATGGGGATGTGATTGGGCTGGAGAACGTTGGTTCAACACCACAGCTGGGGAATTTACCTTGCCAGTTCGGTACATAGGCTTGCACGCGAGAAACTTACTTTTGACCATGATAGCGCCGCATATAATTGTTTTTTTTTTTTTTTCGTTAATTTAAAGGCCGAGGAGCTGGAGCATCGCCAAAGTGAAATAAACGGAAGTAAAATGTCCCAGAAAGAGTGTAGGAAGCGAACACAAGCCTCAACCCTCCCCCTTCCCACCTTTACATCCACCCAGCCTACAGAACCAACCCAGCCGAATTCTTCTGCCTCGGCTCGCCCGCCGCCAAATAAGTCCCGTTCTTCAACAACTTAAACGCCTGCACCCAGCTCTGATTCGGCGCCATCCACTCGACATCGTAGCCCCTCTCCTTCATGAAAGCCACAGTCCTATTGTCGTACGCCCACTCAAACCTCGTCTTATTCGGCTGCAGCTGGTCGTGCATGCGCGGCCGCGCCAGGGCCTCGCGCGGCTCCAAGCCGTGGTCCAGCATCAGTATGACGTTCTGCACCGTCGCGGTGATGATGCGCGACCCGCCGGCGGCGCCGACGGCGCCGAAGACGCCGCCGCCGTCGGGGTACTCGATGATGATGGGCGTCGTGGACGAGAGCGGCCGCTTGCCCGGCAGGATGAAGTTGGCGACGTTGGGGCGGTAACCGAAGGCGTTGGTCGTGTTTGGGATGGAGAAGTCGTTCATCTGGTCGTTGAGGATGATGCCCGTTTCTGGGACCATCAGTCGCGAGCCGAATATCTGGTTGATGGTCGAGGTGGTGGATAGGACGAGCCCGGAGCTGTCGGCGGCGACGAAGTGCGATGTGCCTGGCGTTTCGAGGCTGGCGATTAGGGCTGGGTCGTAGTACTGTATGTCTTGTGGTTGGTCGAGGATCTTGCTGCGGATCTCGCCGGTCACGGCGTCGGTCAGCATCCGGTCCTGATAGCCGTCCATGCCGATGACGAAGGAGGGGTCGCCGATGGCGGTTCTCTGATATGGGTGTTAGTGTCTGTGGCCGGAGATGCTCGGACAGAATGTGCTGACCTGTGCGTAGGCGAACCGGAAGGCTTCGTCCAGTCGGTGGGTGGTGAGGTTGACTTGCTCCGGGTCTCCGATGTCATCGTACCCCTCGAGGATCTTGAGCACGCTCAGGCCGACAGCACCGCTGGAGGGCGCCCGGCCGGTCGTCAGACGATACCCTCTATACGTCGTCGATAGAGGTTCCTGTGTGATGGCGGTGTAGTTTTCCAGATCTCGCAAAGTCATGATCCCCCCGTCTTGCTGGATCGCTGCGATGGTTGTGTTCGCAATCGTGCCGTTGTAGAACGCACCGGGGCCTTGGACGGCGATTTTTTCGAGCGTATCTGCATACCGCTTCCGCGTCATGGTGTCGTTCAGCTTGACGCGTTGCCCGTTGGGGGCGAAGTCTTTGGCCCACGATGGATCGTCTACAAGGAAGCTGTTGTTCTCAACAGAGTCCATTCTCTGGACCAGGTCTTCCGACACCCGGAATCCGTCCCTGGCGAGGTTGGCGGATGGCATGACTACGTCTGTCCAGTTCAGTTTGCCCCAACGCTTGTGCAGATACTCCAGCCCCCGCAGTTCGCCGGGTATGGCGCTGAGCGCGCGGGCAAAGTCAGCTTGACCCAAGTCTTCCATTGTAGTGCTGGCACTCTTACGGCGAAAGTCCTCCCCAAACAGACAAGTTTGCGTTATGGTCGTACATGTTTTGCACCGCGGCCGCGGGCGCCGTCTCCCGGAAGTTGACGAACTCGTAGTAACCCTTGGGGCTGCGGACAATGCTGAACCCACCCCCACCGATTCCTGCACTGGTGTTAGCAACGGCTGTGTCCTGCTGCTCGCCTGGGAGCTGATCCATACCTGTGTGATACATTGCGACCACCCCTACGCAGAGGACGGTTCCCACAAGTGCATCGGCCGCTGATCCGTTCTGAGCAAGCAGGTCGATGCCAATCTTGGTGCACTCGGAACTCTCGCTGGCCACGGCACCGCGTGTTCCATCGGTCTCGAGGGGAGACGCCCATGATGACGGGGCAAGGGCGGCTGCCAACGCAAGGATGATAGTTTTGACAATCATTTTCTGTTGCAATGAAGTAGCAGAAGACGGGTTGCTCTTAATACACGAGGGGAGAGCAGAGTGCCTTCTTTATATGTAGAATACCGGAGCCATTGGCGGACGTCTTTTTTGCACTTACTCGTCCAGCTACTCCCGCGTTGCATCCCTTATCTTCCCGCAAGCTTCCATAAACTCTCCTTCTCTCCGGGTCCCACCACTTCAGCTGTCGCCCCTTCAACACCGAGGAAGTCGCCATCAAATCGGTGCAACGATCAAACGGTCCGTCGTTGCGCAATGCGCGGCACGGCGACATGGTCGGCGTCGGTATCTTTTTCATCGGCGACATGTCCCCGCCCGGGACGGAAGCCGGCTGCCTCTGTCACAGGGAGGGTATTGCAACAGAGGCATGCTAGCTGAAAGTGGTAAAAGGTCTTGCTCCGTGTGACCCTCGGGCCGGAAACCTGCACCCCACAAAGATGCACCCAATAAGAGCGCACTCAAGACCACGCCAGATATGCACTGGTCAATACCTGAACCCGAGAAGTAGGGCGCGGCCAAACTAAGCCTGGTTAGCTAAGTGCCCGCTGGGATGGGAGACTGTCCGCATCGGACCCCCCGCCGCCTGCAAACATTCCTGAAACGCATTGTCGCGCGTCCAAAATGCATCGTAAAGTGTAGACTCGGCTGCCTTTGAGAGAACATCTGCCCCGCCAGGATTCGGCCAGTCGAGATTCCTCATCTTCCCGACTCGCGGTAGCATGGCACGTTACAAGAAGTCTTCATCAAGTACTCGAGATATTTTCCGGCCTCTGAAGGGCCAATCAGCGCAAAGAGTGGCGGGTGGATTATGATAAAGCCTCGGGACGGCGAAACGACTTTAAAGGCAACCGGCTTAAGTCTAGCCAATAAAAACTCCCGCACGCCGCAATCACCCGACGGCGGCTCAGCTATCCAACTCAGGAACCTTGAATTCTTGGGGGGAACGCAAGCATCTTGTGAAGAGCTCTGGTCGCGTCACGCGCGAGTCGTGTCAGGGTGTTAGGCAGCCGCCGCTGACTCTATCTACTGAAACCCTGAGGAAAGGCTTATGAGAGGAGACTTGACTGCGGATAGGAGTTTCACATGACAGGAAGAAGCTTGGCTGCTCAAGCGCGGCACAAGGCGTAGATGGCGGAAGTGCCTTATGCACCAAAGGATCCGCAGACGGCGATACAGATGATCCAAATCGCCTACGCCTTCCATGACGGGATAACGTGAGAGGTTTCATGGTAACATCTCAGATGCGAATGGTGCCGTCGCTGCCGGTATTGATGAGGTGGGCTGTGTGCATGTTGAAAGGCACGTGGGCAGGTCGTGGAGGCGATGCTGCGGCTGTGCTGGACGAGGCTGAACGAGGCTGAACGAGGCTGAACGGCGGTGTCAGCACGTAGGTGGCGATGGAGCGCTTTGGGGGCTGTGGAGGATCGGTGTGGCCATGCGTGGGGGCCGAGAGATCCTATGACGTAGTGTTATTACACTTGGCTATGCAAGTGGCTTGGCCGGAATGCTGAGTGAGGCTGGGAAGCTGTTGCCTAAGAGTCTCATATAAGAAAGCGAACCACCTACGTGCTCCATGTCCAACATTTTCCTGCCCCGGCATATCTTATTCCAACAACCAAGTCACCCGCGACAACTTACGCGTCTACACAATATCCACTCAGCAACCCGAAAACTGTCCAGTATCGAAATGGGTTGCGGACCCTCTCGAGAATCCTCACGCAGGGAAAAATCGGCAGAAGGGCCTTTCGGTGTATCTGCGCCACGTGCTCCACGCCAACGGCAACAATACGGCAAAAGACATCATCGCCATTACGGTGGTGGTGGATACTTCGGCGGGGGGACAGCTGGCGGTGATGGCGGTGGCGGCGGTGGCGGTGGGTGCGATGGAGGCGGGGGAGGTGGAGGTGGAGGTGGATGTTAAGGACTCACTCCACACTTGCTTCTTCAACCACGCTTTTACCCGGTCTTCTGGGAATCTTCCACATACGCCAATATCCTTTCCTCCTCCCCACCTTTGAACGTCACTTGCATCGAGTTAAACCCCGTCAACCAACGAGGGACTCAGCATTGAAACGGCATTTTACCTGCTCGATCTCGACACGGTTTAATTATCGGATTACCCATACTATCATGTGTTAATCCATCACGACTATAATTCATCTTACGGCATATGCTATAGACTACTTCATTAAAGAAAGCATTCACTTCATCTTCTGATTACTAAGGGTCTCTCAGACTGCACTTGATCCAGTTGGCTCCCAGAAAGCGGACACTGCCTCGCCGCTCGATGCACCGGTGTCTTCCTCTGGAAATCGAGACACCATGAACCGGTAAACAAGTCTGGCTAGCCAAAAACATAAAGATGTGTTGTTCGTCGATTCAGTGACGTCGCTCACCGACATTGTGGGTTTGCGGCGCAGCATCTATGACTCGACCCAGGCAGAAGCGCGACTACGCTCAGTATATAACAAGACTTCCCCCATCGCTACTTAGCAAAACACCAACACTGCAAAGGGCACATGGAAAGAAAGAAAATGGCCTCCCGCGAAAAAGTCCTGCAAACCACCGAGCTACTCGAGCTCATCCTCTTCCACCTCCCGATGCGAGACCTCCTCCTCGCCCAACGCATCTGCAAACGCTTCAACGACCTCATCCGCCACTCCACCACCCTCCAACAAACCCTCTTCTTCCTCCCGCGCCCCGCATTACCATCATCCACCCCACCGGCCGCCACCACCTCGTCCCCGCCCCTCCGCTCCTTCGCCACCGGCGCCATCACCACCGAGCCCTGGGACCGCAACCCCCTCCTCACCTCCGCCTTCCCGCCCTGGTTCGACCGCGGCGTCCCCGCACGCAACCGCCCGCGCTACAATAGCCTCACCCGCCTCACCACCCTCCCCCTCGCCGCCACCCCCGCCGCGCGCGACGCCTTCCTCCGCCCCGACGCGTCCTGGCGCAACATGTTCGTCACCCAACCGCCACTCACCGCGCTCGACCGCCTCAACCGCGTGCACTCGATGGAGGGCGACGGCGCCAGATGGGGGACGCTGCGTTTCCCGCACGGCGTCACCATGGGCGTGCTGTACGACGCGACGTGCGAGGAGTTGCTGCCTTTTTATGACTGGGCGGTGGGGTTTGGCGTGCAGTGGCAGGGGGCGCGGGGGAGGGTGGTGCTGGTGGCGGAGTTTATTGCGCAGTGTACGGATGAGACGAGCGAGGAGGAGACGAGGGAGTGGGAGGGGTACTATAGTAGGGCGTTTCGGGAGATGCCGAAGATTGAGTGGGAGAGTAGGGGCGACGGGGGCCCGGTGGCTCAGGAGGAGTTGCTTTTGGATGGGGATTATGAGGCTGATGTTCCGTGGGAGAGGTGAGGGGGGCGGCCGCGCGGGATTGTGGGGAGGTCGCGTTGGGGATGGGGTGGTGGGAATCAGGCGGTGCGGCGGGCTGGTGGGTTCGCTGTTGTGTGTAATACGTTGGTAGGATTGGATTCTCTAAGCGTAGAGCCCTAGTGTTCTTTGTGAGTAAGGCCTTTTTCTGTTGGAGGCACGGCAGCCGGCCAATGTAGATTCTGGTGGGAGTGTGGGAGAAGTGTCTGGAGTAGCGGTGTGTCAGTTTGACGGGTACGGAGCCAGGAGCTGAGTGGAAATTGGAACAATTCCGGGCCTAGCGTTGATCCAACTGGTTTATGGGAATGTTGTGCAGCGGATGTTGAAAACATACTTGGCTGGAGAGACTGGGTTTCGTTCTCGTTCTCGCTCTCGTAGCAGAATTGGCTGGGATCGACGGCCTGTATTCTGATCATTTGACGGGCCTCCGAATGATTCCCGCAGAAGCTCGAACGCAGCCCGCCCCCGACCAAATCAATAAACTCAATGATGGTGTGTAACGTATTCGTCTTGGGCCAAGTGTTGAAAATTGTGGGTAACTCAAAATGCAGGTCCACTGTAGCTCCAATTCAAAGCCTGCAGTGCTGAGCGTGATAGTTGATCTAAACAGCATTGCTGAAGTCCTTTGGGACACTCCGAAGCAACTGGGATTTTCGAGGCACTCTCTCGGCTTGGCAGGATATCCAATAGGATGCTTGCGATGGTGTACTGTCTGATCCTGCCATCGTCATCCTGCCATGCACGTTCAAGCAGGTCTTGCTCTCCAAGCCATGTGGCGTGATAGTTTCTCAATGACAACGGGAACATGACAGAGTCAAGCTAAAGGAAGTAACCCATAGATCACACTTGTGCTAGAAGACGGGGTTCTTGTCTCGGAGTAATAATGTTTGGTTATGACATGCAGCTGAATCATCCCTTGCCTCGTTTGCTTTCTTTTTGGTAGCGACCTTTGATCCTGGGTTACGCTACTGTTGAATAGTGCGGGTGGAACACGGGCAGATGGAGATGAAGAACGTGGGGGAGTCGACGACCACGGTGTAAAGTAAAGACACCTATTCACAGTGAGTAAGAGCATTTACAAAAGACGACGCTGTTTGACAGTCACACATGCATTGGGGGACATACTTTCACCAATCGCATTCCACAACTGACACGATCCCGTACAGCAGAAAAGTCATTTTGGTGACATGGCTCAGGGCTTATTTTGCCACCTTGAAGCCACTGATCTAGCCACGCACCGTGCATTGAGTTCGATGGTCTGCTTACTTGTGCACAAGCCGAACACGACGCCATTTATGAAGGGCTAAGGAATATGTGATGCAGAGATGCGATCAGCGGCGGGGGCCCATTCTCAAGTGGATGTGGGCTGTCAGTATTCACAACGAAGGATTCTTTTGAGCACTCTGGAAGCAAGGGAGCCACGACTAAGCCCGTAGGTGACGAGAAATCGTGGCACTTTGGTAGCTTGGTAAAGGGGGCTTCGAAGCTAAAGATTTGCCGGATGGAAGCTTGTCATTTAGCAGCTTCTTTTCCAGCACCAGTAACTTTGATTTCCAGCACTGTCCGCTTAAATCGTAGTCAGGACTAAGAGGGAATTAATGTTGCGGTGGTACAGCTTGTCGGTCGGGAAGTTGGTGTTCGAAACTGCCGTAGCGCGAAATGTCGGGGCGGAGTTGAAGCCGCATGGCTAGAGCAAGGATGGCGCACCCCGATGCAAATCGAGTATAGCGATGGGAGGCCTTTGTTAATCTATCCTCTATTTTACTTAGTTTGTACCCACTGTTTAGATACCTGGGGCGGTGTGTGGCTGTAAGACAATAGCCGCAGCGGCGTTCAGATGTGCGGGGTAAGCAATAGGAATGGTTGACAAGGGGCTTGTGTCACAGTCAGATCGAGCTGAGGTGCCAGCCAGCCAATAGGAAGTGGAATCTCCAGAACGATCGCGTCGAGGGGGGCCGTTTCCAATCACCGACAGATGATGCTGTTCCACTCTTCGTCTGCCCTACGGCTAAGCATCCGCCAAGTTTGTCCACACCCATCCTTTTGGGAGCGCCACCTAGGCGGAGGGCCTAATGGACCATGGTGACGGTATGAAGACTCAGCTCTCTTGACGCGGCATAGTCGGAGCAGCACGTTGGGTATTTAAACTGGCCGAGACGACAGCTTCGAAAAACAACGAACCAGCAGCTCATCATCTACTCTCACAAGCATTAATCAATCCAACCATCCCACTGCTACAATGAAGACCTTCACCTACGTTTCCCTGTTCTTTGCCGGCATGGGCCTGGCCTCAGCTGTTGCGGCCCCGGCGGAGAATCTTGTCGAAAGGGCAATCCACGAAGGCGTTAGTTACAGTCCCACGTTGACGTTTTCTCTCGTGGCATCATCAGACTGACCGATATCACAGAAATGCAACAAGGAAAATGAGGTTTGCAACTACAAAGTCAATGGCGATAGCCGTCAGTGCAACTGCGGCGCTCCCACCGGCGGCCTTGTGAGTATTACCGGGATGATGTAGGGGCTGCGGTGACTGACAACGCTATAGTGCACCAAGACCGGCAACGTCTGCCACTGGAACACCAATGCGAACCCCGACAGGTGCAACTGCACTTAAACCGAGCAGCGAGACTACTAGTGGAATGGAATCTCAGGCCGTGTGGGCATGATCCTGGGCCCGTTCCATGTTGTGCTCGTCATCAGACGGGACCCGAGTGGATTTGATCGCGTCTCCTTGACAGCTGGCCAGCTGCGTCATTAGTTTAGTCATTCTCTCCATCCATTGAGTCACTCTCTATGCACCATCTCTGTGTGTGCTACGTGCGTGAGCGTGTATACCTGAATCTCAATTTGACATTCCGGGCGCTGGGTACGAGTGAAGCGTGAGGGAAGCGAACCAACACCATCTCTCGAAGACGGATGGTCACTGACTGAAAGCGTGGTCTTTGGGTTTTTGTCCCACTCGCTCCACACTCTGCGAATGCAGTCAGCACATGCATCGATTTCCGTGAAACGTGACTGTCTTCAATCAAGGTGATGTCCGTAAGAGGGAATTTTCACGCTGTCTGGAGTACTGGCCTTGCATGCTTCCCATTGGGCGAAGGCGTATAAAGGTGCCGGCCACTAGCCCGTACCATGGCGTGGTGGCAATTAGTCATCGGTTTTAGTGGAGACGCGGGCCTACCGTATAAGTACCCGATGATTCCGCGGGGTAGCCAGATTGCACCGCCGTCAAAGCGAACCTGTCATATTCTGCACCATGGCTGGACAGGGGGAACCCTCCCAATCCGACGCGAAGTCGAGGACATCAAAAGCGTGCGAAGGTACTCCTGGGCTTTCGACTGCGTCCATCTTCTCCTGCTCTTGATGCACTAATGGCGATGAAGAGTGTCGTCGTAGGAAACAAAAATGCAACGGCCTGACCCCTTGCAATGTGTGCTCTCGACGCGGCATCAGCCAGTGCAGATATCGTGGCTTCCTCAGAAACCGGGCCACAAAGGCATCCATGGCTGAGAGACGCAAGCAGCAACTACCGGCTCAAGCGGAAACATCGAGTCCATACGACACGGCATCTCACGCCACCGAGCGAGAGAGGACCAACACGGTTGACGAGATCGAGCCAGTGCCACTCCGGGAACGCATCTTCAACAATGTCCGGGCGACATATGCCGCACCCGAGTCACCTTCATGCTTGCTCCAGCTTTACTACGGGCCTTCATCAAACTTCTCATTCCTACAGCACATCCACTCGCATTTAACAGCACGACGGGCGTCACGCTCCATCAGTGATGGCAACGACGATGACCAGGGAATTGATAGATTCAAGTACAAGAGCATCGTCTTCGGAAGTGCGTCAAAAAAGGGCCCTGCCACCTCTCCGGTATTCCTCCACTACGAGCTGGCCCTGTCATTTCTGCAAAACTTCCTTTCGACCACCCACCACTACCTGCCGCTTCTCGATTCGGACCGGCTCTACGAGACATTCGAAAAGCTTTACGGTCGCAAAGGAAGGGGGGATTCCATTGAGCCTTTGGACAAAGCTGGCGTAATCGTCTCCATGGCATTGGGCGCCATGTCAACCGAAGAAGAATACTGGAGACAACGCCTCCTGACGCAGGCACGAACCGAATCCGAGTCAGTGCGCTACCACGTAAACGTGAAGGCGGTACAAGTCGCTCTGCTCATGGCCCACTGCGAGTTTGCAACCGGCCATCCAAACCTGGCATACCTTTCTCTTGGCAGTGCCGTCACCAAAGCTTTCGCTGCGGGGCTTCACAAGGGAGGCAGCGGCTCCGACAAGCCGGAGCTGAGCCATACAATGTGGAATTTGTTTTGCAATGAAAGCATCTCATGTCTCATGCTCGGAAGACCGTACCTGCTGGACCGGGATATCATCACTGTTCCCCTTCCGCAAAGGCCGTCGTTTATGGCGGCCCTGGTTCGACTCTGCACGACCATTCGGAACACACATCGGTTATACTTCCATCACGAGACCTCGACCATTGCCAACATGGTTGAATCTGCCCACGAAATCCGTCGGGAGCTCGAAGACTTCTCCAGCTGTATCAAGCAAGACGTTGGTGTGTGTATTGGAGAGTTGACTTGCCTAGTGGATGGAGAGAAGCTGGCGTGGCACGTCGTCACCAATTACCGTACGTTTCCGACTGGTTGTTTGCATAAAAGCTGACGGTAGCTTAGTGTATTTCTACACAATGATCCTTGCGTTTCGACCTTTGCTACTGCTGCAAGTTGAGCTCCAGAGGCCGAAAATCGCGGAGGAACAACTCAACGGCGAAACCGTGCCAAACACCAGCCATCACAGATGGCCTCTGCTACTCGACGCCCGAGAGCGCTGCATCAACGCAGCCCGATCCATCATCTCGTTCTCGGAATCCCTCTTATCAACAGTCACCGGCATACAAGTCCGCTCCCTCGCATCTCCTGCACAACCTCCCGTGTGCTGACCTCATATCAGAGCCTCTGCAACCACGGATATTTCCTCGAAAGCGCATGCTTCGTACTCGTTTTGGCAGCAACACACGACAGCGATGCCGCAGCGTGGTCCAGCCACATCCAATTCATCACTCGTGGCCTGGCGTCTTTGCGGAAGTTGGTCCAGCGAGAGCCCATACCCAGCGTGGTTGCCGCGCTGGAACGCATGCGTGCGAAGCTGGTTGCGGGACACGCGCTCCTGGAGCAATCAGCGACGCCGGAGCCGGTGCCCTTGCAGCAGGGTGACGCGGCTGATGTGCACTCTGGCCCTGCAGCCACGATGCAGATGGAAGACGTGGCGATGATGCCCGGCCTTCTTCCTGATCAGCAGAGCGGAGTGCCGCAAGGTGGTGGCGGCATCTGGACGGATGCGAATCAGGAGATGCTGGCCAGCGCCGCCGACGACAATGGCATTCTGGAGAATTTTGAACTGCCGAATATGGACTGGGGTATCGATTTCTCGTTGTTGGACGTCGAGGAGTTTGTTTCGGTCATGGGGATTCAGCCCGCGTTCAACAACTTCCATTAGCCGCCTCTGATAAGTTTTGGAAGCACATAACCTCCCCCAACATGGCACATGAAACCAAAGTGTTTGCAACAAAATCCAGAATTCGAACTATTGACCAAAAAGCCTGCTTTCACACAGACTGCTCGGGTTCAGAATGGCCGGCTGATTTCTGAAGAGAATCACTTGCCGCTGCGGCTATTGCTGAATACTTGCACTTCCTCCGGATTCTTTCGCCAAGGCGGTAGAAGAGAAAGGGGAACGGTAAGCACAGGAGCGAAAGGAAGGCCGGAATTGTCGACGCCCAATGGATACCTGATAGACACAGCGACGTCAGAGGAATTCAAATTGAACCATACGGACAGCGAATGTGGTTGCGTACCGAGACCGTCGTACATTTGCCGTGTGAAGAGCGGGAATACAGCTCCGAACACGGCCCTAAACACCGAGTTTGCGGCCAAGACGGATGCCGCGTAGATGGTGTATGAGTCCACAAGGTAGTTCATGATTGCTGTCCGGGAGTCAGCAAGATTCCATTGCTTATTCGCGTCGAACCTACAAAGAAAAACGAGAACCATGGCAAAGCCAAATGGCGCTCCGGCTATGACGCTTGGAGCCCATGGCAGCTCAGGGCCGTTGGTCCAGGCGAATATGAACAGGCCGACAGGGAGTGCCACTGCGCCCACCAGCCCCGGCGGCAACCGAGCCTCGGGCGGCGCTTTGCCGTTGTTTTCGTCCAGAAGGCGCATGTAGCGTGGGTTGTCGACCCAGATGTTGTACGCAACAGACGCCAGCATCCCGATTGCGACTCCGATGAAAGGAAGGCCAGCGACTCCGGGAGTCCAGCCGCGGTACTGCTGGTACACGATTGGATATGCACCAAAGAGCATGTAGAGCGTTCCATAGATGACGGCCATGTAGAAGCTCAACAGGAAAACAATGGGCTCTCGGAAGAGGAGGATCCAAGGTCTCGAGAGATTGGTGTACAGTGCATCCTTGAGAGATGCTGGCTTGTTCTCTGTCTCCGTCTCCGCTTTGCTCAGGTAAAGCTTCCCGGTCAGTCTGCTCAGCTCGGCTGCTCTGCGCCTCAGGAGAACTGGGGCATATGTCTCCGGTACCGCAAGCGAGACGAAGATCCAGACCACGCCCGAGAAGATGGTCATGACGCCTTGTATCCATCGCCAGCCTTCGATCTCGCCCAGAAAACCGCCGACTAAAGGACCAATGACTGCAGTCAAGTCTTAGTCACTCGTCTTGCCATCGTTGCCGAAGAACCAGCAAATGACTTACCAGGACCCATGAATGGCGCGACCGCGAAGATGCACATTGCAAACCCTCTATCTCTGATGTTAAAAATGTCTGCAATGACCCCGCCTGCGTTGGTGAATGGCGAGGCGCCAAAGGTCCCACCCAGGAAACGTAGTATCAAAACCGTTTCGATGTTGCGAGCAGCTGCCGTCCCCGCGTTGAAAGCAGTCAATGCCGCAAAGGTTGCAAAGAACACAACTCGTCGGCCGTACATCTCGCCCAATGGCGCCTGGAACTCTGTCAGCTGTGTTTGCTTCGAAGGGAGCTTTTTGTAATACCCATATCAGAGGCCCTATGCCAAACCCCAGTACGAACAGGGAAAGCCCCACTGTTGCCAGCTCATGGCTGGCGCCGAGATCCTTCTCGATACCTTCAAGACCTGTTGCACGAATCGTTCATTCAGCATGCGCTTTGGTGCCGAGTGAAGAAAGGATTTGGAGGTAGAGAAAGGATATGTGTGGTGTATGCGGGCCTGGGTTGGGTTCAATATCGAGCTTCTTACCTCCCGAGTATGCAGACGAACAGAAGGATACGCAAAGCGTAGTTGAAGCAACGCTGAGTGCAATAAACCACTTGTACCAGCTCTTCCAGAAAAGAGGATTGCCGGGGTCATTTACAATCCACTGTACGACGAAGGCGTCGCCTGGAATTCCGTTTCCATCGTACTGCCAGTTCAGGACAGCGGTAGTGACAGGCGCTCCGTTTGCCAACGCAGGTCGTTTCAGAAGGCGAGTTGGGCGAGGTTGCTTTTCGCCAAGTGTTTTGGGCTCGCCCATAGCGGCCATGCCAGATGCAGGCGCTGGACGCAATGATGACATGATGCAGGAATGACTCAGTTGTGTTCAGGTCCTTGCTGGTGTAGCACTCGGTTGAAAGTTGAGAAGGGCGGTTCAGAGCTGTGCAGTCCGGCCTGGTTGCGGATGGACTTCATTTCGAGCAACGTCGCCGGGCGACCTTGTGGAGAATGAAGATGGTAGTAGGAGCTCCAACTGGGAGTTGCGCGATATTACGGGCAGTCGGATGCGCGTTTCCGTTCCTAGCGTGTCAATGTGGAGTTACGGACTACCTGTTCGGGGAGGTGTCGGATGTATAACTTCTGGGCCTCGGCTATATAGACGCGTGAGGAGTCAGCGGCCAATCATGTGCTTGGATATATATCCGACCCAGAACGTATAGCCGACCTCGGTCCGCACCACGGCCCCCGTAGCGTGGAAGGCCTAAGCCCAAGGTTCTTCTAGGAGCCGGAAGTAAACAATCTAGGGAGACGACTAGTCCGTTCTTAATCTCAATCGAACGAAAGACCGGACCTCCTACGTAGATCCTCGAACTACTTCTAGGAGGAGGCTCCACATGGCTCGTCAGCGGGCCAAGGATCCACAGTCCGTTGCCCACCTAACGGCTGAACGGGAAGATGGGGCTTCATGCAATGTGGTACTGTTGTGCAAGGGCCGATGGATGCATATAAGAAACAGCGCCGGACTTTTTTCGACCACCACATTTCCTCCCCATCATTTCAGAGCGAAACTCGTCCGAAATCATGAACACTCTCTACGTACCCAGCACGGCCAAGGTGGCGTTCGTCAGTGGGGCCAACGGCATCAGTGGCCACGCCATCGTGGAGCAACTGATCCGGAAGCCCAAGACGGAATGGTAACTTGATCCTCGCACGCCTATAAACCCCTTGGCAGACCGAGCGGACTGACCGGCATATCCATTACAGGCGCAAGATCGTCATTTCGTCCCGTCGTGCTCTGCCAAACTACTGGATCGATCCTCGGATTGAATTCGTGGCCGTTGATTTCCTGGACGAGAAAGAGAAGGTTGCAGCAAAGTTGGAGCACGTCTGCAGAGATGTGACCCATGCCTTTTACACCTCGTACATCCACACGGATGATTTCCAAAAGCTAAAGGAAATGAACGTCCCTCTCTTCAGGAACTTCATTGATGTTGTGGATGCCGTATGTCCCAGCCTGGAAAGGGTTTGCCTCCAGACCGGCGGCAAGCATTACGGTGCTCACCTGGGACCGGTCCGGGTTCCCTTGACCGAGGACATTCCTCGCTATGACGATGAGGGCTTCAACTTCTACTACCCTCAAGAGGACTACCTTTTCGAAGTGCAAAAGAGGCGGGGCACGTGGTCCCACAACATCATCCGCCCCAATGGAATCGTCGGCTTCACCCCTCACTGTAAGTGCCCAGTTCTCTGCAGCAATCTGCGGCTCTTTGTGGCTGACATAAGCGTTATTTTTACCTCCGAATAGCCAATGGCATGTCTGAGGCATTGACTGTGGCTCTCTACTTCCTCATCAACAGGGAACTCGGTGGAGACGGAATGTTTCCGGGTAACAAGTACTTCTACGACTGCATTGACGACATGTCGTACGCTCCAAGTATCGCCGACATGTCCATCTGGGCGGTGACGCAGGATCACTGCAAGGACGAGGCTTTCAATCACACCAACGGTGATGTTATCGTGTGGCGATACTTCTGGCCCCAGTTGGGCAAGTACTTCGGGCTGAACGTAAGGAACCAGTGAAAGCATACTGAACCGACCTTGCTGACCGTCCACAGGTTGCGGATCCCAAATTCGAAAAGACCAAGGAGAGAGCAAACACGTTGGACAACGAAATCGACATGTACGAATGGGCAAAGGACAAGAAGCCCGTCTGGGAGGCGATTGTCAAGAAATATGGCGGGAAAGCCGAAGCCATCGAATGGGGCACCTGGGGCTTCTTCATGTGGGCGACCGGAAAGAGCTGGCTCACCATCGGAACGACCGCAAAGGCTCGCAAATTTGGCTGGGGCCGCATCGACGATACGTACGAGTCGTGGATCGAGACTTTCCGGTCTTTGGAAAATGCTGGAATCATTCCGAGGATCACGGATATCCCTGCAAGCAAGTAGGAGTGTGCGGGCAATGTGAATAACTCATGATCAACGGAGAGGGAAAGGGATAGAGGAAGCATAGATAGGAGGCGAGGCGACAACTCGAATCAAAGAAACGTAGCCGTGATTCGGTCGAGAGCCCGAGGGCTAGTTCCGATAAAGCTTAGACTGAACAGCAGAGCTTGTCTAGGCTATGGCATGTCCGTGTGTCCCTGGTCCGAAATGGCGAGTCAGGCACTCTTCTCCGTTGGTGCCGTACTTGGACCTTGCACCCTGCTCCACATGCAATCCTATATGAAGAGTCCATGGCGCCGTCACCTCGCTCCCCGCTTGTTGCTGCTTCCACACCGTCGAGAATGTGGACCTCTCTTGTCTGTCAGCTCCTCATCCTCTCGGGGGCTCGCGCCACCCGTACCAGCATCCCCCGAGCCTGCGATGAGCCCAGTGCTGCAAACATAGCCTGCGTGGCTCGGTACGACTCCGTAATGAACTACCCGTTCTCTTCCCTGGCGGGAGGAGAATCCACGACGACGACGACGAACTCCTCCTCCGACCTCTCTTCTCCTGCCGTTCAAAACGCGTCCTTCATCGTCTTCGACGCCCGCGGCCGCGAGATCCTCGGTGCCGCGCCCTCTCTGGAGCACATCTTCACGACGACCCCAGGCCTGATCCAAGAAGCCCCCGTCTACGTCCCGGAGCTGAACGCCATCATCTTCTCCACCTTCTCGCCCGACGTCTTCCCGCAATCCATCATCTACCTCAACGGAACCCAGCCCAGACTGTCCACCTTCTACGCCGACCCCCCAGTCTGGGGCGTGAACGGCGGGCGTTACCGCGACGGGAAAATATACTGGGCCGTGGCAGGCTCGGGCGAGGCGCAATCGCCGAACAAAACCGTGGGCCAAGCACCAGGAATCTACACGCTGGACCCCATCACGAAGAAGAGCAGCGTGCTGCTGAACAACTACTTTGGCGTCCAGTTCAACAGCCCAGACGACCTCGTCATCGACGACAACGGCGACATCTTCTTCACCGACCCCTGTAAGCCGCACTCCACACACTCACACACACACCCTTCTAACCCCACACACAGGGTACGGCTGGGCCATGGGCTTCGCCCCCACGCCCGCCCTGCACCCATCAACATGGCGGTTCCGGCCGTCGACTGGCGCCGTGTCCGTGGTCGACAACACGGTGGACCAGCCCAACGGCATCGGCATGGCGCCCGACGGCGCGAAGCTGTACATCACCGACACGGGCAACAACATCATCAACGCGTCCGTCACGGGCATCGTGTACAACTCGACCAACACGCACTGCGTGTGGGCCTTCGACGTCAACAGCAGCCCCGCCGGGAGCTGGTGCGGCAACAGGCGGCCGCTGTGGTGCACCGAGGCCGTCGGGCACGATGGGTTCCATGTTGCGGGGAATGGGTATCTGGTGGGGGCGGCGGGGACGGGGTAAGTATCAGGATGTTCCTGCCGGTCGGCTTTTTTTTGAACGAGGAAGGCTGACTTTGAGTGTGATAGGGTCGACGTCATTAGCGAGTGGGGAGAGCTGCTGCTGCGCATCCAGACGGACTTTACGGTGAACAATGTCCAGTTCGCTGGCCCGCAGCTGGACGAGCTGTGGCTGTTTGGGATGGGCAGCATATCGAGAGTTCAATGGAACTTGACCGGGATGCCGTATGCTAGGAGCTAAGTGTATACGAATGCCTTACGGAGCGCAGTAGAAATGCTGGCAGTGTTAAGTCCCCCATAGTTTAATAGGCCTAGAAGCACCTAATTTAATGCCACATGATGTGTTCTACGTACATTCATACGTGTGTTAGCCAATGAGAAAGAACGTAAAAGGCTAAGCCCTGCTTTTGAGTAGATCGTCCTCCGCATTGGAGCGCATGAAGAAGATCAATCTTGCCGGTTCCCAAATCTGCTAATGCCAATTGGCTCTCCATAGTGCTTCAGTAGGCCTGGAGCAGTCTCCGTTGTTGATACTGCATCGCCGTGACATCATCATACGCAGCCGGTGTGTTTTCGGTGACGAAGCGCTCAAGCGGGCCCACATTGGCCTGGCGATCGGCCTTGCAGAAGTAGGCAATCGAGTACCGCTCAGGGAGCACGCCGCTCTCCAGGCTCTTCAGATGGGCGGGCGTGGTGACGCGGTGTAGACCGGCGGGGATGAAACCGTTGGTCCAACGCTGAAAGGTCTCGCTGATGTTGACAACGAGCTCGCTGGGCGCGCCGCGCGTGACGGGTAAGAAGGCGTCGTTGCCGCCCCGGGTGCGGTCTTCGATCTCGAGGCCGCCGACGCTGTCTTGGAAGAGCAAAGTGATGACGCCAAGATCGTAGTGGGGCCATATCCGGCTCTTCTGCCCTCTCCGCATCTCCTCGACCGAGATGGACGGGTAGTGGTTCAGTCGGAACTCGCTGGCGTCGTTGCTGACCATGCCGCGGAAAGCTCCGGCCGGGAGATTCAAGGCCTCCTCGAGCGCGCTCAGGATATCGTCACTCACGCCCTTGAACTTCAGGAAGGCGGCCTCCATTTCTTCTCTGAAGCCTGGGAGCTCGGCCTCGGCTGGCCATTTGTTTGGATAGGCCGTGTCGGTTGTTGGACCCTGGTCGAAATGCTCCTAAATTCGTCGTTAGCGAATGTCTTCTCCTAATGTAGAGGAGCTCACTCTTGCATCTTGGCGCTCGGTATCGAAGCCATTGTTCTCCAAGCGTCCGAACAGCTTCGTCGTGTTCTCAGACCCAATGCGCGACCAGCCTCTCTGCGGCTCGGGCCCCGGAATGTGTGCAATCGCCGTCTTGGACTCCGGTGAGATTTTGAAAAACTTCTTGCTCTAGAGGAAATAAGCATGAGCGCCTGTGGACTGAAGCAGAGGATTCCAGGCTACGAACATGGCTAAACAGTCTCTCTACATCCTCTTCGGAGAAACCGTGGCCGGTGATCTTGCAAAATCCCGTTCGCGCCAGATCACCGAGCAACTTTGTTGTGAACTCATTACGCTTAGAAGCGCTGCCAGTGATGAAGTCGGACAGGTTGAGAGGTGCGAGATTCAAAGTCATGGCGTTTGAGCTTTGGTATGCTCTTTCTTCCGTCTGTGTCGATGGGTGCCGCTGGCTGTGATGCCGCTCGTCTGAATCATTTAAATGGGCGAGACCACCTCTCAGCAATCATCACGCCTTTAAGACACCATTATTCAATCGAAGTGGTGCTTCCTTACCGCTGAAGCGCTGAATATTCCCGTGTGCAGCGGATAATTCTTGCGGCTGCACAGTCGTGACTGATTTACGTAAGCCATTGCATATTATGGCATAGAATCACGTAATTGGCACTGTCATTACGTGCAAAGTGACACATCCATCACCAAATTGACCATAATGAGACTACCATCATCGTCTCTCTGTCGTTATGCACATTCCCGATCGAGGCGGTGCTTATTCTACGATGGTTTCAACACTCACTATTCCCCTGCCATCCCAATGAATCAGTATGTCTGACAACTCCCTATGCAGTTCACAGACATGGCATCGCCTAAAGCTCATCATGTTCCTTTCCGAGCACACATGACACACATGGGGGGCACGCGATAGTGTTGCACTATGACTGCTCATAGTCGAATAAATCGTAAAGCCCTGCGTCATCCGTACTAATGGGTCCTGTCCTGGTTTTTCCACCCGTGGATCCTACAACGAGGAAACCAAACTCCAGCAATACTCTGGACTTGTATCCGAAATCCACGTTTGAGTGTGTTGTTTGAAAGCATAGCACAGAGAAAGACAAGCACTTTATGATAATCAGATAATTTCTTTGTAGAGACAGTATAGCCCCGATCCCGACAGCCAAGCCTCTGCGCAGCAATCAATACGTCTTCTCCACCATGCGCTGATTGTACTCATGTGCAGTAACGTCTTCGTCGAACCGGGCCGCCTTGTGCTGCGAGAACTCCGGGAAGCAGCGAAGTGACGCATGGCGGTTCGCCTTCCCAAAGAACGCGACCGACGTCCTCGCAGGAACGACGCTGCTGCCGCACTTGACGTCTTTCAGCGCCGTCGGAAGGGTCACGCGATGGTTGACGGAGCATAGCTCGTCGTTGGTCCACCGTTGAACCGTGTCGCCGACGTTGACAATCATCTCCATCTTGCCCTCCTTCTCCGCCGTCACGGGCAGAAAGGTGCCCAGCCTCCGCTGATCCTCAACCTCCAGCCCGCCCGTAGAATCCTGAAAGAGGAGCGTGAACGTTCCAAAGTCCGTGTGCTCGGCGATTCGCGTCGTTTTCCCGTCCCGCAGTCTGTCAATGTCGACGCGGGGATACCTCGTCAGACGCAGCTCTGTCTCGTTGCGATTACATAGTGAGACCAGACGGCCGGTGCGGAGCGCGAGGCCCGTTTCGGTGGCGGCGAGGAGCTGCATGTGCATGAGGTGGCACTGCTCAAAGAAGGCTTCCATGAAAGTACGGAAACCTGGAATGTCCTGCTCGTCGGGCCAGATGTTGTCGAACATGTCGTCTTTGGCATTGCCTTGATCGAACGTCTCCTGTCCCCCATGCGTGTTTGCAAATGGCTGAATTCATGTCCAAGTTGCGGGACACTTACCTTCAGGTCGTTTACCTGTGGAGGATTGGTCACGTTCTTCTGGAAACCGGTGATACCGGCGAGCTTCTCCTTGCCCAACTTGCTCCAGCCTCGATGAGGGTTCGGTCGCTGCGGATGCTCGCACTTCAATTTGCATTCTTCGGAAAGATCGAAGAACTCGTCGGCCTGGGAAGAGCGTAAGATTCATTTTCAAGGAGGCAGGCGTAGAAACTCGCCCGTTCGAAGATTTCCGCAATCATGTGATCGGGAACGTCATGATTGATGAGCTTGACGAAGCCTTGTGATTTGAGTGCCTCGATGAAACTCTTGCAAAACGCTTCGGACTGCGTCTGATCCCCCCTAGTGAAAAGCGAAAGATCCAACGTCGCCAGTGTCATCGTTCGGGCGCACAGTGGGTGACAAGTTCAACGGGTTCGATATGGTCTGTCAGAGGCCAGTGATAGAAGACTTAACGCTTCGAGCCACGCCTTCAGTCAGCACTCCCAAATCTACATCAAATAAGCGTATTAGGTTAATAAGTGATCAAGCAAACAAGCAATCCATTTTTCCAGCAATCAGAATGAGCAAGAAACAACCTTTTGCTTATGAATTAATTTTCTGCTTTGTTGTTGAGCACCCCGAGCATATCTTGGATGTGGTATAATTTTAGTAGTACCAGCACGTAAGTTGGCGTCACCCATTACGTGAGGACATCTGTCAATGCTACCCCTGCTGTTGAACGAATCCTGCGAGTTTCTTGGGAAAATTGAGCTACGATAAGATTGCAGTACTTAAAATTGTCTACTCCTCATCGTCGCACCATTCACGTGCTGTTTTGTTTGGGAATCACCGAGACGAACACGTCAGCAACAATCGGACTTCCACCTTCCTTGCACCGAGCCTGCCAAGAATGGAAGCGTGCATTTTCCCGGCATTGGTGCCATGGTCCGATGGCACTACCGCGCCGTCACGAAGGAGAGCAGCGGAGGTCCCGCGCATGGACTTGTCCAACGCATTCGAAACGTACAGAAAGGAGAACATACCACCGGCGGCTCTACTCCGCGCAGCCTGGGCAATTTTGCTTCAGAAGTATGCCAACACTTCCGACATTTCCTATCTTCACGACGCCAATGGCTATGTTCAGGTCGAAGCTTTCTCATGCAACGCTTCGACCACAAGCCTGGATCTTCTCCACATTCTTTCAAAATCCACGGGAGAAGACAGGGCAAGCCTCACGGAGCACGATGGCCTGAACAACGAGGTGTTATCCAATACCGCAATATTGGAAAATGTGCCAGAGCATGAAGATCCGAGGGTAGGCCGCTGATGAACATCCAACTTGACTGCGATATGACGCTAAAAACAGTGCAGGAGGAGATAATACTTCATGTGGACAGTTGGACACAGCCATCCAAGCTCACGCTTCATTTCTGGGACAGGGTGCTCTCGGAACAAGCCGCGCTTCGGGTGGCCGACACGTTTTCAACCGTTTTGGAAATACTCGCACGGAACCGATCGGTCAACGTGATGGAAACTTCCATCATCAGTTCTAGAGACAGTAGGCAAATCATGGATTGGAACCGCGACGTACCAGTGAGAACTGCACAATGCGTCCATAACCTACTGGCAGTGCAGGTGAGTACTCAGACTACCAAAGCAAATCAAGAATCCGACCATTAACAATTACCTTAGTTTGAAGAGATACCGCACAATCAAGCCATCCAGGCGTGGGATGGTTGTCTGACGTACGCGGAGCTTGATCGGCTGTCTGACCGGCTTGCTGCTCGGATGCAGGACCTCGGAGTTGGCCCCGAGGTTCTGGTTCCGCTATGCTTCGACAAGAGCATGTGGAACGTCGTGGCACAGATTGCGGTGCTGAAAGCGGGTGGCGCGTGCGTCTCAATTGACCCCAAGACACCTCTTGACCGGTTGAAGGCAATACTGGACGATGTTAAAGCAGGTGTTGTCATCACGACCCCAGCGCACCGAGACCTTTTCCGAGAGGCTGTCGGCGAAGTGGTTGCCATTGCACCAGAAACCTTTGAGCAGTGCTACGAGTCTCGTTCTGGCAATGTCAAATCATCTGTGCAACCAACGAACGCGGCATTCGTGGTATTCACATCTGGAAGCACCGGGAAGCCGAAGGGCATCGTGACTGAGCACCACGCTTTCTGCCTGAGTGCTCATCATCAAGGCTTGAGAATGGAATTCGGCAGGCATTCCAGAGCTCTGCAGTTTGCAGCGTACACATTCGACGTGAGCCTACACGACGTCTTCGTCACTCTGATTCACGGAGGCTGTGTCTGCATTCCGTCAGACGAGACGAGAAGCGGCAATCTCTCTGGATTCATTAGGGAAGCCCGGGTCAACTACATGTGCCTCACGTCGACAGTCCTTGGACTTCTGGAGCCTTCGGAGATTACTGAAGTTCAAACAGTCGTTGTTGGCGGCGAGCCAATGCGGCGTGAAGATATCGAAACATGGGCGGGGGAGGTCAGGCATCTCGGCAACGTCTATGGCCCTGCAGAATGTGCCGTGTGGTGTCTGTACAATGGTGGCCTGCCCCCCGGGGCGGATCCGACCAACATAGGGCGGGCGATGGGATGCTGTGCCTGGATTGTCGATCCAACAGACCACAACAAACTCTCGGTTGTGGGTTGCGTGGGTGAGTTGCTGATCGAGGGACACATCCTGGCTCGAGGCTATCTCAATCAGCCAGCAAAAACCCAAGAAGCCTTCTTGAGCAGTCCACCCTGGGCTCCGACGCGCACGACGCCCACACGCTTCTACAAGACTGGCGACATGGTGCGCTACAACGACGACGGATCAATCAGTTTCGTCGGCCGTCGCGACTCACAGGTCAAAGTCAATGGCCAGCGTGTGGAGCTCGGAGAAATTCAGTTCCATCTCAAACGATGCCTGCCATTCGTGCGAGACGCCGCGGTCGAGGTCATCCAACCAGGAGGCGGGAAGCAGGTTCTCGCAGCCTTTCTCGAACCGGAAGCCTTTGATATGGACCGTGAGACGTTCAACTGCGAGATCGAAGCCAGCCGCGACGCCTTCCAAACCGCCCTGCCCGAGTACATGATCCCCTCGCTTTTCCTGCCCGTGGAAAAGCTTCCACAGACGGTTTCCGGGAAGCTCGATCGGAAAGCGCTGAGAGAGCGGGGTCACTTGGTGTCTGGGCCAGCGTTCGACAGTGCGGTCGATGTCAATGGACCAGAGAAGCAACCTAAAACCAGTGCAGAGGAGCGTCTTGCCAGTTTTTGGGCTACCGTGCTCGGCATCGCTGCGCCAACAATCTCGCCCGATGCCAACTTTTTCCGAATGGGTGCAGATTCGCTGGCAGCGATGAAGCTCTCCGCAGCTTGTCGGAGGAACGGCCTGCTCCTGCCATACGCAGAAATCATGCGGCGGCCTACGCTCTCTGCCATGGCGCTCGCCGTGTGCAACGAGCAGAGCGTGGCATCGGTGGCAGCGGTTGATCCTCTGCCCTTCTCTCTACTGCATGAGGGACTGCATCTCAAACAGGTTCGCGCAGAAGTTGCAGCGCAATGCGGCGTGCACGAAGACGACGTTGAGGACATGTATCCCTGCACTCCGCTGCAGGAAGGGATCGTGGCACTGTCCCAAAAGCAACACGGCACATATGTCGGCACCCACGTGTTCGAACTTCCGTCTCACGTTGATTTGGCCCGGTTCAAAGCGGCTTGGGACCATCTTGTGGCCTGCGTCGCCATTCTCCGCACGAGAATCGTCCACTGCTCTGCAGGGATCATGCAGGTCGTATTGAGACGAGGCCCAGACTGGAGAAGCTCAAACCACCACGCATCTACTCTCTTCGAAGCAGATGGAGACCATTCCATCTTTGGAAAGGAGCTGTGCGGGTTTTCCGTTGCGAGGCAGGATGGGAAAGACTGCTTTTTCTGGACCGCCCACCACGCCATATACGACGGCTGGTCTCTGGACAACATCTGCAAGCAGCTGAACGACCTCTACCACCGCGTCGAACCAACAACACCAGCTCCTCAGTTCTCAAGGTTCATTTCGCACTTGCAGAGTGCCGAGGTGAAGGGCATGCGTAATTTCTGGGAGGGCGAGTTGAACGGCTGTTCTCAAGTGCCGTTTCCGTCGCTCCCGTCTGTAGGCTACGACTCTCGCACAAATTCATTCGAGACGCACATGATAACCACACCAAGAATCGCTCACGATGCAGTCATTTCGATGCGGATACGCAGTGCCTGGTCCCTGCTGATCGCCGCGTATCAAAACTCCGAGGACGTGGTGTTCGGAGCCACTGTGTCGGGAAGAGCTGGCGTTGACCCCCAGATCATGGAGTCTATGATCGGCCCAACCATGACAACCGTTCCAGTCCGCGTGCTTGTCGACAAGAACAAGAGTGTTGGAGAGTTTCTCGACGAAACCAAAGAACAGGCCGTGAGGATGACCCGATTCGAACACGCCGGCCTTCAGAGCATCAGTCGATGGGGCGAGGACTGCAGGACCGCCTGCAGCTTCCAGAGTCTTGTGGTTGTGCAACCGCAGCCGGAGGAGCCCGGCGTCAACGACATCTTGCGACACCCGGGGGCTGACGATATCCTCGCCAGGGGGTACGCGCTCATGCTGGAATGCCAGCTCCGCGATGACGGGGTTCTTGCCAGGGCCAGCTTTGACACAGAGGTACTCGATGCGCTCCAGGTCCGCAGGATGCTGGCGCAGCTGGACGGTTTGATGCAGCAGCTCAGCGCTTCTGATCCGTCTCGACCGATCGGAACCCTTACGTCGGCTAGTCCTGAAGACGTGGCGACCGTTCTGTCGTGGAATCGGGAGCGACCCTTGCCAGTGGAGCATTGCGTTCACACCGTCGTCCACGAGCAGGCGCTCAGGACCCCTGATGAGATGGCAGTGTGCGCGTGGGACGGACAGCTCACCTACCGCATGCTGGATGAACTGTCCTCGTCCATTGCGCGCCGTTTGAAGGAGGAGTACGGACTGGGGCCCGAACAGTTTGTTCCGTTGTGCTTCGAAAAGTCTCTTTGGTCCGTGGTCGTCGAGCTGGCGACGCTGAAAGCTGGCACCGCCTGCGTTTCGATTGATCCGGCCCACCCTCTGTCTCGACTGGAGCAGATCATGCACGATGTCGACGCTACCGTCATCATCACCAGCCGTCTCAACGCCCATCTGTTCGAAGCTCAACGTCGAAGGGTCATCATCGTCGACCAAGCATTTGTCGACGCCACCCCGCGCACTGCGAGCTATTCGTGCTCGGCCGTCCGTCCTCACAACGCGGCATTCGTCGTCTTCACCTCAGGCTCCACTGGGCGGCCCAAGGGAATCTGCCAGGACCACGCGGCCTACTCCTTGAACATGCTGCTGCAAGGGCGCGTGCTCGGGACCGGGCCTGGCCGGCGGGTCCTCCAGTTCGCAGCCCACACATTCGACGCTTTCCTCAGCGACGTCTTCACCGCACTCGCGTTCGGCGGCTGTGTCTGCATCCCCTCGGACGCGGAGAGGCTCAATGACCTTGCGGGATCCATCGCCCGCCTGCGCGTCAACCAGACCCTGCTGACGCCGAGCGTGGTCAAAACGCTCCGTCCGGAGGACTGTCCGTCGCTCCAAGTGCTCATCTTGTCCGGGGAGCCGCTCACTGCCGAGAGTCTGCGGCTCTGGGGAGACAAGACCCGCCTGATCAACCTGTACGGGCCCTCTGAATGCACCATCTGGGCAACGTACCGCGACAATGTTGCTGCGCGCTCCGATCCACGCAACATCGGCCGCGGTGCTGGAGCCCTGATCTGGGTGACGCATCCAGAGGACCCCGACCGCCTCACAGCCATAGGCGCAGTCGGCGAGATGCTGATTGACGGCCCTGGACTCGCAAAGGGCTACCTCAAAGATGACGAGAAAACAGCAAAGGCATTCATCCCAGCCCCGTCGTGGTATCCCGCGCGCGAGACCTCTCCCGGACGCGTCCTGTATAGGACGGGTGACTTGGTCCGCTACAACGCCGACGGAACCATCTGCATCATTGGCCGGCGCGACACTCAGGTCAAGATCCGCGGCCAGCGGACCGAGATCTCCGAGGTGGAGCACCATGTGAGGCAGCACATTCCGAGGGCCGTGGGCGAAGTCGGAGTGGAGATGATCCACTCGGCCGACGACAGTAGCCTTCAAGTTCTGGCGGCGTTTGTAGCGCCCAAGCTGCCTGATCATCCAGACTCGCGGCAGATGCAGACGCAGTTTGACAGCATGACGGAAGGGATTGAGGCAAAGCTGTCTCGGACCCTTCCCCGCTGGATGGTTCCGTCGGCCTACATTTTGATGGAAACTCTTCCGGTTACCATGCATGGAAAACTGGACAGAGCGGCCCTGAGGAGATTCGGGTGTGGCTTGACCACTAAGGATCTTGCACGTTCCATCGCTGGCGACAGATACGTCAAAGAACTTCCGACAACAGCCAACGAGAAGGCGCTGCAAGAGCTGTGGGCCGAAGTGTTGAACCTCAGCAGGGCAACCATCGGTGTGGAGGATCATTTCATACGGCTCGGTGGAGATTCCATCCGCGCTATGACGCTCGTAGCGCTGGCTCGTAGGAAGCAGTTTGTGCTGTCCGTTGCTGATGTCTTCCGCTGTCCTACCTTGCGCGAACAATCCGAGATGCTCAAGCCCGTTGATACCGAGACCACCGTGGCTTCCAAGCAGTCGTTCGGTCGGGATATTCGAAGCGAGGTTGCAGAGTCTCTAAACCTGCCGGTAGATGCTGTACAGGATGTCTTCCCCGCCGCACCAATCCAGGAGGCATTGATGACGCTCACAGAAAAGCAAACTGGCGCCTACACCAGCAGGTACCTGTTCCGATTACCCGGCACCATCGACCTGGAACGATTACGGACCGCATGGGCTCAGGCGATCCAAATGCACAAGATTCTCCGCACAAGGTTGGTTCAAACAAAAGCACACGGCCTCGTGCAAGCAGTTTTGGCAAGCTCGCTCCGGTGGGAAACCATCTCCGACTTGGACGCATATGTGAAGATGGAAAACGCGATCCCATTTGGCTTTGGCTCAGCCCTCGTACGGGTCGCAGTGAGCGAGGAGGATCAAGACGATAAATACCTTGCATTCACGGCACACCACGCGGCCTACGACGGCTGGTATCTCTCCCGTCTGTTTGACGACGTCAGTGCCCGTTACCGCGGCTTGGAGGTTCCGCCACCTGTTGATTACTCCCGGTTCATCCACTACCTGTCAGACCTGCCGTCATCTGACTCAGAAAAGTACTGGAAGAAGTCGCTGGAAGGCGCCGCATCACCATCGTTTCCCTCGCCACCAGATGCTTTCTATGTGCCCATGCCTTTCCGGAAGTTGAGTCGTAAGCTGCGAGTCCGTCCGCATGCTTTATCTTCGGCTACGATCGCGACCGTGGTGCAGACGGCTTGGTTGTTGATCGTCGCCCGGCAATCCGAAGCGGATGAGGGGACCTGTGGCATCGTCCTTGCCGGACGCAGCGTCCCGGTGGCAGACATCGAAGCCGTCGCGGGGCCAACCATCACCGCCGTGCCATTCAGAGTCTGCTTCGAACGAAACGACACGCTGGAAAGCCTTCTGCAGAGAGTGCAGACGCAGAACGCGGAGCAGATGCAGCACCAGCACCTCGGCTTGCAGAACATCAGCGTGCTGAGTCCGGACGCCCGCCGTGCTTGCTCGTTCCAAACCATCATCACCATCAACCACGGCAGGCTGGAGCCAGACCAGGCCGTTCTCGGGAGCCTGGTCAGCGACGAAGCCACGGACAACTTCTACACGTACCCGCTGCTGCTGGAGTGCGATTTACACGGCGATTCGCTCGAGATTCGGGCAACGCACGACGAGAAGATGATATCCCACACTGCCATGACGCGCATCTTGCAGCAATTCGATCACGTCATCCAACAGCTCTGCACCCTGCACGACGACCAGCGTGTCTGCGACCTCGAATTCGCAAGCCCCGAAGAGACTCGGGAATTGATCTCCTTGGCCACGGTACCACCAGCTGTCGATGACTGCATCCACCACATGATACACCGGATGGCGCTTTCGCGGGCCAACGAGCTTGCCGTCGACGCCTGGGACGGTGCCATGACTTACGAAGAACTGGACAGCTACGCATCGAGAGTAGCCAGCAGGCTGCAGAGCAGGGGAATCCAGCGCGGCGACGTCGTCCCCGTATGCTTTGAAAAGTCCAAGTGGGCTATCGTTTCGATGCTCGCCGTGGCAAAGGCCGGGGCCGCCTTCCTGGCCCTCGACAGCTCCCATCCTCGGGAGCGTCTGCGCACAATCGTTGCCGCTGCGAGCCCGAAGCTGATAGTCTGCTCGCCCACAAAAGCTTCCGTGTGTGCTTCGCTAGCCCGGTCGATTCTCGAGGTCGACGGCGCGTCGGTTGCGGGAATGCTGGAGGTTTCCGACATGGCGGCGGCCGCGGCGGTCCTGCCCAGCGACCCCTTGTACGTGATTTTCACGAGCGGCTCGACCGGCACGCCCAAGGGGACGGTCATCTCGCATTCGGCGTACAGCAGCGTGGTGGAGCACCACAGGAAGGCGCTTCACTTCCGGCCCGGCATCCGCGTGTTTCAATTCTCTTCTTTCGCGTTCGACGCCAGCATCCTGGAGATCGTGACGACGCTCGCGGTGGGGGGCTGCGTGTGCGTGCCCTCCGAGGATTCCAGGGTCAACGACATTGCCAGCGAGATGAACCGGATGTCGGTGCAGTGGACGCTGCTGACGCCCTCGGTGGCGGACTTCCTGGATCCGGACCAGGTCCCCGGCCTCGAGGTCCTCGTGCTCGGAGGAGAGCCCATGAAGGCGTCGCAGCTGCAGACTTGGGCGGACCGCGTTAGGCTCATCAACGCTTTTGGCCCCAGCGAGTGCTCGGTGGTGGTGCTCGCCAATTCCAACCTGTCCACGTCGTCTTCGCCCTCCAACATCGGCCAACCGGTCGGCGTAGCGTGCTGGGTGGTCGAGCCCGACAACAGTGATCGCCTGGTGCCATTTGGTACAGTTGGAGAGCTCCTGGTCGAAGGCCCGACTCTGTTCACCGGCTATCTAAACGACCGCGTCAAGACCTCGACAGCCTTGGTCGATGATCCGTCCTGGGGCCGGCCGGCCGATGATGCTTCTCGACAATACCGACGCCGGCGACTCTACAAGACTGGTGACCTGGTAAGGTCCTTGCCGGACGGCAGTCTCTCGTTCGTGGGCCGCAAGGATTCGCAGATCAAGCTGCATGGCCAGCGCACCGAGTTGGGCGAGATTGAGGCGCACCTGCTCTCCTGCCCCGACGTCGGCAACGGTCTTGTTCTTTTCCCCAGAGCGGGACCGTTCGCGGATCGCTTGGTCGCTGTTGTCGAGCTGCATTCCACACCGCCGCGGGAAGAGGAGCATGGGGAGGACGAGATGGAGCTCCTCGACTCCTCGGGCAATTCCCTTCTTACGTCAGAGCTGTCCAAGACAAGAGATGAATTGGCCAGGAGCGTGCCGCTATATATGGTGCCGGGCCTGTGGGTCGTTGTGAAGAGGGTTCCAGTAACTTCGACAGGAAAGCTGGATCGCAACCGCGTGTTTCGTTGGTTCAGCGAAACCCCGCCAACAGAGACTCAGATGCGCCTTGCCAGGAGCGACGCTACTCAAGCACACCAACCGGAGACGCTAATTCAGAGGGAAGTGCAGAAAGTAGTTGCGACTGTGCTGAAGCTGAGCCCCAGGCTGGTAGACATGAGCAGCTCTATTCTCAACCTCGGCGGAGACTCAATCTCGGCGATGCGCATCGTCAGCTCCTTGAAGGGCATCGGCATCTCAACTTCCTTGCATGACGTTTTACGTTCTCCGAGTCTCTACAACCTATCCTCATGCTCGAAGTGGATATCCGAACAGCTTCCTAACAACGCTGCAAAGTCCACCTCTGACTTGTTTGGAGCAGTTCGGCAAGGCCTGGTGGACGCTGTCATGAGGCTTTCGGCCTCCGGAATTGATCCACGGCTGATTGAAGATGCTTACCCCTGTACTCCGATGCAGAAGCATTTCCTCTCAAGCCAAAACCAAAACCCCCAAGCCTACCGGTGTGTCTCCATCTACGAACTTGAGCCTCAGCCCGGATGGCCTGTCCCGTCGGTGGAGCAGGTATCACGAGCTTGGCAGCACGTCGTTCAACGTCATACGATCCTCAGGACATTGTTTGTGGAAGGCATTCGGGACCACGAAGCCATTCAAGTCGTCCTCACTCATGCACCACATGACGAAGTCTTCCGGAGCATCCAGTGCAGCTCTGCTGGCTGCGGTGCGGTGGAGGCTGTTTCGCAGCTTGAACATCCCCAATTCGATAGTCCACAGCTGCCACACCGTCTCACAATTTGTCATGACGAGCACGGGTCCCTGTCGCTGAGACTCGACATCAGCCACGCCCTGACCGACGGGCCGTCCCTCCTGACAATCCTAAAAGACCTCGGCGCCCTACTCGAAAACGACCAACGCGCACAGCAGCACACGCGGACACACTCGCCGCCGCCGTCACCATACGGCACATACGTAGAGTACCTCCACGCCCGCGACACCCACGCCTCCATCACTTTCTGGAAACACTACCTCCAGCAAACACCACGCTGCATGTACCTTCCCCCCCGCCCCACGCACGCGTCGACGACCGCCGCTCCAACCCCGACATTCGCAACCTACAAGTTCCACCTGCCCCAAAGCGCCGCCGCACTACAACAGCTCTGCCAGTCGCTCTCGGTCACCACGTCGGCCCTATTCCGCGCCCTGTGGGCGCTCGTCCTGCGCAAGCACGTCGGCGCCGACGACGTGTCGTTTGGGTACCTGGTGGCGGGCCGCAATATGGATCTGCCCGACCAGGCGCTGCCGCTCGCTGGCGTCGTCGGCCCCGTGCTGAATCTCGTTCCGTGCCGCGTGCGCGTGACGGCGGCGACGACGACGACGACGACGTTCGCCGACGTCGTGCGCCAGATGCAGGTGGATGGCGTTGCTGCGGTGATGGAGCACGGCTTGGTTTCTTTGCCTGAGGTGATGGCGGGCGGTGAGGGGTTGCCGTTTGATACGCTGCTGAATCTGCGGTTCTTTGATGACGGAGGTGAGGGTGAGGAGGGCGCTGGGTATGCGTTTAGGGATGCTGGCGGGGAGGATCCGATGGATGTAAGTTGATTCGAATCTCTTCTTTGGATGTTGTTTGGGTGGCGGGACAATTGCTAATTCTTTCTTGAACCTCAGTACGCATTGGTGCTTGCCGTGCAACAGGACGGAGAAGGCCGCTTTGAGATACACCTGAACTACTGGGAGCCATGCGTAACTGAGGAGGATGCACATGATATTGCCACGTACATGAAAGCCCTGCTGGAAGAAATGGTGCCGTAGTGTCACTTGGTCCGTCATTGGAGGAGTGTTGGAGTAAATCATCCTTTCAGAAGAATGGTGATGACATGGACGTGACAGTTTAATTACATAGGTTTATGCAATTGATTTTTCAATTCTATCACGTGCTACGCCATTGTCTTAAATGACTTGGACAGTTGGAGGGAATGCAGGATCGGAGGGAATATGACAACAAGGATATCCTACACTATCGTCGCTTGCTGGCAGTGAGTGATATCCGTGATGGTGCACAAATAATCTACATTGTTGTTTTCCAAGATACTGACATTGGAAAAGAGAAGTGACACGATGACGTGATAAGGATCAGACGAGACATAACAATAGCTACTTCTCCGACAACCGGAGTAGGTCTCAAGCTGAGCGAGGTTTGCGTCACATCTTTAAGGCGTGATCTTCGATTCCAGCGGGGAAGTGGCAATGGGGTAGCCCTCAACAAAACAATGAAGTCCAACGCAATGCTCGTTTAGCTCGACAGTGCTCTGATAAGAAAGTAGAGGACCGGAATGCTTCCGGCTATCTTTCCTCCGTCAGCAGATTCTCACCGAGTCCTTTGTGATAGGCAGCAGGATCGTAGCAGGACTTCTCGTAAAGGGATCAATGGGCCGCGGAGGTTTCCAATTACAGTCAATGCCCGAACACCCAATGTCACATCATCCAAACGATTGCTAGCCTAAAGGATCGGAGGATTCTTGCGAAAAGCGTAGTTTCATGCCGCAGCTTGGCATGAGGTTACGCAGGAAGACGGGGAGCCTCGTAAACGGTGCATTTTGCCTGAATGTTGCCGCCTGTCTGGACCTCTGCTAAGGGCCAGCCACAAAACGTCATCGCGGACCAGATTGCGTGTTGTTGTATGCGGGTGGGTGCCGCTGTGGGGCCTCACTGAACCGTGGTCGTTTTCTGACGGGCAGAGGAATATGCAGCATACAATCATCCAATGTCCGATGTGCGCTAATTCCCGCACTTCACGACAAGTAATTGCAGTTACACCAACGTAAGAAACTTGCAGATGTTACTAAGGCCTATGACGAGATTTCTACACCGCATGTGTCGGAGTTGGAGACTAACCGCACATGTCGGAGTTCAAACCTCGTGTGCAAATGCCGTCCTCTCTAGTGCGAACTCCGACGCCCCGCTTCAGTGAGTTCAACTCCGTTTCTTTGACTGGACGGCATGCTCTCTAGCACATATGCTGGCGCACTGACAGGATTTTGGAAGCCCATAGTCTCCTGGTCTCACAGACTTCCCAGTTGTCTCGAGACTACAGTTACAACAACAACAACCCCAGACACTGCGTCTTGCTTCATGGGCGAGAATACGGAAAACAGCTTCGGCCGAGGCGATGACGGCGGCGACTCTGAATACTTGGTAAGCCCGGGCCAGCATCCCCGCAGTGCTGACAACAACCTTCTCATCCAAACCAACAGGTAGACTGGACCGGCGACGACGACCCGGGGATGCCTCAGAACTGGGCATTGCGTAAGCGCTGGACCGTCACGCTGTCCATGTCGGCGTTTTCACTCGTCGCCTCGGTGTCAAGCTCCATCGTGGCGCCCTGCCTGCGCTCCATTGCCGAGGAGTTCCGCATTGGGGGCGACTTCGAAGCCCAGATGGTGCTCTCCAGCTTCGTGTTGGCGTGGGCCGTGGGGCCCCTGTTCCTCGGAGCTCTGTCCGAGATGTACGGGCGCATCTTGGTGCTGCAGGCGTGCAACCTGTTCTTCCTTGTCTTCAATCTCGCCGGCGGATTCGCCCGTTCGAAGGAGCAGCTCATCGTATTCCGCGTGCTGAGCGGCCTGGGGGCAAGCGCTCCGACTGCCGTGAGTAGCCGGGTCGACTTTTGCTGAGGCCATCGACGCTGACGTTGTTAATCGGCAGGTTTGCGACGGCGTTGTCGCGGATCTGTGGCGCGAAGACGAGCGCGGCCTCTCGATTAGCGTGTACAGTCTCGCTCCGCTGCTGGGCCCGGCGATAGGCCCAATTGCGGGCGGTTTCATCGACCAGTACGTAGGCTGGCGATGGACCTTCTACGCCACAAGCATCGCGGCCGCCGTCGTCAGCGTTTCCGGCGTCATTTTGACCGAGGAAACGTACGGACCCGTCCTCCTCAGACGCAAGGCCGCGGAACTCCGCCGCCGGCTGGGAAACCCGAGATGGACGGCGAAGCCGCAGCACGGAGATGACAAGTCGGTGGCGGCCACCGTCTCTGCTACGCTGGCCCGCTCCTTTCGCATGCTGGGGACACAGCCGGTCATCCAGGTGCTGGGGCTATACATGGCGTACCTATTTGGCATCATCTACGTGCTGCTCTCGACCTTTACCACGCTTTGGGAGGAGGCGTACAGTCAGGATGTCGCCGTCGGTGGCTTGCACTACCTCGCAATCGGCGTGGGTCTGCTGCTCGGCACGCAGGTTGGAGCACGGGTGAATGACAGGGTAAATCCAAGCGCCGTCCGTCTCTGCGCTAGTGCTGACCCCGGTTGGTAGGTCTTCAAGAAGCTGAAAGATGGCAACGGAGGCGTTGGCCTGCCCGAGCATCGCTTACCTCTGCTCGGTCCAGCCTCTCTCCTCATCCCGGTCGGGCTGCTTGTCTACGGCTGGCCAGCGCAGACGCGTGCGCCTTGGATCGTGCCGGACATCGGGGTTGCCATTTTCACCGGCGCCAGCATCGTGGCGTTCCAGTGCATCCAAATGTACATCATCGACACGTACCCGCTCTACTCGGCCTCGGCCATGTCTGCGGCTTCGCTGCTGCGATCCTCGGCCGGCTTCGCATTCCCCATCTTCGGGCCTTATCTGTACCAAAGCATGGGGTACGGCTGGGGGAATTCGGTCCTGGCACTGGTGTCTGTCGTCGTGGGCGTGCCTGCCGTGCCGTTGCTGTGGCGGTATGGCGCACTGCTGCGGGCACGGAGCCCTTTTTGTTCAGGAGCCAACGCCGCAGTCGGGACGGTCCGGCCCTGCGCCTCGTCCGAGCCAGGAATGGGCCGCGTCAGCAAGGAGGTCAACGCCTCCGTCTGACCAGGCCGAGTTCAGGTCTTGGGCCATCAATCAAGCCGTGTGCCGCCCCTTGACACCATGGGAAGCCTTCTGTAGGATTCTTGCATGTACGCGGAGAACCCGTTCCCAGCTGTAGATCCACGTACGGCGTGGGATGCGAGATTCTTAGATCCGCATCATGTGGCGATCGAGCGATTAATCACTTTCTCCATGCGATCCGTCAGCTGCGATAAGGATGTGCCTTCTGTTTCAGGACGGATCTAAGGCTTGACACATTGTCCACCGATGGATGTGGGGCTGAGCACATGCAGCCAGCCATTTTCCAACTTCCTAATCCGGCATCGTCGCGCTTCCGCCCCCAACAGCCTGCTCCCTGGCTGGTAATATGCCCCGACACACTAAAGCTTACGCCGTGCTATTCGCTGTCATTTTACCTAGCGCCCGGAGCAACACTGGCTCTCCGCGTTGTTGTAACGCATGCAACCTCTGATCCTTCAGCGAGAAGTCCGTGATGCAGCAACACGGTACACGTCCAGGGGTTGATTTGCGTATAAGTACACTCTCTACACAGTAGTACGAGCTCTGTAGTCAAGCTGTTCACGTAGGCATGGCGTCCTCAGGAGTAGGAAGTGAGCTGAATGAAGCGAATGCCCAATCGAGTGCAGCGAGCAGCTCCACAGATCGCAAAAGAGTGCAGAACCGCATAGCACAGCGGACGTATCGTGAGTATCGAGGCATTGTCTATTGCAGTACCATCATGGGCTCAGAGAATCTAATATGTCTCTTTGCAAGGTCAACGGTTGAAGAAACGGATCGAGGATCTAGAGCGCCGAGTCCAGGAAAGCAACAACAACCCACAACACCCCGTACCACATCCGGATACCAGCTGGGACCACCATGACCCCGAAAATGACCAAATTCCCAACGATCATCATTTCCACGGCACCAAAAGTTGCCCTACTCCGTTTGAATCACTCCTAAGCCCCGCCTTCATGCCGGCTCCGAGCGATTGGTACTTGCAACCATCTCTCGATTTCCCCATATCTACAGCATCTCGGCCTCAGACCTCCACCACTGCCCCGCCGTCAAGCACGGGAGAAGAGGAGCGCCACCTCCCAACGTGTCGCTGCTCGGCGCAACAGCAGCGCCGCCATCTCACCTCGAAGCGCAGCAGCAGTAGCAGCACCCAACCCCCGCCGGCACCCCGCGCTTGGCAGCAAAGCCGCTCCACAACGACAACGGCGGAACCTCACGTGAGATCGGGACCGGCAGCAGGACACTTCGGCAGCCGCTCCGCCACGGGCCTGGCCATGGAATCCATTGTGCAAGGACCACCTCCCAAACAGACCACCACCACCACCCGAATGTCATCGGCAGAGGCGCCTGCGCCGCAGTCTGCAACAGCGGCATCGGCAAGAACAGCTTCTCATCACACCACCACTGTCAACTTCGATCAAGGCACACTCACGCTCCAGTGGCAGCCGAGAAACTTGAATCCGATCTCTGATCTGGTAGACAGCGATATGGTGCTGCATGACGACGACATGCAGGGCGATGGCGGCGACGAAGACGGCGGAGGCGGTGAGCTCTTAGTCGATCACTTCGCCTATACGGGTGCTGGGGCTTACGACACTCCACCCGAGAGAAGAGGGGATTGTAGCTGCTCGTTTAGTAGTAATATCCGGTAGCAGTAGGGTTGAGTGTAATGTGTTTTTCGGGTACGCTAGATAGCGACATCAGCTATCGCAGGCTTTACAGAATCTCCCAGCCAGACGAACAGTTGTTCAGCGCGTTCGTGGATGTCCTACATGCGGGCCATCTGCGCGCTCTTTTCGTCCATGTCTTGCTGGATGATGCATATAGCATCAACCCCAATGGTCAGCACGTCCAAAGGCAACCAAACGTGGCATAAAGCATCATAAAGGTTTCCAGTAATGCTTACTGCCATACCATCGCTTTCCATGTAATGCGGAGGCTCAGCGGGCCCCCAGGTATACGAAAGGGCTGTGTAAGCATCAGGCGCGTCGAATCGTGCGCGTGCAAGGCTACACTTTGGTGGTGCATTGGCACCACCTGGGTGCAAATGCGGGGCCGGAATACATTGAGCTCTGTCGAAATGCACTGGTGCGGCTACATCGTCTAGGAATCAGACATGGCGATGTCAACGTGCACAACTTTCTAGTGTGGGAAGTGAAAGTCAAGGTTATTGATTTCGATGTTACGCAGCTGTGTAGCGATTTAAAGTACTTCGAAGCAGGGCTTCGGTTGCTTGAGAAGAGTGTCTACGACAGTTTGGGGAGACGGGGCGTGGAGGTTATTTAGTTGGACGTATTATCTGGGTAAGAATGCATCTTACGCATAGTGTGCGTAGAAGCCGACTGATTGCAACCTCCGTTTACTGGGAAATTTGTGCGGGTGTGAAGCCAGGGAGAGAAACCACACGGAGGGGGTTCGATAAGCCGAATTTCTGATTAAATATTCATCATAAGCAAAGCGTAGAACACAAACGTCAAGGAAAGAGATAGAACTTTGCCGCACCATCCCCAAAGGAATTCTCCGCCGCCGCTCCCGCAAGAAGCAAAAGGGCCATCAACATGTCGAGTCAAACAATGCAATTAGAGGCGGGGGACCAGGGCAACGGAGTTTAATTAGACGAGTTCGGGCGTAATCATAGATTCTAGTTAGATCTCGCTTAATAGTGACGCCCCCCAGCTTGCGATGAATCATAATGAGCCGTCAACTCGCGCCATAAGAATATATATATATATATATATCGACTCAATGCCACACTCAACGCATCCCATCTCCACGAACGAACAAACCAACCAACCACATCCACCCCGCCCTGACGCCCAGCGCAAACCAAAACCCAACAACCCCGCGCCACTGCACCAAACCCGAGCACGACATCCCCACCACCCACAACACGCCACCGAAATGACGTCCACCAAGCCCGGTCGCGGCGGCCCATCCCCCCTCTACCGACACCTCCACACGCTCGCCACGTCGCACGCGCTCCCCCACTCCGTCGACCATCTCCTCTCGCTCCGCCACCCGTCCGCCACGCACGCATGGGGCCACGCGCACCTCGTCCGCACCAACCCGCTGCTCGGCGACGTCATGGACAACGCGGCGTTCGCGGGGCACCTGGCGAGCACGGGGCGGTACGTGGCGAGCGCGGCGCCGGGCGCGACGGTGCACGAGGTGGTCGTGGACGAGTGGCGGAGGAGGGCGGTGGTAAGGATGAGTTATCATCTGTGTGCGAAGAGGGGGGCGGAAGGGGGAGAAGGGGGGGCGGAGGTGGTGGAGAACGAGGTGGTTTGGACGCTGGCGTTTTCGAGCGAGGAGGAGGTGGGGGAGGTGAGGATCGTGGAGAGCGTGGAGTTTGTTGATGCGAGTGCGAGTGCGAGGTTGGGGACGTTGGTGAGGGAGGCGAATGGCGGGAGTGTGGGGGAGGATGTGAGGGGGGGGATTACGTTGAGGGAGTGAGGGAGTGTGTGGGGTGGTTGCTTCTGTGGTGGGATATGATGGACGGAAGAGTGTCCGACTATGTTACCCGCACTAGTCAACAATGTTATGGCTGAACTCGCAACCCACCAGCAAGCTTGCCACGCCGGCAATGGTGCAGGGGTTGTGTGGCAGCACCTTGGCGCGGTCCCAGACAACGATCAGCAGCAGCGTGACGGCGGCGAGGAAGCAGAGCAGGGCGGCGAGCGCAACGGCCGGGCCGCGGTTCTGGCGCAGGCGCCACCGGTGGCCGGGAGCGCGTGTGAGGATGCCAGAGCTGCCGTCGGTGTCGACCCTGCTCTTTGTGTCGCGCATGTTGGCTGAGATTGCCTGCGCCATGTACAGCGAGTAGAGCCGGCGTCCGGCGTTCACGAAGGCGGCCTGGTGCGCCTCGTCCGTGCCCACGAGCGAGTCGATGCTTGTGCGGACCTTGCCGTCGACGAGCGTTTTGATGAAGCCGTCGATACCCGGGAAGAAGTACTCGGTGTTGACGTCGGCGCGGTCGACCGAGTCGAAGCGCTGCAGCTGCGGCGTGGGGCTGAGGTCGACCATCTTGAGGAGGAACTCGTTGAGCGGCCATTCCCAGACCTCGCTGTCCGTGGCAGGGCTTTTGAGGCGCTTCCGCGTGGATTCGTCGGGTGCGGGTGGGTGGGCCGGGTCGATGGAGAGGTCGGTGGCGCGGAGGGTGACGTTGGCGGTGAGCTGCTCGAGGTGTTGAGTGCACATGACAAGGGTGGCGTTGGTTTTTATTGTCGTGTTACTGCTGGTTCCCCCGGGGACCACTGCTGAGGAGGCAATGGTGAAACCAAAAGTCGGGCACCCGTGGTTGCCGGTGGGGAGGTCCCACCACCAGCTAGAATAACCTTGGAAAGGATGATTGGTCATTGCACCGTCGCCAGTCAAGTCTCCCTCTGAGCCAGTACCCCACGTAAACCATGTGGCTTTGCCGCTGTAGAAAGTCGGCAGATTGAACGGGAATAGATATACCTGGCTCCACTGCACCTTCGTGTGGTTGGTGTAATTGTGTACGCACCGGACTGGAACGCTGACATCGAGCTCGAACTGCGAGTATTCGGCTCCATCTGGCCATCCGTCCACTCTGATAGTATTCTCTTGGACGGTGTACGGTATGCAGTCAATCGTAGCGCGATACGCAGAGAGGTTCAAGTTGATCACCCCGTCTCCACCTAAGTCCGCTAACGTGTCCAACTTGTTGAAGGCGAGATCCCCGTACGTCCAGGATGGGTAGCTCAAGTTGGTGTACTCAAGAATGCTGGTAGTTGCTGCAGCATTGCGATCATCGATCGAAAGCTCTCCCTGGTTGAAGTTGAAGCTATCCATCTGTCTGAGCGTTACTGTCTCGACAACTTGAACGGTAGCGACTGTGTAAAGACCAGAGGCAATTATAGTCAGGAACCCTGCCGCGAAAAGCGCTATCCCACTTAGGACGTGCTGAAAGTGAGCATTCTTAGCTGAGATTAGGATGGCATGTGGAAGCAGTTTCCCCACGACGTTGAATTCTGTTGTTGACTGTGCCGAGGCGTTACCTGCTTTTAAGCGCGAGAACGGGGCAAATATCTCCGACACGCCCTCGATGCTCGAATACAGAGTAGCAATGGAAAGCATGATGAGCGCCGTTAGATACCTTGGGACCACACGGAACTGAGGAGCAATGTCTAGTATGCCTTGCTGCGTGTCAGAGACCTGCTGCAAGACAATGAGTAGAACCGCAACGGCGAGTGACAAAAAGGCCGTGAGGATCAAGAACCATGTCCTCGTAGCGGCAGGCCTCCACCATTTGACTTGCTCCTCCTTGAGAGAATTCTGACCAGGCCGAGGCTTAAGTCCCTTGCAATCTTGCATCTCCAGAGTGAAGTGCTCGTTTGAGACGGTGGTCCGGAAGCATTTACCAGTGGTGGCCTTGCGAATAGCGCTAGTTCTTGCTGCTCCTAGGCCCGTCATCAGCTTGGAAAAGTCGGGGCTGGCTGCTAGTAATGCTGCCGTTGCAACAAGTGGTGCTGGATCGCGCGGAACCGCGGGCTTTGGCCTGAACCACCAAACGCCAAACGAAACGAAGGAAAGCGCTCCGAGTAGAGCCATCATGGAAATCGCTGTGAGCCGCTTGACCTGGATCCGGTTCTGGTTGTATAACATTGAGCCAATAGCGGAGTCGTTTGCCGGTACCATGAGATATTCTCGAGCGTACTGGACAGCAGTGTTTCGCCAGACAGCTGTGCTTATGTTTCTTAAAAGCTGGGCATCCATGAATGGTTCCAATCCTGAATCGTTGTTGACAGCGGATAGGACTTGGTAGAAGTTTGGCACCGGATTCGTGAGAACGTAGTCTTCACCCCCGGGCCCCAGTCTCATGTGCTCAAAAGTATTGACCATGCTACCCGCAAACTGCTCTATGGGAAAGCCTTTGAGCCGACTCGTATTGCTCTGGGACATTGACATGTCCATCGAAATTACGGAACTGTTTGGACTGGCGGACTTTCTCACCGTGTAGGTGTTCAGGAGATACGTTGGCCGGCAAAGTAATGCAGTGAGGCCCACAACCTTATATGATTCCAGATCCGGCATGTCCCGACCATTCGAAATAGGCGACCAACGTAGATCGGCCATGGTCAGCAGTACTCTCTGATCTGAATGTCCATCTGCAGCACTGCGACCCGGATTGAGTGGTTCAAGCTGGTTGCCCTGCCTGTTGCACGTATAGTTTTGGATGTTGCCTTGATAATTTTGCGTAATGTTCTTCCGGTACACGAACGAGTGGTCCGCGGTTTGTCCAACCAGTGCGTTGTCGATTTTGCAGTCTGGTGTTGATATATTGACAACAAACACCATTCCGACAACATTCAGCCACGGAAAAGTGGCGTCTCTAACATCCGCGGTATCGACATCGACAACTTTGCAGTCCAGGTCAGGATTGAAGCCGGTAACGTTGGCTGAGTACACGCCTAGTGCAGGACCTGGATCTTGAGTATCAAAGTCCTGAACAACGACATCCGGTGCGGTGCCAAGTGGGTAAGGAAGGCCTTTTGCGGTGATTGCATACGATATAGGGCCAACGATTGTTGCGCCAGACATGTTGTTGGCGTCAAATGACGTCGCGTCAAACCTTGAAGACAAGCGGAATTCAATGTTTTCTGCGACCATCTGTGTCGGCTCCAGGATCATGAGGCCGGTGGAGAAGGCTGTCTACAAAATGTCAGCTCAGGCTATTTTTCCTCACAGAAAGGAGGCTGGCTACCGTCAGTTTCAAGAGCACAACTGCAAATGAAGATATGAGAATCGCCCAGTGTCGTCTCCGGAAAGAGTCTAGAACGACGACCGGGAACATAGGTGATATGTAGTCAGCGAGGATACTTTTCTCCGCTGGCGATGGGCCGGTTCGTAGCTCCGTCCACGGCGTCAGTTGTCTAGTCGCGAAGTTGACCCGACCCCAGAAGCTCATAACGATGGTGAGGACTATTCTTCGTTAGAACCGAGCGGTTTGGTATAAGAGAGACCCTGAGCATACATGCGGTTGGTCCGAAGGTCCATAGGTATCGTCTTGATTCGTTCTGGGAAGCAAGACCGTTATCCATCTCTGAGAGACGATAGACCAGGCCCACGGCAAGTGCCATGAGAATGAAAGCCGTCGAGAACCCGAGTAGGACACCTTGATGGAGCCACAGCGGGTTCCACATCAGGGACGAATGGGCTGCGCTCTCAAGCCTAGACGCAGTCGGCGACGACTGGATCTTGGATATGGGGTTGTTGTCGCTTGGAGGTGCTCCGTCTTGAAGCAGTGGCTGTCGATGCATCCGGGTGTCTGGCTGGCCCGCACCGCTTGGCTGCTCGAGACTGGGCCGGTCCTCGCTGTTCCGCACTATGATCTCGTTAGTTGGTTTGTATGTTGCGAGCGAATGGGTCAGCTTACCGGAGTGATAAGGGTACTCCATTTTTGCTGAATTTTTCAATTGAAGACAGAAGGGAGGGCCCGGGAACCTAAGGGGGACATAAGCAGAGGCTATTAATGTGGCGCCAGGCTGAGCCATATGGTGCTCGAATGACGTAGTAGCTGACGTGCAGGAATGAGGATTGTGTTCCCCTCGTCATCTAGCGTGCCCGACAAACACGTTACACCTAGGGTTCGCGATTGAAAATCGCCGATTGTAATCGAATAAGTGATCGGATTATAAGCTGCCCTATCTTATGCGCGGGCGCGATGCACAGATACGTCTAACGGTACGTCTACGGGCACCTGGAGAGAAAGAAAATAGGACCGTATACCGTTCTACATGAAATATCAAATCTTTCCCCTTTTGTTCTCTTTGTCCCTCTAACTTACACTCTTGATCAACACCGCCCCGCTGTCTGACTAAGCGCCCTCGGTGCCAGCAGCAGCCTTCTTGTTCCCCATGACCGTCTCCATGACCTCCTCCATGCCGCGCATAGCCAGCTCCGAAATCTGGTAATGCACCACGATCCTCGTACCAAAAGTCTTGATGCCCTTCTCGGCGGCCAAGCGCACGATGTCCTCAGCCTCGACCCCGCTCTTCTTCACATCCAACCACACCATATTCGTCTCGGTCGGCACGCTCAAAACGCCGCCCAACCCCTCCCACCTGTCCGCCAACCGCCTCGCCTGCTCATGCGTCCTCAGCAGCTTCCCGCCCAAGAACTGCTCCTCCACCGCCGTCCGCGCCGCGCTGCTCACCACCCCCGCCATCCGGATCCCACCCCCCAAGCTCTTCCGTATCCACCTCGCCCTCTTCACAAACGCCTCATCCCCCACAATGATGCTCCCCATCGGCGCGCCCAGCCCCTTCGAAAAACACAACTGCACGCTATCCACACACGCCGCATACTCGGCCAACGACCCGTGCCCCGCCGCCACCGCCTCCCACAGCCTCGCCCCATCCAAATGCGTCTTGATCCCCTCCGCCCGCGCCCACTCCCCGATCCGCCTCACCTCCGCCAACGGCATCACCGCGCCCCCCAACGTATTCTCCACCTCCACCAACCGCGTCGGACAGCCGTGCACATCCTCCCCCAACACCGCATTCCCCTTCACATCCTCCAGCGTCAGGTACGCGCCGTTCGCGGGGACCACGCCCTCGATCTGCGCGCCGCACAGCGCGGCGACGCCGCCCGCCTCGGCGCGCAGGATGTGCGCGCGGTGGTCGCACAGCACCGCGTGCGGCGGCCCCCCCAGGTGCGTCCGGATCGCCACTTGGTTGCCCATCGTGCCCGACATGACGAGCAGCGCGGCGGGCTTGCCGCAGAGCGCGGCGATGTAGGATTGCAGCGCGTTGGTGGTGGCGTCTTCGTGGAAGACGTCGTCGCCGAGGGTGGTGGAGGCGATGGCGGCGAGCATGCTGGCGGTGGGCGTGGTGATGGTGTCGGAGCGGAACTGTGGGGGGAGGGAGGGGGTGGTGGTTAGTGCTGCGGGTTTGGGGGGATTTTATTTTTTTTTTTTGGGTGGGGAGGGGGGTTTTTTTGGTTGGGGGCGGGGTGGATGGGGGGAGGGGTCTTTGTTTTTGCTTCTTTTGGTCTGGGTTGGGAGGGATGGATGGGAGAGTTTGGTGTTCGTGGGGTTTCTGGTCATGATGGGTTGGAGGGGCATGTTGGTGGGGGTGGAGGGGCATTCTTCGCGTTCTCTTCTTTTTTCAAGATTGGAAAGGGATGTGAGGGAATGGCTTACGTCGGAAGAAGCGGGACCGGGAGTCGTCCAGTGATTGATGCTCGGAGACTGCGAGGGCGAGACACCGGCTGGCGTCGGGCTCGACGACGACGGCGCCGTCACGGGATAGTAGTTGTGCGGGGCCATTCTGTGAAAGTGTGCGCGAGGGTGCGAAAGTGCCGTGTTCTTCTGTCTCTGGCGCGGCGATGCGCAACGGTGTCGTGGAGAGGAGGAGAAAGAAAGGGAGGAGGGGGCAACAGAAGCGGGGGAAGCGGTCGAGCTTGTTGGACCAGGTGGTGCTGATATCGGACGAGCCGGCGGGCGTTGGGAGACAAAGAGCGCGGACGAGGGCTGCAGGAATGCTGACGCCAGGCGCGTCAATGGCCGGCAGCGGGGCTTTATTAGCATGGCAGCTGGCAGCAGCGGGGCGTGCTCAAGTTTCGATGACACAGAAGGCGATGGTTTCCGCGGTTGACTCACGCTTACTCTCGGGCAATCCCCTCTATCGATAGGCCACGGCTCGGAGAACAGCGGCGGTTGTCGTCGGTCCGCACTGGCCAAGCAATGCCACTAGGACGCCAACCAACCCTTTGCTCGTTCCTGGCACGTGGGCGGTACGGCACGGCGCGGCACACACAAAAAAAAAAACAGCGCCCGAGTCGCACAGGAGCCGAGAGCCAAGCGCCGATCCACCAAGATCACGCATCTCTGTCGCGTGGTGGGCTGGTCGCGCCTTTGATGAAACAGTCACCCTAAGTCCGCGTCAGGATCACCCCAGCGGCCACTCATCCCGTCAGTGCGCTCTGCTGCCGGCACTTGAGAGAAGACAAACGGTCCGAACGCTTGAACATGGAGGACTGCAGTCTCACAAGTCAAAGTGGATCACAAATCAGGGGCCACGAAGGACGCGATTTGAGCACATGGAAGGGAGTTGGAGCTTATGTCCGGACGTGGGCGTCGAGTTAAAGCTCCAACAAAGAGTTCTAGACATCGTCTTCATCTGCTTACGCAAGTATTGTAGAGTGTGCAGTGGGTCTCGGCAGCCATGCTTGGCGGGGACAAAAGCTTCGCCCACGCGCCATGGAACAGTCTTTTGTTTCAACGAGTTTTGCAAGGATAAATTCGTTTTCTCCGCGGCTTTTACAAGAATGCCGGCGAAAACTATATACAAAGAAGTAGCACGCACTGTGCTCAATTCAAAGCTCCCACACCACCACACATTGACCTCCTTTTTTTTTTTTTTCATTTTCGTCAAGTCAACAAGATCGAACAGCTCGTGGCCGAGCGTCATCAACACATCAGAACACCCTCGCTTAGAAGGTGAGAGTGGCACCGGCGGTGCCGACGACGGCAGCCTTGACCTCGGAGGAGGCGAGGGCAGTGTACTCGTAGCCGAGGTCGGAGGCCGAGATGGAACCCGCCTCAGCAGTGTTCTCGCCATCGCCGAAGTCGTTGTCGGTGTCAACAGCGTAGCCAGCGTCGGTCGAGTAGAGAGGCTTCTTGGAACCGGTGAAGACGTTGCCCTCGACGAGGAGCTGGGCGCCCTGGCGGGTGTTGATGCCGTCGCTGACGTTCTCTGCGCGTATGGTTAGTTTCTGGGCATTCAGATGCTCTCAACAGCGGGAAAACAAACCGTAGTAGCCGTTCAGGATGTGGCCGGTGCCGAAGCGGTACGAGGGGCCACGGGAGTTGAGGTTCTGGAAGTAGTTCCTCGAGTAGGTGACGGTCAGGTGACCGGTGTCCTCGTCGCCGTTCGAGTCCGAGTGGCCGACCAACGACGCCTTGTAGTGGTCGTGCAGGTAGTTGTTCGACAGGGTGATGTAGTCGGAGGCGTGCGTCACGTCCAGGAGACCGTCGTAGTAGTCCTTGCCGTTGTCCTGGTTGGACGAAAGGTCGCAGTGGTCGATCCACACGTTGGTCGACGCCTGGATGCCAATGGCATCGCCGTTGTCGGCGACGACCTCCTTGATGGTCAGGTTGCGCACGATGACGTTCTTGACCTTGTTGATGTAGAGGCCGATGTTGGTGAGGACGGCGCTGGAGTCCTTGCCGATGATGGTCTTGTCCGACGCGACGCGGACCTTGGCGCTGCCCGAGATGGCGCCCGAGACGACGATGACGGCCGCGCCGTCGGCCTCGGCGGCCTCGGTGAACTGGGCGAGGCTGGACACGGTCGTGGTCGAGCCGCCGGCGCCGCCCGTGGTGCCGCCGTTGAGCGTGGCGAAGCCGATGTCGGGCGTGTCGGTGATGGCGGCGCGCTTGCCCAGCGTCTTGGTGGGCGCTGCCAGAGCGCTCACGGCGGAGAGGGCGATGGTGGCGACGGTCGAGGCCTTCATGGTGGCTGCGGTGGTGCAAGTGATGGACTGTGGGAGTTTTGAAGAGAGAGGAGAATGGTCAGGCGTGCTCAGCAGGCTGATGGCTGTCAAAGAACGGCGCGAGTCAATCGCGTTAAATAGAGAAAGACTGAAGGTGAAGGTTGACTTGTCGAGCTGTATGGCCGGATCATCTATTGCCTTTATACGGATTCACGGGAACCGCCGCCGACGGAGAAAACATGGGCTCGGGCTCGACGGCTGCGGGATGCTGCAGGGGGAACGTCCAGGTGGAGCGATGCAGGCGGTCTCGACGAAGGCGGCCCGGGTCGTGATTGGCCGATCTAGCCAAAACTGGGGGTCGTCGCCATGGAGCCCATGTTTCGCGCGACGTGGGACGGGCGAAATGAGCTAGCCGCGTGCATGAGGTCGTGATGAAACAAAGCCACGAGTGGAGAAATGTCGAATCCGCAAGCAGGTGGTGGTAGATTGGCCGGGGGGGTCGCCCGGCTTGGCACATCGGGGGCGGACCTCTTTGCAGCCACCCCGCGCCTTGGCAGGCCTTCGCTAAAGCATTGAAACAGCTTCTCCCAGGGCCGACGCGCCTCCTGCGACTGCCAAGCTTTGCTTCTCCCGCCCCGGACCTGCGCAGTACGCAATCCAGGGCCCGAGTGCCCGTGAGATGGGACCAAACACTGCCAGAACTGCCGACCATCACTGCCCCTTGAGCTGCCCAGGCCGCCTGTGAACCTGAAGTAAATCCGTGGTCAAGCTCCGGATCGATGGTCAAGCTTCCTCGGCGAACCACGCTGCAGTCCGCGGATCGTGGCCGTTCAGGGGGGGGGCCGCATCGGCGGTGCGTTGGTCGTCCGGCCTGGGTCCAAGTTATGCCGGTGATCGTCCGTTTCTATTCTCGATGCAAAGAAACATGCCAGCCCGGAGCCTGCCATCGCACCGCTAATTTACGCCTTCTTGGGTGACGGTCGAACCTGCTTTGCACCCGCGTGCCGACTGACCCGCGGGAGGGTTCTCTTTCGCGTCCGACCACCCCGGGGTCGTCGCGTGCTAAGAGCCGTTTGCCGCTTAGCCCCCTAGCCGACTACCGTGTTGGCGCTTGGCAGGGCGCTGTCTCCCTGTTTCGGAGTGACGGTTTGCATCACGACCGAGTTCGTCTCGCTGCCGACAGCCGGGCTCTCCTCCTTCTTCTTCATGCGCCACGAGTGGTGGTCGAAGGATGCGTCAATCGTCTCGAGCGTGCGTCCGCGCGTTTCCGGCATGGCCACGAAGCAGACGGCCGAGGTGAAGAGCGAGCACGCGCCGAAGAAAAAGTACACTCCGTACGACGAGCGCGCCAGGAAGACGGGCGTCGTGAGGGCGACGACGAAATTCGCGAACTGCATTGCGTGTGCGTCAGTAAACTCGTCACCTGTTCAGGGGCTCTTTTGCCGCGCGTGGCTTGCTTCGACTTACCCAATTGGAGCTCTGCGCCAGGCTCGAAGCGCTGGCCCGAGTCTGCGGCGGCTGGATCTCGCTGGCGTACACCTTGAAGGCAATGGCCCACGACCCGCTGAAGATGACGGCGAAGGCGTAGATGGCCACAATCACCACCCACCGCGCCGCACCGTGGTCGGTATGGACGCTGTTCGACGCGTATAGGGACCCGATCAGCACCATGGTGCCCGCCAGACACAACCCGCCGTAGATGGTGGACGGCCGCCTGCCCCAGTGGTCGGAGAAGAAGGTGGCTGGAATCGTCGTCCCGAAGATGACCAGGGCGGAAACACCGGATGCAAGGAAGCTGGCCTGCTCGGACGACAGCCCCGCCTGGGTGAAGAGCAGCGGAGCGTAGTACAGCACGCCGTCAATGCCGCTGAACTGCTGCATGCCCATCATGAAGCAGCCCAGGAAAGTCCGCTTGCGAACGCCGGGCGCAAAGGCCTTGGAGATCTCGCTGAAGGAGGCGCGGATGTTCTCGCGGAGAGTCGGCTGGCGGTCATCGGCACCCTCCCCCTGAGGCTCTTCATCGTCACCACCGCCGGTCCGCAAGCTCTCCTCCATCTCGGAGGCGGGCACACCGAGCCGGGCGAGCACCTGGGCGGCCTCCTTGGCGCGGCCCTTTTGCAGCAGCCAGCGCGGCGAGGGCGGGATCAGGGTGCAGAAGACGGAAAACGACAGGGCCATGAAGGACTGGAAGGCGAGCGGCACGCGCCACGAGGCCGACGACTGGATGCGCGAGGTGGCGTAGGAGATGAAGTAGCCGGCGGCGATGCCGATGGTGGTGCCGAACTGCGGCAGCGAGGCCAGCGGGCCCCGGCGGCGGGCGGGCGAGATCTCGCACACGTACACGACCAGCACGCTCAGGAAGAAGCCCTCGCCGACGCCGGTGATGACGCGGCCGGCGATGAAGGCGCCCAGGTTGTTGGAGGCGGCCTCGATGGCGGCGCCGATGCCGAAGACGAAGGCGCCGAACATGATGGTGCGCGGGCGTCCGTACAGGTCCGCTACGTTGCCCGTGATCAGGGAGGACAGTGCGGCGGGGATCAGGATGGAGGAGACGATGACGCCGTGCACGGTGGGCGAGAAGGAGCCGAAGGAGGCCTCGAACGACGACATGGCCGTCACGGGGCCGATGGTGCCTGTGTCGAGCCTGGATCCGAGTCAGAGTTGTGGTTGGCGGCGATGGTGCAGCAGACTTACCCGAACAGCATGCCGCCGACGGCGATCAGCATCGAGACCCTGAGGTACAGCGGCACGCGTTTCCGCATTGTTTCGGGCGCAGAGGCTGTCATCTTCGGCTGGATCTGGGCAAGCGGATGGAGTGACCTGGTCGAGGGAAAGCCAGGCTTGTTGATCGAGGCGTCTTTTATTTAAAGCATGCGTTGTTCCCACACCGACACCGTGGGGCGCCGGTGCGGCAAAAAAAATCTTTTGCTCCCTTCTCACATGCTGATGACTGCTCGTTGCTGACACAAGCCTGCCCCAGACGTGCGGGGAAGGGTGACCCTCTCCGAAGAGGGCGACCTTGTCCGAAGATAAGAAAGAAACAGCGGGGACTGGAGTAGTGTGTGTGGGTTCAAGTGAAGGGGGAAAAAAAATTGATAAGCGGCGTATCTGCGGAATGACTCGGATTGCTCTTTCCGGCCGCCAGCACGTGCGAGCCCGTCACTTGTCAACTGCATTGTAAGCGATCGTGTCTCACTCCATGACACAGTGAAGGATGGTTCCATGGCGTAATAATGGTCCAGATCGCTGTTTCTCCTGCACTATTTGTCAGGCCGAAAGTCGTCCTCTTGGCGACATTCTTTGGGTCAAGGGATGATGGGTAGCGGATGCATTCGCCCTGACTGCAGATTTCGCTCCCTTCTTATCACCTCTCTATTCGCCTACCGAGGTATGGAGAACTTTTCGATCTGATTCCCGCAGCTCATTCTAGGTCAACTCATGAAGACTCGACAGAGACCGTGTGTATGCTTACAGTTCCCGGCTTGGAGAGCCTTGGAGAGAGTACATCGATCTGCCATTGGCTTAGATGCTTCTGTTGAAGTCTTGGAAGGAGAGGATCGCCACTCATGCTACTTCAGAGCCACAAGGACGTCAAGATGCACGCTACAAGCCGTATGGCTGGCTTGTGGGATCTGGTCCATGGGAGCTGAGAGGGCCTCGGATGTCCTGTCGCTGTTAGACTTCCCTTTCTCTACAAGATTGTAGGTACGGGTGAAAACTTACCTTTGACTGCTCAATCCAGTGCTGGCTCCTTTCTCTCCACTTCCTGTATGATGGCTTGCGAGCAGCGCCACCCTCTGGAAGCCTTCATGGTTGCGCTGCTACAATTCCCACAGCTGCGATCAACGGGCATGGTGAGAAAGCAAAAGAAACAACCTTTTCTTGGCTTGGATGGAAGTAGAAAGGGGAGAGGGAACATGGGACAGAGTGGGAGTTGGCGGACAGGCTCTCGGGAAATGCGGCCGGATGTGCGATGCCGAAAGCTGGCTGCGAACGCGAAGATGCGTTTCAGAAGACTGCGCACGCCCTCGTTTTGCAATCTAAGCCGCCTCTATCTCCCGCGCGACCTTTCCTGATTTCCATCAGTGTTGTGAAGACGGACTGCTCGAGACTCTATCGTTTGCAGTGATACACCTGCATTTCTCCGTCAAGACCATGTGTTTTCACTCGTTCCCAGAGACCCTGGGCTGACGCCATCGTCTTGCCGCCAGGCCGTCAGCGTCGCAAGCTGACAACCCCTCATTCAACACCTTGTCCCTTTAAGGACTAGCACCTGGTCCTTGCCGAAGCTTGGAATTGCTTATCCACGTTCAAGCCGTGAAACGAGGGTCCAGGTCCTCTCTGTGGGGCGGCGTGATTGCTCTGCACCTTCTATTCGCTGGACACCTTCCCTTGACCTTGCCGCTGTTCCGGCATCCATGTCTTTGGTTTGAGGACAGGTGTCTGCGTGGACTTCTTCGTGTGGTGTAGCATCCACCTCACGAACCGAGCTTGCATGGGCTTGCTCTGCCGAGTTCCGCGAGGTTTTCTCTCGTTCTGAGTTTCGACATAAGTCACCTCTCGGGATCTGGTCGCCTCGGTCTTTATTCGCTTCCTCGGGCTTGAAAGTAAGGCCGAGAATTCTAACTTTAAAGTACGTAGCATTGAGGACGTGAAGTCAATTTTGTAGGTAGTTCTGATTCGGCGCCAGCCAAGAACGTTCATAGTCCAATATACACCATCTCTCTGGTCTTTCGAGGGGTTGTATAGCCGTACCTGCCGGTCCACACGTTCTAATCCTAGACCTAGCAGCATACTGTTCACCGAGCAAGGAGGACGACGGGCCATATAAAAGATCCCGTAGTGTCTGGTCGAAGATCGCAAAACCTCAACTTCGCTGCATGAAGTTCGCCAGGCCAAGAGTCCTTTACTTCACTCCCGCAATGCCATCCCGCCAAACCTGGGGACCTAGAAACAATGAGCAACTGTCCAAAGAACCTTCTCCCAGTCCGTTTCCGGACTCCACACGCTTGCTAAGCCACGTCACCGCCCCTGGTGGTGTCGTCGTCGCTATCACCCACCGCCGGCCTCACAGGTCTCCCTGTCATGCTAGAATTGCCAAGTCCACATCGTAAGAAGTCGGATCCCAAGTAGAACTCGCATAGCTCAAAGCACCTTCGACCTTCGTCTGATTCTTTAGGGGTATTCCATTATTATTGCATGGAGATGAACTAAGGTCCAACTCTGACGGAAACTCCCAAGTGCTTAAAATAATGACCTACAGCATTCCTTCCTGGATGTAAGGGGGCAGTGGCAGTCGCGAGGGGCTGAGCTGCATGGGGGCTAAAGTTTGTAAACCCAGACTAGATTTCAATGTGCAACCTTTGCGGCCTCTGACCCCTCGCTTCGTTCAATTTGGCTACCGTTGGGAGAAATCTGTGCCACCTGTCCCTGCCTTACGTTTCACTCCAGGCTCCAGTATACTCAGCCGAAGCTGAGAGTCATCTATCTGATCCCAGGTGGTCGAGACCGCATCATCGGATTAGATACTCTCAGCGAGACACAATAAATACATCATTAATACATTTCCACTGACACCCATCTACTCCCGAATCCCATACTCAACCATCACCGCACCCCACCTACTGCACCCCCGCAAGGGCCCTCATCCCCCTCTCCAACCCCTCACACACGCCCTTCGCCCACACGTCCTCATCTCCCTCGACGCCCAACACGCCCTTCTGCCACGTCAGCGTAATCACCATATCCCCACCCTTCCTCGTCACGATATTAAAATTCACCGCCGGCCCCGTCACGTTCGCCGGCTGCGAAAACAGCATGCGCCCGACCTCCCACCCGCCACCCCTTTTCTCCCCTTCCCCGCCTTCCTCCCCCTGCCCATCCGGCTCAAACGCCATCAAATTGCTAACCTCATAGCTCCCCTCCCTCTCCCGCCCCACCTGCCCCTCCAACCACGCCCTAAACCCCTTCAAGTACCTCAACAGCCCGATCGGCTGATCGACCAGCGTGCTCGCCCTCTCCGCCAAACACCTCGTCGTCTCCCTCGCGCGGTGCCAAAACACGTCCTCGCCGCCATCTCCCCCCACCGCTTCCACATCTCCCTCGTCCCTTGCGAAGACGTGGTACGCGGCGCTGACGCACAGCCCCACCGCGCCGTCCCAGTTGCGCTCGCCCGCCAGCTCCGCGCCGAAGCGCGGCATCAGCCGGCGGAGGTCGATGGACGTCTGCGCGACGAACGAGGACGAGGAGGGGGAGGAAGCGTTGGCGTTCGGGGGCAGCGCGGCGCTCAATGCGCGCACGATGACGCCGTGCAGCGCGCCCGTCAGCTTGACGCCGCCGTGGCGCCGGCACCGCTTCAGCATGCCGCGGACGGTGGCGGGGGCGGCGACGGCGACGGCGACGCCCGTGGCGAGTCGGGTCGGGTCGGAGGGGTCGGGGTACGACGTCGGCAGCGCGGTCCAGGCGTCGGGCCGGTGCGGGGTGACGGAGGCGCGGAAGAAGAGGTGCTTGGAGGTGAAGAGCGAGGACTGGCGGAGCGCCGAGGGGAGGTACGACGACGCGACGGGGAGGAGGAGGAAGGGCCACGTGACGGGGAGGGTGGTGGTTTGTTCGATTGGGGGGAGGAGGGCGGGCGTGGGTTGCGTGCGGTAGGTCGGGTCGGCGGGGCTGAGCGAGGTGGTGGCGGTGGAGGGCGCGGCGGTGGTGGACGGGTGGCGGAGGGCGGAGAGGAAGGTGCGGTGGAAGGAGAGGCCCGAGGGCCCGTCGCCGTGGGAGTGTGAGTATGAAAAGAGGAGCCAAAAGGTGGGCGGTGTTGGTCCGTGGGTGGGGGCGGAGTTGGCGGTGGTGTTGTTGGTGGTGGTGGTGATGGGGATGACGACGATCTTCCACGGCGGGATGCGCGAGACGTCGGGGAATTGCTGGTCGTGGGCGTGGCAGAGGAGGGGCTTGATGGCTTCGAGCTCGGCGTGGGTGTCGTTTTCGTCGTCGGCTGGTGCCGGGATGGTGACGGGCTGGGTGATTTCAACGTGATTTCGGAGATTGATGGTTTCGGGCCTGATCAACTCGGGGGCCTCGGTGAGCTCGCCTTTGATGGCGGCGCTGAGCATTGGATGCGTCGAGATGCAGTGCTTCAGGGCGGGATAGAACGATTCCTTGGCGCCGAGGGGGAAGCCTTCCGGAGCGGTGTAGCGGCCAGCTACAACGAGGCCTCGATAATAGCCCAAGGCATGGCGCATGATGCACCGTTTCTCGCTGGTTCCTGAGAGCGCCGTCAGATTGTTGTTGCCTGGAATTTTCTTTCTACTCACCCGCCGGTCGTAACGACACGTAGCGCTGCTCGTTGTCCGCCATGGTGGCTCAGCTGGGTCGAACTGCGGTTGCTGCTGCTGCTTTTGCTGCCGCTGGCGTGTGATGTTGAGTTGCTCACGACTACGAGGCAGAAGAGGTTGCAAAGGAGTGGGTGGTGTTGGGTGCAGGATTGAAATAATACACCGCTCCACTGCATGCCGGGTCTCGGATCTATTTCCAGCGGTCGGTCCGTGCAGCGTAGCCAACGTAGCCCTTGCCGGATGGGGCAACTCTTGCGCGGTGCTGTGTATGGCACTTGTTGTCGTTTCGAGTTGCATGGAGCAGTCGTTGGATTCCGCAGTAGCAATGCATTCACTTAAGGATATAAGCGTGGTTCAAACGCCGCGCCCAGACCCCAGATAGTCCCTATACCCTTCGAGCCCTTTCCTAAATTGGCAATAGAAACGCCCATCAGCCCAAGCTTTGGTAACCCACGACGCCTTATCATAAATCTGTATCCCACCTTCTAAGCAACGACAACTCCTTGCATACGAGTACAGTAGAAGCACTCCACAAACGAAAGAAAAGTCATCACAGTGCTAATTCGTCTTCAGACATGTCCGCCAATAAGTCGACAAATCTAGTGCTGGGGCGTGGTTCCGACCTGGCTATCCGGCCAAGCGGTGAGCTCTGTGACGCTTCGCCCGTCACCTTGGTACGTGGTGTCGCGGCAGGCCCAGTATTTGCCAATAACCGCTTAGCTGAAGCAGCCTTGATGGCTGGCCTGGAGGACTGCGACGCCTGAGGTGCTACACTCTTCAGCCCCGGCCTCGACGGTGTCGCTTTCATCCGAGCATCTGGCATTGCCGTCGGACTCGGCTTTGGCAACCATGGTTTTTGGCGAGATTTGGATGCTGGCGTAGTTGGAACTGGGTCTGACGTAGGAGGGGCTTGACCTCTAGGTGTTGAGCTTGCGCCCGTAATCTGATCAGACCTTTGCCATGATTTCTGCGAAGCTTTAGACAATTGCGTTGTGGCGGAATCTCCGTTTCTGGGTGTCGAGCCTGTGCCAGCAACCTGGTGAGCACCTTTCGTGTTCTGAGAAGGCGGCCTGCCTCTCCCTCGGGATTTCAACGGTTGTGTCAATGGAGGAACCGGCTCCATGGGTGTTTTGTCGGCCGTTTGCTTTTGGGCGGACGGTGTTTGGACATCGTTGTTGGAGGAACTGATGCGATCCCGCACCGCTGCAGCTGCTCCTGTTGCGGACGTCTCACCGTCAGTCATTCTTACCGCAGAATGCGGCCGCCTTATCAGCACTAGTGGAGAGATTCCGAGAACCTGCTGAGGAACACCCATGTGCTGCTGCACCGCCTCCATCACCTTGGACGTGTCGATCAGCCTCGGATCAATTGGCATTTGTCTGCTTGGACCGGCTGCGACCGGCTGCTTATCAGAGATAGTGAAGTGCTTGGGAGATCCTCGCTGCGGAGCCGAGACCGATTCTGGCCTTGCGTCCTGGGACAACGGCATCACCTCCTTCGCCGGCTGAACCACATCTGGAGAGCGAGCCACTGCAGCACGCTGTACACCAGCGCCCACAGGGCTATCGTTTAGTGGGACTTGCGGTGCGCGCCTTTTTGCGGCTTCAAGTAGTCGAGGTGTGGCACTGTCATCTGTCTTCTGCCGCTTGGACGGCCGGTCTTCTGGAGTGCTTTTATTGGCCGGAATCTGCACCAATGCCCTCTTGCGATGTGCGCCGGGCATGTAGTTTGCCAGCCAATTTTCTGGTCTGCAAAGCTCAGGCAGTCTCGTGTGTCTCCTGGCATTGGAATGAGAGACCCATGACTTGCCGCACAGAGTGCAAAGATGTGTGCGTTCCATCTCCTCTCTGATGAGAATGTTGGGGTTGAAGGGTGCAGGCCTTCCAGTTGTGATATCTACCCCAGGGGGCACCAGCTTCGGCGACTCCGCCTTCTGCTCAGAATCCGGCACCTCTATAGGGTAGCGCTCCAGTATCTCGGTGGGATCGGCGAGGTTCGCACGGTGAGGACACGCCGTTTCAGGGTTCTTTGGCACATACGGCTTCTGTCTCACCTTGTTCGCCAAGATCGGGCCGCGCTCGAGCGCTTGACGGACGTAGTCTGACATGGGGCCTCGAGTCTTATCCGGACGATTTGCAAGGCGTTGGTACCAATGATACATGAGGTTCTGACAATTCCTCCCCGGGAAGTAGCGACCGATTTGAGAGAACGCAAGCTTGCGATCCTCTTTGAGCACGATGAAGAGTTCGTTGTCTCCTTCGATCCAGGGAAGCTGCTTGTTATTTTTTCTATCGGCGGACCCAAGTGGCGTTTGAGCGGTCGACCACTCTGGACTCGGTTGCGCTACTGGTGTAGCGTGCGCATCTCTTCCACCAGTAGTTCCGCTGTTTGCTGTACCAGAAGCTTCCGTAGTCGGTGTCGAATCGGGTCTGGTGCGTGAGGCAGGAGGCACTTGGGTATTCGTGGGTGCAGTGACCAGAGCTTGGTATGGATGCGGATTTTTTACATCCTCAGTCTCAGTGGTATCGATCGGATCTTCACCATTGGCGGCTGATTCCAGGTCCATAACTTCCTCGTCTTCTGCCCAAGCATTGACTTGATTTTGATCCTCACACTCAATGTCTCCCATGTCTTCTTCCGGCGAGCCGTTTCCTTCCAGTTCCTCGAAACTTTCTTCCGCTCCCTCATAATCAACCTCATCCCACTGTGGTTCGGCATATCTTGGTCTGGCGGGAGGGTCATTGGCCAGTGTTTGCCGGCGCAATGTGCTATTACGAACGCTGGGCGACGGGTCAGGAATCTGTGTAGAAGGACGTGCTTGCAGTCTCGGACGGCCAACTGCACGCCCGGTAGACCAGAGTGACTTGGATGGCTGGCGCGGCGACTCAGGGATCATTTGCGGCCTGCGCTGTGGAGAAGGTGCAGAACGACGAGCGGAATGGGAGGGACGGGGCAGCGGAGGAGCATCCCAGACTGGATCGGTAGACCTTGGACTGTCCTGATAGCTTGACATGTACTGAGCAATCCCTTGGGCAATACTTTGGCCCAAGGCCTGGAAGAATGCGGGATCTTCGGTCATGTTCATTCTATGTGGTGTTTGCTGAGCCTCGAACCCAGGTCGTCGAGTTCGACTCGGGCAAGGCGGGTTCCGATGTTGCGGTTGATCTCGGCGCTGCGGTGTATTGAGGTGCTGCGATCGATTCCGGGGCTGCATATGGCTCCGATAATGCGGCGTCGGGACGGCCGGTGGAGGGTGGATCGTGGACATCTGGGAGGTGAGTTTCGACAAAGATGCAAGAGCTCCACCAGGCAGACTCACGCATTGGTCGCGATTCCCTGGTGGAGAACTGAGAAGCTCATCCTCCTCCAGGCTGCCTGCAACCGCGTGGCGCTCGTATGAATAGCTGCCGGTAACATCGTCTACGTTCTCGTCGTCTTCTTCGTACCATTCCTCGAAATCCTCGCCAGTATCGCGCTCGTCCTCCAAGCGGGCAAGGTGGCCGTTGTTGACAATGATCTCGCCCGTCTCAAGGTCGATCTCGTCGCCAATGTCGGTAAAGTCGCGCTCGTATTTATCGAATATGTGCTCGAACGTGCTCTTCAGGCGCATGTCATTCTCACGGCGTTCGCGCTCCAACTCGGAGTAGTCGTCATACTGCTCGGCATCTGCAGGCGGCGGCGGCGGCGGGCGGGGACGATGGGCCATGAGGGTGGCGTCATGGAGCGCGGCCGAGGGGTGGCCGAGGGGCGGCTGTCAGGAACAGTGTAGGCTGCTGGTGTAGATCCGATTTGATTCGAGGCGCAAGGCGGGGGAGGTCGCGGGTGCTCAGACTTCCGCTTCGGTCGAGCGCGACACCGCGTTGAAGCGCGTCGCGACGCCCGCAAAATCTGGCGGCCCGTGCGGCTGCGTCATCCATGCTCCCGTCGGCGAAGCTGCTGCCCATCACTCGTTGTCACCAACGAAAGCTCACATTTCCAGCGCGCAGGTCCTCCGTCTCCTCCCAATACGCAGCAGCCTTCCTTCACACAGATATATATAGCGTCATGGGAGTTGCACCCTCGGCCACATAACCTTCCGATAACACGCTCACCGCTGCCGCCATGTACTGCCAGAAGTGCCGCACGCCCATCAAGCTCGACGGCTCGCTGGAGGACCTCAACCCCGCCGCCTTCAAGCTCCTCACAGGTGCTCGCCGCGCTAAGCGCTCAGCGTTACTCTATTTCTAACCTCGAGCAGACTCCACAACCCCCTCCTCACAGCAGCGACCGCTCTCGCTACACCAGTCCCGCCCCGCCTACTCGCAAGACCGCCGCGATGCCTACGACCGCGTCTCCAGCCGGGCGACGCAGCCCACCTTCCGCCGCAGCATCCCCTCGAGCCGCCACGGTCGCGAGTCGCGCCACCACCCGTCCATGTCCTTTGTCATGCTCACCGAGTCCCAAGTGGTGCCGCAAGCGCCGCACATCGTGCCCGACGGCGGCCGGCCGAGCAGCAGCGCGGGCGCCGATGGCAATCAGGACATGTCGGACAAGATGGAGACGGTGCAGCGCCTGTTCGAAGTGCTGTCGGCGCGCTCCGACATCGACCAGCCCATCTGCGTCGAGTGCACCGACATGCTGGTGGAAGGGCTGCAGAAGCGACTCGGGGCCGCCACCAAGGAGCGCGATGCCTACGTCGAGTACCTGCGGCAGGCCAACGCGGACATACCCAGCGAGGAGGAGGTGACGCTGGCGCGGCGACAGCTGGAAGACGCGCGGGCGGGCGAGGAGGCGGCGATGAAGGAGCTGGAGCGGCTGGAGCGCGAGAAGGCGGCCATGGATGACGAGCTGCAGGCGCTGGACGCCGAGGCGCGCGGGCTGGACAAGGAGGAGGAAGCGTTCTGGAAGGAGCGCAATGCGTTCGCGGTGACGCTGGCGTCGTTCCAGAGCGAGCGCGACCGCGTCAACAACCGCTACGACCACGACATCAAGCAGGCGCAGCGGCTGCAGCGCACCAACGTCTACAACGACACCTTCACCATCGGGCACGACGGCAACTTCGCGACCATCAACGGCTTGCGGCTAGGCCGGACGTCGGCGGTCATGGTGGGGTGGGAGGAGATCAACGCGGCATGGGGTCAGACGTGTCTGCTGCTGGCAACGGTGGCGGAGAAGGTGGGCTACACGTTCAAGGGCTACCGTCTGTGCCCCATGGGCTCGAATTCAACCATCGAGAAGCTCGACTTCCCGCCAGCGGCGTCTACCGACGACGCGGCGCGTCCGGCGAAGCCCAAGGTCACGGTGTTGGAGCTGTACTGCAGCGGCGACCTCCCGCTCGGGTTGAATTTCCTGCACAGGAGGTTCGACAACGCCATGGTGGCTTTTCTGGAGTGCCTGCGGCAGATGGACGAGTTTGGGTTCAAGCTGCCATACACGATTCGCAAGGACAAGATCCGCGACGCGAGCATCAAACTCAGCTTCAACCAGGAGGAGACGTGGACGCGGGCTTGCAAGGACACGCTCATCTGCTGCAAATACCTTCTCGCATCAACCAGCGACATGGACCAGAAGCAACGCAGCGCGACGCCGACGGCGCGCCGATAGGGCGAGCAGACGCAGGGAATGGGGTGTTGCGGGTGCGAGTGCAAGAATGCGGTGGATGACGAGCGGGTCAGCCGGTTACGGGCAGGTGCAGCGTATGCAAGCCCGGGTGAAACAAGCAGTGACGAGTCGGACGAGGATTATTGATTCGGCGTTGAAGGTTCAGAGCGGGGTTACAGAGTGTTTTAGATATGGGCGCGACACGCAGGGAGCGTGTTTGATGAAGGTAATCTCGGAAATGAGCGGCGGCGAAGGTTGATTCACGGCCGTCAGGCCGAAAGTGTGGGGAGCGAGCAGACGGCGGCGCTAGCTATCAGGGGCCGCGAGCCGGCCGGAGAGAGTAATGCAGGGTTGACGGCGACTTCTCGTCATGGCGGCGGGCAGCAGCTTGAGAGACATGGCGGCGAGGACGCATCGGTGGCAGAGATCATGTGATGCTGTATAGAGGCGCGGTGTTGAGGCCCGAGGGTTTCTGCATGCGGGAGGCCCACAGGCGGGCATGGCGGGCAGGGGTTTGCGGCGGCGGGCCAATTGACCACACGCGCCACGACGCACCACGGGCGGTGCCAAGCGCCAGACAACTCCTTTCCATGCGGCCGTCCCTCCAATCGCCATGCCGGTCGCGAGTTTTTCTTCCGCCGCGCTATCGAGCTTGGGCTAGAGGAAGGATAAGGAGGAGGCGCTCGGGATCCCGCCAGCCCTATCGCGGGCGCTGCAGTGAGGATAAATCTCACCAGCGGCCCTCTGCGCCTGCGCCCGCTGCAAACGACCTGTTCCCCTCAAGCTCAGCCCATGTCTCGAGTCCACCTCGCGCGCCGCCGCCCAAGTCGCTCGCTCTGACCAGCGCGTGCCCGCCCGTCGCGCTTTCCCACCCGCCGTCTCTCACTTCTGCCAGCGCATGCCGCCATGGACTCATGAACCCGACGTGAAAAATATAAGCGAAACGACCCCGAAATAGTCCAAACCACAGCCCAGGAAGGAAAGAAGCAGAAACGAAACACTCGCTCTCTCACTCACCACCCCTCTGCCACCATGCTTCCCTTCACCCACTCGCGCCGCTCGAGCGCCATCCTCGCCTTCTTCATCCTCGCCGTGCTGCTTCTGCTCTGGAACCACGACGAGGCGGTGGCGCATCTGCCCACCACCATACTACCCGACTTCACGCCCGCCGTATGGTCCGACTATCTGTCCGCCGGCGACGTGGCTCCGCTGGTTGGCACCGCCAATGCCACGCTCGGCGTAAGTTTTTTGCCCTTTGCCCATTGCCCGTCTATTATTGGCATCCGCACTACCGCCGTCCATCCATCCCTGCAAGATCATCGCTGCTTTTGCCAAGCCAAAAAGCCACAACTCCAACCCATGACCACCCATACACGCATCGCGAAACCACCACCAAAAAAAAAAAGCGAAAAGCAAAACTGACAACGACCGCTCCCACCCAGTTCGACGCCATCCTCGCCGTCTCCCCGCGCACGACCTGGCGCAGCGCCGGCCTGCACGCCGCCGCGCAGCGCACCAACCTCTCCATCACCATCCCGCCGCAGCGGCCGCCGACCTCGGGCGAGACGGCCGCCTTCATGGCGCTCAACCCGTCGGGCATCCTCAACGAGGGCTCCGCCCGCGCCTGGCTCGCCCACCTGCAGGTCATGCGCGCCGCCCAAAACTACTCGTCCGCGCTGATCCTCGAGGACGACGCCGACTGGGACGTCCGCGTCCACCGGCAGGCGGGCTGGGTGGCCGAGGCCGTGCGCAACCTGACCGTGCCCCGCACGGAGACGCGGGAGTGGCCGTGGGGCGAGGATTGGGATGTCCTGTGGTTGGGGCATTGCGGCGAGAGGCTGCCGTACGATGAGGATGAGGAGCCGGGGGAGGAGGGGCCGGGCGGTGGCGGCGGCGAGGAAGGGGTGGTGGTCGAGGCGGAGGAGGTCGAGGTCGTGACGGAGAAGGTTGTCGGTGCGGATGGTGGCAGCGCGGCGCCGGACGAGGGCGCCGAGGAAGTGGCGGCGCAGCAGCAGCAGCAGAAGACTGAGCAGAAGGAGAACCTCGAGGCAAAGGTCAAGACGCCCACCAGCGAGAAGCTGCCCATCGACAAGGCCAAGCGCCTGCCCCCCGGCCAGCTCCCCGGCGAGGACGATTACATCACCATGTACGACCCGACCCTCCCGCCGACCATAGGGTCGTACGACCCCCGCATGTCCGGCGACAGCGAGGAGACGCGCTGGGTCCAGCATGCCGCCGGCCCCATCTGCACCTTTGCCTACGCCGTCACCGCCGCCAGCGTCGCCAAGATGTTGGCCATGCGCCATGGCGACGAGCAGGCTTTCGACTTGTGGATGCATTCGCGCTGCCGCTCGCGCGAGCTGCGCTGTTTTACCGTCAACCCTGAAATGTTCCATCATCACGTCGCGGCGGGGTTGCCGTCGAGTCTTGTCAATGAGGGGCAGGTGGGTGGGAGTGGGAAGAATTATACGGAGAATATCATGTATAGCGCGAGGTGCAATTGGGATAAGCCGGATGATCAGCTGGTGAGCTGTCGGAAGAGTTGAGGAGGGGAGGGAAGGACAAGAAGGAAGGCAGGGAAAGGAAGGTGGTCTTTTATTTTAACGTTAGTTTTTCCGTATGACTTGCAGAAGCCAATACGTGTATATATTACTCAAATGGGGGAAATTGCCGAATATCGTATATGGTCATCCCCCTGAACGTACTTGTCAAAGCAACTTTGTCCAGGACATGGGGCGAGTTTCGACACGCGTTCACGCCATCGCAACTTGCGGTGGCCATCGGTTTAGGTGTGCCGTGCTTAAACATTCAACAGTGCCAGGTCACCGTCTTTTATCCTTAAGTAGGAGGGTTGCTGGCAGCGAGATACCTCCAAAACGACAGCAGGTAGAAGTACATAGAGTGGGGACAGGTCAGGTTGGACCAACTCAGGTCAGGCCAAGATGGGCTGCGTTGAGTCGGGTCAGGTCAGGTCAGGTCGGGTCGGGTCGGGTCGGGTCGGGTTGAAGCATGTCTGGTCTTGTCTCTCCGACAACTGCGTGTGTGGAACTTTGAGGGCAGTCAAATAACTGTCTGCACAAAATATATTGCATTCCGGGCTAATCCCGACCGTTGGCATTTTTGGAGGGAGGTGTGAGGAGATATAAAATATATTATCTATGTCCCTTACTTTAAACACCACGTAGAGGAACTCCTCGTTTTCTATTACGTATAGGTATCAACCTAGTAGCCCTCTTTGTTAATTCTACCGCTGTCATTAGGACGGTTTAACATAGTAACTACCAGGATACAAAGCTACCACTCGTAGTCGGTAGAATGGGACTTAAGAAAATCAGGGAAGAAGAAATAGTAGAGGAATGCAATCCCTTTGCCCAAAACCTAAGTGATATAGAATTCTTCCACTGGTATTTCGTTCGGGTGGTCCGACACCCAGCTGGCCATCCACTTGTGCAATGAAAGAACTTCGCCTTGATGGTTCAGATGGGAATGCCACGGTGAGCCACTGGCAAAGCTTTCCAGCGGTAGGACAAGTACGTCGGCGATTAACATAGGACGTGTAATGTTCGAGAACTCGTTGCCATTTAGATTCAACCCTATGTACTCAGCGAGGTACTTGAATACAGCGAACATTTTTTTTTCTTGTTTTTTTTTTCTTGTTTTTTTTTTCTTGTTTTTTTTTCTTGTTTTTTTTTCTTGTTTTTTTTTCTTGTTTTTTTTTTTCGCTGAAGAGAATAGAATTGGAGTTATTATCTTAAGAATGGGAAGTAGATCTTCTTAGCGTACTATTATACTAAAAGTATATATACTTCCAAAGTCTACTTATACTAATATAGCTCGAGCTACGTCACTATTTATTACTTTATACGATCCCTTCTTTTAATTTTGTTTTTAATTTTATTACGCATCGTATATGGCTTTATTTTTTTTAAAAGAAAAAGAGGATAAAACAGCTCCGCGAAGCTAATTTATTAAACGTCTTTAGGCGAGAATTTAAAGATATATATATTATTAGTCCACACCATCACGTACACGTTGTGAATGATAATCGGCATTATTAACCTAATAGGGTCTTCTTTAGCAACGTGTTCTCATAAACAACACCCTTATTGGGTACCCCTTTCTTCGTTCACCTATATAAACACCATGTAGTAGCAGCTTTTAATAGATCATCCAGTCAAACAGCTTCTCTTCTGCACCCGGCTGTGATTACCGACCGACATGTATACCACTTAACCTTCCTTAATTCCCGCTGTACGTTAGGGTGACTTGGACTCGAGAGATGTTTTATTATTCAACTCTCGTCGTTCTGCTGGCCATAATTTTCTGTCAGCGTTATAAGCAAATTTACCCTCCGAGCATCGGACACGATGCGTCGATGACAGTATGAGCGGAATTGGAAAAAATCTCTTGACCGTCGGAATGCATATCTCTCGAAGCTGGAGGACGAACATTTGGTGTTGTAAGACGTTAGTCCCTACAGGGCGTGCTTTGGGTGATAACAAGTCGACAGTTTTCCGCAATGGACAGACGGCACCTGGAACAAAGATTACTTGCCACCTACAGCTTGGGACTTCCTCACCCCGTCATTCAACTGCCCTTTCGAGATGGAGCGTATCGGGAGCCTCGGAGACGGCGGCAAATGGATATGCGGCACGTCACAATACTCGAAAGTCGAGAGCTGCCCTCTTATAGTCTACAGCTTTGGCGTGGGCACGGACTCATCGTTCGAAGCGGAGCTGATTAACATGACAAACGCGCAAGTCTACGCCTTCGATTATTCGGTGGAAAGAATCGGGCCTCAAATAGCCGAAAAGGACTCGTCTCGTGTCCAGTTTATGAAAATTGGTCTGGGCGACCAGGACGCATTAGTTGACGGTCAGCGTTTTCTTACGCTTCAGTCGATAATTTCGGCATTTGGGCATCAATATATCGACATATTGAAGATGGATATTGAAGGAGCAGAGTTCAAGGCGCTTGATGCGTTCATGGAAACTTACAAGGGTAAGGATCTTCCTGTTGGTCAGATATTGATCGAGATACACCTTTGGGCCGCACCTCAGAACGTGCGCGACCTGGTTAAATGGTGGAAAAAGTTGGAAGCTTTTGGGCTGCGCCCGGTCTGGCAGGAATCCAACTCTCTGGGTGTCATTCTGGGTCCCAGGTATCCATGTTGTTTTGAAGTAAGTCACAATCCTTAGGCCTCGCATTTTTATTAACAGAGCAATAGTATACAATGATCAATGTAAAAAATCCCCAAGGAATTCTAGGCGGGTAGCGAGCCCAGTCGTTCTATTTCTTGATAGCTTGCTATATGGATTTTTTAGCATCTTGTTCGACTATCTCGCTTCCATGTCTTTTATTATTCAAGATGTAGCCGGCACAGATTCCCGCTGCAAACGCTTGTTGGCAATGAAAAGAAAGACTACGGCAACTTTCCCGGCGACCTCGGAACACGTCACTCGCGCTGACGTCATTGCCAGCTCGTGTTGAAAATCCTTTAGGATCGCCGTTCCCCCGGACCGTCTCACTTCTCGAAACAACAGCAAGGCAATTGCTCTTCACTGATCGTACAACCCCGGCATATCTGGAATTCAATAATTGTCCGATCCCACACAGGGGCGACGCCTCAATGATATCGAGTCCCTGACGTCGACGAGCCTCATCCCCACCGCCATCATGCTACCGGAAACCCCACCTCGTATAGAGTTGGCCGATGTCACATCTTGGCAGTATTCCTCCTTTACTCGCCCTGAATAAAAGACCGCAGCCACCTCCCAGCTGCGCCAATCCCCACAGCAACCCTTCCCAATCCTCAATCATCTTCCACAATGCATCTCTCCGCCCTCATCCCCGCAACCCTCGCCCTCCTCTCGGCCATCCCACCAACCCACGCCGCCACCGCCACCTCCTCCTCCCTCCACTACCGCCTCCGCGCGCGAGTAACCGGCCCGCAAAACGCAACAACCCCCGCCGTCTCGGGCTGGGCGCTCGAGGTGCAACGGCTGGGGGTGCCGACGCGGCTGCCCCCAGACTACATGTGGGGGGTGCTCATCAACGCGACCTTCGCGCCCAGCCGGGGCGGCGACGTCTTCTACGCGCAGCGAACCGGGAACGGCACGTCATCATCATCATCGCACATCCGGACCGACGCGCCGAACAACTCCGGGGAAGTGCTTCCGTTCGGCATCACCGCGCTGGGGCGGAGCGCGTCGCAGGACTACCCGATGGACGGCGTGGAGATGAGCGCGGTGCGGTACATCGACGTGCCGCCGGAGGAGACGACGGACGTCGCGGTCGGCGCCGGCGGCGTGCCGTTCGTGCACAAGCGCGCGGGCGGAGGGGAGAATGGGACGTTTGCGGCTTGTACGGGGCTGTATAGCGAGTGGGCGACGTTGTATTGGATCGACGTGGCCAAGTACGGGACGGGGCCGATTTACAGCACCGGGGCCGACTATCAGGATTGCACGCCGGTTGAGCTGGTGCCCGAGTGCGTGGCTGGTGGACCGAGCTATGAGGGGTTGGAGGAGAGGCCCTGCGTTGCGGATGTGACGACGGTTTTGTAAAGCTTGCGAGCTACGATGACATGAAGGGTTAGGACGGTATATATATGTATGGAAAGGGTAATGTGTGTAATCTTACTGTTATGAATAATATAATGAGTTCGTCCTTTGGTTTTTCTCCCAGCCATTGGAAGACAAATATATCTTCTTCCTCGACTTGTCTGTAAGAGCATGCTTTTCAAACTCACATATGCATCTTGTTACACATTAGCGCCTATAACGATAAGATCATAGTCATTCTCACCTTGCAAACCCCGTTCCCCACTACTTCAAATGCCTCGAGTAAAAGGATCACAAAGGTTGGCCTAAGCCGTAGCCCCGAGAGCCGAGGAGCTGTGGAACGAAGAACTCGACAGGATTATTTAACTTCTTACCGCTGACGCAATCTTCGCTCATGGTACTTAGAAGCACAAAGAGCCCTATCTTGGAACTCCTACATTTACCCTTCCACATGTGAGTGACGGCCACAAAGACGTGACGGGCCAGGCGTTACCGCAGCCGAAGCTAGAGTCCGTTTCGCTAAAAGCAAAGAATGAAGCAAAAGGGACTGAAGTCCACTCCTTCTAAACCCGAAGACCCCTCACCGTTTCCCAAACCCAAGTTATAAGACCCTCAGTTCCCTTTACATAGAGATTTAAACAATACCAGCAAGCAACAACGACGGTGATGAATGTAGCATAGACAGTCAACATGATCAGAACTCCATCCGCGAAGTTCGCTTCATCGTTGGTTTCGTTTGACGAAGCTGAACCCATCGATCCTTCGGAACCTAGACCAGTATCCACTCTGTCTGGTGTGGACTTCTCTGAATGAGCAGCGTCCGGCTCCAAATGAAGGTCTGCCTTGCGTGAAAGAAAATACCGAGTCCATGAATACGACTTCCAGAGAAACGTAAACAAGCGATAGTAGACGAAGCGAAGGCCCCAAATAAGGCCGAGTATGAAAGTGGCAAGGATGATCAGGTAGAAGGGAGGGCGAGAATTAGATTCGTCGTTTTGCAAACTGCGAGACTTGGCCGCCTTCTGGCGCGCCAGTCTCTTCGCCGCGCGTTTGGAAGGTTTGGGGGCGTTTTTCTGGAGCTTGGAACCTTCTTCGTTCGCCTGCAGGTGCCCATACTTGTGCTGCGCACCCTTCCGTTGTTGCTTCTTCTCTGGTCCTTTGTCCTTTGGTTTGTTCTTCTCATTTCCTGGTCCCTCTTCCTCTGGTTTCTTCTTCTCCAGTTCTTCATTTTCTGGTCCTTCTTCCTCTGGCTTCTTCTTCTCTAATTCCTCCTTTCCTGATCGTTGCTCCTCCCGCTCTTTCTCCTGTAGCCGCTCCAAATGTTCGTACACCTCGGGCAGGAAATACTGGTACTGCCACGGCAGCGGAGGTGTGAACTGGTTGCCTGTATAAGTGTGTCCACGAATTTCAGCCGCACGCCGCCTGATCTCTTCGAAAACCGTTTGCTCAAAGAGAAAGTCCCTCCCAGAGTCATCGGCATCGACATTGAACATCAGACGGGCGGTTGCTCCTAAGAGCGCAACAGCCTTTTCTAGCTTCTGCAGCTGCAGCAACGTCGGATCGTACGGGTCGGAGACGATCTTGAGGGGGTACGCGCCGGGTTCGTTACAACTGGCTGTAAGGTAGAATTCCAGGGCCCGCCGGGCCGCACCATGGGATGCGAACGCGATGGAGGAGCTGTTATGCGACTCGTTCAAGATGACGGCGTTGATTTTCTGAACGTGGCGGGAGGCGAGCGGGAAGAGCTTGAAGTCGAACGTGTGATGGGGTTTCGGGCTGCCGTCTTCGCCGTCGATGAGACGGGGCGCGCCGTCGACGATGGTGGTGTAGGAGTTGCGGGCTTTTGTGACGGGGAGGTCTTCGAGGAAGGAGGCGGTCAGGTCGTAGGCGGAGTGCATGCAGCGGTGGAGTTCGCGCTCTAGGTGCCGACTCTCTCGCACGCCGGGGATGTTGTCCTCTTCTGTGTTGGGCAGGAGTGTGCTGCGGAGGACCGCTATGACCCTCGGGGAGATGGCGGAGAAGTTGTGGTACTCGGTGCAGGCCGTCGTGTTCTTTTCGCCGGTGAGAGGGTCGAGGGTGAAGCTGACGGGTCCTTCGAAAATGTCGTGAGCGTTCTCGGTGAGGAGAAACTCGTCGTCGGGGTTGGAAGGTGTGCAGAACGCCAGGTACATTGCCTGCATGTTAACGAAGGCCCAATCTGCGTCTCGGTGGTAGATTCTTTGCAAGATTTCGGCGAACCATGTTCCTTCTTTGTCGATCTTCACCTCGGCCATAGTCTTGATGTTGTCCAACCAGACTTCTATCGGTTTCTCGAACCCTCTCTCACGCATGTGTTGAAGCAGACTCCCCTTGTCCTTTGCGTTGTAGCTGTCGATGTCTTTGTCAAAGAAGCGCTTGTGTTGGTTGGATCCCCTATATCGCATGACGAAGAGAAACCTGCGTAACTCGTCTCGCTCCGAGCGCAGCAGTCGCACGGCTGAGAGCCCGCTCTCTTGCGCCTTACGAATCTTGTGGAATATCGGGGCTACAATACACTCGAGTTTGCCAAGTTGTATCTCAACATGCTGCTGGTTGACTGGTTTTTGGAAGTCTCGGTACATGTCCCTTTGGCCGAATGCGCGAGCCAGTGGCATCTCAGCCTTCTTGACTTCTGGCTCAAGCTGCAGGACGTTCAGCATGTCCGGGTCTATTCGTTTCTGGTGCTTTTGCTTTCGTTTCTTTGCCTTCGCTTTGTCGGAATAGTGGGCAAAGTTCCTTAAGATGAACCGGGGGACGTGGTGATGGTATTGCGAGCGCTCGGTTGACATGAGGCCAGTCGGTGGCTGCGGCGACATCGTAGCGGAGTCGCCCATGATGACTTCTTTCGAGGACAGTCGGTTGATGATGAGATGTGAAGTTGTAGAGTTTGAAAAGAGTGCGCGGACGAAGTGGCTGGGTGCGTACTTAAGCGCTGGAGAGCGTGCGGCGCAGTCGGCCAAGCAAGAGAAAAGACCAATCACATAAACAAATCGATACCCAACAAGCTTGATGAGAGACAGTCGAAGATCACTGCCTAGTCTCCGCATGTCACCGCCAGCCAAAGCCCCACCACCTACACCCCATCCCTCGCCCTCGCCCCCACCTCCGCCTCGCCCTTCCCACCACCCCTCCTCTCCTGATCCTTCGCCCTCGCCTCCTCCTTCAACCTCTCATCATCCCCCCTCACCAAACTAACCTGCGGCAACAGCGCCGCCGCCACAAAAAACGCCACAGCCGCCAACCCCGCATTGACATAAAACACGACCCTAAACCCCTCCCGATACGCCCCCTCCAACGCCCCCCTCACCCTCTCCACCTCTCCCGCGTCATCGTCCCCCATCCCCTCCAACACCCCCTCCGGATTCCTCAGCAACCGCCTCACCACCTCCTCCCCCAGCCCCAGCCCGCCCACCGCGCCCCCCACCGCATTATTCACCACCGTCCCCGCCACCGCCAGCCCCAGCGTGGCCCCCAGGTTCCGCACGAAATTCCGCCACGCCGTCACGACCGCCATGTCGCGGCGCGGCACGCCCGCCTGGATGGCGACGAGGCTGGGCTGCAGCGTGGCGCCGACCCCCGCGCCGGTGAGGATCGCGTAGCCGACTTGCTCGCCGACGCCGGAACGCGCGTCGAGCGTCGCGAAGAGACCCAGGCCGATGCTCCAGAGCAGCCAGCCGACGAGGACGGGCTCGCGGTAGCGCCCGGTCCAGGTGACGAGCAGGCCGGAGAGGGTGGAGCAGAGGGTTTGGGTGAGGGTGAGGGGGAGGAGGAGCGCGCCCGAGGTGGTGGGGGAGTGGGCGTACACGAGCTGGTAGAAGGTCGGGATGTAGTAGATTTGCGTGACGAAGTTCCAGCCGTTGATGAACATTGTTATGGAGGCGCCGGCGACGACGCGCGAGCGGAAGATGCGGACTGTGGGGGGAGAGAGAGGGGGGCGGTTAGCGGATGGGGGTGGTGGTGGTGGTGAAGGGGGAGGGGGGAAGGGAAGGAGGGGCTTACGGGGGACGAGCGGGACGCTGGTGCCTTTCCATTGCCACAGCACGAAGAGGATGCAGACGACGATGCCGACGACGAAGGAGGCGATGACGTGCGGGGACTGCCATGCGTATTCGCCGCCGGCCCAGGTGAGTGCCAGGACGAGCACGGCGGAGCCGCCGAGGGCGAGGACTGCGCCGAAGAAGTCGACGGCTTTGAGCTTGCTGGAAGGAGTTCAGTAGGGGGGCTTTTTGGTGGGGTTGAAAGACGCACAGTTTCCAGTCTCCTTCGACTTTCTTGAGAGGCATGAAGAAGACGACGCAGAGGACCATGATGACGCTGAGCGGGAGGTTCAGTCGGAAGATCCAGCGCCATGACTGTTCGGACTGCGAGGCGAGAGCACCGCCGATGACGGGGCCGACGCCGTTGCCCAGTGCTACGAAGGCGCCCTGGGGAAAAAGGTCAGTGTCGACGCAGGCGCTTGGGTGGGACTTTTTCTGCATACCAAGATGCCTTGGTATTTGCCTCTTTCACGGAGCGGCACGACGTCGCTGACGATGAATTGAGCCACCGTCATCAACCCTCCGCCGCCGACGCCGGTGAAGGCGCGGAACACGATGAGCTGGACAACGTCTTGGGCGAGAGAAGATGCCAGGGAGCCGAAGAAGAAAATGGCGATGCCGATCAACAGGATGACCTTGCGAGACCAGATGTCCGAGAGCCGTCCGTAGAGGAGCTGGAACGAAGTTGAGGTGCTGCAGTCATAGAATCAACATGACGCCGACATGTCCACTTTGGGCTGATGTACGCACACGAAGTAGGCACCCGAGATCCAGGAACTCTGATTGCTTGCATTGAGCGATCTGCCAATGATGGACAAGCTGGCAGCAAGGGACGTCTGGTCCAAGAGGGCGGCGAAGTCGATACTTGCGCATGCCAGGAACACCTGCATATTGTCAGACGGGGCCGTCATTTCCGTGCATGATGGTCAACCAACCGACACGATTCGCCTCTTCGGCAAGTACTTGGTCTGTTCATTGAACACGGGAGCCTTCTCCATGTCCGACTGTTCTCCGGTGACGGTGACTGCAGGAGACGGCGTTCCAACAGGCTCGGGACCCTCGTTTCGTTCACTCATCGTCGACGTTTTGCAGGTGTGGACCCGGCGAAGAGGAAACAGAAAAGCGAGCGCGGACTGATTTCACTCCAGGACAGAGAGCGGACGAGGCATGGGGTAACGCAACCGACGTAGCAATAACTCACCGACAACGGGCTCGGGTACCCCACGGCGCCAGCTAATGCCAAGACGTGCCGAAGTGATGATCGCTACGAGCCACCAAGGTACCTTCCTCAGCCAACGCTATCCGCGCCGATAAACAGTACGATAGGGTACCATGCTGGCCTCCTGCCCGAACAGAAGAAACACAGTCACTCCGTCCCACAATTTTCCAATTGCCGATGCGGTAAGAGATCGACGTGCCTGTCTCACTGCATATCTTATTTGCTCATTCTCCCTCAAGTCTTCGGGAAAATTCGCGGCTCCAGATGCACCAGCCCGAGGCGCGCCTGATTTGAGAGCCTTCTGCACGCGGCGACAGCTGCCCGATCCCACTTAGCTCACGAGAGATCTGCGGCAGTAGCTGGCTAGGCGTGCAACATCCCATCCACAAATAAACTCCTTCTGGCAGCTACGGCGTGGGGCATCCGGGAGTGTTTTTGAGCACCTTAATGTTCCTCGTACCCGTGCCGTTTGCTCTATATAATCGCGGGAATCCGAGCGGCTGCTTGTGACAGTAGCATTCCACGATACCGTCGCCAGCATGCATCCAGAGAACGAACTCAATGTGTACTCCGGAGAGGATTCTCTCAAGAAGTACTACGATCCCGACTATCAGCCCCCGCTTCCGTTGGTCGAGATACCGGCATGTCTCAATCCCTTCAGAAAAGATGGCGTACGCATCTACGCGAAGATGATGACCATGCTTCCGGCGAACAACGTCAAAGCACTGCCTGGTAGGTACTCAAAATGGCGCGAAGAGGGTCGACAACGCTGACTGGCGCCAGCCATGAACCTCCTCGAGAAGAGTGTCGAAAAGGACAAGACGAAGACAGTGATCGAGTACAGCTCGGGCTCGACCGTCATATCCATGTCCCTGGTCGGAAGGGTTTTCCACGGCATCGATGACACCAGGGCATACCTGAGCAACAAGACGAGCGATGCGAAGCTCAAGCTCATGCAATTCTTCGGCCTGAACATGTAAGGCCACGAGCTGTTTGGCGAGGAAGCTGTCACTCACTTTCCCATCAGCACACTGTTTGGCGGTCCCTCGCAGCCAGAGCCGCTCGACGAGAGAGGAGGGATACAAGCCGCCAGACGCAAGGCAGAGCAAGATGAGAGCGTGGTGAACCCGAACCAGTACGAGAACGACGCAGTAAGCTGTACTCTCGACCCCGGAAGCGGCTGGATGCTGACGAGAGCGCAGAACTGGCAAGCACACTACAAATGGACCGGTCCTCAAATACTCAGGCAGTTGCCCCAGATCAGCGTCCTCTGCGCGGGAATGGGCACGTCGGGCACAATGACGGGCATGGGCACTTACTTCAAAGACGCAAAGCCGTCCGTAGTCAGAGTGGGGTACGGAGCCGGCACCCGTCTCAAAGCAAACCCACCAAGCTGACACGGAAAACAGCGTCTGCACCGCAGCCGGAGACAGAGTGCCCGGCCCTCGCTCGTACGCGCTGATGTCGCCCGTGACATTCCCGTGGCGCAACGCCATCGACACCATGGAGGAAGTCGGCTCCACCGACTCCTACACCCTCTCCCTGGCTCTTTCCCGGGAAGGCCTAGTCTGCGGCCCGTCATCCGGGTTCAACCTGCAAGGTCAGTCCGCGCAAAGCCCCACCTCACCCCCACCCCCACCCCCACGACCACCACCCCGGCCACTAACACCCACCCACCCCCCAAAGGCCTCTACCAATTCCTCGCCAAACGCCGCGCCGCCAACACGCTCTCCTCCCTCGCCGACCCCTCCACCGGCCTCATCACCTGCGTCTTCCTCTGCTGCGACCTCCCCTACCAGTACATCAACGAGTACTTCGCCGCCCTGCCCCCCACCCGCTTCCACCCCATCGCCAACCGCAACCTCGCCGCCGTCGACCGCCACCGCTACGACGAGGCGTGGGAGCTCGACGACGGCGCCGCCATCGCCGCCGCGCTGCGGCAGTGCTGCGGGGATGCCGTCGATGACGATGAGAAGAGTACGGTCGTGCTCGACCTCCGCCAGCCCGCTGACTTCGCTGCTTGGCACCTCCCCGCCGCCGTCAATGCGTCACTGCCGTCCGTCACCGCGGGTGCGCCTAGCCCGTTCGCTGACGCGGCGACGCTGGAGGCGCAGTGGCGCGAGTTGGACGCTTGCTTTGTCGAGAAGCAAGTCGAGCACGGCGGCGCTGGGTGCGTGTTGGTGCAGCGGGCGGGGGCGGATAGGGGCAGTGTGGAGTTAAGGAAGGGCCGGCGGGTGCTGGTTGTGTGCTACAACGGTGACACGGCGCGGGTGGCGACGAGCGTGTTGAGGGCGCGGGGGGTGGAGGCGGAGAGCGTGAAGGGGGGTGTGGGGAAGGTGAAGGAGTGGTGGGGGGAGAGAGAGGCAGCGACGGCGGCAGCGGCAGCGGCGGCGGTGCAGCGGAGGGCGGCGCGTGAGAGGGAAATGCAAAAGACGACGTCGGCGTGTTTCGAGAAGGAGCAGGCGGCGGCGGTCGAGGTGCTGACGACGGCTTGATTTGGGCCGGCGGACTGCGCCGAGGATGGGGATCCGTAGCGAGGTGTTTTATGCGAGTGTTTCTGGATACCTTGGTGTCTCGTTATTGGTGATGTGTGGAGCTGACGTTGCTCGAGGCGGTGGGTGGGTGCGGGCGGCCCGAAGAGCAGGGAAGGGGGTGGTTGACCAATCAGGTAATCTGCTCAATTGTGCGCAACCCAGTGGACATGTCAACTTGCTCAATGGTGCGCGCGGCTGCTTTTTTATCTTGCTCGTCCGGTGGCTGACGTTGTCTTTCATTCCCTCACTGCAGGCTCGCATTGGGCGTTACTTCCGCAGCCCGATATTGCCGTCACTTGATTGGAACCCCCTCACCATCCCATGTGTGTCATGACCCGAGCTACACCTGCTCTCGCTTCACTGCCCGCATGCGGTCGGGAAACGTGCTCTCGTGGGGCGCGTCGTGGCTGCGTCGGCCTTTAACCAGTCCACGCTGCCTCAGGACCTCAACACCATCCTCGTCACTCTGGTCGTCGACAATGACATCGTTCTTGCTGCTGCTGGCGGCCGTTGTGCTGCCTTGTGCCGCCATGGACATGGACATGGGTGGTGGAGGCACCCCGTGGCTCGACACGCCCGTCATGCTGCACTCATCGCGGGAAGACAGCTGTGAAATGACGGCCGAGCAATGCGCCTACAGAAGTGGGTTTTGGAGATACTGGTAAGGCCACGATGAGCAGTGCATATCACGCGGCTGACGCAAAGGGGATGCGCAGGTACAAGGCCGACTACCGCTTTGCGCGCACCACGGTTTACTTCATCCTCGCCGTCATTGGCCTCTTCACCATCGGCAACATCGTCTCCAGAGTCACCCCTCAATCCGTCCGACGTAAAGGCTTCTGGCGCCAAACTCAAGCATCGCTGCGTTACGTGGGATATCGGGCTTACCGCGTTCGCGTCTTCGACTGGTACTCTCCTTCGCTGGCCTATCTGCTCGTCGGTCTTGCCGGCGCCGTCTTCTTCTTCGGTAGGTTATGATACTTGTTGTTCATCTTTTTCGGTGCTGATATGGTATCCCAGCCATGACTCTTGGCCCGCAGCCCTACTATTGGCCAAACACAAAGGATGGTTCCGTCTCTTATGGATCGTCGCCACCCATCGCAACCAGGACTGGCTGGATGGCAGTCGGCCTGCTCCCGTTTGTGGTGTAAGCAAAGCATTCCATCGCATTATCGCGCGACACTGACCACGCGGTGCGTAGTGTGCTGGCCGCAAAGGCCAACTGGGTCACAGCCTTGACCGGCGTCTCGCACGAGAAACTCCAGGTCTTCCACCGCTGGACCAGCTACGCCATGTTCGTCCTCGCCCTCGTCCACACATTCCCCTTCATCATCTACCACATCTGGTACGGCGACATGGTGAAGAAATGGAAGACGGACATGGTGTACTGGACCGGCGTCGTGGCCCTCATCTTCCAAACCTACCTCACCGTCATGTCCTTCGGCCCAATCCGGTACGCCCCACTGCCCTCCACCCCCGGCCAACCGACGCTAACCACACCCACCAGAAACCGCTTCTACGAATTCTTCAAAGCCACCCACTTCACCGCCGCCCTCGCCTTCATCATCTTCTTCTTCTTCCACTGCGACTTCCGGCTGACATCCTGGTTCGTCCGCCCCGGTCAATCCCCCCCAGTCCCCCCTTCACTAACCATTCTCCCCAAAAAAGGGACTACTTCATCGCCACCGCAACCCTCTACCTCTCCTCCCTCGCCTTCGCCCGCCTCCGCGCCGCCCTCGCCCGCGGCTCCGCCCACCGCGCCCGCCTCGCCCCCCTGCCCAACGCCCACCTCGCCATCTCCGTCCGCCTGCGCCCCGCCGACGTCGCCCGCCAGGCCGTCCCCGTCGACTTCGTCTGGCGGCCGGGCCAGCACGTCTTCTTGCGGTTCTTTTCTTCTTTTTCCCCGTCGTCGTCGATGTCGTCCGGACTGGGGTGGTGGTCGTGGTTGTCGTGGTCCGGGCATCCGTTTACCATCTGCTCGCTGCCGCCGCTGTCCGCGTCATACGGCGACGAGACGATGTCGTCGTCGTCGCCGCCGACGACTCGAGTAGAAGTCGGGAAAACCGGGGAGAAGATGACGATGACAACGACGGCGACGACGGCGACGACGGCGATGGTGGTGCCTGACGATTTCAATGGGGATCCCGTGCTGCGGTTCGTGGTCAAGCCGCAGGCGGCGGGCGGCGTGACGGCGCGGCTGTACGAGATGGCGCTCGAGGGCGCGGGTGGTGCTGCCGAGGTCGGCGTGATGCTGGACGGGCCGTATGGCGGGGTGCGTCCCGGGCGTGCTGCTGGGGGCGGAGGCGGCGCCCCCGGGTCTGACGATCGTGTTGCGCGGTCACGGCTTGCTGGGTTTGATCGCGTGCTCGTCGTCGTGGGTGGGTCGGGGGCTGGGTTTTCGATGCCGGTGGTGGAGGAGGCGTTGCGTGTGAGTACCAGTAGCAGCAGGACTGGGAAGGGAGGGGATGACGTGAGGAAGAGGGAAGTCAGTGTCGTGCTCGCGACGAGGGACGGGAGGACCCGGGCGTGGTATTCTGCCGAGATGCGCGCGTTGCTGGAGCGGTACGGCGTCTGCGCTGGCGGCGACGGCCATATCGCGGTCAAGGTGGCGGTGCATGTTACCGGCGAAGCCGAGGCGGACGAAGAGGCGGGGGTTGAGACTGCGGCTGAGGAGAAGAGGGATGATGGCGTCGTTGCGTGGAGGCGGGGCAGGCCGCAGTTGAGGACGGTCGTCGAGGAGTATGCGGCTGAAGCGAAGGGCTTGGCCGTTGCTGTTGCTGTGTGCGGACCCGCGGGGATGCTGTATGATGTGAGGAATGCGGTGGCCGAGGTGCAGAAGGGCGTGCTGAGTGGAAAGGGAGCAAGTGAGGTGTACCTGCATACCGAGCATTTTTCGTAAGTGGCTTGTCTGGCTTCTCCGTCGTGCAAACGCTTGCTGACATATTTTATCGCAGATGGTGATCAAGAGGTGGTGGTATCGAGTTGTGGTTACAGCAGGCCGAAGAAGAATTCGAGACTATAATAAGGAAGTTTTTGCCCGCATTCAAGACTCACGTCTTTGTGGAGACAATCGACTACACTACACGCGATTTCCAAACAGAGAATTCATCCTGAGATAGTCCGCATACCAGCAGTCAGTGTTGTCAGAGATACAGTAAAGTAGGACACACCCAACTTTTGGACTGTATCGCCAGCTTTCAAGCTTAGAGATTTCAATCTCCCACATTAGTGTCTCCTTATCTAGTCAGTCATGATGGAATGTGTTTGCACTGCTCCGTTTCGTGCTTGTCAAAGGGCGTAATAGTGCGCCAACACCACAAAAAGTGGGGCAAAGCTGACAAAGCGTCACTACTATCGTGAGTGAGTCAGCCACGAGCACAATAAAGCTTCCCTCCACTGCAGACCCAACCCTCCACGCAAATCCCGTTCATCCCGCACCCTCCCAAAAAAAACAAACCCCCCCGCAACCTCCAAGATGACCCCGCCTCGCCCCCGCCACGGCCTGCTCCTGATCGACATCCAGCAAGGCTTCGACCACCCGCCCCACGCCGGCACCCCGCGGTCGACCCCAGACTTCGAGACCAACGTCGCGCAGCTCCTCGCCCTCTACCGCGCAACCGCCGAGCCCGGCGACATCTTCCACGTCTGCCACCACTCGACGTCGGCTTCCTCGCCGCTGCACCCCAGCCGCGGGCACGTCGGCTTCCAGCCGTACGCCGCGCCGCTGCCGGGCGAGCCGACGTTTTCCAAAAACGTCAACTCCGGCTTCATCGGCACCGGGCTCGAGGCGGCCATCCGCGCGCGGGGCGTCACGGATCTGGTCGTCGTCGGCCTCACGACGGACCACTGCGTCAGCACCACCGTGCGCATGGCGGCGAACCTCGGCGTCGTGCCGGGCCGCATTCGGCTGGTCAGGGACGCGACCGCGGCGTATGAAAGGAGCGTCGATGGGCGGACGCATGACGCCGAGCTGGTTCAGTCGGTCCATTTGGCTAGTTTGAACGAGGAGTTCTGCGAGCTTGTCAGCACCGCTGATTTGATTCGGGAGATGGAGTCGGCCTGAGCTGCAGTCAACTCATCTTAATTTCAAGCGTGGTGGACGTATACACGCGAGTTTGTACGTTCAGAGCTGGTATTTATGTCGGGGGGTGGGGCGATGATGAAGGAGAAGTCGGGCTGGAACGCCGACGATTTGAAGTTTGATCATCACTGGTACATATCCTCATCGCCCTCAGCGCCCTCTCCGAAAGCTGCTGCTGCTGCTGCTGCTGCGGCACCACCATCGCCATCCTCAGCAACCGCTGCCTTTCCCTTCCCTTTCCCCTTCCCTGCCGACCCGTTCGCCGCCGACACCAAATGATCAGTCCTGATAACGTATTCATCCTCGTCATCCTCCCCATCGTCTTCCTCGTTGCCGATTCCATCCGCCGCTTCGTCTTCACCGTCACCCTCATCGTTCCCAACGCCCGCCTTCCCTTTCCCTTTGCCCTTCCCCTTCCCTTTACCCTTGCCTTTACTCTTCCCGCTTCCACCACCATCAACACCATTAACCCCAGCCGCCGCTGCCGCATCCCCAACAGTGATGGCCCTCTCCTTCTCCTTTTCCTTCGCCTGCCCCTCGAAAGTCTTCCTCACACGCTCATAATGGCTCAGCTCATCCACGCTCACACTCGGCACGAGCTCCTTCTTGGCGTCGAGAAAATCCTCTTCCGTGACCATGACGGCGGTATCCTCGTCGGTCGCGAGGTGGTCGAAGAAGTGGGCCGTGGTGATGGGTTGCTGTTTCGATACCGAATCCGGGTGAAGACCTGCAGGGGCTGACGCACGCTCGGCATTGATCTGCTTGACCTTTGCGTCCACGGCGTTGGCTTGGCGAGTGATGGCCTTGAGCATGGCGTCGGAGCAGAGTGCGTACAGGTCGGCGCCGGTGTATGTGAAGGGGAGGAGGGAGGCGATGCGGGCGAGGGAGAGGGAGGGGTGGAGTGAAAATCTGTTTGCGTCAGTGTCAGGATCAGGGAGAAGAAAGAGATAAAAAAGCAAAGGCTAGGCTGGGAGAGGGAGAGAAAGAGGGAGGAAAACTCACTTCCTTGTCAACGCCTCCAAGATCGTCTGTTGCTTCTCGTGCGTATCGCTCACGCCAAGGTACAGCATCTTGTCGAACCTTCCCGGCCTCAGCAGCGCCTGGTCGAGCAAATCCGGTCGATTCGTCGCACCAATCACAAAAACACCCCCACCCCCACCATCCCCATCGCTCATCCCATCCAGCTCTGCCAGCAACTGACTGACGATGCGGTCCATGACGCCGCCGCTGTCGCCCTGGTTGCCGCGCTTTGGCGCAACGCTGTCCAGCTCGTCGAAGAAAACAACACACGGCCTCGCGTCGCGCGCGCGCTGGAAGACGCGCCGCACGTTGGCTTCCGACTCGCCAATGTACATGTTGAGCAGCTCGGGTCCCTTGACGGAGAAGAAGTTGAGCGAGAAGGACGTCGCGATGGCCTTGGCGAGCAGCGTCTTGCCCGTGCCGGGCGGCCCGTAGAAGAGGATGCCGCTGCGCTTCTTCATGCCGCGGGCGAACAGTTCGGGTCGCTGGAGCGGGAGCTGGATCGTTTCGGTGACGGCTTCCTTGACGTTGGTCAGGCCGCCGACGTCGGACCATTGCACGTTGGGGATCTTGGGCGCGCCGATGGCGTCGGCAAAGTTCTTGCGCGCGGCGTCGACGGCGGCGCTGAGGTCGGCCGTTGTGAGACTGGCGGTTGCGGATCCACCCGCCAGTTGGACATCTTGGATCGTTAACAAAGCCGCGTCTTGAGGGAGATCCTGGTTCGCGGCGGCCACGATGGCCTCCAAACGGTTGTTCTTGGCTACAAGAGCGCGGTCGATCACGTCGACCAGGTCGCCAGCAACCAGGGCAGCAGTCTTCACGGCAATGTTAGAGAGATCAACGTCAGCTGAAAGCCGGATTCCGCGGTCTTCTACGATACCCCGGAGGATGCCTTCTCTTTCTGCCTCGTCTGGAGCCGCCATTTCGAGCTCATGCGTAAAAAGGCTCCGAATGCCATCAGGGACTTTGTCGACTTCGGTGGTTGTTGCAATCAGCACTCTTGAATCGGCGAGGACTTCCTTCAGAGCCACAACGATCCGGTCGGCGTTCAAAGCTTCAACATGTCTCAGGAGAAGGGCGGTGTATTGCGAGCCGCAAGTTAGCGCTCGATCTGCACGCGCCTTGAGGAATGCTTCGGTCTTGACATCGCCCCCACCAGAGCCACCCTCAGTGAGGATGTCGAAGGAGTCAATCGAGAAGGAGTGGAGACCGAGATCCGCACATGCACTCTCTGCTATTTTCGCCTTGCCAATTTGGCGCTGGTTGGACGTGATTAGAATGGCGAGAGGCGGCAGTCCTAGATGAATAGCACGTGGGCTTGTGGCGGCCATGATTAATTCTCTTAAGCGACGTCTGAGTGGAGAAGTATGAGAGCCAGGTAAATCCGCAAACCCGACGGGCTTTCCACCGGGAGAGGTCTGGGAGACTGGAACTCGCTTTGCCCCAAGATAATATTGCCAGGAACTGTTGGTGATAGCAGGGACCTTGCCCTGTTCGCTGCCAGCTTGAACCATTTTAGTATTTGCTGCATCGACCGACACGGTTCCTCCCCAGATGTCGTCGGATTGATCGCCGTCCTCCCTTGCTTCGGCTGAAAAAGATGAAGTGACGGCGCCTACTTTGAACCATGCCACGCTCTTCAGACTTGAGGCAGCATCTGGGCCAGAGTCAGTAGACCCGTCTGCCTTTGGCCTTGAGAGCAGATCCTCCGACCCGGGGTCTCCTTCAGGGCTGGTACCCTGATAAACAGCTCTTCCCAGGGCCTCGTCTACAGCGATGCCAACAATGTCGCCACTCTTGACTATACGACGCTTCTGCTCAAAATAATCCTTCAGACCTGCAAACAGGCTCGGCTGCAAGAATCGGTCGGTCGAGAGAGGCGTGGAAAGCTTGAGTAGAGTGACTTCTTTGGCAAATGGAGGGAGTGAGGAAGAAGTGACCTTTGGCCGTTGGACTGTGGATTTCGGAATGCCAGGAGGTGGGGGGTATTGCAATGCTGAGATGCGGAGGTGAGAGGGGCTGCCAAGGTTGGCCAACAATACTGGAGATAGATAGGCAGAACTTGTGGTGGTGCTGGTAGACCGCAGGGCCACGCTGGACATGCGCTGATGGGAGGATCGGATGACCGGATAGCGGGCGGTCTTCTTCACCATATTCTCCGGTAAACCAAAAATCTTGACAGTTCGGTAATCCGGTTGATCCTCTTCCTCTTCCGAGAAAGCATTTGCCAGACCCCATGAGCCCAGACCGTGACCCTGGGGCTCTTCGGACGCGTTGATACGCACCCAGTCACCAGAGAAACATCCGACTTTGACCAACGTATTGGTATCGACGAAGACGCGTGCCTCTTCGTCGTCGTCCGAGCCGGGCTTTGGATGCACCATTTCGTCCGGTATTTGCTCCAGAAGACCCACGGCTTTGAAGAGTCTGCCCTTTGCACCGCCGCGTGCTGTTGCGGAGGTAAAGGTGGAGTAGACTGAGCCTGCGCCAGGACTCATCATGCCTGTTGTCTGGAACCCGCCAGCGCGTGGAGTGGCCGATGTCCATGCAGACAACACACCGGAAGATTGCGGAGGCAGCATTGGAGCGCTCAAGGATATCATGTCGTCCGAGTCATCGGAAAGGTCGCCCACATCGGAGCCCGAGAGCTCTGACTCCAGGTTGTCAGTGGTTGAAGCCTCATCCTCGCTCGGAGGTGACGGCGCATCCGACGAAGTGCGGTCCTCGGCGGCCGAGTAAAACATCTCGTTGGACGTATCCTCGTCCTCGGTGAAACCACCAGCCCGGCGTGGGCTAGGTGCAGCATCCCGAGCGCGCTTCGCCCCCTTGGAGCTGCGTGAATGTAGAACGACGATCCTCGTGCTCGGCAACAGCAGGCCTTGGGCAACCGGCTCGCAGGACACGACACGGGCGGGCGGCGGAGGCTGGTGGGTGATGGGGTGGCTTTCGATGGGGAGAGGCAGCCGATCATTCGTGTGGACGATGCTCGGCACCTGGAGAGCTTTCCGCACAGCCTCCCTCCAGGCACGCTCCTGCTGGGCAGGGTCCGTCTTCGTCTGCACGCCGTTGGACCGCAGCTGTTTGGCCTGGGTATCGAAGCCTCCGCCGAACTTGGCCTTCACCTCCTCCAGCTTCCGCAGCCCATCGGCATCGATGCTGACGTATACAGTTTCCAAGCCCAGCGGCACCGCGTCCAGAATGCGAATCTCCACGGGGGAATCGCGGCGTGGCGGGCGGTTCGGGGCGGCGGCGTGCAGGGCGTGGGCGAAGGATTGTAGAGACAGCGACTTGGCGGGGAATTGGAGCGAAGAGTGCGGCAGTGATGCGGCCTGGTCGGACTTGTCTTGAGGGCGGACTGGTAGGATGGTCCACGAGCAGGACGAAGGCGAGCTGGCGGAGCTAGGCACCCATGGGGTGATGGCTACATGGTAGATGCGGTTTGCGTCGCCGGCGGGAGACTCGGCTGGACAAAGCCGGTCAGCATGGAGAGATGATACAGGCGATCAATTGGGCATACCGGAAGCGCGAGGTGCTTTGGGAAACAGGTCATGGAAGAGGTCGTCGGAGAGCACGCCAACCTCGCCCTTCAGGCGGTCGTCGGGGAGCAGGCGAGCAGAGATGGCGGGTTTGTCCTGGCGTCGTCTCCTGCGGCGCCGCCTGCGCTGGTTGAAGGCGGCGTCGACGGCCATGGCGAATGGGTGTGATGCGTGGAGAGAGTCGCGACGGACGAGCTCGGCGTTGGTCGCACTGCTGCCAGCGTCGCACGCGCTGAGGCAGCCGAGGTAAACGGGCACGCGCCGAACCTGGGGCTCGCTCTATGCAGAAACAGAGCCGCCTCGGCCGTGGGTGTCACTGCAGCGACTTAGCAATTGCCGGACTACTTGTTGGCTGCAGCCCGAACATGGCCTGTCGAGAGCACCCTTCCACCCCAGACGATCAGCCTGCGCGGCTTTCACATGAAAGACAGGTGCATCATGCGGCGGGCGGAATGCCAAGCACCAGGACTGCACCACGGCCGCTGACATAATCTGCTTCTTGCACTGGGACTCGGCAGCCGTGTGCCCGCCCAGACGCAGATGCACTTGAACCACGTCATGGGTCATTCCCGCTAATAATCTCAAGGCCGGTGAGTGCGCCACGGCTCGCCAACCCGGAACCACACGCAAAAAGACGAGAGACGCGCTGCACTCGGACGGACGGGGGAAACGTCGCATGTTTCAAGGCGCAGAGTGCCCACATATGTTGTTGGATTTCGGCTCACCGAGCCGGCCGGTGCACGTCAGACGCAGCGAAACAGAGCACAATGGGTCCGGAAATAGCTGGTTGATGGCAGAGGAGGCTCTCCGGCGGCGGCAATTGGCATCGCGCACGGGTTTTGCGCTAAAGTCAGGGATCGTCTGCCCGCTCCCGCCCTACGTCATCCACACTTGCGCCTACCAGCCATCGTGCCATGGCGCGCAGCATCTACCTCTTTCAGCCCTCTACCGCGCAATCTGCGCCCTCGGGCGCCGGATCCGCCTGAAGATCCTGCGCCTCTGACCCAAACTCTCTCAGCTGGCCATTTCCAGCCTTCTTCCGCTCATTGACTTATGATACCCTGCGTGCAGCCTGTCCAGCCAGCTTCGCTCCCTCCACTGCCCTCCCGCAATCCGCTACGATGCCTTCCAAGACATCGGCAGCGAAAGAAAAGGCAAAGCAGACCGTGCGATCGAAAGCCGAACCTGCCGTCGAGTTCGCCCAACAAGCCCAGCGTCTGGGCCAGAAGTCCCCCGACCAGGAAGATGCCCAGTCCGGTTCCACCCACGCCGTCGAGGCCCGCTTCATCACCCCCCAGGACCCCGTCATACAGACTGCGAATGGCGGACGCTTGCCCGCCGTGCCCGTCGAGGAGGCCGTCAAGCTGAATAAACTGAAGGATGTGCTGGAGGACCGCGACCCCGCCGAGAGCATGCCCCAGGAAGGCCGCACGCGCGAGGCAAAGGATGGCACTATACACGGCGCTCGCCCGAACCGCGCCAGCTTGGAGTCGGGTGAGACGCAGGACCCGGACGCCCCGCTAAGGGAAGCTGTGCCCGTGTCCAAGACGAACCCTCTGTTCCCGCCTTTGCCTGTGTATGGACCGTCGGGGATGCTCCGCAATCTGCAATGCTTCTCGTTCAGAGTGTCATCTGCTATCCTTTCCTTCCTTTTTCTGTATATCATAATGCTAGGATCAATGGCCACCAGCATCCCGCTGCTGGCTCAGTATGTTTGGCGGATAATCACCGGCCGAGACCCCAACATGTACCGGCCTTTTTACGAGGAGGAAAAGAGACGGAAGGCGGCTAGAAGGGAGGCTGAAAAGGCGTGGAAGAAGCACGAGTGTCGGGATAAAGCCATTGACGCAAGAACGGCAGATCATGAGGACTCACCGGGGGAGAATGAGGAATTCGTGCCCACGGAAGGCGGCCCAGATCCGCTTGTTTGTGACATTGGATATTATGCCCGCCGTGTTGGCCTCGACTGCGAGACCTTTAGTGTTCAGACCGAAGATGGCTTCATCATTGACCTCTGGCATATCTACAACCCCCGCGAGCATCGACCAGCTTCCACGCCGGTGAGGGCACCGCATTCCCCAAACGTCTTCAACAACAACGACAAGTCCACGGACAGTGCTGACGGATTCCCCTTCGGAAAGAAAAAGAAGAAGTATCCAGTACTCATGATGCACGGGCTCCTCCAGTCATCCGGCGCCTTTTGCTCGAACGACGACGACAGCTTGGCCTTCTTCCTCGCCAAGTCCGGGTACGACGTCTGGCTGGGCAACAACCGATGCGGCTTCACCCCCCGCCACAACCTCCTCGACTACAGCGACCCGCGCATGTGGGCCTGGAACATACGGCAGATGGGCGTCATGGACCTCCCCGCACTGGTGTCCCGCGTCCTGCACGAGACGGGCTTCCCCAAACTCGCCCTCATCGCCCACTCCCAAGGCACCACCGAAACCCTCGTCGCGCTCGCCAAGGAGCAGCGCCCCGAGCTCGGCGACAAGCTCAGCGTCTTCTGCGCGCTCGCCCCCGCCGCGTACGCCGGCCCGCTGATCGGCAAGATGTACTTCAAGTTCATGCGCATCATCAGCCCCGCCATGTTCCGCATCATCTTCGGCATCCACGCCTTCATCCCCTTCATGATGCACATGCACGCGTTCCTGCCGGGCAAGTTCTACGGCGCCATGGGCTACCGCATCTTCTCGTTCCTGTTCAACTGGACGGACGAGCGGTGGGAAAAGGACCTGCGCAACCGCCTCTTCCAGTTCGCGCCCGTCTACGTCTCGGCCGAGAGCATGCGCTGGTGGCTGGGCCGCGAGTGCTTCGCGTCGCAAAAGTGCATCCTGCAGACGCGCCGCGAGAAGGAGATGGAGGAGCGCGAAGACCGCGACGAGAACGAGGCGCAGCGGAAGGCGGGCAGCGGCGCCGGCCCCCAGCAGGAGCAGCGCATGCGGGACTACTACAACAAGGACACCGCGCGCGGCGAGCACACGACGTCCCAGCCCCTGGAAGCTTCGTCGTCTTCGTCGTCGTCGTCGTCGTCGTCCTCATCCGACGAGGAGCATGACCACCACCACCACCGTCCCCACCGCCGCGACCGCGGCCGCTTCGCCTGGTACGACCATCACGCGCCCCCGATGGCGTTCTGGGTCGCTGGCGCCGACGATCTGGTCGATGGCCGCCGCTTGCTGCGGCGCTTCGAGCGCGGGCGCGAGCCGTTTGTGGATGTGGTTCACAGCAAGATCATCGAGGGGTACGAGCATCTCGACGTCATTTGGGCCATGGATGTGCTGGAGAAGGTGGGGAACGAGCTGAGGGAGGTCATTTGGAAGACGGCGCCGGAGGAGGCGAGGGAGGCGTGCAGGGTGCCCGAGGGCTGCGGGGATGTAGGGCGTTGGGAGGGGGGGAGGGCGAGGAGGGGGGAGAGGGAGGGGAAGGGAGGGGAAGCGGGGGAGAATGGGGATGGGGATGGGGATGGGGATGATATCGAGGAGGTGGGGCGGCGGCAGGTGGCTAATGTTGGTATAGACACGTCGTCGGGCGAGTGGCGGGAGGAGGTTGCGAATGCGGACGAGGTGGATAGGAGGGTGGCGACGGCGTGAAAATTGGCGGATAGATGGGTGATGGTGTCGTTGGTATCGTTGGCGTCTTTCTCCCTCGTTCTACTTTGTTCCCGTGGTTGGAGCGGGCCCGGTCTGGATTCGTTCTTTTCTTTTCCTTAGAGATACCTCATGGCTTGCTTTGTTTTGGCTGGGAAGACGAGGATACACTGGTATACGTATACATAGACGTAGTTATTAATTACAATCCCGGCATCAACATGCATGCGTGGACTTATTGGTTGACGATGGCTATGCACCGATGTACGGTTTTGGGGGTATGCGGTATTCTTCTGCAACTGCCAGTGATTCTGATCAGCGATCGCCTGCGCGAAAATCAGTCGAGGTCTCCAGAATCTTTCGACGAACGGGGCTAGGGGAGCGTTGGAAAAAAAAAAAAGTAACGGACCTTCGCTCTCATCACACATCAGCAGTAGTGGATGGTGCGGGTATATGATGCGACAGCCCTGTCGATCAACGGCAGTGAGACGGCAGTGCTCGGCTCAAACAAAGGGGTCTTCCCGAGCTGGCCGGCTCTGCGCATCGGCGTCGGGGAAGGGCTGGGCTGGACCCACAGCCAGTCAGAGGCGCGCAGATTGACGGCTTGTCATGCGCAAGCCAAGGCAAGCCAAGCGATGTTCGATCCCCACCTCTCAGAGCTTATGCAGCCCAGGGGGGCGGACGACGCAAATCTTCGCAGCGGGCAGCAGCCGAAGAGTGCAACGGCATGGGTGGTGGTGGCTAGGTTTGGGATGGATTGCGCGTTCATGTCAGTCTCGCGTTGGATGCGAGCGGGTGGAGTGGACAGGACGGGGGCGGATGACGGTGGTGGGCTAAGGAGAGCGGCCACGAGTTTACGGCGTGGCTTTTTTCCCCAGGTTCTTCATCCGCGATCCGATCCAGCCGGAGGGGGTGCGAGTGAGCGCACAGGCGCGTCAAAACTGCCGGGCTGCTCACGGCTCTCGGCTACCTCGATCTCAAGGTCGGCCCCAAGAATCGGCTTCAACGCCCATGCTCTGATTGGCTGCGCAAATTAGCTCGGTGGAAGCTCCTCCCTTCCATCACCACCGCGACAGAAGACATAAAACCCTCCATGACAGCCGCGAGGTTAGGCTGGGAGCCCCAGCGACGGATTTCCAACTCCTTTTCCGCCCTCTGCCGCGCGGCCCGCTTGCGACGCTGTCGTCTCAATTCTCACCACCACCGCTGCTCCTGCCATCAACACCACCCGCTGTCTCTCACTCCTCCCCCGCCGACCCGCCGCACCCGGCGACGTCATCTTCCACCACCGCCGCTGCCGCCATGATCCTCGACGTCCTCTTCACGCCGTGGGCCCTGCTCGCCCTGCCCGTGCTATACTACCTGCTGCCGTACCTCCGCGACAAGGCCATCCGCGACATCCCCGCGCCCTTCCCTGCCCAGTTTTCCAACCTCTGGCTGCTGTGGCAGGTGCGCAAGGGCAGCCGCTACCTGGCCGTGCACGATGCCCACAAGAAGATGGGCAAGATGGTGCGCATCCAGCCGCACCACGTCTCCATCGCCGACGTCGACGCCATCCCGCTGATCTACGGCCACGGCAATGGTTTCCTGAAGAGGTGAGCGCCCAATTGGGATGCCGGGGGACTTGTTTGCTGATATCCCGACTCCCAGCGAGTACTACGACGCCTTCGTCTCGATCCAGCGCGGCCTCTTCAACACGCGCGACCGCGCCGAGCACACGCGCAAGCGCAAGACGGTCGCCCACACCTTCTCGGCCAAGTCCATCGGCCAGTTCGAACAGTACATGCACGGAAACCTCGAGCTGCTGGTCAAGCAGTGGGACCGCATGGCGAAGGAGTCGGGCGGCTACGCCCACATGGACGCCCTGCACTGGTTCAACTACCTCGCCTTCGACATCATCGGCGACCTGGCCTTCGGCGCCCCCTTCGGCATGCTGGAGAAGGGCAAGGACTTCGCCGAGGTGCGCGAGAGTCCCGACGCCCCGCCGCGGTCCGCCCCCGCCATCGAGGTGCTGAACCGCCGCGGCGAGGTGTCGGCCGCCATCGGGTGCATGCCGTGGATCAAGCCGTGGGCCAAGTACTTCCCGGACCCGTTCTTCTCCAAGGGCGTCGAGGCGGTCGAGAACCTGGCCGGCATCGCCGTGGCGCGCGTCAAGCAGCGCCTCGACAACGCCGACAAGATCGACCGCGTGGACCTGCTGGCGCGCCTGATGGAGGGCAAGGACGAGACGGGCGAGAAGCTGGGCCGCCAGGAGCTCACCGCCGAGGCCCTCACCCAGCTCATCGCCGGCAGCGACACCACCAGCAACACGTCGTGCGCCCTCCTGTACCACTGCCTGCGCAACCCCCACGTCATCACCAAGCTGCAGAAGGAACTCGACGCCGCCATCCCGAACATCGACACCGTGCCCGAATTCTCCATGGTCCGAGACCTGCCATAGTAAGCCGACTCCCTTTGCCCCCTCCCCTCCCCTCTCCTCCACCCCAATCGTCGTCTCCGTTCGTTCGCTCGTCCGCTCGTTCTCCCGTCGCTAACAAGGGACGTTTCCCCCCGGCAGCCTCGACGCCGTCATCAAAGAGACGATGCGCATCCACTCGACGTCGTCGCTCGGCCTGCCGCGCATGGTCGTGGGCCCGGGCATCACCATCCTCAACCGCCACTTCCCCGCCGGCACCGTCCTCTCCGTGCCCTCGTACTCGATCCACCACTCGACCGACATCTGGGGGCCCGACGCCGACGCCTTCCGCCCCGAGCGCTGGGAGCGCGTGTCGGAGAGGCAGAAGCAGGGCTTCATCCCCTTCAGCTACGGGCCCCGCGCCTGCGTCGGCCGCAACGTCGCCGAAATGGAGCTGGCCCTCATCGTGAGCACCGTCTTCAGGCGCTACGAGTTTGAGCTCAGGCAGGGGGAGATGGAGACGAGGGAGGGGTTTTTGAGGAAGCCGTTGGCGTTGGAGGTGGGCATGAGGAAGAGGGTGGCGTGAGTGGGCTTTTTCTTTTGAGTTTTTGTGGTGTGGGGAATGCTGAAAGGGAGTGTGTGACGAGGCTGGGGATTGGTTGCCTGTGTCTGAGGAAATTGGGGTGTGTGAGGGCTTTGGTTTGGGCCCCTTCCCCCCGTGTTAAAGTTTTCGTGGGAGCGAGCATGGTTTACAGGGATGAAGTGCCGATCGATGAATCTCGGGGGCGCGCTTTTCTGGGCGTTGTACAGCTTTTTCGTAGGTGTATGAGTGATCGTTTATGATACATATTTATTGTAACGCAATAGATTTCCATCCCGTTGAAGGGGCTTTTTAACAAAGTACTGCAGGATAAAGTTATGGATGAGCTACCTTGGATACATGGTGGCTGGCTCTCCAAGTTGATTGCGGTGCTTGGTTGTGCTGCTGAGGGGTTTGCTACACTTTGAAGTCGTTGGAGTCTTTGGCGTGGGGGTTATGTTCGTGGACGTGTTCAATGTGTATTGAAGGGACTGCGGGCGGTTTCAGGGGAGTGTTGTGATACATTCAAGTGTTTGGAGCGTTCTCGGTGTATTGCTGGTCGTATCACCGGACGTGTGCCATGTGTGCTCAGCAGGACGGTTCCCAGTCGGGAGATGGTATTGTAACGGCTTGGGGAACTTGCGCATCATTGAACAGGAATCTGCTGTCTAGATCTTAATTGTATGTACGTACAAAACAGACCTGCCCGGCAAAACAAAAAGAACGAAAACAAAATAGAAAGGAAAAGAGGAAAATGGACAAATGCCAGCTTGTGTGTGCATAAGGAAACCCTCCGAATGGGATTCATGGAGACTACACAATGGTGAAGTCATAGATGTTGCAGTTGAATGGTTCAAGCTGGCTAAGCAGCTCATTGTAGTCTTCGTCGCTTTCCCAGATGTCCACCCGCGCAAAGGTCTCCTCGAGGTTGAGAGTACCGGATTTCCTGACACATGCCGATTGGATTTCGTCTTGATTGCCCAGGATAGTGAAGAAATCAAGGGCAGATGGTTCTCTCAGGGGGCCGAGAATGTTGCCGATTCTTTCGAAATGATGCAAACCATCTGACGTAGGCGCGAGGATCAACCCTTTGGTTGAGACTTCGGATATAAATTGTAACGTCGCCTCCACAGGCATCAAATATACCTCAAAGGGGAAGCCGTTCTTGCGATTAGATCCCCCATCCATCCTTGCTGCGAACTCGAGTTCATGGCCTGCCCCGGATAATCTCAGCGAGCAAAAGCCACCGCCGTATTCTAGCAGTGAGGCTGTGAGAAGAGGGCCGCTGCAATGAAGCTCACCCTCGATGCGTGGAGCATAGTCATTTTCTTGATGTATGACGACATCCGTGATAATGGCCATATATCTGTTCATAGAAAACTCCCAGTCAACAGGAAGACTTACAGGCCCATCTACAGATGCCCAGCTCCATGAGGGTGCTCGATGATCCTCACCAGTCGCACGAACCGTAGATCCACTTGCAGGGGACCAGCACAGGTGACGGATGATGATATCCTTCCAGAATCCGGCACAGTATCTGCCAGCAGTATCACCATACGCCTCAGAGACTTTCCGTGCCAGTGCAGCAATGGCGACCAGTTTGTCAGACGCATTCGTCAGTTTGGATCCGGTGTAGCTTGCGACAATCTTATTCCAGAGATTCGCAAGATGAGCTGGATCCTTAGTTTCCACGTTTGTCAGCCGGTACAAAGCTGGCGGCTTACTTGTGCACTTGAAATCTAGTGGAAGATGCTCAGGGAAAGCCTCGGAGCTTGAGAGGATGTTGCATTCCCAAAACACTTGCTCAGAGCAGAAATGCACCACCCGTGGAGACAAACAGCGTTCCTGGAGAACCCATGCTCTTCGGTTGACCGAGCCATTTTCGACCTCGTCATCCCAATCATGTTCACAATACCAAGTATACATCCCTTCAGGGATGATCGGATGACCTGGTAGGACTGTCGCATGAGAAGGGAATACAGATCTTCCTTCACGGAACAATCCCTCAGATGAGTTTTTGGCAGATGTTGCAGAGATGTTCAAGTACGAGTTACTGTAAACTTCCCACATCGTGTTTGCTTCTGTCTCCCAATCTTCTGTGCAGTTTTGAATGATGCACAGTGAGTCAATCCAGATGTAACGCTTTCCGAGCACCTGCGTGAGAGTTATGGCGTCCGAGAATGTTGCTGGGAGCCTTTGCATTGGGAGCGCTGTCTTGAACTCTTCGAAATTGTCTGTAGTGAGTGTCAGATGATTGGCCTCGCCCCAGCAATGGCTCAGTGTGAGGTAGACGTCTCCTGGATCCACCTCAGTTCTCTCAACGATTCTGACTGGACGTTCAACACACACTAGCCTCGAAGGGAGGAAGTGAGGGTCCTTTAGTCGTACTGCCCCACAGTCATGCGCGGAGACGCATTTCTTGAGCCATGTCATAATTTGGTCGAACGTCTTCCTGGAGCCAGTGGATTTTCCGAGTGGTAGGTGTTTGGCTTTTTCAAAGTCTCCCGAGGTCATTATGAAGCTCTTTGTAGTCTGAAGTAGATGTACTTACTACCTATCTTATCGAGATGAATAGGAGCTCCCCGAGCAATCAGACCATAGTTGTAATCTCTTAAACTAAACGTAATAACGGCAGATGATGATCGAAAGGAATTATGATCCATCCTAACTTCGATCGTTGGTGTCTCTGAGTCCGAGAATCTGCGTCTTTATGGTCATACCGCATTAGCATTCATTTAGAAGTTACTTTCCACATACATGTTTCGACGTACCTCGCGTGTCTATCAAAGGGGACTTTAGCCTTTTGCCAAAATAGCACGCAAAACGGACACCCGAACAATGCAGACGATTGAAGGGTTTGTACATCGCTGTGAAATAAGCTCTCAGTTGTACGCTTTCCCCGGTAGCCATTTTTGACTTGATCCATAGGAATACCGTCAAGCCCCCCGTTCAGCAGTCTCCTGCAGGCCTGGCAGAATGCTGCGTTGAGTCCGTCTTCGAACACAGCTTGAGAAGCGAGGTCCAACAGATCGTAAAACGACTCCATCTTTGGGAAGAAATTATTCCACAACCATGCAGGGTTTTGACCTCATCGGAGGGGAGGCAGAGTGAGAAGAAGGAAGGGGGTGGTTGAAGACGACGAGGGAATCGAAGGCGAAGTTGGGGTTCCGTCGAAGCTTTCGACTTCTCGCGCGCAGCAAAGGAAGTGCTTCAGCCTGAGCGGGGTAATGTGGTCGCACAAGCAGGCAGCAGCTGCAAGTCAGCCTCGCCATCCATTTGGTGTCACCAATGAAAATGCAGGCGACGCGACAGAGAAGTGGGGAGCCCGGTGACAGAAACAGCTAGTATGTACACGCTCAGTCTGTATAACTTGACAGGAAGTGGTTTTCAAGGAACAGCTGGCGGTATATATACTTGGATATACAATTTTCACGGGGTGGGATGCGATACATGTTTTCCCTCTCGTCCTTATCTGACAAAGATTTGAGTCATTCGCTGTCCTAGGGAGAAGAATAATGGATGGATTACAATACGAGCGTTAGCTTCGGAGAGTCTGCTGCCGACTCAGCCTTGCGTCTCAAACCTTGCTATAGAACGAGGCTGCGAGTAAGAATGTAGACGATAGCCGCCCCATGCTGATTGGTGCAGAAGCGGATGGCGGGAACATGAGGTGTGAGTACAACATCAAACAACAGCCTTGTTTGTACTTACTGATCTGTGTCATCTTGTGTTTCGTGAAGTGTAAATCTAGGTAGGCCTGTAATGCGGTCAAGTTTTGGCCCGTCCGGCCGCGGTCTGGCCAGATCCCTCGACGGATCGAAAACAAAGCTTCGCTGTCGGTATGACTGCGCCAAATCCATGCACAGTGGAATACTGTACGTACCATACAGACTGGGGAGGTCCAACTGCAGCCCAGCTGGCTCTTTAAGTCTTGCAGTCGCTTAGTGCGTCAGTTTGGGGTCCACTTTAATGTAAAGCCTTGATACCACGAATTCCTGCACCAACTGCACACGCCATCGGCATCGACTGCGTCAAATATTCGAGAAAGGCACAGGGAAAGAGAAAGAATATACACACACAACGAAACGGTATTCGAGAAACGAAGAAACGATGTCCACTCGCAAAGCAAGAATCTATAAAACAATGAAAAACAAAAAGCTAACGGGTTTTAGTGAATATTCAAGATCATAACTTAAAACACCTACGTTACGGGCTTTTACCTTCTCCTTTTCGACAACTTTATTATTATATCTTCGAAAGATGACGTTTCTGTTTCGCAAGTAACGGCATTCTCAACCGCTCCACCCAGAATCAGAAAAGATCCACGAACTCCCACTGCTGCTCTAAATGGTGAGGCTCCCGTGCCCAGGCCGAAAGACACAAAGGCTCTACTGGGTATCGAGTCACGCCAAAACCGGTGCCGCGCTGGTCCGAATGTGGACTATAATATAGTACGAAAAAAAGTGAGTGTAGTGCTGTCTTTCGCCATCCTCGGTTTAGCCGGCAGCTTTAACTCAACAACGTTTGAAAGCCTGCCATAACCTACAGGGTGATCATGAGCCCGACGCATACCTCTCTTGTCCCGAAGTTTGGCCGGGTCGCCAGCTGGCTTCTGCGCAAAGACTACCGAACGCAACTGAACCCAACTCGACTCGACCAAACCTCACCCGACCCGACCCGCCCCGACCCAACCCAACCCAACCCGACCAACCATCTATCCTCGGACTGACCCGTCTGCCACATCGTCCTCGCCGAGGTATACTCACCGTGGTCATGGCGGAAACCGAAAAGCTAGAGAGGGTCATGCACCATCTTCTCCAACACCGCAGCCCCAGCAAGACGCAGCTCGATAACTTCGGAAAACACATGCAATGGATCAAAGACGTCGGCTCCAGCCACCATCTGAAGCCAACAGCCGCCAAGTCGCGCAGGAAGCTACGCTCGCTCCTTGGAGACGTCTACCATGGAGTCGGGATCGAGCCGTTCATGCTGTGCGCCCTCTCCATGCCGCCATTTGCCCTCTACACCCTGGACCGTCATGTGTTCTTGTCGCGCGTGCGCGAGTGGTGGAACCAGAGGAGCCCGCATCCGCTTTGCCTGACACAGATTGCGGATGCCCTCTGCAAAACGGACAGTCTCGAGGCCCTCTTGGGCCCGAAGCCACCCCACCTTGCACTAGCCGACGCCATTGCCTCAGCTGACAACAGCACTCTACCGCTGCATGTCCCGGCTCCCGCTTTGCCTGACCTTGAACCTGACCGCGATCCCGCGAGACAGAGGCACGAGTATGAGCTAACGTCACTGGCTCAAGAAATGCATCGCTGTCTTCAGACTTTAAGTGATGATGGCTTGAAGGAAACCAGATGGGAGGAGATGTTACAGTTTGGTATGCATCAAATCACCAATCGTACCTGGGCCAAAGAATACCACATACCGCCTGACATGGCCGACTACCATCTCCCCTCGGCCGACTCAGCAGACGTTCTTCTCGCCACCATGGATGGGCTCCGACAGATGGTTGCGGGCAGTAGGCTACTCATCAAGCCGGTACTCGTACGTGGAAACCCAGACGAGCTGTCCTACTACGAATCATTCCAGTCCGAATTCATAGAGCGCCTGGGGGACTACTCCTGCGGTGGAGGCTTTCTCGACGTGCAAGACCCAACCTTGCCGGTCTGGCAACCCTCGGCCCGCCAGATGAGGTTCGAAGACGTGGCCGACATGCTCCGTGCCGGCTCCAGCGGGAAGCTCGACAACGCAAGACCGCCCTTGAATCTACTCAACCTCCGCGACTTCCTGGAGCTGCCTCTACCGCAGTTCCTTCGCGCCTCGCGATTCTGGCTCCTCCGGACCCTGGACCACCTCGTCGAGTCGGCCACAGCGCCCGAGTGCTCCCACATGGGGAAAAGAGCCGTCGCTCGGTCTTCTGACCTCGCCTCCTGCTCCCGCTTCCTTCTCTACGCCGCCCGCGGAGCCGCCTCGGGGCCTCACGTCGACCTTTTGACCGGCACCTGGGTCCAAGTCCTGTCGGGGCTGAAGTTGTGGCCCATAGTCACCGGCCTAAGCGACGAGGAGAGGCGTGAGTTCGAGAAGAATGGTTCCGATTGGGTTCCCCCTTCCGAGAAGACACGCGTCGTTCTTCTAGAGCCAGGCGATTTGCTCGTAATGCCTCCCGGGTGCCCGACGCCCCACGCGCCAATAACAGTACGGGATTGCCTGATGCATGGCGGCATGTTCTGGGACGAAAAGAGCGTAGTGGACACGATGGAGAGCATAAGCTGGATCGTGCAAAACCCAAACGTCACCAATGAGCCTATTCCGCGGCAGCTGCCCGAAATCTTACTCGGGCTTGAGCGCATGATGAGAGCGAAGCCCGAGCGTTTCGTGGGCGAAGGCGCCGAGACGAGCGAGGAGCTTCTACAACGATTCGAGGCCGCGGTGCGCTCCATGAGGGGGAACCACCTGGGCTGTGACTGCACAGGAAAATGCGCCAGGAACACATGCCCCTGCAGAAATTCCGGGTTTCCGTGCTTCAAGTATTGGTGTCACAGGTGCAATGCGTGTTCGAACTCGATCGCATGGGAGACAAGCAGCTGAGTGGGTTTATGTTCGCCCCACGTGTGGACCCGTTAACCATTACCACCGCCCCCGGATGCTTTCTACCGCTGTCATTTGATTTTGATGGATACTAAGCTCAATCACCTCGGTTGCTTATAATTGGATAGGTTTATTAGCTTGGTAATCCATTCAAAGACAACTTGAGCTCAACTCCAAATAGCTTAAGAATATGCAATACACTCGTTCATCAATTTCGACTGACCAAGCATGAAATTCATCGAGTTATGAGCCCGTATGGTGCTCAACTAATTACCTGATCGGTCGCAATCATCCCGAATCAATCCTTACTGAACACTGCCGCATCAGGCGCATTCGAGGCCGGTCATTGGACGAGCACTCATCACATCAATCCAAGCACCATCTCAACTCTCATCGCTCATCTCTCAACAATAGACGCATCATCTATATCACCGAATCAGTTTCTGATGACAAACGACCGTTCCAACACCCTATCCTCCTAATATCTATTGGCAAAAGTTTCTGCAATCAAAATTTCCCAGCTCTCTCACTCTTCCGGTTGTGAAAGAGGGAAGAGCCAAACGTCATAGCAGTAAGAGAAACGTCGTCACCAAATTCATCCTAGACTCAACTGTTGGCGCTGCCTGGAATGTCCCGCTCTTCGTCGTTGTAACGGGATGGTTAAACGGATTGTCTGCAACTGAAATCAAAGAGGCAATTGTGACGGACTCGTTAAGCATATTTGCCGCCGGCTTGTTGATCTGGCCATTGGTCTAGCTTGCTAGCTTTTTATTGGTACCGGTTGAGTGACGCGTCGTGTTTGGATGCGTAGCGGGTGTGGTGTGGGGTATTTTCCTCAGTCTGATAACCTTGAGCGACTTTGAACAAATTTAGAAGTGTAAACAGTACAAGGATCATTGAGGCTTCAATGCCTAAAGGTCCAAAGGGACTTACGGTCTTGCTGACGAATGAGCCAAATTTGCAGGATACGGTGGGCGGTCAGGTAGTCATGGCGTCTACATCTGTTGTATGTACAACACCTAATCGATATCCTTCGCAATCACCAACATCGCCCTTTTTTATAGTTTCTACATGTGAGACACGATGATACCACCGAACTCTACCTAAGAATAATACGTCTTGTAGGATAGCAATCCATTAGTAATACTACAGATGCAAATTGTCCTCCCTACATTAGGGTTCTTGCCACACATCCGCTATAGTCGCAATTATTAATCCCCGGTAGAGCTTAGAAGCACCATTGCTGAGTAGTACGTGAATGTAGAGAGGTTGAACAACCGCTTCCCGTATATACAAAGCGAGAGAAAAGAGATGAAGGTGTTGGATGCTTAAAAGTCCGCACGTCACTAAAGACTATCCCATCTTGTAGTTGCACGCATGAAATGGAATCTACTCTCTCAACTTCCGGACCTTCGGCTTGCTCCGTCCCTCTGCGGCCTGCCTGCGCGTTGTCTCCCTCCGGACACTCGGCGTTTTGTATGGATCTCGACCCTAAGATGCACACTAAATCGAAGTCAGCTTTTTCCCGGTATCGGCATAAAGCAAATCGTCAACTTACACAGTACGTCTGTACAGTAGGCTTCGTTAGCGTTTCTACTCGTATCGGTATGCTGGGCAGCTTTCTGTACTTACGATGCCTTCGGTACTGCCGTTGGCGTGGTCGCAGCCTTCATCGGGCGTATCACAGTTCTTCAAGAATCCCGCTTGGCCCTGTAGTGGTCAGCCTCTGCAAGTCGCTGGTAGCTCGTTCCTGTCGAGGATTGAATACCTGTTCATTCGTGCACGGGATGTTGATCGAGGTATTGGGGTACGAATCGAGGTAACACGTAGCAGAGGCGAGGCCAATGACGGCGAAGAAAGCGGAAAGGAGCTGGAATCTCATCTTGCCTGTTGGATCGAGAGACGGTAGTGAGCAGGTTGCGGCGATGCTGTGGCCTCAGAGCAATGCCAAAAGCTCGCACAACGCGGGTTAAATACCTACTCGGAAAGCTTTGATCAAGCTATTCGATAAGCTTCGCAGCATTGCTTCCCCTCACGCCATGCGATCTTCGATACGGGGCTGCGTCCGGGCCCGTGTTTCCTGGAGTGGAATCTCGGGGCGATCGGCTCCAAATGCGGAGAAGGGCGGTGGAACAGATATAGCCATCCGATGTTTCATCTTGAAAGAGAATACGAGCCGCACAACGGTCTTGGAAGGTCATGTAATACTGTAGCCAAGGTACGGGGCAGCCAAGCCCCGACTGCGTGGGCAGCTTCCTCTTTGCCGCCATCATTTGTGGGGAAGGTCGTTCGAACACGGCGTGTTTTCTGCGCGATCAACGGCGATCGTCAGCCATTGCATTGACACAGTTACCTACCACGGGAACCGCTGCGGCGCAAGCGACGGTCCGAATTCCGGACTGGCAAGATACAAGAGCGCATCGCCGGAGGTAAATCCGATGCTTCGCCCGGCATCACTATCTGGTCGACTTGAGATATAACACTCGGCCACTTGTTTATAAACGTCCCGTAAAGATGACAGAGCTAGTAACAACTACTTTAAGAGCCGGAAGCCGAAGCAGAAGAGGCAGATACCGAAGCCAAAGTCTGAGGAGGAGGATGCCGCATCCGTAGAGCTTTCCAAAATGCTGTTACAAGTGTCGAGATCCGGTAGGGTCCACGCAGGCGACGGCACAAACGTACCTAGCGGGGCGCGTCTCCGAACGGCAAGCAGAGGCCGTCAAATTTATCTTCTCGCTTGATGCGACGGTGTATGCGCCGCGCACGTACGTCGTCCAGGCCGGCGCCGAGGGAAACGCTGTCAAGGACACACACAGTCAGTCTACCTACGCTTTCCAAGACAAGCCGGCCGCTAATCTCCCCCTACTTACATTTCCCGGTCCCTAGTGGTCTTCACCTCGCAACCAACCTCGGCCAACGCATCGACAGCATTCACGTCCGCGTTGCCGCCAACAGCGACTAACCATCTCCAGGCTGTCGAGGGTCGACTTCTCGAACGTAGCACCTTCAAAGACGAGGTAGTCAATGCGGGCAGGGAGGCGGCAGACGCGTTCTGGAAGGTGGTGTCGGCTGCTGACCGGAGGTCGTCGAGGGAGACGCGGAGCTCGTCGGGCGCCATTGGCCTAGAGGTGGAGCTGGTGGCTGCGAGTGATGTTGAGTACTACCGGCGATCTTGCTCGGCGGAGCTCCGGGGACCAATGACACGTCCGGACAGCAGAATTCGTTGCTGGTCATGGATCCAAAAACGGTAACTCTAAATCATTTCCAGCCCTGTCATGCTACGTCGCGACAGTTGCCTACAGTTCTGTGTTCACTTACCGCGCAGTATAAGCGCTAGCTCATGGCGGGGGGCGAGGACGGTCAGAGTAGAGTTCAGTGCAAAGGCATGATTTGAAATGCTACATTACGCATGATGAAACAGCTACGCTGGCGTGTATTTGAAAATTATAGAGGGTATCGAGTTGCACCTGGGCCCATCCGCTTATTCTCACGGGCAAGTATGCATCTCAGAATTGTGCCCGCCAAAATTGCTACGACAGCAGTTCCCGTGTTGACGCCCATTGCGAGAACTGCAACAATGTGTGAGTCCGTGTCCCAATAGGCAGTAGTTATGGCTACGGGTTACGTACCGTATCGGGGAGCGTGAGACGTGGGATACAAGTAGCTTCCAAAGATGTTGGCGCAGTTGGCCACAGAGTTGACCATGGCCAACGCTGCAGCACGCTTTGCTGCTGGTCGCGGGATGGCGTTGGAGGCCCAAGCGAACACCAACGACCAGCTGGAGTAGAAGCCCGGGATCATGAGCATGATGGCGATGTACCGTGGCACGGTTGCTGTGGTAGATGCCGCGAGCACGAAGGCCACGATGGCAATGTAGAGGGGCGTTGTGCAATGAAAGTATCTCTCGCCGGTGCGATCTGAATTCCACGCATTGAAACATGACGTGAACATGCAGAGGACCTGGTTTGAGGTCAGTGAGGAAACTTCTCTCCGACGGCTTGGTGACATACGTATGGCGGAGCTGTCAGCAGCAGGGTCTCAGTGCGGCCGTACCCCAGGGTTTCGACAACAGTGGGGAAGAAGTTCAGCACAGAGGCCGAGGAGGCTATGCAGATGAGCATAATGGCCACGACGTATACTTTGATGTCTTTGGCTGCCATTTTGAAACCTTCGAGAAGGGACGAGTTGTCGTCTTCGCTCTGATCAGTCTCTCCAGCGTCTAGTTCCAATCTCCACATGGCGAGCTGGCGTTCTTGCTCAGACAGCCATCCCGTGGTGTGGGGAAAGTTTGGCAGTACTGTCTCTGCGTAAGTACCCTGAAGTATACGCGGCGGATAGACACTCACGGAAGATGGAGACGATGGCCACCAGTGTTGTTGCAGTTCCTTCGAGAATAAAGAGCCACCGCCTGTGAGAGTTAGCGCATGCAGCCAGTAGCAAACCACATCTATTAACGGCTCACCACGAGGCCAATCCCCGCACTCCTGCCATTCCGTCGAGGACACCTGCCGCAATCAAGCCAGAGAAGGCTCCGGATAGCAGACAGCCCTGGAACAGGATGGCGAGCCGAACGCCAAGTTCTTTTCGTGTATACCAAGATGAGAGATAGAAGACACAGCCCGGCTTGATGGGGTCAACTTTGTATTCGTTCCAGAGCTGGAGGGAGGCATACCCAGTAAGCAGCTTCCAGGATGCCCAGCAGTACACGGCATGACACAAGACCGGCGAAGTTGTGTACCGCTCCGGTGGCCCCTGAGACGATCCCCCACAGTCCCATTGCAGTTGGGAGATACAACGCTGGCTTCCCCACGGACTTCAGGAAGAGGTTTGATGGAACTGTGGTGATCAGTTCCGAAGTTCGAAGGAGATGCACAACGCGGGTGGTGCTTACCCTGCATCAAGACATATCCGACAAAGAGAATGCTCACTGAAGTCTGGAATGTGTTAAATATGAAGCCGTGCGTTGACCGAAGCGAGCTTACCTGATACTGTGAGCCAGTCAATTTCAGATCGTCTTCCATACCCGCCAATCTAGCAGCTGCGATGTTGTTCCGGTCGAGGTAGTTCTGTACCAGTCAGACTTTCTTCCGGCATGGTAGGCCAGGTCGGTGACAGCGACGTACCAAAATGTACATGATGATGACCAACGGCAACATTCGCAAGTCAACCTTCCACACCATCTTTCTCTCTATCGCCCGTATCTCATCATCACTCAGGTCTTCCAAAAGTGTTGGTATCACCGGGCCGGTCTTTTCTTTCAACTTTTCGATGTGGTGCACCTCGGCCTTGGAACTGTTTTTCACCCTCGAGTCATCTGTTTCCTTTGCGTGATCGGTGTTTCCTTCTGGTCGAAGCGACATGGTGAGAGGTCGAAAAAACTTGACTTGATTTTGTGGAAACCAACAGTGGTTCGATAACAGTTAGCCTGGTCAGAATTTATGCGGCAATACGAAAGAAGGCTCCTGCTTGCGCTTTGTATCTCTGGGGCAGAGAGTCCATCCTGATGGATGGGAACCACGTGGGGGTAAGCTGCGGGGAAAGGGCCCACACGGTTTGCGGGGTGACGATCAACGCGGAGCAGCCATCCGGGGAAGTGGGAGAAACAGGTTTAGTGGCGGCATTGGCAGTCGGTTGGTCGGATGTTGCGGCCAGGCTGGTCAATAAGATTGCACCACCGCGTCGGATGGAGTACCGGGTCTTGCGGTAGCGGAAAATGAAATTTCAAGGGACAAACAGGAAGACCCGGGCAATCATCCCACGTCACCCCGCGTCCTTCCCCAATCAAGCTGCCGTGGCTACGATCCCCCACGCCCCCACGGCCGAGTTGAGCCAGGAATGCATCGTGGCGTCGTCGCCCACCTGTAGAAGCGAGTTTCCGCCGAGGGACGTGGCGAGATCTGCATGGCTTCAAAAACCGGTTGCTGACGTCGTTCGGACTCATGCGGCGGCAACGTCTGAGAGTCGGTAACTATGGCGGCAGGGAAATCCGAAAGACGCGATAGATCATCACTCTAGAGTCACAGAAATCAAAGTCCGCACCGGAACCCGGCTATACGGGATCACACAGACAAGACTCAAGTATCCCAAGGCTTTCCGACCAGTGTGACCCGTGTAGTCATTTACTACACCAGCTTCGTGCCGGAGAAACAACTCAAATGCAAGGCAGACCATTCTCTACTTGATCCAAGTGTGGAAAATTTGCCAAACGGTAGCATGGCACCTTCCACATCCTGTCACCTCCGTAAAAGTTGTTCTACCTATTCAAAAGCACCGTCAAGTATGGCACCGACAGGCCGGACATCACTAGGCTCCAGTCATTGATGGCAAGTTTCGCCGGAAACTACCAGCACCGCCTGGATCTGCTGTGGGCGTGGAATGGCGGCGGGTGGGAGAAGGAGCCGGTGCCGATCGTATCTGAGCCGGGGGAAAGCATCGGCAACTCCAGGCTACCTAAGACGCTGGAGACGAAACCCGAGAGCCACGACGGCCAGCTGCGGCTGCATGTGGGAGGCTTGGCGCAGTGGAGCTTACATGATCCGTCTCTGCGGACAACCCAGGGTGAGGAGCCAGATTGCGGGGCTAGATTTATGCACGCGCGGAAGGGACTCTGGAGTGGCGGTGCGGGGTTTACGCCACAGAGGTGGGATTCTGGTAGGCGAGGCTCAAGGATTGCATCCGAGCGGGTATCTTGCATGATGAAACAGCCGGGGTAGCAAAACGAGTTCACGATCTGTGGTGTAGCCGAAGTCTTGATGTATGGTTGCCACGGAATGAAATGAGTACTCTTCCCAGCAATCCAGTGTCATTTATTTATTTTTTGCGCTAGATATGATGCCGCCGCGAGACCAGGATGTCCGTGCAGCGACCCCCGCCATCTGTTAGCGAGCAGTATCTGTCCGCATATGGTATCTTTGGGGCGGGCGATACCGGTGAAAAGAATTGAAAGAGTGTTGTGATTGTCGCTCCGAGGACGCACAACGTGACAATAACGCAGGGCTGGCGGGTTTGGTGGAGATGGTGCTGCCGTGGCAGATGGATGGACGAAGAATGATGATAAGGAGGTTGGAGGCCCTAAATGCAGATCTTGTAGGTGGGACTATGTGGGCAGGGGAACAGGTGAATGAGCAGAGGGATTTGGGGGGACAAATGGTATATCCTTAGTGAAGGAAAGCTAATTACAGTTCTAAGCCAAGCAGTCAACGAGGTATCATTAAAACTCTTGTGTCAGCTTTGAAGGATTTAACTGAAATAACAATTGAGCAACGGGTATTCCGAGAATGGAAATAATGTTGAATAGCAACGGTAATTGGCCGTAGGCGAGCGCCGAAGACGTCATACCTCGAAGAGTCCCTCTCATTCAGGTATCATGCTCCGAAACCCTTTGACAGCTCCTTTGTGGCGCACTGGTTCATTCATTCTTCTCCCAAAAATAGGTCGGCCGGAAACAAGGATCCCTCATGCATTTCTCTCAGGTCTTATGAGAGCACTCCAGTTAGCATTCGGTGGTTGGAGGAGACGCGTGAAACTAGACCAGATCGCATGCAATCCGCTCGGCCACTACACGTTGCATTGGAGGCGTCAATAGGGACACTGTTCGAAGAGATTCATTGTTTTTCCACCACTGCACGAGGTAAGAAGAGTAACTCCTAAATACATATATCTCCTCCAAAGTCTGCCATATTGGTCGGAATCAAGGGGTGGAGCGACAAAGAAGCTTTCGCCCACGGAAGGGATGTAGCGACACTTGAGAAATAGTTCAACAGTCGTATATTAAGAGTTCAACTAGTTTACGAACATCATCGAACAGACTGCACCTCGGCAAGAGGATCCCTATTCTAGCGAAGAATCCGCATGCGACGCTCAGCAAAGCGTGATCCTCCTTGCTGCATCCGTTGTCGGACCCCTGGACGATGTCGATTGCGAGTAAGCACAAAGCGAGTTTCGGAACGTAGGTGTGGTTGCTGATTAAGGAAACGTCAGCAGCGGGAAATGGCCAGAAAGGGTGGATGCAGGCTTACACATCTCGCAAGACGCTATTCGAGGAAATGGTGTTGGATGATGTGATTACTTCCCTGAGGGATTCACAGCGCAAGTTCTTGCTCTGCTCACAGCCTGCAGGTAAGCGCTTATCCAGAGATAGGCTCAAGCTGCCCAGATGCAGCAGTGCTTCGTGGTAGTGGTTGAACATCTGGCACTTCATCCGCATACCTGCCCCATCGGGCGCAGTCGAGATGATCGGGGCTGTGGCGCTCGACGTGTACCATTCCTTCAGCGCCGCTGCAAGTGCCAACGTTGCGCCAGAACGGTCCATTGTTGCGTTTCCCTTTAGGCTTCCGCGCAGCTGCAGGATGTTTGAGCAGATCCTGGCGTATTTGGATCGGATCTCCAGCCAGTCCGGTGACGGGATGGATGCAGTCGTGTCCGTCGCTGCACTCTTCGGAGTGGTGGCCGTCGGGAGGAAATCATCGCCGAGGATCTGTTCCGGCAGGAAGCGCCGTGTCAGAATCACTCCAGTTCCAGCGTGCTTTGACTTACGGAAAAGGTCTGCACTCTCAGGGCGAAGGATTTTTCAATGCAGTAAAGCATCCACATTGCACGCTGGACTTGAAGCACTTCTTCATCGCCGCCACATCGGTTGAGGATAGTTGGCTCTAGATGCAATCCTAGAGCGGCCGCCGTTGAGGCGCTGTTAACGAGCAGGGTGTACATGATTTTCGACCCAACTTTCTCGACAAAGCAGAGCTGAGCGTGTCAGCAAATGTGGTCTTTGTGGAACGAGAAATGCTCTACGTACTGCAGCAACGAGAGCCTGGTTCTGAGTCAGTCATGTTCTCCGTCTCGCAAGTCGGATCGACCCACCAAGAACTTTCGGATCGTATCTTTCTGAGCACACAGTGCTTTTGATGCATCGCAGGTGAGATCTATCAGCATTGTTCTGGTACGGCCTTCGGTGTTGTGGTCCAGCAAGGCACCCCAAGCAAGTGTGGTGATCAACAATGATATGTCTTCGATGTGGATTGAGGGTGTCGAGGATGAATGCAAGTTTGCCTGTATGTTTCTGACGAGAGCTGCCTTGATGAAGGTGTTCAAGCTGCCCAGAAGTGAGCGCTTATTGTCAGGGAGTTTGCCCTGGCCAACCACTTACCCAGATGGCTCGTGGAAAGTCGCTGCAAAGCGTTAGTTGATGGGTCCCTGCGGTTCAAACAAAAAGCTGACCTACTTTGTATGAACCTGTCTGTTGGAAGCGATCTCAAATCTAGGCCACAGTGATCGCGGCTGGGGCCGTCTTCGGATAAAAGCGAAGAGATGCAAAGCTGACTCTCGGGGGAAAGAAGACTCTCTACCCTCTCCACAACCATCTTTTGTCTGCGGTTCCTGAAGTGTACTTGCTGAAGCGATATGGTAGCCGCTGGCTTGTTCGGACCCGTGTAGACTTTGTCCTGGTGACGTTAGATTTCCTGGCCCCATCTGGATTGAGCAACGTACCTCGTTGTCTTCGGCGACAATCCGCGTGGGGAGGGATCCAAGGATAGACTGGGACGAGCTGCTGCCTCTCCTACTATCCGAGGAGCTGGGTGTCCACGCCATCCAGTCTTGTATCAAAGTATTCTGGTGTGCATTCCAGTCCAAGGTGTCCAACACTGGAAATTGGTTCTCGTAATTGTCGAGTAGCGTTTCGTCACCCGTGGCAATTGCGGTCGCACTGTCTGTTTTTTGTTACTGTCAGCGTTCGCGTTCTGCACACCTGCCGCATCGAGAGATGATGGTTACCTGATACATCGTTCTGAGTGGGTGTAGGTGTTGGTCCGTAAGGAAATTCGAAGCCCTCGAAAGGGGCTGTGTTGTCTGACGACAAATGCGAGAGAAATCTGTCAAGAACCGGGGTGCTCGCCGAGTCGAAAGAATAGGGTGGGCTGTGGCCGAGTGGAAACTGGGATGGATTATTGCGGTCTCCACTCTGGCCAAGCACATGCGGCTCGGGCATGAGCTGCATGCCCGGGCCCTGAACGTCAATCCGCGGTGCACCTCGCACGGGAGGATAGTCGCAAATGGATCCATTTCGCTGGCGTTGGGGTTAGAGAGTCGACTGCAGGTTTGATTGGGGTTGACAAACGTCGCAGTAGCTACACGGTCGGCCTCCATCACCTTCCGGGATCCCTTAGCAGCGGTCGGAAAGTTGTGGCAAGGGCACTTACAGCGAACTTTTTTCTGCCGGCAACCTTCGCAGGCCCCCCTCCGGCGAGTCAGCTTGGAACGCCCTGGTTTCATGTCGAAGCTCCCTTGGCACGGGGTTGAGTAGGGCCGACGATGGGGACTGAACAGTCATTGAGCGCAGAGATGAAGTATTATCAAAGGCGTATACGAGTCAGTCGTTTCAGCTGAATAGGCATACATCATGCCACATATTGTGTGGCAGTACTCCGTAAGCGCGGAGAATTCCCCTGAAGGTCCGGTACAGCATCACGATCGGCGGGGGCAAAACGTCGTAGTTCGCAGCAGGGTAGATGGTCCAGCTCGTTAAGCAAGAACCCCACTGTGGGATGACGGCAGGCGGTTGACATTTGCCATGACTGATGGACGCGGTCTAGGGCTGCAGGATAAGGCCTTCAGTGGTCGAGAAGGCTGCGTGATCTCCAGCGGAAGGGCGTGCCTACCCCTGCGTGTCATCCAAGCCACGACCGAAGGCTCCAGGAACAGCGCGGGTAGGATTCAAAGGATTCAAGGCGTGGCACGTAGATAGCCGCAAGTCACGACGATGGCTGAGCGAGCAGGATGATATAAATATTGAGGCTAAGGGTGATGTAACCAATAGATGTGACTAAAAAATTTCTGATAAGGCGGCTCGGAGCATAGCTGACGAAGAGTCGCCAGGTGGTTGACTAGCGGGACAAAGGATGCACTATACATAGGCCCCGGTCGACGGTCCAATGCTGGTAGTTTCTGTAGATGAGCTTCTAGCCTGCAATGTGATACGTCCTCTCCGGAGACGCTCCTTATCTCCGTGAAACATCCATGGCCGTGGTGGGCACCGATGATGGCTCCGATCGGATCCTTTTCACCGCCTGTCATGCGGAGCGTGGACGGGGCGGCTACGGCTCGGGACGGGCGGGCGGACGGCGCGTCGCGGCGGTTCTGCGTCAGTATGTAGGACCGAAAGAAAAGCTTGCCTGCGGCCCGGTCCGGCTCGGTGAGCTTGTTTTGCACCGAAAGGCCAGAGAGAGCTTGTGCACAAAAGCTTTTCTTTGGATCCGCAGTCAGCAACAACGGGCACCGCTCGCAGGCAGCAGAAACCGCCCTGCCGCCTGCAGCCCGCCGCCCGCCGACCCATCTCAGCCCTAGCGCTCTTTCCTATCCCGTGGGTTTTCCGACCGTCACGTGCGCCTCGGTTCTGCGGTGCTGCGGTACGCGTCGCCGAAGACGCGCCCCCAGCCCTTTCCGTCATGCATGCCCACCAACACTCTGACATCTAGGAAGAAAGCAGGGCCACCATGCCATGCGCCTCCTCATCGAGCAGCCCCGCTATGAGCTGACACCCGTCGTCGTCCTGTTCCAGACCCCGTCCTCGCCCAGGGCCTCCACCGTCAGCGCCATCGTCCCGCAGCGCCCTCACAACCGGCAAGATCGCCTTGCGCACCTGCAGCGCGATGATGCGGTGCGCCATCAGCCGCCCGCCCTCGCCGTCATCCACCGCGTACGAGCCCAGCCGCACCACTGCCTGCTGCTGCTGCTGCTCGGCCGCCTGGCCCGCCCGCGATGCATGCGCTGCAGCCTCCCGGCAGTTGCATAGCGCGCCCTGCACCAGCCAGAGTGCCAGCAGCCGGACGGATCTCCCTCCGTGCGCTCCACGGCACGCCAGGCTGCTGCGCGCCACGTCCAGCGCTGCCGCGTTCAGCCGGAGCAGCTCGTCCGGCGCGCGCGTCAGACTGCTGATGTCGTTGTTGCTGCTGTTGCTGCTGCTGCTGCCTGTGGAGCTGCTGGCCGTTGTCGCCGCCGTCGACCCAAAGAAGCCGCGCATCGTCGTCATCAGCATGGCGACGCAGCTGCAGCCTTCGACGGCATCCGAGACTGGTGGGGCTTCTGGATTAGAGAGGGGCGACTGCTGTGCCGTGTCCTCCCGCTGCATCCGGGCATCGGTGGTTGTGGTGGTGGAGGCTTTGGTGTCGATAACGCCGTCGGGTAATAGTGGCGTGCTGGCCAGCTCTGCAGAGTCAAACCAAAGATCCATGGTGGCGTCGAGGACGGACGGCACAAGCAGTGGGTCCATGTCGCCCCCGCTACCGTTGTTGTGGAGGCAACAGCCAGAGAGATCTGCGTAGCAGCCCACCGCGCTGTTGTTGTTGTTGTTGTTGTTGCCATAGCCCATGCTGACGTCGCGCGGCGTAGAAGGCGATACAGCCTGGGGCCCGGTGCCTGAGACGTTCGCGGTCCATGATGGCGATGATGCACCGCCCACCCTCCCCTCTTTCGGCTTCTTCCTTGGCCCACGTGTCCGACCGAGCGGCTTCGAGAGGCTGCGCGCGCAGTCTTTGCTCCGCTTCCGGCATCTGACGCACACCGACGACCCGTCCTCGAAAATGCACTTGACCTTTGCCTGGTGGCAGTCGTTGCACGCGGCTCGAAGCGTGGTGCTTGGTGGTCGGTCCCGCCGTGGCGAGACGGTTGAGCGGTCATGCTTGGAATCGGGCGAGGTGAGCCAAGTGCATGGAGCACTTCCGTCGTCTGAGGTGGAGCTGGAAGAGAGCATGGTGGGCGTACTGCGCATAGTACCTGGGGGTCCCATGAAGCCTCTGCTGGCAATAATGATGCATGGCGGGGCGGGCGCCCGTTCGGCCACCATACATAGGTACGTTCCAGATCCGACTCGGAATTCTCACGGATAGACTGCCTGTGTTCGGAAGAAGTTGAGCGGTTTCCTTCACACCAGCTATCAGCCTACCTTCCCTCTCGCGCAGCCAACCCGGAGGACAGGAAGCGAAATCAATTGCGTCTACCTGCATTGCTCCACTTCCCCACCTGTTCCCCCGTCACTTCCGCGCCCCACCCTCGCCCCACCCTCGCCCCCCTCCTTCCTCCTTCCTCCTCCCTCCCCCTTCGATCCTCTTCAGCACTACTATCTCGCCGTGCTCAGGGTGCTCGCAACTTCAGCCCGCTCAGGCAGAAGCGCGACGCGGCGTAGCAGCACGTCCCCGCCAGGATCATGACCCCCGCAAAGATCTTCATGTCGTCGTAGTCGTCGCCGCGCACCAGCACCGACCCGATGGGCAAGCCGGCCAGCGCGCCCAGCCCCCCAAACGCGAAGACGGTGCCGGCGCGCACGCCCAGCTCCTGCGGCTCCGACACGAGCGAGATCAGCATGGGCATGGCGGCGATGACGGCGTTGGCCGCCCACCCGAATATAATCGCGAAGGCGACTAGCGGCGGCGTGCCGGCGGCGGGGATCCACAGCGCCAGCGTGAAGACGCCAGTGAGGGCGCACGCCGCCGTCGTGATGTCGAAGAAGCCCGTCCGGTGCCCGACAACCCCAGGCATCACCCGCCCGACAAACGCCCCCGCGTTGTACATGCTCACCAGGTACCGCGACAGCCCCGTGTCCAGCCCCTTGGCCACGGCGTTCTGCGTCATGTACGTGATGGGCAGCAGCACGCCCATGGTGAAGAAGAAGAAGGCGGCCACGAGGAACACGAACGGGCCCGACGCCATGCGCCGCGCGATGGTGCGGTTGACGGGCCGCTTGACCGGCTTCGCGGGCAGGCGCGTGGTGGCGACGGCCATGGCCATCATGGCGAGGATGATGAAGGCGCACGTCCGCATCGCCCACCCGAAGTCGACGCCGTCGATGACGCGGTTGACGACGATGGGGTAGATGACGCCGCCGATGGGCGCGCCCGTCGACGAGAGCGCGATGGCCAGCCCGCGCTTCTTGGGGCCGAACCACATGGGCACGCTGACCGTCGCCGGGTTGAAGATGAAGCTCGTGCCGATGGAGCTGCAGACCCCCTGCGCCAGCACGAACTGGTAGTATTCGGTGTTGATGGACGCCATCATCAGCCCGAAGACGTGGAGGAAGGCGCCGGTCATGAGGAGGTAGGTGGGGCCGAAGCGGTCGAAGAGGAGGCCCACGAAGGGGCCGCAGAACTGCAGGAAGAAGTTCTGGAGCGTGGCGATCCATCCCACGTCGAGGGATGAGTATGAGCTTAGCGCGACGTTTTTGTAGTATTCCTGGAACACGCTGAGGGCACTACGTCCGTCAGCAACCGGCAGTGAATGGCCGTGGGGAGTGCGTACTTGATCCAGCCGTAGGAGCAAAAGTAACACGCGCCGCAACCCAGCACGCAGAGCCAAGCTTTCAGCCCGCCGTCCGGGTGCTGCGGTGGTGCCTGTGGCTGCGGGCTGCTTGCAGGCTCGTTCTGGCCAACCTGCGATGACTGCTCCTCCTCCTTCGTCTGTCCATTCTCGACCGAGGAATGTTCGTCGCTCATTGTTGGATGTCTTGGCTTGGGGCGGCTGAAGGATTCCGGTTGGTTCAATGGGAAGGAGGCTTAAAAGAAGAACGCCCCCCCGTAATGCACATCACGGCGTTAACCTACATCTCCGAGAGCCCTAAACACACAGGGATGTCACACGTGTTCCAGTCTCGGAAGTCGTTACCTCCGGTCTAAACTCCGGAATGCACCTAACCGGTTGCTGTCGCGGAAGGCGTGGCGTGACTTCACCTTGCAGCTACGACGCCATGTCACATTTCTGCCTTCGCGGAATCGGCTAAGTAAGTCAGCGCCACGAAACCTTCTTCGGTAATCCTCTTCAATCACAGTTCGTATACTACTCTCAGTCAGATCCGGTTCCGGATCAGGAAAGGTGCAGTGACTGACTTTGGAGTCGACAAAGGGATCAACGGGGCGCACATCCGCCACATTGGAAACTGACAACACAGGTGTACGACCGGAGACGGTCCATCCAAATGACACTGCAGTACTTCGCACAACTCACAGGATTCATTCACAACTTCGGTAGCATTGCAGGCAGTCTTGGTAACATTTTGGCTGACTCTACGCAAAATTCGGAAACTACGTTCAGCGAAGACATACATCTGCCAACACCCCGGCTACCTAAGGGCGCGCATTCATCCAGTACTAAAGCAAAGCCTCACAGCCTCGAAGCCTTCGACTCCGCCTCATCCGGCCAGAAAGGCTGGTACCAGCGGAACCAGTTGTCGGGATCATACTGCCTCTTCAGCGCGCGCAGCTTGTCGAGCCTCCACTCCTCGTAGCCGTACATGGCCTCAACGGGATCGTTCACGTTGGTCCCGTGGCCGTAGTTCGAGTATTGCTGCAGGCGGCCGTAGCCCGAGACGTCGATCAGCCTCTTCTTCCAGCCATTAAGCCACTCGTTCGACGCGGCCTCACGGTCGAGATTCTTCAGCGAGACCTGCAGCAACCTATTATTGCTCTCAGTCAGCACGGTGGCAGGCAGTAAAAGGGGTCGGAGCCACCATCACTCACAGGAAGATGTCGGAGCCGTTGCGCCACGGGAAGGCCGTGGCATCGTCCGCAATCTCCTTGCTCCGCTTGTGCGAGAAGGCCTCGAACATGACGAGGATGCGGGTGTCGTGCTTCTGCTCCAACTCGTTGACCTCGGCGTACAGGCGCTCCAGGGCGTCGAGGTCGAACCGCTTGGCGCTGACGGCAGAGAAGATCTTGTACGGGTAGATGTTCCACGTGTCCGGGTTGCCCAGGTACTGCTGGTTCAGCCCCTGGTACGCGACCCAGGGCAGGTCCGACCATTCGACCGACTTCAGCGTCGGCGGCACCACGGGCCCGACCGCTTCGAACTGCGAGATGTACTCGTAGGCCTCCTCCTTGGGGCCGGACCACACGGCGTTCAGGATGATCACGCCCTGTCGCCGTCGCCGTCATCATCGTCGTCTGTCAGCGTTTTCGCGGGTGTAACGGGGGGGGGGATCAGCAAGAACGCACCTCGGCGCCAGAAGCGGCCTTCTTGGACCAGATCAAGAAGCAGGCAAGGTTCGGATGCATGTCCGGAACCAGCTTGTTCATCACCGCGTACAGGTCGCGGACCTTGTCCCGCCCGAACTCAAAGTCCCAGCTGTGGTGGATGCCGCCGTGCGGCTGGGGGTAGACCTTGAAGGTGGCCTCGTACACGATGCCGAAGTTGTGGCCGGCGCCGCGCATCGCCCAGAACAGGTCCGTGTGCTCCTTGTCCGAGACGTTGATGACGGACCCGTCCGCGAGCACCAGCCTGCACGACACCATGTTGTCGCTCAGGTATCCGTACTTGCCTTGCAGCCGGCCGATGCCGCCGCCGAGAGCCACGCCGATGAGCCCCGTGGTGGGGCAGGAGCCGATGCCTTTTGACATTGTCGGCCGCGGTCAGCATGCGCAAATAGCGGCAATGAGTCTTCACGGACAAGTCACTTACCGAGCTCTCGCTTCCTGTCGTGGATGAACTTGGCAAAGTCGCCGCTGTAGACACCGCCGCCGGCGGTGACGAGCTCGTTCTCCGGATCGTAGGACAGGTGGTTGACGAAGCGCATGTCCACGACGATGCCGTCCTGCAGCTTCTTCATGTAATTGGTCACACAGTGCCCTCCGCTCCTGGCCGTGCAGCCGATGCCACGCATGTGCGAGTAGCGCACCGTCTTTGCCACGTCGGCTTCGTTTGCGGGATGGACAGCAGCGATGTACGTCTGCGCCAACGAGGTGAGTACGCTGCTTTACCCGCTCGGGCGTGCGAGGGAGCCATACCGGACGGCCGTACTCGGAGAACCGGGCGCTTGAGTAATCAAACTGCTCCGATCCGGGGAGGTGGACCTTTGCCTTGTCGGAAAGCAGCCGGCTGAGCTCGGCCTGGACCGAGGCAGCCAGGTACTGCTTGTTGTTGACGAGTGCCTGGGACATGGTGTGGGTAGACGACGAATGATGGGGAAGCTTTGGCCTGGACGGATTCGCCTTGTCCGAAAGGCTTTTATTTACTTGACTTATAAAACTGCGACATTAGTCCCATGTTGTAGGTACGTTCGGATATGTGGCGCCCCAGTTTTTTTCCGCAGCCGATATCCACGTGATAGAAGACACTCACGGCAGCTTTCCGAGCAGGATCACCGGATTTCGCATCTCTATCCGGTATCACAGTAATCAGATCCGCAATGAATTCGCGAACCGCAGTGCTCGGCTCTGGACTGTGTTCCGTGTCTCGGTATTCTTTTGTCTGGAGTCCCGGATTTCCGAACCACCTTTCCGTGCATGGTACTGCATCGAGGGCGAAGTCAGCACGTGCAGAAATTCTGTACGTCTCATCCATAGCCAGTCATGTTGACTGTACGGATCCGCTTAGGAAGCACTTAAGAGAACAAAGGCCCAGAGTCCTCTACGAATCACTAAGTGCCATATTTTCTGGCTCCCAATCCTTTTTTCAACAAGACATAGACACATTTCCTGCTGGGCCGCCATGGACATTGCCATCATAGGAATCGGAGCAAGGCTTCCTGGAGATGCCTCTACACCGGAAGGGTTCTGGAACCTGCTCATGAACGCTCGCTCAGCTCGCAGTGAAGCCCCGAAATCTCGCTACAATGCCGAGGCATTCTACCACCCAGACCCAGATAGGGCGGGCTCAGTATGTTGCTTTAATCTTTAGTATGCTTGCAGAGAGCGATGGTTCTGATATTGGAGGAAGACACCCGTTACGACAGGCCATTTCCTAAACCAAGACCCCGGTGTCTTCGACGCCCCCTTTTTCTCCATCACGCCGGCGGAGGCCAAAGCCATGGACCCGCAGCAGAGACTACTCTTGGAAGTATCCTATGAGGCTCTCGAAAACGGTAGGATCCTGGGCCACGCAGCCGGCCAGAGTCCCCCCCAAACCGATTGCTGACCACCCGCAGCCGGCCTCCGCATCTCGGACCTCAAAGGCTCCAAAACCTCCTGCTACGCCGGCAGCTTCACCGGCGACTACCGCGACCTGACGATGCACGACAACCAAGGTCACGGGCTGTACACGGCCACGGGCACGCACACCAGCCTCGTCGCCAACCGCGTGTCGTGGTTCTTCGACCTCGCCGGCCCGAGCGTAACCATGGACACGGCGTGCTCGGCGAGCCTGACAGCCTTCCACCTCGCATGCCAAGGCATCCGCAACGGCGAGGCCGACATGGCGAGTCTTCCGCTCTCTCTCTCAAACACAGCAAAGAAAAAAAAACACTAACACGCAGCGCAGGGCCTCGTCGCCGGCACGCACCTGATCCTGGGGCCGGACTCGACGCTCCTCCTCAGCGCCGGCCGGATCCTCTCGCCCGAAGGGGCGTCGAAAGCGTTCGACGCGCGCGCGGACGGGTACGGGCGCGGCGAGGGCGTCGGCGTCGTCGTGGTCAAGCCGCTGGCGGCGGCGCTGCGCGACGGCGACACGGTCCGCGCCGTCGTGCGCGGCTCCGCCGCCAACCACAACGGCCGCACGCCGAGCCCCAGCCAGCCGAGCGCGCGCGCCCAGGCCGCGCTGACCCGCGCCGCGTACGCGCGGGCGGGGCTCCCGCCCTCGAGCTGCGGCTTCGTCGAGGCGCACGGGACGGGCACCGCGGTCGGGGATCCGCTCGAGATGCGGGCGCTGGCTGAGACGGTGGGGGAGGGACGCACGACCGACTTGTATGTCGGGTCGGCGAAGACGAACATAGGGCACTTGGAGGGCGCGGCGGGCCTGGCCGGGCTGATCAAGTGCGTTTTGGTGGTGGAGAAGGGGATCGTGCCTCCGAACGTTGGGTGGGTTTGCCCCTTCGTCGTTTTGCGGTGCTGTGTTCTGGCTGACCCTGCTGCTGCGATAGGTTCGAGAAGCTTAATCCGAGGATAGTGCTTCCCGATCACGTCAAGGTGGGATGAGCAACCCGGTAATGGTTGAGATTCGCGTCACTGACCACGGTGCAGATAGCAACCGCGGCCGTCCCGTGGCCGACCACTGGCCCTCGCATCGCCAGCGTGAACTCGTTCGGCTTTGGAGGAGCCAATGCGCATGTGATCATCGAAGACGCATACCACTTCCTCCACGAGCGCGGTCTGTCAGGCATCCACCAGACGGTAATCCATCCAGCACTCCCCCCCGGCGCCGTCAATGGCCACACCAACGGCCACACCAACGGCGTCAACGGCCACACAAACGACTCCACCGAAGCTACCCCTCGCCCACGCCTCCTCGTCCTCTCCGCCCAAGACAAGCAAGGAACCCAGCGTCTCAGCAGCGCCCTCTCATCCTACCTATCCTCCACCGCCCCGCACCCCTCCCTCCTCCCCTCCCTCGCCCACACCCTCTCCCGCCACCGCACCCCCCTCCTCTGGAAAACCTTCCTCCTCGCGCCCACCCCCGCAGCTGCCCAAACCGCCCTCGCCTCCCCCCTACGCCCCCCGACGCGCTCCCCCTCCTCCTCGACGGGCCCCCGCCTCGCCCTCATCTTCACCGGCCAAGGCGCGCAATGGCCCACCATGGGCGCCGCCCTCTTCGCGCACTCGGCCACCTTCCGCGCCTCCATGGCCGCCAGCCAGCGCACGCTCGCCTCCCTCGGCTGCCCGTGGGACATCCGCACCGAACTGCTGCGCGGCCCGCCGTCGGCGTCGCGCGTCGCCGACGCCGCCCTCAGCCAGCCGCTGTGCGTGGCGCTGCAGGCGGCGCTGGTCGACGTGCTGCGCGAGGAGTTGGGCGTGGGGGTTGGTGTCGGTGTTGGCGTCGCGGCCGTCGCGGCCGTCGCGGGCCACTCCAGCGGCGAGATGGGCGCGGCCTACGCGGCGGGACTGCTGTCGCGGCGCGCGGCCGTGGCGCTGGCGTGGGCGCGCGGCGTGTGCGCGGCGCGCGTCGAGGCGGCGAGGGACGTGGACGGCGCCATGTTGGCGGTGAGGGCGGGCGGCGCGGAGGTCGCTGGATGGCTAGAGGAAGCGCGGGGCCTGTCCGGGGCGGCGGTGGTGGCGTGTTTCAATAGCCCGAGGAACTGCACGGTTTCGGGCGATCGGAAGGCGCTGGAGGGGCTGAGGGCGGAGTTGGAGAGGCGGGGCGTGGGGTCGACGGTGTTGGGGGTCGGCGTCGCGTATCATTCGTGGCATATGCGGAGGATTGCGGATGAGTATCGCGAGGCGGTGGTGGCGGCTTTGGCGGCTGAGGATGGCCCTGGCGGGAAGACGGCGGCGGCTGGGGGTGCTGGGACGGGTGCTGGGACTGTCCCGTTCTTCTCGTCTGTGACGGGGAAGCTGCTGCGGCCGGAGGAGCTGGGGCCCGAGTACTGGGTGGAGAACCTGGTGTCGCCGGTGAACTTCACCGGGGCGGTGCAGAGCATGATCAGGAGCACGCGGGACGGGGCTGACGGGGCGGCGTTCGTGGACGCTTTCGTCGAGGTCGGACCGCACTCTGCGTTGCGGACCTATCTCATGGAGATCTGCGCCGGCGAGAGCGTCCCGGTGAGCATCCCGTACTCGACCATGCTGCGCCGCAACACCGACGCCGTGGAGTCGCTCCTGACCGCCGCCGGCGAGCTGTGGTGTCTCGGGGCGGACGTGGATGTCGACCGCGTCAACGGGACGGAGTCGGGCGCGAGGATGCTGACCGACCTGCCGCCGTATCCTTTCAACCACTCTTCCAGCTACTGGGCAGAGTCGGCCATCACCAGGCAGTACAGGTTCCGCCAGCAGCCGCGGACAGACCATCTCGGTGTGCCCTTTGCTGGTTCAGTGACGCCGCAGTGGAGGAACTTCCTCAAGTTGCGGGAGAACCCGTGGCTGGGTCATTTCAAGGTACGCAGCGGTCCTCACTGCCAGGATGGAGGAATGCTAACGGGCTTGTACATACAGATCAAGTCGGAAATTGTGTACCCGAATGCCGGATTGGTGGTCATGGGTAAGTACAGCGCGTCTCACACTAGAGAAGTATACGCAGTATACGCTAACCTCAGCAGCCATCGAGGCAATCAAGCAGCTCGCCGATGCCAGCGAGCACATCTCGGCTTACGAGCTGCGCGATCTCGCTTTCGGCGACCCTCTCCGCATTGTCGACGGTGAAGGCGGCGCCGAGGTGGCGACGCAGGTGAGCCCGCCGACATCCAAAGGGAGCTGGGCCGACTTCAGCATCGTCTCGCGCTCCGACTCCGGCGACTGGACGCCACCGCACTGCCATGGCAAGGTTCGCGTCATCTACGCCAGCCAGCAGCTCACCGAGGCGGCGCAGACGGAGCGGCGATGGGAGCAGAAGGAACTGGCCGCCCTCTACAACAGCGCCGTCACCGACTGCGGCAGGCCGGAGCCCGACTTCTACGCAACGCTTGAGGCGGCCAGTTACGAGTACGGCGCGGCGTTCCGGAACCTGGAGCGCCTTTACCTGGGCGACAAGGCCGGACGAGCCGTGGCGCGTGTTCCCGACACCAAGAGCCTGATGCCGCATCACTTCGAGTATCCAACCGTCATCCACCCCGCGGCTCTGGATGCGTTCGTACAGATGATTTACCCCGCGCTGACCGAGTCCGGATGCCCTCTCATCACGTCCACCACCGCAACGCCCGTGGGCCTCGAGCGGCTCTACCTCTCCGCAGACGTGGCATTCAAGGCGGGGGCTGAGTTTGACGTCTTCTCCAAGGGCGAGCGCACAAGCTCCGGCACGCGGCAAGTATGCGTGTACGGGTTGCAGTCGACCTCGCCGGCACCGGCCGTCGTCATCGAAGGGTTGCGCGTCGTGTCTGGCCCCACCGAAGCGGTCCACGGTCCCCCGACGCTCTGCTTCGACACCGTGTGGCGCGAGGACGTCGATCTGCTCAGCCAGGAGCAAGTGGCGGCCGCCGTCTTCGCGCGCGCCGAGCCGGACCCGTTCGACGGCGCGCACTACGCCATGCTGGACCTCGTGGCGCTGCCGTACCTCCAGGACGCGATCGACTGGCTGGCGACAAACGAGGGCAGGCTGGACGGCAGAGACGGGGGCTTCCTCAAACTTTTTGCCGAATGGATGGCGGACAAGCTGCGCGAGAACGCGGCGGTGGTGGCGGGCCCGAAAGCGCTGAGGGAACAGGCGGCCAAGGCGGTGGTGGAGCTGCAGAACACCGAGGCCGGCGCGGTCACGGTGGAGCTGATCCATCGGGTGGGTGAGAACCTGAAGGGCATACTGAGCGGCGACGTCGAGCCGTTGCAGGTCATGTTGCAGAACGGGCTGCTGTACGAATACTAGTAAGTCCTCGTCCGGGGTGTAGAAGCTCCCCTTTTTCGCAGACAGACACTGACACAGTCACCCCGCCTCACAGCCGCGTTGGCCTGGGAACCAGCTTCAACAGCAACGTCGCCGCGTACATGGGCATGCTCGCACACAAGGGCGCCGGTCAGCTCTCCGTCCTCGAGATCGGCGGCGGCACTGGAGGCACGACGCGGCGCATCCTCGACGCCATTCGCAACCCCGACGGCACCTCGGGCGTCTCGCGCTACGTCTTCACCGACGTCTCGCCCGGCTTCCTGGGCAACGCGGCCACCAACTTTGAGCGCGACGCCAGCGTCATGGAGTTCAAAACACTCGACATCGAGGAGGACCCTGCCGCCCAGGGCTTCGAGCCGGGGACCTTCGACGTGCTGGTCTGCGCCAACGTGCTGCACGCCACGAAGCGTATACGTGACACGCTGGCCCGCTGCCGCAAGCTCTTGAAGAAGGACGGGAAGTTGGTTCTGGCCGAGCTGACCGACAACCCCGTCTTCATGGGCCTCATGATGGGACCGCTGCCCGGCTGGTGGCTGGGCGAGGAGGATGGCCGCCACGGGGGGCCCATCATGACTGCAGCGAAGTGGGACGGCGCCCTCAAGGATTCCGGCTTCACTGGCGTCGAGGTCCACATCCGTGGCGACAAGGATGCCCGGGACGGGAGTCCGACAGCCTTGATCGTGTCGACGAGGAAGGACGAGCAGTGTACTGCCGCCCGCGACAAGAAGCCGGGGTTCTGTGTGCTGGTCGACGATAGTGCCGGGGCAAAGAGCCTTGCCAGCGCGCTTGAGCAGCTTCTGGTCGCGCGTGGGGAAAGGGTTTCGATCCTCACCTGGCCGGGCTCAGGGGTGTCGGCGTCTTCTGTGCGCGACTCGTACTGCATCTGCCTCGTCGGGCTCCGGCCTGCCATCCCCTTCAACGTCCCTGCTGGTACGTTAGCTGAGCTCAAACACCTGCTCGTCGGCGCCGCAGCCGTGTGTTGGGTGAGGCAGGATACAAGCAGCAGCGCCCAGCACCACCCGCCAAACACCGTCTTGTCCGAAGACGCCGCCAGCAACATCATCACCGTGGATCTAGACCCGACAACAGCCTCCCCGGCCGCCGACGCGTCCAGCCTGCACCGACTGATCGACCTGCTCGCATCCCGGCACAGCACGACTCTTGCTACTACCCCTCAGCAAGACACGTCGTACGCGATCCGCAACGGCTTCGTGCAGATCCCGCGTCTCGCCGCAGCAACTGCCCTCAACGACGCCGTCGCCCTCGCATCCAGCCGCCAGTCCCCCGACACCACGATCCAGCTCTCCCAAACGACCGACGCCCTCAAGCTCGCCATCAAAACCCCCGGCCAGCTCGACTCGCTCAGCTTCGTCCACGACGACGGCCCCGCCTTCGCCTCGCCCCTACCGCCCGGCTGGATCGAAATCGCCGTCCACGCCGCCGGCGTCAACGCCCGCGACGCCGCCACCGCCCTCTCCGGCGGCGGCGCCACCACCTCCCTCGCCCTCGGCTGCAGCGGCATCGTCACGCGCGTGAACAGCAGCAGCAACGGCACTACCACGATCACAGGCACCGCCATCCAACCAGGCGACCGCGTCGTCTGCTTCGCAGCAGCATCAGAAAGCGGCGGGCTATCCACGCGGGCGCGGCTGCCGGCTTACCTGGCTTCGCCGCTGCCCGCGGCCGTCGGCCTCGACGACGCGGCGGGCTGGGCGGTGCCGCACGCCGTGGCGCACCACGCGCTGGTGCGGGTGGCGCGGCTGCGGCCGGGGGAGACGGTCCTCGTGCACGCCGCGGCCGGGGGCGTGGGCCAGGCGGCCGTCGCGCTCGCGCGCGGGCTGGGCGCCGACGTGTTCGTCACGGCCGGGTCGGACGCGAAGAGGGGGGTTTTGGTGGACGCGTGCGGGGTGCGTGCGGACCGCGTGTTTGGGAGTCGGGGGGATCGGGCGTTTGCGAGGGCGGTTGAGAGGGCGACGGGCGGAAGGGGCGTGGGTGAGTTTTTCTTGTCCTGGGCGACTTGGTTGGCTGGCTGGCTGACTGACTGACTGCGTGCTGTAGATGTTGTTCTTAACTCGCTGGGAGGGGAGTCGCGAAGGCTGTCGTGGGGCTGTCTGGCTGAGTTTGGCCGCTTTTTGGACATTGGTGAGTAGTGTTGGGCCCTCCCGGAACATCCTGAGCGTCGACTCACAAAAGTCAAAACAGGCGACTGGGACGGTCTGGATGTGCTTCCCTCACTGAAGAACCGATCGTACTTCCGCATCGACCTCTACGAGCTCGTCAAGAAGGAAAGCAAGGTCTCAAAGTCCATCATGGACAGTGTCTCCAAGGCATTGGATACCGGCAACGTCAGGACTGCAAAGCCGTTGTCGGTGTATGGAGCCGGGTATGTAACATGGCGCCTGGGTGGAAAGTCAAGCGAATCTGACATGAGCCGACAGGAAAATCGAAACCGTCTTCCGCTACATGCAGACGGGCGAGCACATGGGCCAGACCGTCATCAGCATGGTAACCGACGATCAAGTCAAGGTAGGCATCAAGAGACTCCGCAGCCCCAGGCTACCATCTTACAACTGTACAGTACACGCCGTCTCCTCCACGCATCACTCTACGCCAGGACGCAACATACATCCTCGCGGGCGAATTCGCAGGCGCTGGCCGCGAGCTGGCAAGATGGCTGATCTCGAGGGGCGCGCATCACCTCGTTTTCCTGTCCGAAAGCGCCGCCAGCCACCGAGCCAACGAAGCCCATGTCCAGACCCTCAAGGACAACCACGGCATCGAAGCGGCCGCTATCCTAGCCGACAACAAGACTTCTCTGGACGCGGCGGTCCAAAGCATTCAAAGCTCGCCGCTTCCCGCCAAGGGCGTCATCATCGGCGACATGATGCCAGAGTCGCAGCAGCCCGACAGCACTTCAGCCGCATACCACGAGCTGCACACAGCATTAGGTGCCGCTGCCGCTCCGGCCGACTTCACCGTGCTCCTCTCCTCCGGCCCAGAAGCAGCAGCAGCAGCAGCCTCCTTCCCCAACAACGCCCGTAGCAGCACCCAGCAGAGCCACCGCACCCTCTCCCTCACCCTCGGTCTCGGCACCAAGAGCAGCCTACGCGCGCCACCCCTCCGCGACGTCGAAGCCGCAATCGAAGCCGCCCTGCTACACCTGCCGGACGACTCTTCCTCCCACAACACCAGCAGCGCCGCATTCGGCCCCATCACCCTCGTCAGCCCACCACTCAGCAACGACGACGACGACGACCCCTCCGCCGCGCACCTCCGCTCCCCGCGCTACGGCCCACTACGACAGGCGCACCACCGCCTCGGCACCACCACCACCACCTCCTCCACAACCCCCGCCCCCAACGCCACCCCCAACGCAAGCTCGTCCCTCCACGCCGAACTAACCCAACTCCCACCAGCCGGCGCCACCGCCTCGAACGACGACGACAATTCGAACGCCAACGCCATCGCAGCCCTCGTGACGCACCACCTCCGCGCCCGCATGGCCCGCCTGATGATGGTGCCGGCCGACGAGGTGGACGCGCAGCGCCCGCTCGGCGCGTACGGCGTCGACAGCCTCGTCGCGGCCGAGCTGCGCAACTGGCTCGCCGCCGAGACGGGCGTCGACGTCGGCGTGGCGCGGCTGACGGCGGCGGACGTGCCGTTGGGGGCGGTGGCGTGGGATGTTGCGAGGGAGAGGGCGGGGGCGGGGGGGAAGTAAGGGGCGGAGCTGGGGGCGGAGCAGGAGGCGGGGGCGGAGGAGTGAGAGGGAGGGAGGGGGAGAGAGGGTTGGGCGGAGGGGGGAGGAGGAGCATGGGGGGGATTAGTGTGTGCCGGTGGTGAAGTCGAAGTGCTTGTCGGGTTGAACGACCGAACGGCCTTCGCGTGTCACCATGGTCGATGTCTGAGTGGTAGGAGGCCTGGATTGGTATGGGTTGTAAAGGTATCTGATATTGGCTACTGTACGCCAGCGAGAAGAACGGAAGAACAATCGAGGCCCTTCCAACGCCTAAAACAGGGCTGATTGGCGGCTGATTGTGCTTTTCGGCGGTTCAGAGCAGGTCGACGTAGGACGACAGGTCGTCGAAAGTCGTGGAAACGACGTACGCCAACCATGCTGTTCTCGAACTATCCATGATTTCGTTAGTGCAGCCATCTGCAATGGAGTTGATTGATTTCGTCCTTCTTCCTTAGCCAATGCTACGTTGTGGTGCTTCGAGTTCGTAAGCGGATGACCTTGCTCGGGACATCTGAAGATATCTGTGTTGCTTCTCAACACAGCTATGCTCTGCCTGCAAGCTTGCATCAACCAGATTTTCCGTTTCAGCCGTCAGGTTGTGTACGTCGTCCTTGATAAAAACCTCTGGGGGTTTTTTTTTTTGACTCCCCTTGAAACCAGTTTGGGGATCTACTGATCATGTCGGATCTTGAGGGAGTCCGTGCATTCTTTTGTTTTAGGTATTTCCTTGTCATGAGCCGCTTGCCCCGCATCCACCGGGATGGTTCGGCCAGATTGCGGGGCATTCGCAATGCCTGGAAAGTCCAACGTATCGGATAAAAATCGAAGAAAGAAATCAAGGACCGGAAAGGTAATGTATTGCCCCGGACTGAATTCAGTAGAGCATTCGGCAACACCTGCTGCTGGCCTGCTGGGCTTGATGTTTCTTGTGGTCTGAGTCTGGACAGAGAAATGACCCGGAGTCGATGCATCAAGCAGTGCCTTGCTCTTGTCAAGCCCGAGCTACACTTGGAGAAGAACGCACGCATCATTTCGGCAAGCCTTAAAGAGGGCCAGTCGCATGCAGAATCGCAGCAAACGACGACAGGAAGAGTATGACCCCTACGAGATCTGCAACCAGAAGGCAACGCCGACGGCCAAAGTCGTTGCGTTACCGCCGATCCAATATTCGACACGTTCGACGTCTTGGCCCAATATTGGCCACTGGCTTTGACTCTGTGATAAGCGGCATTCTGTCCGTGGACATCAAAAGCGAAGGCGGCGCGTCGCTGGTGGAGAAGTGGGCCATGAGAACGCCCCCGAGTATGGGCTTGATGATGATTTCCCGGTATACACCAAACGCATCCCCGCGGATGTGTAGGGCGGGCTTTGCAACCAGGTGTCAGGGGCCTGTCTTTCTGTTTGCTTTGGTTGAGTTCACTTTTGGCCCATGTGAAAAAGACGCATGCAGAACAGGGGCACGGCTTCGCCGAGGTAACGCAAGCAATGGAGCTTGCTCCGGCTGTCGACATTTTGACAGCTGAACGACCCCTGCTAGAGCGCCGATCAACCTGCTGAAGAGGTCGCGGATAGGAGCACACCCGGACTTCTCAGTCAGGTCCACCGGTCAATCCGCTTGGGTATTTGAGTTAGATGCGCGGCGTGGCGAGTCAAATGGCCGAATGCAGTGACGTGGTGACGATATGAGGGGCAAAAGCGGGGACCCGTCGGTGGTGATGGGCACGGGTCGGCCACAGCGCAACGGATCGACCCGCAATTGACGAGACTAGCTTTCAGCTGCACACCGATCGTATCCATGCTTCGACGTCTCATTGCACGGCGTATTTTTTCGAATGGTTGTCGGCTGAAAGGCGTGGTCGACTAACGCCTTCGTGTTTGGCGGCCAAGCTCCCTGTATAGTAATATGGTGAAGATGAGCTAGATCATCCATAAATCTTGCCTTGGTGATTTCTCTCGTCCGCCTTTCAACCATCGCAGTCATCTGCGGTCGGAGATGGGACGTTGCAAACGGTAAAGAGAATGAATGCTACGTAGTAGGCTTGCCTCGCCAACGCGGAAATGCTCCACGATCCAGAGTGCCACCATTTCAGGTGCCAGTCATATCTCTACGTAGTAGGCACCCTTACGTAGGTCTGTAGATCGGCTTGCCGCGCTTGAGATCTGTCATTACGAGCATCTGCATTAGCGTACGCTTTCAGCGTGGTGATCCTCGGGAGCGCCGATCCACGCGCGTGCTGATCCGTGATCACTGTACCCTTGTACTCGATGGTTGATTCGCTGCATCTGGCTGAAGCTCGAGTCGGGATTAATTCCGCTGCGGCTATGACGGCGGCTACGGCGGAGCGACGAGGCCCTGAAGAATTACTGCCATTCTAGAGGAGACGAAGTCATGTATATAAGTTCTATCACTTGCAGCATTGTTTTTCAACTCATCCAACAACCTTCTCATACCTTCACCCCTCAGCTCTCATCTCTTCTTCTCCATCAAAATGGGTTTCGACCGCACTGGCTCATCGCCCTTCCAGTTCAATGCGAACAAGCTCGGCACCGTCAAGCCGTCCTTGGCCGATCCAGAAGGCATCGACCTCTCGGCCGATGAACTGAAGCTCGTCTTCGGCATCCAAGAGCAGTACTTTGCGAAGCTCCCCAAGCGCATGGTCATCCCCGTTCTCGAGGGACGCTGGTACATGGAACAGTGGTATTCCACCAGTGGCTACCTGTACGTGGTTGAGCCCGAGGAATGGGTTCCTCAGGTCTCTCACGGCGAGACCATGCCCGCTTCGTCGTTCAAGACGACATACGTGCGCGAAGAGGAAAAAATCACGCAGACCGAGTTCAACGCCGGCACTTCGGCTGAGGTCTCCATCGAGGCCGGTGGCTCCTTCTACGGCGTCTCGGCCAGCGTCAAGTCGACCAGCGACATTTCCTTCCGCTACTCGAGCTCCACCACAACCAAGGAAAGCCTGGAGACCAAGGGCACCAGCGGCAAAACCCCCATCCACCAGCTCTTCGTCTACCCCAAGCTGAGATGCAAGATCATCCGCAAGCAACGCATCGACTACACCATCAACGACAGCAGCTCCGAGCTCAAGTGGACCGGCGACAGCTACAGGGACGGATACTGGAACGAGCGCTGGGTGGCCGACAGGCGCCTGGGCAGCGTGAGGAACCTGGGGCTCCACCCCGTTCCCATGGAGGGCAACGGCCTTGGCCACAAGGCATACGTGCTCCCGATTCCGCAAATCGCCGACGCCGGTGATGACATCGATGTCACGACCATCATGAGCCGCCAGGGATGGGTCGACTGGTACGTCTACGACATCGACTGGGAAGAGGTGAACGATGGTGAGACCATCGATCTTGCTGCACCCAAGAACGGCGTGGCTTTCAGACCCATGACCACGTGGACCACTTTGGTAAGTTGACCGCTTCTTCCGCCGTGCTGAGTAGTGTGTTAATGTTTGAGTAGCCTCCGCTCAACCCTGATGATGATGAGTAGCCTCGCAATCAACCGGAGGATGTCACGGTTCAATGATGTCATGACCAAGTCGTCGTATTTGGCTGTCATTGTTGCAATGCGTTGTTCAACTACTGCTCAAACACAGTCGTTTGTACTCTTAGCACAAGCCGTCTTTCGTTGCGTAGCATTAGCAATTGATTTTTCAGCTACCAAGGTTTTCTTCCCCACTGTGACATGTTTATGAACTGCAGAGCCATCCCAGATCCGACCTCAGCGCTGGAAGCTTACAAGGCCCAACTGGCAAACTATCCGTCCTTGGAAGAGGGCTTTGACCTCCCCTGATGATGTTTCCGAAGACCTTCTCCTCTTCTTCGGCAAATACGGGCGCAAAAATAACCTCGACGACATGGTCATAAGGCTTTCCAGATGGCGCAAGGGTACGGCGATTTTCTCAAGCTACTTACCCACAATCTACGTCATGAAAGTGTTCGCTCTCTCTCTCTCTCTCTCTCTCTCTCTCTCTCTCTCTCTCTCTCTCTCTCTCTCATCAAAGACATCCAGACTGGGGGTGTACTAAGCCACCAAAGGGCAACAATAGCGAGATTTGCGGCCTCGCTCGGGCTGAGCTACTTAGGCTCAGACGTGTCGAGCATCTCACGCGCCCACCAATCCCGGACCAGCCACACCACACGCATCCTCGTGCTGCAAACCGGGACGAGCAAGAGAAGTCCATCCAAGCCAAGCAGCTCCTGATCACGATCCCGCCTACGCGCGGGCGCGAGCCTCTAGCCCTTCGATATCGAGTATCGACGCCGACCCGCGAGCGTGGCATTTATATATGCATGGCTTGGGTGCATCGTGGCGGTGCACGGCAAAGGTTGTTGACAGGATAATGGGGAGGTTGTAAGGTTTTTGGATGGTGGCGTTGGGTAAGTATGCCTTCGCTCCTTCTGCTTGGCGGTGGCGTGGATTGGGCTGGCTCTTGAGGAGGTGCTGGTGGTGGTAGTCGTTGTTCCGATTCCGAAGTGTTGTGTTACGTCACTATATTAAGATGAACGTTTTTTTTTTCTTTTTTCGTTCTTCAGATAGAAGATAGTTTGGAGAAGAAAGTAAACTCGCTGTAGGACTTGGAAAAAAGTACAGCGCTGCACTGGTTTCAAGTGCTGGCTAACGGCCTTATATATTGCCTGACAATCGCAAATTACCCAAGTCCTCGAAAGTGAGGTATAGGACGGGACTGATGATTGATTCAGTTTTCTGGTTATTCCCTTACTTTATTTATTTTCTGTATGAATTCAATTCGGACGCTGCATACCTTCAGGAGATAGATGATTTGCTTCACGCGTTGCCTCGACGAATCAGAGTACGCATCCAAGTTGCTCCCTTACCCACTCATGTCCCCTTCATAACAAAAAGGAACGAGGCGGTCCAAGAAAGCAGAGTCGTAATTTCGCCTGCAGATCCCAAAAGCAGCAAGACTCAATCCTGCTAGTTGAGGCGGACCTCGTCGGCGGTGACAACACCGTCGCCATGCTTGTCTTGCCGGGCGGGGAGATCATCCGCATCACGCTTTTCAATGATGTCGAGGCAATCAGTACGTACTAACTGATTGAACCACTTGCCGTACATGTCGCTATCCTCGGCAGCGCTCATGTGCTGGGTCTACTGGCCAAGTGTGAGGTTCCCGGGGCCATCGACACCAGCGACGTTGAAGGCGTCGGCGTTGGAGCCAACGTCAACGTCAAAGGTGGTGCTTCCGACCAACCCGCACATTTTGCTGCAACAAGCTGCATGTACGTGCCGCGTCAACTACTTGTCCAATAACTATACTAACCTCCCCTTTTTATTTTGGCACAATTTACCGCCATCGCAGTCGCAGCAGAAGATGTTGCAGCCGTAGTTGCCATAGAACGGGGTGCCGTAGGTACCGTCGCTGAATTCGTTGTTGTTTTCTTCACAACAGCAGTGGGCGGCGGCGAAGGGGACCAGGACAGAAATAATGGCACAGATGGTGGAGAGATGAGTTGGGGTTTGCTTGAGTGATGTTGTAGTTGAGTTGAATTGTTGATTGGTGTGGTTGAGTGATGGAGGTAGTTTACAAGCAGCTTCATCGAACAATGATAGAGCACCGGATTCAGCTCGACAGTTTCCATTGACTTGGAGGAGGAGAGGACTTGGCCGCCTTGCCGTTGTATCCAGCCAGGCTCATTCCAGCGGTTACTCTTCTACGAGAGATAGCGGAGCCATCGTTCCACAGCTGATGCGGGATGCTACGGTAGAGATAACGGGAGGTGCAACAGTTTCAACGAAGAGCATTCTCGGGCGAAGGCGGTAAGAGTTGTATTCGAAAACCTGTACTAAAGAGGGGCGGTGAACGGTAAGAAGTCCGGAGAGTACCAGCCAGAATGTAAAGGGACTTTCCCACTATAAATTTATAAACCATTGGCAAAGTAAAAATAAAAATGAGGGAGACTAGGCAATATGAAGCTTAATTAACACCATTCTCTACTACTAAGACATTCGGGGCCTCCCCATCTCTCTCCTTCCTGTATAGCTAAATTTGATGTCAATAGTATTTTACCTCCCTAAAAAACTCAACGAGGGATTTTATGCGAAGATACCTTAACCCTGATTGGCCACGCTGGCACGCTCGAGCGGTAGTTACAAATTTTGGTGCAGTAGTGATCCAAGAACTTCTAGGCGCTATTGAGAATACGGCTTGTTTTATCCCACGCCGTAGAGTTAGCGCGTACACGTTGAGAGTGCCATGTATACAGTTTCCCCTGTTTGTGGTCACCCTTCGAGGAGCAATCCATTGACTTGAAGCACGGACACGCCTCCAGGCAGAGGCTACTGACATGCCTATTTGACTAAGACGGAAGCTTCTTTGTGGCGACGAGCCGTGGCAATCCCGGCGCATCCCGGCGCCAGAAAAATGTCCATGCTGGCGGCTGCCAGGATCCGAATAAATATCCCGAAAGAAGAGCTCAGAGCATAGTCTCTCTGTTTCCTTAGTGGAAGTGCCAGGTCGATTCCGGAAGATGATTTCAATTGATGCAACTCATGATTTCTTCGATAGGGTGGGTTTTTCTCTTGTCGATGAAATTCGAAAGCCGCCAGGACACGATTCCGCCGAAACACGGCTGTCAAACGAGGCACATCTGCGAGTGGATGGATGCACCTACTCAATTATGAATGGTGCGGCCGTCGTGTTGCGGAGTTCCCCGACCTAGCCACGCCGCGCATGAGGCATTTGTTTTAACTTATATCGAACCGAGGAATGGCCAGAGTCATTTTGTTTTGTCTTATACCTTCCCTTGAGAAGGTAGAAAAGCGGGCGCTACTACATGATGTGGTGTGCCATTCGACGACACTCGATTCGAGACCAAGTTATTTTTCCTATCGCGGACTCGGCGGAACGCGAGCGAGGCCACGGTTGGGGATGTGCAACGAAGTAGATGACTTGGTGCAGTTTGTCAGCGTCTTGCATATGAGAAGGATGGTCGCTCTCTGTTTCCAATGCTAAGCGACGAAGCCTCATGCTTATGTGATGGCTCGACGGATTCGCAAATAAATGCAAGTGGTGGAGACCCGGGAGATGCCGTATTTAACCGGCATGCACTGCCCGAGGCAGAATTTGGGGAAACCGAATATTAATAGTAAGCGTGCGTCAGGATCATGCGGCAGGGTGAGCCCTACTGGGGCACAGCCCACGGGGCTGAAGGCCAGGCAACAGTGAGCAGCAGGCTAGACAGGGGTATCTGCGTGCATTAGCCAATTACCGGACTTGTGGCTCGTATTCAAGCTTTGCTAAGCTTTCGTAGCGCGCCACGCGCCCGCCCTTTTCTGGTCCCCCTTTTCAGCTCTGAGCCCTAAGCATTTCGGCGTGGCTTAGGGTCGCCTTCGACTCGTGTTTCCTTGTCGGACCGTCCTTGCCTCCCACCTTTCGTCGCGCGGAGGAGCCGTAGAGGCGGCCAGTCAACACATATGTGAAACACTCAGGCGCAGCACTTTTACGACTCGGCTGGCCTATGGCCTACTACTGTGGACTTGGAGAAACGATCGACGGTTGTGTGGCCGGCCGCCGGGTGCCCTGACATTTCTGTGAGCCGACCCCAATCCAGGGGAACCCGAGTAGGCACAGAATATAAACCCAAAGAGCCGTGTACCGTCGCCTGCATGCAAAAAAGACAATGGTGCTTCATTCTCGCATGGAACGTTTCCTTGGCGTAATCTAGGATGCTGCTAACGAAAACAATGGCGACTGCGAATGCGGGCAACGGCTTTCGCAACATGTCACCTGTATAGATGGAATGGAGCATCTGTGATTGGGCGTGATGCATCATGACCCTTTTACGAGTCAGCAGTTTCGAACTTACCTAAGGATAAGGATGTATGGGCCCGAGCGTTGTCGATCTGTTGGTGCTCCTTGTGGCGCTGCTCATTCGGTGGAATCCCACGAATCCTGCCAACTCCGCAATGGGGCTGTTGCACACGAAGGCACGGTGCACATTTTTCGTTTATTCTGGTGCCTGGCTGGGGGCCGAGGCCATGGCGCGAGGCTTGGGTTGCTGCACACATATAGCTGCGAGTGCCCAAGCACGCGACCCGTTTCCCAACTCGCGTCCGCCTGTGCGCGCCCCCTACCTACTCTACAGCCATGGAACCTCCTTCGTTCTGGCAACTAAAGGCCAGGAGCCAGTTCACACTGTGCTTCGTCGCATCATTCACGGCGAAACTCATCCACCTCTATAGCCACCGATCTTCACTCCCCATATTATTAATCGTTCTTTACACGCCAACCTTTCTGCTCCCCGACGTGCTCCTCCTGTTATTCACCAAATACGTCTATCGTCAGAACAGAGGGAGAATATGCAAGGTCGTGGGGGGGCTGTACGCGTAAGTCTTCAACGGGCGTTAAACCAAATCCATATCCGTGTTTAACCTTATTTCGACAGCCTGGTCACCGTTGCCGCCTCGGCTTCTCAGATTTCCTTTTACATGACGACGGGTGGTGAAGTGCAGTGGATGGCTGCGGGTAATCTCGCAAAGGATCCCGGCGGCCTCCGCATGCTTCTATCCGAGCTCCCCAAATTCTTCATCACCATATCCGCCTTTCTTCTGGTGTCGTGGCTCATTGCGGCCCGCTTCGATGCTGCAACAAGCCATGTTTGCCGACACATCGGCCTTTCATTCAGGAAGGTATATCTCCGCCTCAGAGGAAGGCCAAACGATTACCAGCCGCTGGACGACAGTGAGGGCAAGAGGTGAGTTTGGCGATGCGTCGCTCGCTCCCCGAATCCATTAATAATCGGCTTTAGCAACCCCGTCCACAACTCCATGCCTTCGTTGCGGAAGGCGGCCGGATCCTGCGTCTCCGCACTGACCGTGATCATCACTGTGCTTATCCTACAAACCGTCCGTCCGAGAAACCCGCCTTATGCTCACATGAGCGGCTCCCTTCCCGTTACGCTTTTCGAATCTCTCTTCTTTAGCCCGATCAACCCTGACTTCTGCCTGCCCTACCCTACCCACCGCATCGAGTTTCCCTTTGAAGAGTACGCAAAACTATCCGGACACGCGCCGCCGGCCGGATGGAAGCCGCTCACCGAGGAATGCCGTCACCATGGCCCACCTTCGCCCATTCACCACATCGCATTTGAAGAGGCTACGCATACGACTTTGGAAGCGAGAGAAGATGGTCCACCGCATGGTCCTCCACACGGTCCGCCACACGATCATCCCGAGCATGGGCATCGGCATGGGCATCAAGGTGGCTACGATCCTTCGTGCGACCCGCTCAAGCTGTCAAACTTGAACGAGAGTCCACTGGACCCGCTCGTGGAAGCCATCAAGAAAGACAATCCTTTGATTCAGCATGTCCTTCTCGTTACCATGGAAAGCACGCGCAAGGACCTGTTCCCGTTGAAAAAGGGCAGTGCCGTCTACAACAGCATCCTCTCGTCATACGGCACCAACGCCCCGCCCGAAGTTGAACAAGAGCTGGACAAGAAGCTAAACAACCTGACCAGAACCGCTGCTTTCCTGACCGGCGAATCCTCCGGCCTTGGCAACGACGAGGCGCACGAAGGACTCGGCCCATGGACCTCACACTTCCGCGCCGGCCACGGAGGAATCAACGTCCAACAAGCAGTAACCGGCAGCGCCTTCACGCTCAAAAGCCTCGTCACCAGCCACTGCGGCATCGACCCCTTGCCGGTCGACTTCACCGAAGAAGTGCGGGGGCGCATGTACCAGCCGTGCTTCCCGCACATCGTCAGCCTGTTCAACAAAGCCCAACAGGAGCAGGAGGAGGCCGCCGGCTCGACCGACAGCTCTGCCCACAACCAAAGCCGCTGGGACGCCGCGCTGGTGCAGAGCATCACCGACCAATGGGACTCGCAGTACACGCTGGACGACCAGATGGGCTTCCCCGCCTCCAACATCATCCTCGACACGACGCTCGAAGACCCCTCCGCAGCACACTACCCGCCCAAAGAGCCCCGCTGCAACTACTTTGGCTACCCGGAAACCGAATCCCTTCCCTACCTGCGCGACATGTTCGTCAACGCCACCGCCCACGGCCGGCGCCTCTGGGCGAGCCACATTACCAGCACGACGCACCACCCGTACGCCGTGCCCGCCGCGTGGGCCGCCTCGGGCAACGTCGACGCCTTCGTCGCTTCGCGGCGCTTCGCGGCCGGCGGGCTCGAGAGCGAGGAGTTCGACCGGTACCTCAACACGGTCAAGTACCAAGACCGCTACCTGGACACGCTGATGACGATGCTGCACGACGTCGGCGCGCTGAACTCCACGCTCGTCGTCCTCGTCGGCGACCACGGCCTCGCCTTCACCACGCCCGACGGCTCCAAGTCGACGTTCGAGAACGGCCACGTCGCAAACTTCGCCATCCCCCTCGCCTTCGTCCACCCCGCCCTGCCCCGCCTCCAGCTCGCCGTCCAGACCTCCCCCACCAGCATCCTCCCCACCGTGCTCGACCTCCTCCTGCAGACGGCGTCGCTGGGCGACGGCGCCGCCGGCGTCGCCGAGGCCCTGCTGCCGCGCTACCAGGGCCAGTCGATGGCGCGGGCCCAGCACCGGTGGAGCGTGCCGACGACAGCTACTACTAGCAGCAGCCCGTCAACCGCGCCGGAGCACGAGCACGAGCACGATTACGCCTCTAGCCCGCCGCAGCAAAACTCCACGCACTGGCCGACATCGTCGTCGACAAACGGCAACACCACCACCGGCCCCCAGCCCTTCCACTTCTCCGTCATCAACCCGGGCGGGTCGCTGCTGGCGATCGCGCAGGAGGGGTCGCCCTTCCGGCTGATGCTGCCGCTGTGCTCGACGCTGCCGCTGCGGTTCACGGACGTGGCGGCGTCGCCGCACGAGGCGGAGGAGCTGGTGGCGTGGAGCGCGGGGGCAGTCGTGGACGCGGTGAGGGCGCGGCACGGCGAGCGCGCGGCGGAGTGGGTCGATCTCGCGCGGAAGCTGGGCGAGTGGTGGGTGTGGGAGACGAGGGGCAGGTGGGGGTACGACGAGCCGGCGCGGAGTACGGATAGGGGGGCGGGCGGGGCGGGGGCGGTGGGGAGGGTCAAGAAGGGGCATTGGTGGGAGACGTGATGGGGGTGAGGGTGGCTGAGTTGGAAGAGTGAGTTGGGTGCTGTATGCGCGAGAGCACTGGCCCGGCGCGGATGCCCGCTGCCGGTGGGGATAGGTATATGGATGCACGGCCGACGTTTAGGGGCGTGTCGGTGACGCGCACTTTACTGCGCCGCGGCCCCGGCGGTGAAACGGCAGGCGATCGGAGCGGAGAAGCGGCGCGCATGGCATCGGCTGCTGGGGAATCCGTGAGCAACAGCGCTGTTAGCTCTGGAAGTAGATGCTCATGCATCTTGCAAGGTTTGATCTGCAGGACCGCCAGTGACGGGGCATCGAGTACAGTCTCATCCCCTAGGGGCTGTCTGCATCGAAGAGAAAGAGCTTGTAAATCAGTTTGATCCTCGATATGTAATATATGACACATGACATTAGCCGTTCTTTTCAAGCATCTGTAGCGCCGGCCCCGACTGTATAACAGTATAAGTGCATCTTCCACGTACATGCCGTCGTTGGCAAAATACTTAGATGAAGTTTAACCACTTGACAGACATGCTCGTTCGCAGTACAGTTTAAATTGGTGACGGCAGTGTAAAGACTGGTGTTGAGTAATTTGTACAAGCCATCGGTCTGGGGATTGAATCATAAACTGCTTCGGCAGTGTGTTGGATCCAGAGTCCACTATATATCTGCACTGTTGGTCCGTAGGTTGTGCGGGTGGCTACCAGCTACGGCGGGCGCAGCGGCCACTTACGACGAACCTCCGAGGACCGCCTTCTCATGGTGTGGAGAGGATCGGCGGGGTCGGGTAGCGCAAGGCAGAAGCTGAGACTGGAAGGATCCAGAGTGGACCCGAAAGATGGAGGAAGGCATGTTGTGTGTACGACTTCTGTGCCGCATCGTGCTATCTATACACACTTGTCCGCCCCGTACCCAGGCCGGCCTGAGACCGCAGAATACAGGGCCCGCTTCTGGATATTTAGGCACTTCTAACATCTTAGCTCGCTTTCCAACCCTTTCCCCATCTCTTAAAACGTAACGAAGGACAGAATCCCTGATCAATCACTTCCTCCCCATCAAACAAGGCTGCTTCTACTCTCGCCGGCAAGATAGTTCTCGTATCGGGCGACTCCAATGACGTTGGGCGCGCAACGGCCCTGGCTTGCGGTGCACCAGCTGCCTCTGTGGTGACCAACCACAACTCGGGCACTGCCAATTTCTAGTAAGGGTCGGTGGCCAGGAGAGTCGGCGCGTACGCAGTCTGACCTGACGTGCTATGGTTATAGCCCACGCCTGGAGGATGCACTGGCACATGTGAAATCCCGGATCCCATGGCGTCGCAGGCGATTTCGTAGCAATTGAGGGCCGTTGGCACCAATGGAGCGCTCTTCAACCAGCTAAGCCCCTGCCCAGCGCCACACCGCGCCTTGCCTGCGCCCCCTTCACGCTCAGCGCTGCGGGCCACTTCGGACGACGGACACACTGTACCATGAAGTGCATGCATGCGTCGCAAAATCCGGGGCATGGACACGGCCAGGCCAGCGCTCCGCTGAGCATCATGCCGTCGAAAGTGGGGGGAGACCGTTGCCCGGGTCGAGTGTGTTACATACGTTGCTGGCACCATGGATCCAGGACGTAAGGTCGGCGGGAGGCAGGCTAGCAGCAGCAGCTGGGCCCGAAGGAGAGGGTGAGTCGGATTGCAGCGCGGGTATCCCAAAGCCATGGTAGAGGGGCGTCACCGTGAGGAGCTTGAACCAGAAGGAGGAGAGCTTGGTGGCGGCGTGGCGGCCGGCAACGGTGCAGTCAACGCCATTTTTGCCGAATCCGTCGCGAATCCTGCAGCCTGACAAAGGCCGTAGTGGAACTTTTATCCGGGTGGTATTTCGGCTGATACTTTGCGTTATTCCATTAATGATATGCGGTGTCTCCGATCATATTGATGGGTATGTCTGCTCATTAGGTACAGATGTCGACAGCTACAAGACCATGGTAGACATGAAGCAGGAGCAAAAAGAGCCTCCCCACCGTAGTCCCAAGTCCTCGCGTACCTAGTTGCCCATCAAGGGGCCAACTCACTCCTCCTAGTACACATGGTGCTTCCACTCTCCTCCATCGACGCCCCGCACGATGATGAGGTCTCCGGAAACGGTTGCGGATTTTCCCCGGTCGGGGGTGGGGAAGGCGGACGAAAGCACCAGCTTGGCACAGAGCTGAGCACCGGGCTGCGCCAGACGTTTGGCGTTGAGCTGGACGGGAGCAGCCCTCTCCGACCCAGGATCCAGGTAACTATCCTGACAGCTAGCTTCAACACCGATGACAGCAAAGTAACCTGGTAAGCGACACACGTCTCCGCGCTCGACACATCGACCCGGGTCCATCCCAATTGCACATCCCAGAAAACAGTCCGGGCCGCACGTTACGGCGCGGTACAGCAAAGCAGGCATACATACACACACGTGCTCCCAGCTCCTCCTCTTCCTGCTCCGCAAAAGACACCATCCCCTCCCCACAAATCCCTCTTCTCCGACCACCCTCGGCGGTGGTAAACCTCAGCCTCACCCGCTCTAACAGCCCCTCCGACTAATAGAAGCTAGGTCTACCTACATCCGATAAGACTAGTTAGGATAGGCTAGGCTATGCTCGGCTAGCGCTATATACCCCGCCTCTTCCCCTCCTGCCCTCCCGTTCCGGGGCCGAACGCAGTCGAACGGGCCGCTCCCGGAAGGAAAATGCCGTCTTTCTATGTGTGTGCGGTTGTTGATTTGGTAATGCATCCGACGTCCTACGCGGAGTGTTGGCCGATCGTTACGAGCGACGCCGGCGGCGGAAATGTGGGGGAGGGGGTTGCTCTCTGTGTTGCCTGGGAAACGTCAGGAAGGTGGGGTGCGTGTTCGACGACTGCTTGGGGGGGCGTGTGTGATGCCAAAGTGATTGGGGGAAACGAACGGACAGCATCTGAGACTCGTAATGATGTGCACGTGCTTGGGTATCAACGGGTAAGTTCTTTCGCTTTAAGATAACGATTGGCTGTTACTTTTTACCATATACGTCGGACAGGAAAAAACGAGAAATGTATGAAATTTCAAGTATGTGAGTTGAAATTGAAAAGGGGGTAATCAAGATTCAGGTAGGACAAGGTGAACGTTTGGACGGAGAGAAGTTAGATTTTGGATGGGAATGAGTTCTCTTCTGGGTAGGAAGGGGTAGTACACGGGGATGGTATCCTGGGTAGGGAGGAGTTTAATTTTTCAGCTTCTCATCGCAACCGTGAGCATCGACTTTCCCGTTTCGGACATTTTTGGAACTTTCCCTGCATCCCTAATCTTATTTATATCGCGGATTATGCTTTACTTCAACTATGCAGTCCAAGGACCTCTTTTGTCTCCAACTTACCATTATGCGCCACGCGGCATCGCTGAGCTTGCTTGCTGCCGTCCTTCCTGGGGTCTCGTCTGTGGTGCTGGCCAACGGCGATACCGAGGGAAGTCTTGGTGATGCAGGCGCGGAACCCGTGAGAGATAGGACGCGACGAAGTGAATCATCGCCTCGCACGATCCTGCTCCCCGACATACATTGGGACCATGACACGCACAGTCTCGAACACGTTACTCCTATCCCTCCTGGATCACCCGTCCCGCTGTTCTATACGGCGTCTGACAAACGTAAGTTGCCTTCGGGCGCCGACCAAAGAAAGCCACTCAGCCATGCACAGATCCAGACGGTTCGCTCTACGTCAGTTCGTTCACCCCGACATTCAACCACACCACCGTTGTCTTGGACCATACGGATCGCATCAGTACCGTCGCGTACGACACCGACTCAGGCGACCTTAAGATCGATTTCAACTGCCCCCAAGCATACTCGGCTGCTGTCGACTCCTGGCTCGACACGGAAAACCCTCTTCTCTTGATCACGTACACGCCAGATTGCGGCAATCACGAATCTGGCGAGCGGTGCTTCTTCGAGGCCACCAACGTGGACACTGGCGGGGATGACTTGTCCCTGACCGTGTCGGGCCATCCACAAGACTACCCCAATGTCGTCGAAGGCGTATCGATCGAATGGGGTTCGATGGTCCCACCGTCGCCGCAATCCGACACCGACTGCGGCGCTGCGGTAGACCCGGTGAACGGCCTCCCCACGGCGTGCTTGGGGCCCGACTTCGACCACGACCTCGACGAAAAGATGGGTTACAGCGACCTGACCGAGTTCGAGTGGGCGGACGATGCCACGAGAGAGGCGCCCGACCTTGAGCTCCACTCGGCAGGGCTTTCCACCAACAACACGGCGGCCGACGCCGACGACCTGTCGTCCACGACGCCAGATGCACGGCGACTGCGCCGGCGCCGTGAGGAACCGCCACGGGCGCTTTCCAAACGCCTTCTTGGCTGGAGATGGCTCGACCAGTCGTTCCAGAGCCAGTACGATTTCAAGATCCCCTCGAAGCAAAAGCCCCCGCGCGGCACGACCATTGTTCACCAGCCGTGGAAAAACTCGATCCGCCTCTTCAATCAGCAAGTTGCAAAGTCACGTACCAAGTCCAAGCCCGGCTTCACCGGTCTGTTCAACGTCTACTGCGTCGATTGCGGCGCCGAAGTCAGCTTTGGCGTCAAAGGTGCGGTCAAAAGCAGTCGATGGGGCGGCGGGCTCGAAGAAGCTTGGGTGGAAACCGACGTCAAGCTCAAGATGGGGATGCAGATCGGCATAGAAGCCGGGGCCGAGCTCAGCGACCGGAGGCCCCAAAGGGAGCTGTTTACGCTGCCCATTTCTGGCGTCACTCTTCCCGGACTGCTCGAGATGGGCCCTGCACTCTCAGTCGGCATCGACTACAAGTGGAAGGCGGCGGCTTACGGCACCGTCCTCGCGGGAGCCCAGTACTCGCTGCCTCTTTCGACCTTCAGGTACGACTTCCTGACGGGGCATGAAAAGTATGAAGGCTGGTTCCCGCAGTTCGACCCAAAGCTCGAAGCCAAAGGAGCCATCATGCTGAGCGCCGAAGTCGGTCTGCCGGTGACCCTCAAGCTTCACATCACAGCCTTGCAACGATCGTTTGACACGTCGCTCGGCATCGTGGATCGGCCATCTCTGAAGTTCGTTGCGCAAGCAGCTGCTGAGATTTCGTCTGGATCCGGCAACGCCATCGACGGCGGCTTCACCAACATCAACGGCTGCACGGGCATTTCCACTCGCATGAGCTGGAAGAACGAGGTCTACGTCAAGGCAAAGCTGAAGAGCATAAAGCCGCTTTTGAACGGACTCAACAGGCGCTTCCCCATCAAGAACACCGGTAAGGAGCTTACAAGGGCGTGCATCCCGTAAGTATTAACCATGATGCCATCGTCGATGCAATGCGCTGACCCATAGCAGTCTCGGTAAACAGCCGGGGCCAAAGGAAGACAAGCCGAAACCCAAACAAAGCACACCCAAGGTCCAGGCTGGGGACGACACTCAGGACGACGCTGAGGAAGAAGAACCCGAGGACGACGCTGAGGACGAAGAAGAAGAAGGACCCGACGATGGCGATGAGGAGGGAGAAGACGAAGAAGAAGAAGAAGAAGGTGAACCCGAGGACGACGCCGCGGACGACGACGACGAGGAAAACGACGAAGTGGTCAGCTACGACAGCGACATCATCCGAAGCTCGCCGTACAAGACAAAGGACAAAACATTCACCTGGCTCGTGAACGCCGCCGACGGGGTCCAGCTGCTCGGCTGCGTCGACGACAACTTCTACATCGACTCGCGGATGAACGAGACGGACCTCGACAAATGCAACGAGCTGAACGAGTTCGAAGAAGACGACCTCGTCGCCACCAGCAGCGCCGAGCTCCTCTACTACTACGGCGACACCATGGATTCCATCGGTGTCAGCCGCCTGCGCAAAGGCAGTGGACGAAAGATTCCCGGCAGCGCTATCCACGTGTGAGTTCCCCCTTTCCACAGCACCACCTCCGCGGCCCCCATTCTGATACCGAGCGAATAGGCTCCTCGTGAAGACGAAGTCTGGATACATTGCCCGTGACGATTACCGTGATGAGTACTACCCGGTTTCTTGCACGTACAAAGACAAATCGCGTCCCGAGAAAGTTTTTGTCGTCTCGGACGTGGCCAAGGGCATCAAGACGCTGCAGTCTGCCGAAGCCGTCAATACCATCACGGGCGGAGCGGTGTCCAAGTGTCGTGCGTTGAACTTGGAGATTGGCAACACGGACTATGAAGAGTACCTTGGAGAACTGGATTAGCGAAGGCAATGTCCGTATGTTTCCCATATGTACACGGCGGTAGCATTGTAGCCATTTTCTTATTGGAGAGGTGTGTTACTTGAAGTATGGGAAGACTAATCAAAATCCTCGTTCCTTGCCATTCAAAATGCGTTACTAAAATGCCAGCCCTTTCCGTTCTCAATCCGTAACATCACACGTCTATCCCGAACCTCCTCCATGAGTTGTCCATCCGAACTGATGCATTCTATACCGCCTTCTTCACTCTCAACAGTCAACAGTAACGGAATAATCGGGGTTCCTTTCCAGGAGAATGTGGTACCCTTTGCCACCTGCCAAACGGTCGCCATGAAATGGATCAAGCCCAGCAGCAGCATCGCAGCTAGGTATACCATCCACGGCCAGCGAACTTTGATGAAAGCTTCCGTTGACGTTGCGGAGCCAGCATACCTTGAGCCCGACTTGGTCAGGTTCGTTCCGTTGGTACGTATGACGTTTGTCATAGCCAAGGCGAGGTTCTTGGTCCAGGAATCCAAATCCTTTCGTGCGTTCCAGAGGCTTTGTGTGTTGTCAGAGCCATACTGAAATATACCACCATGCAAGCCCCACGTCACGTTTCCAGTGATCTGTCCAGAAACGGTGACATTCATCATGTGCACAACAGCGTGCGTCGCTCCAAATACCATATCGTCGGTGATACTGGACATGGACGGAATGTTGGTGAAGTTGCGTCTCCCTCTTGTGTCAAACCAGTCGTATTGCAAAGGATAAAACGGCGTTGCGACGTCCCATTCCGATTCCACCGTCTCGTGCTCAACCCCGGAACGGATTGAAGTGTTGTATGCTCGCAAGCAGAACCAGAGGGCGCATTCGGTGGCAGTCAGGCTATCCTCGGGTGTGATCTCCGCGAACGCGGAGTTGATGATGGAGAAGTGGCTAATATAGATTCGACCGGCTTCACCAGGGACGTTTCTATACACGTTACCGTATGGAGTCGAGCTGACGTTGAACAAGCACTACTAGTTGTCGTATGCAAAATCCCCTGGAGACGAGCCTGATTTGAGTCCATACAGCCGGGATCCATCCGGTAGAGAGTAATTGCAACAGCCAGTTTTAAAACAGTAGGGTGTCAAGTGCTCAGTAACGTTAGCGCACCCGCCGCACACGGCTAAGCCCGGCACCACTGGCCATGTGCAGTTGCCTGTCGGACAATCAGGTGAGGGTATGGGAGTATTCCCGCCGAGGGGGCCTTTCGAAATAGCGGCCTTCATGTCAAAATTGAGACCTTTGACCCATCCATCTGGGGCTGAATTTGATGCGTCGTAAATCTCGCTCCGCGAAATCGCACCTACCCCCAGAACCCCCGGGTGGAGGACATTGTCGTATCTTAGCCCGAGGATATTCTGAGAAAAGGTATCGAGCCCTAGGGCAAATACAGTGACCAGCGCGCCGAGTGAGGCGACGTGTTTGTGTTTGACGGTTCCGAGCAGTTGCAGGCTACCAATGGCCCCGCGTGAGGCGTTGTCGAAAGTTTCCAGCTCCTGGAGTTTGCGGCCGTGTCTAGGAGAGGTTGAGAACCACGTCCACTTGTTTTGGCTCAGTGATACGGCGACAGTACCAAGTAAAGAAGCACGAGTGATGGTAGAGATGGCAGCGATGACCGCGTTACGTGTGACGTAGTGATAGCTCCACTCCCGCTGTGGCTTGTCATCGAACAAGATCAGTGTCGTAACAAGGCATGAGAAGCTGACGAGGGACAGTGTGGCTGCAAGGAACTCGTAGGACCATGAACTCCACATGCGCTCATAAACTCTTGATGTTGGCGTGGGTACTTCAGTGTCGTCCACAGTCAGTGGTTGCAAAGCATCGGGAGGAAGAGTGTTGCCCGCCATGAGGCAAAGGTAAAGACACTAGGCGTTGAAGGTATTGAAGTTCTGGATAGTGCTCGGGAAAGCAGCTGAGGGATGCCAGCTTTTATCTGCCGTAGTAAGTCTTGAACATAGGTTACCTCTCTATTTTTACTTGCTGCGCCTCAAGGTGGACAATACGGGCTTTGTGGCTTTGTGGCGACGAAAAGACGATTCTACACCAACATCCTGTTTCGCTTGTCGATTTTCTTTTGCCTGTAACACCCACATCCATTATAAGGTGAAACACCTGCACTTAGTCATGGCCATCCTATTCATTCAATCGCATACTTCTATTTTCGGGGCGACAAGGCTGGAAGCTGACATGCACGCAGGCAGGGCGCAGTAGGCGATACCAGCATAGCCGTGCCTCCAGACGTGTTGCTTCGCTATCGGACGGAAGCGTATGAATGAAGACGTGTCTTCCACAGCCTCTGTCTGCATGGGGATCAACAGCCAAGGTTTGCCTTGCCAGGGGCTGCAAGGCTGCCAAGAAATTCAACTCTTACCATAGATGTCTCTCCCTGATTAATGAGTCAGCTCTTGAGAATCGGGATCAAGTCGGCGTGTACGTTGGGGGTGAGGGTTGTGGTCAGCCCGCATGGTGAGTATTGGCTCGGCCGTGGATTGGGTTTGGCGCTCGGGACTCACAGAGGGCATCAGTGTTTACTCGCAACTCGGCCATAACTTTCGCTTCTTGGTCGTAGGCTTGAAATCGGCGTCCTCGTAATGGATGTCGGTGCAGCAGCCCTCGGCATCGGCCGGGCGTTCACAACACTCCCACAAAAATCCCTCGGGGAAGCTCTCGTAATTTTCTTCCGACTCAATGGGACCATGGCATCTTTCATCATGATCGATCCACTCATCTTCGATGGGCTCGAGCGGGCCTAGCGGCAAGCGTCAACGGTTGAGAGTCACGTGTTTGGAAGAAGAAAAGGAAACGAGGATTGCGACGTACCATCATGAGTTTTGCAGCTCTTCTCGGTGTTGGCTGCCAGGTCGAATTCCTGGTGGCAATGCTTGCAGGTTACGTAACGTGACCGCTGTGTCTTCTTTGCTGTCAGTGCGGTGACATTGAGCACGTTTTGCTTGTCGGCTTCGTCGCCACTCGCGGGTTCTTCGTCCATCAGGAGCTCCCGCTCCAGGACCTGCTGCGCGATGGGCGAGGCCTTGCAGAGGGTCAAGAGGACAGACTGCAGCCGTTCGAGATGTGCACGGTGGATGGCTTCGTGGAGCGCGGGAGACGCCATTGTCAGGGAAAAGGAGAAGTCTATCTGAACGATGACGTGCGGAAGGAAGTTGCGAAAGAAGAGTGTTTCATTTTTCAAGCGTAGATAATGACAAATGAAACTGAGTCGCGTCCTTTTCATCGCCGAGAAGGCGCAGAACGCGTTCTCATCACCTGACTACGCGTCATCCCCGCAGCATTTCCAATTCTCTCATCCAGGACGAATTGCAAAACTTGTCGCGGGAAAAAGAGGGAACAGAGATGTGTTCGAGAGAGCGCCGTGATACTTGACTCCGTCTTATACGCAATTGCGCAGCACGTGATCACTTGACTACCCAACGACCAGCTCCATCGCCCTGTTCTCCCCCTCACACCGGCAAATGCGTTCAACAGCCCCATCCACCCTCGATGACTTCGAGGCCAGGCGAGGTCGAAGCTCGTGGTTACCGCCAAACCTCCACGTGACAGCGGTGACTCACTAACCAAACGCACACCCTACCAGCAGTCCATCTACAGCATCCCAACCCAACCCCGCCATGACCACCACACTCACCTCCCTCCCGCGCGAGCTCCGCCAAAACATCCTCCTCTCCGCCGTCCAGCAAGAAACCCACCTAACCATCAACACCCCATGGCCCCAAACCATCACCTCGCTCCTCGCCGCGTGCAAGCTCCTCCGCGCCGACATGCCCTGGGTCCTCAACGCCTGGTCACCCCTGCGCGTGCTGCAGCACCCTCGCGACGTAGCCGCCGCCGCCGCGACACCACTGATCACCATCGACGGCGTCGCCTGCAACAACCCGTCATGCCAGGGCCCCCTCTGCCTCTGCCTCCGCCTCTACCACGACGTCGAGCTGCGCGACCTCTGGGCAGACGGCTACGGCCTGGACGCCGCGCTGGTGGATGCGTGGCACGACGCGGTCGCGGGGCTGCCACTGCCAGTACGGGTCAATACGCAGAGTGGTACTAACGACAGCGACGATGACGTCGACGCAAGGACGACATCAACAACATCGACGACGACGCCGCCGCCGCCAACTGTCATTCTCCTCGACGTCACCCCCGCCCCGGGCTGGATGCGCGCCGCCGGCCACGCGAACCAGCTGAACGCGCTGCTGCAGGACACGCGGACGGCGCGGCGCTTCCTGGATGCGCAGGCGTTGGACGTCGCGCGGCTGGTGCGGCGCATCTACGAGCATTACGGCGGTGGCGGCGGCGGCAGCAGCAAAGGAGGAAGGGGTGGAGCGGTCGAGGTCAAACTCACGGGCAAGTTGGCGCGGCGGTCGGGCGCGTTCGTGGCGAAGGTGGACGAGGGGGGCGGGGTGCGGGTGGAGTTTGTGGGCGAGTACGTCGAGGGCGCGGAGGCGGGGGTGGGGCAGCTGGAGCGCGCGGTGAGGGCGCTGGCGCCGAAGAAGCGGGGGACGGTGGGGGACTGTGCGAGGGCGGTGAGGCTGGCGCGGCTGAGGCGGGTGGAGTGGTCGAAGAGGTCGGCGAAGCTGGTTGATAGGGCTTGTGATGGGGGCGGGGTGGAGGGGGTGAGGGAGACGTTGGGGGAGATGGCGGAGCTGATGGTCGACGAGCGCAGGGACAGGCTGGAGATGGCGCCGTCGGGGAACTTGCATCGCGCTATGGTGCATAGTCTGGCTCAGGATATGGGGATGCTGACGGGGTCGGAAGGGGAGGGGGAGGGCCGGTTTGTCGTCGTCACTAAGAAGCCGGCTTTGTGATCAGCAAGTAAGGGGAAACGTCTGTCGGTATGTGAAGCTCTAAGTTATTAACATTATTCTACATGGCACTCGTCGTCGTCCTCTTTTCACGCCGCCACATTCAGCTCCAACACCCAATCGTCATCCACACCCCCACTCGTCGGCGGCACAAACGCTTTCCTCCCCTCCAAACCAAACGGCCGGGCGCTCCCCGTCTCGTTGCGGTACACGCCTTGCCGCGGATCGTACCATCTCGCCCTCGCGCGATCCTTCCCAAAATGCGCTCTCAGCGCATCGAGGTCCAAATCAAACGCATCGCCATAGCCAGCATACACCCAATACTGCCTCCTGCTGACCAGCCCCGCGACATAGCGGTTCCCCTCGTACGCCAACACATCCGCGCTCGCGACGAACCCGCGGTCCGGCCGCAGACTCTCCAAGTCCTCCCTATCCAGCCCGGCAAACAGCCTCTGCACGAAGCCCGACTGGGTCGCGCCGGGGTAGGCGAGGGCATCGCGCCACGACTCGTTGGCGGGCTGCTCGATCTGCGGGGGCACGAAGAGGTCGGGGCGGGCGAGCTGCGCGCGCGGGGCGTACATCTGCCAGACGGCGTTGGCGCCGTAGGTGAAGCCGCACGCGCCGGCCAGGCGGGCGTTGTAGAAGCCGTGGCGGACGTGGCTGGCGTTCCACAGCGGGCGCGACGCGTTGAAGCCGACGAAGGCGCCCTCGTAGTGGTTCTCGAGGTCGACGACGGGGCCGGCGAAGGCGGCGCGCATGGCGGCGACGTTGGCGTAGTTGCGCGTCGAGTCCCACCCGCGCAGCGCGGCGAAGCGCGTGTCGACCGTGTCGTTGTCCGGGATGTTGTGGCCCGACTGCACGGCGTCCATGGACACGTTGGCCATGTAGTTGTGGCCGTACGGGAGGGGCGTGGCCGGCGTCGCGATCCACATGTTGGTCGGGTGCCAGGTCACGAAGGGCGTGGCGCCGGCGTTTGATTCGGCCGCGGCGAAGCCCTCGGCCATGCGGGCCCAGACGGAGCGCGTGTCGGTGATGGGGCCCAGGAGGGTGGATTGGTCGACGGTCTGGTCGGCCCGGAATGCTTCCTGCGCCGCCGAGGCGTTGCAGGCCCAGAGGCCGTTGGAGTCGCCGCCGATGATCTTGGGGAGGCCCGGGTAGCGGTGGCCGATGTAGTGGCCGAAGGATTCGGCGGAGCTCTCGTTGAAGATGATGGCGCCGTTGTGCCAGCCGCAGTTGACCCAGCGGCCCCAGGTGGGCACGAGGGCGACGAGGATGCCGTACGACGCGGCGCGCCGGACCGCCCAGTCGACGTGGGCGAAGTAGGCGTCGTTGGGGCGCAGCGGGTCCGCGTCGTGCAGGGGGAGCTCGCCGTAGAAGTTGGGATAGGTGGTGCCGTTGAGCTCCGAGATGACGACCGACTGCACGACGTTGAAGCCCTTGCTGGCCCGGTCCTGGAGGTAGTGGTCGATGTCACTGCGGTTCAGCCGGTGGAACAGCTCCCATGCCGTGTCGGCCTGCCAGAAGAAGGGCTCGCCGCTGCTGGTCCGGTAGAGGTTCCGTCCTTCGGCTGAGATGGAGAGATTGCTCCATGGCACTGAAGTGGAGTTGTCACTGGCCGAGCCGAGGGCGCCGCCAAGCGACAGGAGCGCGAGCAGTGAAGTTGTCGCCCGCATTTTCCGACCTCTGTGGCTGATGAAATGAGATTCAAACCGGCGTCTCTCGCAATTTATACTTCGGTCTCCTGCCCGCCGCGCTTTGACCGAAGCCGGCCCCGGTTGCTGTCGAAAGACAAGCGCGAGATATTGACGAGATGGCGGCTCCGGCGTTAACCCGCAGCTTGACCTGATGCCCCGCAGCCAGACGTTCCGTGCAGATTGAGTGGTGCGGAGAAAGCCTTTTGTGGGTTTCGTCGGCCGGGGAAGCTAGGGCGGTCAGTTCGGAGGTGGGCCCTCAAAAGGCCTGAGCACTCCGAAGGGGCATGTTGAGAGAGAGATCCGTATGTACTGCCGATGCGTCGGAAGCACGCAGTGGAGCTGCGTGGGATCCGTCATGTTCGACATGGGGCCGGATGCGGGGAGACATCGAGGGGGCTATGTCTATTTAATGCTTTTCCACGTACCGGCTGAATTACCCCCGCGAAAATCCCCATCGTCTGGAGTGCATCCGAGGTCGCGTGGGAACCCCAGGTGTGGGGCCTTGACAGCCGCCGGGAAAGCGCCGCTAGACGTCATCGCCTTCCACATCGGGCAACTCGAGCCTCTGGGGTACTTTCGCGGTCAAATGCTCCGACGCTCGGCCGAACCCTTCCTGGCCAAGCGTCCGACATGAGGTCGATGGTCCAACAGCCTTTTTCCAGGCCAACCCCTGTCTTCGCCTGAAGAACATACCATATCACACCGAGCTTTCACCGCTTCGGATCTCGCACTCTGCTTCTCATGCTTTCCCCACCGTCCCGCTGCCTGTGGTACCGACAAACAAACTGGGAAGTGACGGAATCATGTCTGGAGGGTTAAGAAGTGCTCGGCAATGGCGTATCGCGGACCGTGCTATTTATCAAGGGCCAAACATCTGTCATCTGATCAGGTGTGTAGGAGCTTTGAAGCCCGTGTGCACCCGTCACCGCGGATTGAAAATTGGCAACAAGGTCTCTCGCTGCTGCACCTGGCGTGATCGACTTCGGGTCTGGGATTCCGGATAGTTGAGGCGTGAGCACAGCCCGGTGAGAGTGATTGATCCGTGTCCTGTAACTTGAAGAGCCATATTTTCACTGCTTGGGGACCATCTATTTCCATGGGCACGAGGATACAATGGTAATATATCATTCAATAAGCTTGACTTGGACTACAAAACGCCAAGGATCCAAATCCAAATCTAGTCTGGAGAATGGGCTTAAGGCCCCTAGATCGATCGAGAATGATTGCGTGCATCGCCGCCACGCATTTATATAGTATCTGGGTTTGCTAAGAAAGCTTTGATTCGCAGCCGTAAAGTGCGGCTGAAAACAAGCGCCTTGACGTCCTCAAGTCTCCTTCGCCTCTAGCCTTCAAACAAAGCATTCTCTAGCTATAAATAGAATTTTGACGATAGTTGTTCATGCCTAAGAGCACCCATTCCTACTGGCTTCGTGATGGTGACAGGCTGGCGGCTTCGAGACTTCTTTGAAGCTCTTCCAATTTTGCTGCAAGCGTCCCTATAAAGAGCTCCGCTTCTTGTAGGCGCTCTTCTGCTAAATAACAGCGCGCTAGAGCCACTCCATGTTCAACCCTCTCAGCCTGAATAAGCTTCTCCAAGGCGGCTTTTCCCCTGCGTTCCCGCCGAAGCATCGATCGGAATTCCCGGGTTGACAGCCTGTCAGCTGGTTTTCTTCGTCGCGCTGACATCGCTACACTCACAAATCAGTCACTGCTCTGTTCTGGGAGTCCCTCGAAACGTGATTGTACCATACCTTCCAGGCTTACTTCGCGGAGCATTGAAGAGGGAAATAATGTCTATATACAGTCGGTTGAGAGGTCGCTAGAGTGTGGGGAGCCGTAGTCTCACTCTCAGATGCTGTGTCCGGTAGTGATATATATCATGTCATATCAGAATTGGACAAGAATCTAGAATTCCGAGCTTTCGGATCCTACCCGATTCTCGCGAGAGGACACCAAAGCGGCGGCAGGCACCTGCCTGGGCTTCTCTCACTTCTGCGGACCTAGCCCGGTCCAAAGGAAAGCTCCGATTCGGGTGTGAAACATGCACGTCCACGAGTAGGAATTTTCCTTAAGATGGTTGTACATACATTTAATGGAGCTGCCGGCACCGCGCTGACCCCAACATCACTCGTACCGAGCCTCGGAACCACCCCACCGGTACACGCTTTCTAGAAATCCTTGGTCTAGGCTGAAAGCGCTACATTCTCGCCCGTTCCTTTCCGAGAGCATCTGCATATGATAGCACGCTCCAAGGCTATGAGCCCTTATGCGGCTTTGCTTGGACAATGACCACGACAACTTCTCCAGTCGACTCAAGGTCGGTAGAGTGGCTGTTGTTACTTTCTGCGGAACTAAATGCCTGTGTGGAGTCTGTAAGTAACACCAGTCGCCGCGCGTCCGTTTTCGCACCGCTACAGCCATGTAAGTGGACCAGTGAGTCCCAATCTCCTTGGCAATTTCTTAACCGTTGATCGTGACAACAGGTTACAGGATTACTAGGTGGTTCGACGACCGCCTGATGCGTTGCAGTGGAGAGGTGTAACTCTTTAAACAGACTATAATGCTTGGACTAGCGATGTTAACCCAAGGACTATTGTGGTCGGAGTGGTATTGAACAGTAGCGTGCTCTGCCTGGACAACGGTGAAAATCAGGCTTCGTTAAGCGAGATGGCAAATGGGGATAGCCAATAATCTATCTCGGATACTCTGGAAGCGATGATTTGCGTTGGCGCGACGCTGATGTTTTAGACCTCTTACTACAGTCAGCTAATTCTGCTCCCCCTCCTTTTTACCCGAGGGGCCGCATTAGTGCTCTTGGCTACATCCTAAGCCCTTATAGATGATAAATAATTTTGCCTGCTAAGCCAAGCTTTTCTATAATAGCTCAAGAACGATAGAGCCCACACCGGCGAGACATAGCTAGCCAATAATAGGAGATAGAACCGGGCGGATGTCTCCGGGGCGGGGTTGCTCCCGTCCATATCTTGGCAGTTGTATGCCTTCGCACCCTGTCGGAGCTGGCAATAAATTGGGACCACGTGGATTGTGCACCTTTCTACAAATCAGGTCGCTTATTATGCTTGGCGGTTAGTTGATCCTACGGGGGCGTAGTCGATCACCACATCTGACACCGTGCAAGGGCCTCGAATGGCGGATGGAAGCCTCTTGGCCTCGCTGATAAGTATCCTTGTCGTTGTTTTTCGTGTTTATAGTCCGTTAGTACTGGACTATACTGGTGAATACTATGCGTTTCGGAGAAGCGGATAGCCAAAACATATACCTCCGCCATCCCGATTACTAAGAAAGCCAACGATAGTCTATAACAAGTTTGAAGGCTACTCTTATTGAGAAACACGGTAGACGAGTTTCGAAATAGGTCTATTGAGAATCATTGTCGCTCTCTAACCGCAAAGGTAGAATGATTTCTCTTACATAGAATATTTTCTTTACCCCCGTATAGGTCTTACTGACACCACCAGGAACTGCTGGATCGCAAGGCTCAAACAAGGATTTATACTAAGTGTGTACGCATCTCTTTACATTTGCCCGCTGAAAAGAGGTAAGAAGGCTGAAACGAGCCAATCTCAAGTTGCGTGTCTTACTAAACCCCTACAGAGCCACGAGCCCGCTTCATGGAGTGCAAACCCATTTTAAAACTTCGACGTCATCTACTCCTGGAGCGTAAAAGAATAAAGTGCCTTAAAAAGATTGTTCAGCATGAAAGAGCTAAGCACAGGTTAGCTGTGGCACGAATCCGTAATGCGGAACGGAAGATTTCAAAAATGAAGCGGGAACTCTGCCAGCTCAAGCAGCAGAGTAGTTGTCTGATTTTGCAAGCTACCGTCAGCAACGGGACCAGAGCGCTGCTGAAAGCAAATAGTGATCATCAAAGGCGGATCAGAGAGCTCGGGATGCTCATCGAAGACATGAAAATACATTAAGGAAGTAGTTGTTACAGCAATTGACATCGACAGACGAGTAGAGATGGGCTAAGCTAATGTCATTTTCTTCAACCTATTGTCTTGAGCGATACGGATTACAGCTATTCCTTTGATGATACATTGCAGCCCATTGGATATGTACAAAAAAAAAAATGCAACATCCCTTGAGACACGTTATGGATTCCAACAATGTTGGGATTGATGGAGGTTGATCTGGCTGAACAAAGCATGAGACTGACGGGGGAAACCGAATGCTGCTGGAAACAGTCGTGTTTCGGTTACGAATGAAGCTCTGGTACTCTCGTATGCGGACCGAGCCGGGAGGTCATGCCGGATATTACCCCGGTAGAAAGCTCTACGAAGGTACCGTGCTTCCGAAGACAAGCCACTGGGTCAGTCGATGATCAGGAGAGTTTCTTGGAAACAGAAGCAAAGCGGTTTTGAGGGAGGAGGGGTATCGATAAAGGAAGAATATACTTTTCGCCTTGGCTCTACTGTGGGCCGGCTCGACATGCTCAAAGGAGCTCTGGAGAATGTCAGCCATTCAACCTATACGCTTAGCGCACGCACCTTCCGAAAGTCTTAGTGGCCAAGCCGGGGACCGGGAGCGCAGCCGCCTTGAATCCCCAGCTCTCTTTTGTACTGCCTCGATGCATTCGGCTTCCCTCGGCATGCACTGGCTTTAGCGGTTCTCACACCATTCAGGGTTTCTCACGCGCAACTCCCACCGGTCCCGGCTCCCGATGTGGGGATTCTTGAGTTGAGCTACCCATCGGGTCTCTTACTGTTTATGGGCTGCTAATGCCCGATACACTCCAACCTGTCTCCCAAGGTGAGGGGTTCGACCGTTGCCCCGTCAGCCTTGTTTGGTTCCTGGAACCGCTTTATTCGAAGCGCTTGATCATGACCACTACATATAAAGCACGCAGCCTTAAGCGTTGCAATCACCTGCATCAAAATCCTTACCTAGCTTGAGATCCTTCTTGCACAACAATGTCTTTCGATCAAACAGAGTACCTTGCGCTACGCGACTTGGCTCGCCAAGAGAGACCGTATCAACTATTCCAAGACGAGGAATATTGGGTGCCTATCAGGCTACACAAGCCTCTAGCGATCAGTGCTTTCCGAGGAACATATTTTTTATGGATGAAGGCGAAAGCCAAGACGAGCATTGGAAAAATACACGCCGCCTACATGTCATTGAATCCTGACGACACACATATTTTATTTGGGCAGACAATGATAAGCCCCGAGACTTACATCCGAGACCTTGACGAGTTGTAAGTCGGCCACATTCAGTGATAGCTCACTATCTCACAAGTTGTAGCAGCGATAGAATGATCGTTCTACTAGCGGCACTTCCTCAAGATCACCATGAACACAAACCTAGCACGCAGAGTACCGTGCCCCATCGCTCGATGGATCTTACCACCCCTTCACTTGCCAAAGAGACATGCGGTACAGAACTAGTTCGAGAGACGGGGCGCCTTGACTCCGATAAGGATGCCAGCGTAGTCCCACCAACACCGTCGGAATTAGCCGCCCCGGGTGCCTCAACGTCCGGTACACACCGGCCGACTTCAAACGAACCTCCGCAAAGGATGGGTGGTACAATCGATGAGTCCGAGCCAGCCCAATCAGACGTAGCTCACCACATCGGGTCGGACCTCGACCATGCTGCATGTGAAGAATCGGTAGAATGGCTTGAGAAACAAAGGCGGGATCTATGTAATCACTCTCAGATTCAGCCATCATGTTTACCAAGGCCATCCGTATCGAAAAAACGGTCTGGGTTTGCTGTTCCAACGAGGAAGTCTCAACGGCGGGTCAAACGGGTCAATTATAACGAAGACGTCTTGAGTAAGCTGCAACAACGGTTCTAGTCATGTCAACTAGTACTCCGTTTACATCTTCCTTTCTTTCCCGCTTTATTCGTCGATTCCATTGATAGCAATTCAACCTTCACAACACATGGTTCCATAGATACCAGTTTTTATTGCCGAGAGAATGTTTAAGTAATCACCCACTTGCACAAAGTCAGCTTCGGCTATAACTTTATTGTGAGACGCGTCGCCCAGTAATGTGGTCCAATCATCCTCAACCCTGCTCAATTCATCGATTACGGGACCGTGCTACCTTCGAATCACATGTCCACCAAAAGCCGTCGTCTTCCACTGCCCTGCAACGCTGATCTGACTGTAGGATCAAACACCATGTCTCAGTCGTATATCGTAACACCATAACGGTGGCTTGCATCGGAAGTCGAAAATGTGAAGATGCCTTCTATTTTCCTTGTGGCATAGTATTGATACGCTTCTACCGATAGGGTGATGCGTCAACAATATAAAATTCGCGTCAGAGTTGTAAAAGCTCCTTTCTCATACCGCAGAACTTCTCGCCTTCAAATCAACTGTGGAAAGCGTTCGTCCGCCACTGTACACTGCGCTGGAGATTCAGGAAGCATTAGAAGAAGTCAAACACGTTTTATTTAGCTTGTCAGCTCGAACCTTCATGAGTGGTTACAGATGGCCTTGCAGGAGACAACAATCCGGGGTCGCCAGTGGTAACCCTATCACAGTAGACCGTGTAATACAAGCTGGCAACCTTAAATGACGACCGCACTGCGGTACGTGCCGATGTAGGCCAGACGATCGATACTGATAACAGCACCGAGGTGACCCAGATCCAATAGTTAAGCAGATTGAGCAACTGCCTCTACGGATCGGCGGTGGTTTACCTCGCTAAGAAGGGCGAGACCGATTCACTTCTCGCCAGAAGGATAATCGATGTAGGTGGAGAGGACTGCTGAAGGGAACGGAGAGGTGCGCGGAATGCACAGGTAATGGGCACAGATAAGGCGCACGCCCATCGACCATAGTAAGGTGCGCCTACTAGTATGGCTCACACAGCAGACGCTAGTGGCTGCCCAAGGTGCAGACAGCTCTTGGCTGATATACTCCGTTAACGGCACAAATATATTGCCAAAGATGATTCACGTGAGCTTGAGAAAGAGTAGGACAGCGGAGTAACCCCGTGGCTATATGAAATTAGACCAATTCAAATTTAATAGAAGTACTTGGTGCTTTGCCAAGCCGCTGTAAGAATAAGGCCCACTACAGGATTAAGCCGGTTAGGTCAGGTCGGGTCAGGTCATGTTGGGTTGGGTCGGGCTGGGTCAGGTCGGGCTGGGTCAGGTTTGGTCGGGTCGGGTCGGGTCGGGTCGGGTTGGGTCAGATCAGGTCGGAGCTTGGCACCGAGAGATCTTTGTAGGTCGAATGTCGATAGAGATCAACCCGGCAGCCTGTAGAAAAAGCCTTGCCCATACTAGTCTTGCCCGTAGATTGGGTGCCAGAAGGTCTCAATTACCACGACACTGGTTTGATGGCCATGGCAAACCAGCTTGACGAAGCCCGGTGGGGGATGGCGGCCCCGCCGGCGGCTGCATGGCATGAAAGTGTCAGGGTACATCAAAGATTCTGAAGCTAACAGCTCGATGAAGTTTGTTGAAGCGCTCTTCACGAGCGCCGGAATCGGCTCTTCCGAAATAAAGCAGTTTCTTCCCCGGATGCTAAGCACTGCATCGACAGCCGCGAGAGCAAGCAAAGCACGTGTTTTTGGGGGACCCATGCTTACCGCGTGATGATGTCGCCGGCTCGCAAACAATGCCCCAAGACACTCGATTGCAACTGCGAGAGGTCTTTTGTGGCAGACTACGGATTGGTCGCCGCAGAAATTGGCCTCGGCTAGCTTTTTTTCATACTTGAGACACTTGAGATAAGCCTAAATAGCTAATTAAGCATAACACGTCCATGCGGAAAGAAACAATGACTGACTTCCCCATATGAGCCATGTAACAAGCTTGGCCCAGGACAATAAAAGAAGACTCGGTTGGAGAGAGCAGAGAAGGGAAAACAAAGAGAGGGAGAGGGGTGGGAGGGCTTGTGTGTCGGTCGGAGTGTGCGCGCCTCTGCGGTCCTTGGTGGAAGGTCAGCAGTCAAATCAGAGATCGAAAAGCGAGAATACCACGTTATACTGATTAAGCGAGAGATATTTAGGCTCACGCCTGGAAAAGAACATGGGCGCAAGCTGCTCTTAAGCGGGCCTCTGCTCCGGAAGTGCTGTGCAGTCCATCTCGCGACAACGATCATTCTTTCGACATACACGCCATGCCAACACAGCTGCCCAAGCCGATTTCCAGCGCGTGGAAAACGCTGCCGAGCAAGGACCAGCTGGCCATTCTTACTTCTGTCCGGTTTGTTGACTTCTATCAGCTCACGAGCGTGCAAACATGCACATATTGGCTCCTACAGTCGCTGGACGCGAACCTGCCGTCTAGTACGCTCTCCGTACGGGTTGGCCTTCTACAAGGCCTGTTTACTGCCGGGCAGACAATATCAGGCGCTCTATGGGGACGGTTGGCAGACGCACTCGGGCGGAAGCCGGTGCTACTCGCGGGCTTGATAGGTATGGCTCTGAGCTGTGTAGTAGCAGCCTTTGCTACCTCCTTCACCGTCCTCGCGCTATGCAGGCTATTCGCGGGCCTCGTCAACGGCACCACCGCCTCCTGCAAAGCATCCGTGGCCGATATCGTCCCGCAAAAGCAGCAGGGCCGTGCCTTCGCAACACTGTTTCTGTCCTTCAATGTGGCGGCCGTGCTCGGTCCTGGTGAGCGGTACTACCGGTCCGCACGACATCTTCCAAGCCTACTGACAGCCTTCAGTCATCAGCGCCGCCCTATTCGACCCCGGCTCTTGGCACGTGATACCCGGCTGGATGAGGCGGTATCCTTTCGCAGCACCAAGCCTTCTCAGTGCCCTTTTACTCGGCGCCGATGCTGTCGCGGTTTGGCTCTGCTTGCGCGAGAGCCTTCCGCGACATCACCGTACTAAGCTTTACCATCTCCTGACGCCAACTAGCGGCGAAAGTGAAGGAAATTCAGAAGTAGAAGGAGAAAGAGAAGGGAAGGAACAAGAAGACTTGAGCGTAGAGGACGAAGTAGTAGAAGAAGTGACGCTTGCTGTCCCACGGCTGTGGACCAGGCGATTCGTCACATCACTGGTCATGTTTGCACTCCTCGAATACCACCTCGGGTATATCCCTCTGCTCTAGACATGTACTCGCATAAGCTGACAGCCTATAAACCAGCCTTCTTACAGCCCTATGGCCGCTTTTCTTAGCGAGCCCGCGACGTGAGCCCGCCGACGCCGTGGAGCTGCCTCTCCGCTTCTCGGGCGGGCTGGAACTGACGCCGGCAGGTGTCGGGGCGGCCACCGCTATGCTGGGAGGTGTCGGCCTGTCGCTACAGCTGGCCATCGTCGTATCCATAATACGCCACAGCCCGGTCAAGGCGTTCGACGCCACGCAACCGCTGTTCGTGCTAACGTACGCACTCGCGCCGTACCTGGCGCTGGTGCCAGCCGCGTCGTGGGCGCTGTGGCCTTGCATCTTTGTCGGCACGGCGCTCCATGCCGTGACGCGTACGTACGGGCTGCTGGCAACGACCATGCTGCTCGACGCTGCCGTCCCCTGCCAGACGCTGCGTGCGACCGCCCACGGCATCGCCGCCGTCGTATCCGGTCTCTGTCGAACTCACGGGGCGGTGGTGGGAGGCATTTTGCACAGCTGGGGCCAGGCTAACAATGCCGCCGGTCTGGCTTGGTGGGGTTGTTCCTTGCTGAGTACCATCGGCTGGGCGCTAAGCCTCTGTGTTTGAAGTTGAGCAAGCTTTCACTGGGTGCACCGCTCCATTGCCTCACGTCAAGTGCACAAGTTTCAACATAGTTTGTCATGCGTTACAGGATGCTCAGTGATCAATCCAAGTCAAACAAGAATGCCTTTGGGGTTAGGAGAGCAGTGCCGAATCCGACGAGAAGCGTTCGCCTAGGTTGTTAGGAGAGTGCGAGCCTGCGAGCGTTGAGTCGCTGTGTCCATATGTCGTCGGCACAAAAGGTCGGCTTATCCATCCTCAGTTCGTCAACTATACCTTATTCTCAGTCCATGTTCGCAATCCTTCCTGGCTCTGGGCGTGGATTAGTGTGGGAGAGGCTGGGGTCATAGATCGGCTGTACTTGCGACGGGCCATCCATTGAGGCCGGGAACTGCTAAAGCAGGCGACCACCCGAATACGGCAGAGAAGGCAGATAATAGGCGTCGTCGCTACTGCTACGGTGCGATTGATTTGCCTTGTTTCACTGTATCATTGATTCATAGCTTTTACTACGTAACTACCTATTCCGGTTAGATGCGTCGGCAATGCTAGTAGTATGGTTCTAAGCGATGGGAACAGAGAGCTCATTTGAGGAAAGACTAACGCGAAATGGCCATTAATCTGCACGTGTGCCCAATGGGAGCTCTAGTAGGTATCCACCTCGTACTTTCAGGTTTCACAACCGCTCCCCCGCCCAAAAAAAAAAAAAAAGACTAAGGAAGTCCGGGGCTCGTTTCTAGACAAGCAGACGTCGGTGGGTCGTGGACATCTCTGCCGAGCTCTAACACTAGTAACGGATGGCCACCGTGCGGACGTCTCGCACGCAGAAAGTATAAACACGGGCACCAAGAACATCCGGGTATCCGATCCAAGACCTATACACCGACTTTATCGTAAGATACTTGAGGTAGATCCCGCCTTAGTTTTACCCACAGAAGGCAAGACCAAGGCTTTGTGAAGTGGGTATTGAGAAGATTAGAGCCTTTTGAACGGTCTACCACGACCCCGCCGATGGGACGCGCCAGTCATGGAGGGCCGAGGTTCTGCGTCGCCTCCTCCGGACGGATGGCGACTAGGTAGGTACTCGGGGCTCCGCGGGTCGGTGCAGATCCTCTTGCCCCCTGTACCCGTCATCCCCCTCCACATCTATGTGCGTAGCACTTTCGTATTTAGACGCTAGGCCCGTTTAAGAAGCACTTGCATTCGTCATCTCACCATGTGTTGTCGATTTTAGTAATATGGTGCCATGAGGCTTATCAAGCGCATATTCAGGGGATCGAGTTAGGAGGCCAAGGTACGATCTTATTTCCGTTTTAGCAGCATCAAGATTGATTACGGCCCAATGACTTGATAACGACGGTGTATGCTGTACCGAAATCATGCTACCAATAACGGTGAGGGAATGCCCCTGTCCCGGCAAGGATCCTTGCCACCACACTACCTCCCAACATCAGTGTCAGCAAGAGCACCGACGTACGCAAAGCTACATTGCATATCTGGGCCCTGTTGCGAGCCTTGCATCTGTCGACGAAGCCCTCAGTATCGTTGGTGTGCACCATGTCCTGGCCCGCGGGCGGGAGAGGCAGGCCGAGAAAGTCGCACAACGGCTTCCAGCCCTGCCCGACGTGGTACTCAAGGAGGTTTTCCGGGGGCACTACCGCACGGACGTGCTCGTAGTGCTCGCGGAAAGCCTGCTTACCGTGCTGCTTGAAGTCGCCCTTGAAGAAATCTGTCCAGAACTTGCTCAGCATCGGCTGGTAGAGTCCGGACGCCCAGTCGCATCTGGCCAACGCGCCTAGGACGACGTCATTCGCGCGCCAGTCGACGGTTTTGAGACACGACCTGACAGTTTCAGAGTCAGTTTCCCATCGTTGTACTTCGCTTCGCTTTGGAGCACCTACTTATACCAAGAGTCAACGTCGCGCGTGGTGATTATCACCTTTGCGTCCGGGTATGCCTCGGTCAATTCCTCGACAAAGGCAGCGGCCGGCCAGTCGCATACTGACTACATGACTGTTTACTTGAAATGGTTCTCAAATCGAGGGCAATTGCTGCTTCCTTCTTACCTGACAGTGCCCGAGGAGCTGATCCCACTGTTTGCGGCCAAACTCCCCAACCCCATCATACTTGTGGCTGAGGGCGTCCATCCACATCAGCGCATCAGGCGGGTTCTCCACACTCGTGGACATCATATGGTAGCATTCGCCGAGGCCAAGTTGTCTTAGCGCCTCGCGGAGTGCTACAAACAGAAAATGCCACGGCCTGTTAGATTTTCTACTCGGAGCAAAGTGGTATCAATCATAGGGTAGAGCCAGCGTACATGCGGTTCCGGTACGTCCAAGCCCAAGGCATATGACCCGCATTGGAACTGTCCTTTTGCAGTTACGGCGATCAATATCAGTGTCGTGAGTGAAGACATCTGTTCTTGGTTTCCTCGTATACTTGCTAGCGTAAGCCATCGGGTATTGCTGAGAGTGAGTGAGAGAGAAAAGAGGGAGAGGGAGCGAGAAAGAAAGAGATAAACATGACCAACGTAATATATAAATTAAATGAATGGTTAGAGCTAAATCATTGAGCTGAATGCTCTAATAAACATATCTAGCCATTTACAACTGAAAAGAAATTAAAGCGGTCATAAGGGTAAGAATAGTCACTCGTATAGATATTGAAATAAGCGAGAAAGGCGTTTACTGTGTAATTAACTGATTGAACCATGGCCGTATACCAAATGAGCACGCTAGCCCGTGTAAAGATGTCCGACCTAGCCGTTTCATCTTTTGAAAGCTCACGACAAGAAGCTCACCAGCAGGGGCATGGCGGTAATGCACACGGCGGCTGCTCCCGCGGACCCACGACGTGGCAAGAGCGCCAAGGTGCGCCAATGGTTGCAAGGCCGTGGCGTTGACGCCGGTTGGAACTAGGAGCGGTGTGGCTACAGGATATGATTCATGTCATCAGCAACGTTAATAAAACCGTTGCATATGACGCCTTACTCGACGCCGACGAGGGGCTGGTCTGGGCGGGCAGCGACAGTTTCGCCGGCATGGGCATCCAGGACCCCCATGTCTTCGACTTCCACGTGTGCGGCTACTTACTTCTGCATGATGCGCGGCATTGGCATCGACGACGGCGGCACGGCCCGCCACGCCTGCGTGATCCCCGCGCCCTCGCGCCTGACTAAGTACACGCCCGCCGCCACCGTCGCCTGCGCCGGCGTCTCGTCAGCCTGCGGCGGCCTGCACAACTTCTTCAGCCTCACCGACGACGGCAGCGTGCTCGGCCGCACCGTTTGTGCCGCATTTTGTCCGCATCAGCTTGTCGTCTGGCCGGCTTGTGGCGGCTTTTGCCGTCCGGATGCTGTACGGCCTCTCGGCGCTTCCGGCAACGGACCTGGCGGCGTGTCCATTTGTTGGTCGGTTTAGATCGTACAGCCTTTCTGACATGCCAGGAACAAGATCCGCACTGGGCTCGAACCAAGGTCTGCCAGTTGTTATCATGCACGGCGGAAAGATTCAGAGAGACCGCACCAAATTTGGTCCGCGAAGCAAAGGTACCTGTGTTGGTGGCTGTGCACGTGCAGCTCCTTCTGTGGGGCTCCGCGTTCTACCTACCCAACACTGTTGCCGGTTGAACATTCGAATTGAAATGCTCGTTAAGAAAAAAAAAATGGTAGATGCTGTTCATTACTATGCCAATGTGCGTGGGACCTGGCACTATATCTATCTACTACTCTCAATGCGCCCTTAGAACTCAAATTGGGATTGGTACAATGCCGCCCCCATCATGACGTACCCCCTGTTGGCTGTTATAGGTACCAATAGTGGTGTTTAGTGTGCTACTAAGCACTAGGGGCCGATTAAGCTTTAGATCCGGAGCTTAGCCCGGACCAATGTACACAAACATAACATCTACTCCCGATCCGGTGTTAAGGGACGGACCGCGACAAGTCCGGTCTTAAGCAAAGTCCGGCTTCAGGCAACGACACAGCTCGTCGCGGGAATCCTTCAATGCTTGTATATAACGGGACCCAGAGTATGCTCAATGTAAAAATCACACAAAATTCACCAAAGAACTTTCAAGCATCCATTATGCCTCAGTTGAACGGACAACAAGTTGGAACCATCGGCTTCGGCCTGATGGGTAAACATCCCCTACCCCTAAGCTACACACGACTTTGCTAATACGCTACAGGTCTGACGGCCAAAGAGATCCCCGAAGATCAAGCCTTCGCCACGATGCGTAAAGCCCTCGAAAGAGGCTGCAACGTCTGGAACGGCGGCGAGTTCTACGGGCCGCCCGAAAGGAACTCGCTCACACTCCTCAAGCGCTACTTCGCCAAGTACCCCGAGGACGCGGCCAAAGTCTCGCTCAACATCAAGGGCTGCGTCCTGCCCGGGCACAAGGTCGCCGCGAGCCGCGAGCAGGTCTTCGCCAGCGTCAACAACTGCATCGACATGCTTGGCGACGCGAAGAAGATTGACGTCTTCGAGCCCGCCCGCCGCGATCCCAACGTGCCACTAGAGGAGACCCTGGGCGCGTTTGAAGAGTTGATCAAGGAAGGAAAGATTGGCGGTGTTGCGCTGAGCGAGGTCAGCGCGAAGTCGATTCGGGAGGCGGCCGCGATTGCGAAGATCCAGTCGGTCGAGATCGAGCTGTCGCTGTGGGCCACGGACCCGCTTACCAACGGCATCTTGCACGCTTGCAAAGAGCTGGACATCCCCGTCTTGGCGTAAGTGAAGACGCTTCCTTCTCTTCTCGTTCGTGCGCTGAATATTTGCAGATACGGCCCCGTGGGTCAGGGCATGCTGGCGGGCAAGTACAAGTCGTTTGAAGACATTCCTGCCGACGACCGCAGGCGCGACTTCCCGCGCTTCCAGCGCGACAATTTCGAGAAGAACCTTGATCTGCTGCGTGCGCTGGAGAAGTTTGCGAAGAACAAGAACTGCACTCCGGCCCAGCTGGCCATCGGCTGGGTGCTGGCCATCTCGAAGAGGCCAGACATGCCTGTCATTATACCTATTCCTGGCGCCACGACGGCCGAGCGCGTCGAGGAGAACTCGACCATCGTGGGTATCACCGACGAGGACATGCAAGAGATTGATACCATTTTGGCGAGCTTCGAGGTGGCTGGGACGAGATACCCGGAGCAGGTCATGCACATGACGAACACTTGAAGGATCATAACGTGTTCAGCTAGCTCCTCGAATGTAGACATGCAAATATCATCGCCACTTCTGTTCTATTTGTATTACAATGTTGATTGGATCCGGGTCGTGGCAACAGTACATGGGAGGGAATTGTTGTAAAGTTTCAGGCACGATACACCACTTGTAATGCGCGGGTGTGAGAGACAAATTCAGTGATGCGGAGGGGCAGACGATCAGCACAACAATGCCTTGGGATTTCTGCCGAGGATGCTACTCGGTACGCGGAGCCCGCGGAATGCGTGAGTCTAAGGAGTTTAGGCCTAGCGCGGGCTCTAGGCTTTAGTGCGTACTATTCCATACAGGCGCCATCATTTACAGGCACTCTAGGCCGTAAGTGCACGCGGAATTAAAAGATATCGTAGATCTTCTCCAATTAGAGATTTGGAAGTATGAGCTTGTTTTGAACCCGCATACGTCACCCTTCATTCTTTAGCGTCATGGCTGAGTAGCTACATAAATAGGGGACTGTTCTACCATTGGGGCTGTTTGCACAAAACCACCTCACGAACAAACGCCACATACATCAACAATGGAGAAAATCAAAAGCTTGTGGGATCAAGGCATGTGCATCCCGAAACCCCAATTCGGGGAAGCCAGCATCGACGATCAATCCGGTCGCGTACGTATCTGGATCGAGACTTGGACTGGACTTTGAGCTGAAAGAGCGCAGGTCATCATCGTCACAGGTGGATACGCTGGCATCGGATACCAGCTTTGCAAAATTCTCTACCGCAAGAACGCCACCGTCTACATGGCTGGACGCAGCAAGGATAAGTACGAAGAAGCTGCGGAGAAGCTCCGGACTGAGGTGCCTGAATCGCAAGGAAACCTTTCATTCCTCCAGCTCGACCTCGCCCGACTCGACACGATCAAGGCCTCGGCCGAGGAATTCTTGGCCAAGGAGAAACGGTTAGACGTACTAGTTAACAATGCCGGAGTTATGCTTCCTCCAGACGGCAGTAAAACCGATGCAGTATGTCCTCTCTCGCTTGGCTCCCACCGCTTATGCTCACGACCTTCAAGGGTTACGAGCTCCAGATCGCCACAAACGGCCTCGGACCTTTTCTCTTTACCCACCATCTCTTCCCAATCCTCTGCAGCACGGCTGCATCGTCACCTCCAAGCTCCGTCCGGGTGACTTGGGCGGCCTCTCTTGCCATCGACCTGCTGGCCTCCGACGCCGGCATGGAATTCGACGAGAACGGCGATCCAAAGAACTTCGCCAGTAACAAGAACAACTACGGCCAGAGCAAAGTGGCCAACCTCTTCCTCGCCGTCGAGTTCGCCAAGCGATGCGAGAAGCACGGCATCCTCAGCATTTCGTGGAACCCGGGGAATATCCAGACGGATTTGTACAGACACATGAGTGGAGTTGGAGCCGTTGTTTCCGTACGTACTATTTCCTGCATTGAGAATCTCGAGTGCGGTTGGATGCTGACACGGGTTTAGAAATTTACGCTTTTCCCACCTTCGCTCGGTGTCATTCCGCCCTTGTACGCGGGATGGTCGCCGGCCGTGACCATGCAGGATTGTTTGGCTGGTGAACTGATCATCCCATGGGATCGGAAGCACACGCCGCGCCCGAAGTTGCTGGAAGGTATCAAGCCCAAGTCGGAAGGAGGACAAGGCCTGGCAGAGCAGTTTTGGGAATGGTGCAAATTGCAGACCAAAGTGACTGAGATACTGTAATGTTATTACGGCACAGGGACTCGGAGGGATGTTGTCTATTTGTCACCGTTTGTACATCAGCTCACGCGGTCTACGCACTTCATGACAATAAAGTTTTCTACCGAAGCGCGGTCAAGCCATTCTAGAATCACTCACCCTCATCGATCACCGGCTCCCCCCTATCCAAAGCCTCCAAGAGCTCCTTCATCGTCCAAGGCCTAAGCTTGAACCCTGGCACCGAATTCGTGTTCTCAAAAGGCGTGCCAGTAAGGATCGAGCGAGCAGCATGCATTTGATTGGATGATTAGGAAAGAATCCGACACTTTATCGAATGTGAAAAACATCATCCTGGCCTCGAATGCCGTCAAGCTCATCTAGCCGCATGCAACCGTCCAAATAGGCATCCCCGATATATGTTGCGCATTCCGCTGGCTCCACAAACCGTAGGACGTGTAGCGGCCCGCTTCCAAAGAAAGCGCAAATGGCATCGCCGATTTCCATGCCAGGCGGACCCAGCCCGAGCCGGCCATTGTAGGTTCTGAAAAACGTGCGGCCAATGTTCCGCTCAATGGCCTCGTAGCATTCCGCAATACGCCTCTGTGTATCTCCGGGGATTCCACGATCCGTGCAGATTTGGCGCAAGCATTGAGACGTTAGGGCCCAGACGGAAGCAGTAGCAGTGTTGGTGCCGGGATTGCTACAGTGCTGCTGCCCAACCAAAGATATAAGGGTGGTTATCGCATCGTTGCCAGTATCCGTGTAGATGGATTCTGCATCTTTGACCATGTCGCTTGCGTGCACACGCAGATAATTATGCGGCAGCATCGTGGTGATTCCATCACATGATACCCGTTGCGCAAGCGTCCGACACCGCGCCTCCCAGTCGATCCAAGCTGCGACGTCCGTTGGGTGTTGCACGTTGAACCGGGCTTGTTGGAGCCTGGAATCCTTCACCACGTCACTGACGGCGTCTAGTCTGAATCCTGAGATCTCCAGGCTTTGGTCATCGTCGTCGAGGACTTCCGGGATGCGCAAATGACGGTGGTGCGAGTTTTCTAGGATTCCGGCTCGGTAATTGTTCTGCTCGAAGTTGAAGGTTCGGTAGGGAATTGGCTTGGAGAAGTCGGGGCACCAAGACGGGAGCTTGGAGCCCTCCTCGTACGCCGAGAGTGATAGGATAGCAAGTGACTTGTCGTGCCTGAGCAGTGTTTTGGCGAAGCGCAAGTAAGTCTTCCAATACTGCTCGCGACCTTCGTTGCTGTAATCGATCAGTGGGGCCACCTCCTCCTTCAACCCTTCCTCCAGAAGCCCAAGGAGACTCCAAATCCGATCGATTGGCTCTTTTACCCCCAGACCCCAGCAATGCGATAGCAGGTATGGCGCGATGTTTCCGTGTGTCGAACTTCTAAATGAGCCGATGGCGCCAAACGGAAAGCTGTACGGAAAATCCCTTGCTGTTCTCTGCGTTTGCATGTATAAATTCATGTCGAAGTCGCCTTTCTCCAAAAGGCCATCAATCTCTGCAAGCACATCAAGGTGTACTCCGTGCAACCCACACATGACTACGGCATGCTTGGCCAATACACCTTCTTGAAAGGTCCAGAGCCGAGTCGTCCACGGTCGTCCGAGAACATCGCGCAATCCCGCCCACTTGGCTGGGATCTCCTGCTCCAGAGCACCCGAGATCGGGGTTTCCCAATGGAAAGGACAAGCCCGGCCGTCACCTTGTAGCGCCTCGAGTACAGATGGTATCTCATCCATGAATGTGTCCGTATGCTCTCCCGCAGGACCGATCCATATGATGACACGTATAGCGCCTGCAAAGATGGTGCCCATCAGCTGGATTTGGACCTCTTTCTCGTTCGCATCATCTTGGTTGATACAAATGGTGTCGATCCATAGAGGGCGCGATGAACCACCACGTCTTGATCTAGGGGGTTCGGTCCTGTAGTGGTACAGATGCTGCATCATCGTCTTCAAGCTTGGTGTGACTGGGAAAGATTTGCCGTTACAATCGATGGCTTCAGTCCGGTCTTCGGTGCCCCACGTATGAGACACTGCGTCAAAACTGAGACTGGAAGAGAGCTTAGTCTTGATCACTCGACACACGACTTTGTCATTGGCGCAGTCAATGTTGAGAAGGCGAATAAAGCCTGCGCGTAGAGGCGTATACTTCATTTCGAAGGGTTCTGGCAATGGTGAGCTATCGAGACTAAGATAGGACTGTGCTCATCGTCTTTATCCTCCTATACACACCTTAGCCCGATCACTGCTGTTTTAGTCACGCGTGCAGCAGGCTGAAGGCGGCTGCAGCAGGCTGGGTTCAGCTGATAGCCAGGCTCGCGCTGCCTGCGAGCTCCACGTCGCCATGTTTTATTGGTGTTAAACGTAAGCCAAGGCTGACACATGGGCAAACTACCCGATAGTAAGGATCTCACGCATTTTACTTGTGATCGTCCTACAGCGTGGGGGCTAAATGGAGGCTAAGAGCACTCAGCTGCACCTCCAAGGAAGCGCGGCATCGCCGATGCGCTCGAGCCACCGTGATCTTTCTTATTCCAGACCTTGTAAAGTACCTTCCAGTGCGGAGGAAGACGCCAGACCCATTTCATGGTATGAGCGACGCTGCGGACCTTTGTCAGAAATCGTTCCAGCTCTTCGTAATCGGCTCGCTCTTGTGCTTTAAGCCGTTGGAGCCGCTCGTACCAAAGGTTGGGCTTGGCGTACCATCCACCCTTGTGGGAGCTTTCGCCATTTCCGCAAGGACTTGGCGGGCTTTCTTCTATAGCACAGCCTGAATTCTCGTGCCACTCTTGTTTGCCGTTGCGTCGCCGATGGCACCCTATCGGCATTTTGTCTTCCCGTCCATGGCCCGCGCGACCGCTGGAATCAAAATCACCTATACCGTGTTGGCTGTCTTCGTTTCTGTGGCCCAACCTACACAACTACTTACCTTTCTTCTTGTGACAAAGCTCTCGTAGATGTGAAGCCAAATTTGGTGGTCGCGGCAATCTTTCAACCCAAGTTTACGGCTTTTGCAAACCGGTATTGTTTCTTTTGTAGCTTCCTCGCTAGCTTCGTTCCATGGTTTCGGATACGGATAGTCTGAAAATTGAATGACTTTTGCCTCCCGGAAGGCCGCATTCGCATCCCAAGTCTCTTCGTCCGAACCAAGATAAGCTGCATGGTCTTCATGGCGCAATTCCATGGCCAGTAGTGCATACGGCCTGTGTGGAATGACTATACAACTCTGGCCATTTGTTTTGTTAAAGATGTTCATGCCAAAGTTGTCCTTTCCGTGGTGACGTATTTGTGTCATGACCCTCCTCATTTCCACCCCAGAAGGTTGAAAACCCATCAGCAGTGACGTGAGGTTAATGATCTCTTGGGTCTAGCCAATATGCCCTCGGCATCGCTACGGGTGCTGGTGGGAGGGGAACCGATTTTTCTATGGTCTATTTGCGTTCAAGTCAGGCCAGCTTCACTGGAGCACTATGGTCAGGGACGACAACGACGATACTGACGACGATACCGATGATGACGGAGATACCGAAAAAGCGGCGAAGGGCCAGGAAAAAGGTCGAGGCTCAAGTGGTGGTAACTTCTCCCGCAGCCGCCTTCGCCTCCACCTCCGCCGCCGGCTGCACAAATTGGCCGCCGGCCCGGGCCGCCGGGTACGCTGCTTGCTCTCTAGAAGGCCGTTTGTCGTTACGGAGAATGGACTCGTGGGCTTGGCGCTGGAGAAGGTGGAGAGGGAGTAGCTCCGTTGATAGCTTTACCGTAGAAATGGGTATACATCAAACGCAACCCATCCTTCCCTTTGGTCATCGGCATTCCATGGCCGGATTTGCAGACAACGTGCGGCACCGGGAAATTACGACCGTGCTCTTCTCAACCATCTCATCACTGAAGTGTGTACCTTTTCGCAGCCATAAGCCCACAAACCCACAAACCACCCCCCACCTTGATCGACCTCACCACCCGTAAACGGTCCGCGCGCCACACAAGCAAAACAAAACCCATGCGCAAAGGCACCGAATTGACAACAGAAGTTCGAATACCCACTTCCAACTTTCTACTACACAAACCAGGAAAACATACACACACCCAAACAAACCCCTACATATCATACACTCGCTCGCTCACTCACTCGCTCACTCGCAAGCTCCGTTCCTCCAAACCAAAGCAAAGCAAAGCAAGGCCAAAAAAAAAAAAAAAGAACATGGCGATTCGACCTCCTAAGCTCAGGCCCAAGCTCCAACAAACGCTGAAAAGCCGAACAAACGAACGAAAGCAGCTAGAATCAATAAATATCTCTCTTGTCTGTTATGTACGGATGTAAAACACATATATAGTACGGAAGGCTTCCGCCAGCCAGTCAGCCAGTCAGCCAGTCAGCCAGCAGAGCAAAGGACTCATTCACTTTCTCCCCCTTCTTCTTCCTCTTCTCTTTCCTTCTTTCTTCTCTTCCCCGACAAGACAAGACAAGCGATGTAATCTGCCAACGGTACGACTGCTGAGTTCAATCGGATTCCAACCACACAACGGGCTAAAAAAACAAAGGACTAGAAAAAAGGAGGAGAGAGCCAGAGAAAAAAAAAAGAAAAAAACAAGAGACTACAACTCCTCATAATACCCCTCCTCACTCCCCGCACCCCCAGCCCCATCCCCATCCCCATCCCCGCCATCATCCCCGCCATCATCTCCCCCATCATCAAACCGATCACCACCACCCTGACCACCCTCCCACTCCTCCCCCTCCCCCCCAAGCCACTCCCACTCCCACTCATCCCACATCTCCGCATCCCCCTCCTCATACCCCCCGTCTCGTCCCTCACCCTCCCCCCCACCCCCACCGTTTCCCCCGTGCCCCTCCCCCTCCTCCCCCTCCTGATCCTCGCCCTCATCCTCCCCAATAATCCCCCTAAACTCCCTTCCCCCCCTCGGCGTCTCCACCAACTCCAACCGCCACGCCTTGCCCTTGGCCCACTTGGCCAGCTGCTTCGCCAGCTTCTCCACCTCCTTCGGGTCGTCGATCTTCAGCTTCTTCAACTGTTCCGCGTCCATGATGCGTTCGCCTCCGGTGGCGCCACCGCCGCGTTCGCCGCGCCGTTCGCCGTCCGACTCGGCCACGACGCCCAGCAGGACCGTCTTGCCGCCGCCGGCGACGGCCGACTTTTCGATGACGGAGCCGGGCTTGCCGACGAGGGATTGGGCGCCGACGGGGATGCCGCCGATGGTGGGGAGGGGGGGTGGGGAGGGGGGTTGTTGGTGTTGATGTTGGCCGTTGTTGTTGTTGTCGGAGGCTGGGTACTTGAGGGCGTCGGGGAGCTCGATGTCGGTTTCGGTGGAGGCGTCTTGGTGGAGGACGTGGTTGGGGTTGGACTTGTGGCGGTAGCGGCGGTCACGCGGGGAGGAGGGGGGCACGACGGCGGCGGCGGTGTCGCCGTGGGAGGAGGCGATGGGGGCGCACGAGATGGCGTGGGCGCGGTTTTCCTGCGGTGGGAGGAAGGCGACGTCGTTGCAGAGGCGGGGCGTGTAGATGACCATGAGGTACGAGCACGTTGCGACCTCTTTGATCATGCCGATGCGGTCCGGGGTGTTGGGGTGGCAGTGGAACTGCGTGCCCCGGTTAGCGTTTTTTTGTCCACTCTTCTCGTGACGACGATTCCCCTCGACGTACCTGCACCTCGATCTTCCGCTCTTTCCCCGTCAAATCGCACGTCGTCCCCCCCGTCAGCTTCTGCACCAAGTACCTCGTCTCGCCCTTCGTCTCCAACCTCGCCACGCCCGTCTCTCCCTTCGCTCCCGCCTCGACCGGCACCCCCTCGTCATCGAACTCGGTGCCACTCCCCTCACCCCCACCCTCCTCCTTCCCTGTCGGAAACGTCCCCAACGTAAAACTGTGCACATTCGGATCCTCGACGGGCGGATACACCGGGACGCCGCGACTCGGGGGCAGCTGATGGAACTGCTTCACGCCCTCGTTGTAGCAGAAGCTATAGCTCCACCAGCCGCTCAAGAAATAGATGCAGTTTCCCTGCATCCCCTTCAAGAGCTCCCAGCCACGATCGCTGGCGCGCGCGAGCTCCTTCGCTTCCTCGGCGGCTTTGGAGGCCGCGGTGTGGTGGTCCTCGGCGTTCTCGTCGTCGACGGTGGCGTTGGGGGTGGGGACGATGGGGACGCGGCAGAGGTAGGGGCGCGCGTGGAGGGTGAGGAGTTCGTAGGTCGCGGCGAGGTCGGCGTCGGGGTCGTCGTTGGAGTCTTTCGTCATGAAGGGATTGGCGTGCGGCGGCGGCGGCGGCGGCGGTGCATGTGGCGCATTGGCGGCCTCGCGGAAGTGCTCGTCATGGCCGTCGTTTGCGTCGCCTTCGCGCGGCGGTTGGTGGTGCGAGAGCTCGACGGTGGTCTGCGCGGCGGCGGCGTCGGCGATGGGCTGCTGTTGTTTCGACGGCGACGCGGCGTGCAGCGACCGCGCGTAGTCCTCGGCGATGGCGGCGTCGGTGAAGACGATTTGGTACTGCTCGGGACGGGGGGTAGGGGTTAGCTGCGTGCAATTGGTGCTGTGGTGGTGGTGGTGCGGGAGAGCTGCTGCTGCGGTTGATGCCAGCTTGCGCAGCTGCGGCGCCAACGGCAACACGACGATAGCTGACGACGTACCTGGGGGAATGCGAGCAGGTCATCCAGCACGCTGAAGGAACTCTGGCTCGCCAGCACGAGCTGGACGATTGCGGGCAGGGCCCAAAAGAGCTTGGTCATGGCGGCGGTGGAGAGAGTGGCATGGGTGGTATTGCGGAGGAAGGCGGAGGTGTCTTGCGGAGGGACAGCTCGCCTGTTCGCGCCTCCTGCAGCCGCCCCGCCAGTGAGACATTGGATGCGCCCAACACCGCGTCGTCACTGCACCACGCTCAAGAAATCAGTCAAAGCCCGGTCGTGCTCGTCCAGAATTTTTCGCTATGCTATTTTCACGGCTTCTCTGAGCCTGCGGTTCCATATCTTCGTGGTACATTACAATGCCAAGCCTGGCAAATCGTCCGAATTCATCTGCATGCGTCCCCCCTCATGGCATCCAACCTGGAGCTGTAAAAAAAGATGTAAAAAAAATTATCCAAAGTAAACAAAGAATCCAGGAAAACAAAAAAAAATCAACAAAGAAGCTCTACGCGTTCTCCCAGTTCCGCCATTTACATCCACACCCGCCGGTGCCACCGTCGATGCCGCCGGGCCCACCCTCGGCCAGCGTGACGTTGACGTCGCCGAACGGGCCCTGCGCCGGGTTCACCAGCGTGCCGCCAAAGTCGCGGTTCTCGAGCTGCAGCTTGGCCGAGTCGTCGATGATCTTGCCGTCGTCGTCCATGCCGTAGCAGTAGATCATCTTCTCCGTGATGTTGCCGCCGTGCCTGTCCAGCGTGATGGTGACCGGGTACGGGAACGAGCCCGGCCGGTCGAAGTCGGCCGCGCTCGACGCGCTCGACGCCGCCCCCGAGCTCGTCGACGTCGCCAGCAGCGCCTTGCTCGTGCTCGACTGCGTCCAGATCTGCACCAGGTACCGCGTCTGCCGCCACGTGCACCGCACCTTGGCCGCGTCCTTGGTCGACCCGCCGTCGCGGTCCGCTTGGATCTCGCCCGTGTCGGTGCTGTTGACCGCCATGTTGTTCTTGAGGAAGATGGACCGGTCGAAGTAGTTGTAGAAGCCGTAGTGCTCGTCCGCTGCGCCGCGGTTGTAAAGCTTCAGCGGCTGGTTGGCGGGGAAGAACAACAGGTTCGCCGCCGCCGCAGTGCCGTCCGATGCAACATCCGGAGCCGGAATGATGTCCGCGATGCTTCCGTTGGTCGAGCTCTGCCTCTTGGCCAGACGCTTCGACGACACATGGTCGCCGTTCAGGAACGAAATGTAGAACGGAGTATCTTCGCCTGCAAATGGAGCCGAAGCTCCATCCGTCGTGTTTCCCAAAAACGCCTGGTCTTCGTGGCTAGGGGCTGAAGGAGAGGCCGTTGGCTCGTCCCGAGTACGGAGGAAGTTGAGCCATCTTCTGTGCTGGATCGACCGCTTGGTCTTGGTCGGTTGCAACGCCGTCGTGTTGGAGATGGTGCCGTTGACGAACTTGATCTGAAACTTGAAGTTCGGCTGGTCGGGTTCGTTCGGTGCCAGATCCTGCTGCTGTTCTTTGGGTACCGCACAGCTCCACATCGTCTCAGGCGACACGCACCCACTCTCCGCGTAGCTGTTGTCAGGCTCGGCAATGGTTGCGACACCTGTCGGAATCGGAGGGAATCCCGTCAGGTTCAGCCACACCGAGGGCGTGTCGGGAACGTTGGTTGCTGAGGGGCTGCCGTCCGGCGATGTCGAGGAGCCACCCGTGCTAGAGCTGCTGCCACCGTCGCTGCTGCGTCCCCTCGGCAGCAGTGTTCCGAGCAGAGCAGCCATGATGATCAGGAGAATTAGGAGGAAGGTGATGCAGCAGCACCAGCAACAGCACCTCCTCTTTTTCTTCTTCGCCAACGGGTCATTAGGGTCCGCCTTGGCTCTCTTCGGGAACAGGTGCCAATAGCCGCCGGCACCCTTCTGGCGCGGTGCCTTGGGGGCCTTGGCAGCCTTTTGTGGCTTCTCCGTGTAGTGGGGGCTTCCTGGGAACGGCCTCCGAGTTCCGCCTCTTTCGAGTGGTTCGTTGGGGGATCCGTAGCTGGGCGGCTCCTGCGTGAAGTAGTTGTGCTGCTGGTGATGGTGATGGTGTACCTGCGTCGGCGGCGGCGGGAAGTAGGGGACCTGTGCCGGAGCAGGCGGATTAGAGTAGGGCGCCTGTTCACGCTGGCTTGGGTGCGGCTCTTCTGCAGCCCTATGGCTCGAGTAGGGGAACCCTGCTGCAGGGTGCTGATTTGAGCGGTGGGTCTCTGCTGAAGCCCGCCGACTGGAGAAGGGAGCGTCGGCCGAGGTACGCCGACTGGAGGGGATTGCACCTGCAGGTGCGGGCATCGAGATGTCATGCGGCCTAGAGGACCGGCGTGTCGAAGTCGACCGCCGGGGAGTAGCTGCAGCTGAAGCCGCCCGCGGCTCAGCCGACGCATCTTCCACATAGGCGTTCATGCTGCGAGGCGTGTTGGTCAGATTGTACGGTTCGTGCACCGCGCGCGCTGACAGGACTGTACCCAGCGACGCTACAGCGACCACAGGGGTTGTGTCTGTACTACGAACGGTGTCGCGTCGCACAAAGTCCTCGTCCCGGTAAAAAGGCACGCCGTTGAAATTGTAGTGGCTGGAAAGATGGAACACATTGTTGCTGTCGTTATTGTGGCTGGGTGGCGCGGGGTTCGTGTTAGAATCCGATCTAGCCGCCTCGAATCCTTGGCCGAGGGCGACCGGGATTTCCCTGTCGCTGGCGCTGATCGCGCTTTGGGCACCCTCCGGCTGATAAGACCTGTCCAAAGACTCGCGCGATGGAACCGTCGAAATCCCCAGGTCGTCGTGAGTCCTCGCTGGCGACTCGTCCAACGACGAACGCTCCCAGCTCTCCGGGCTGAATGCCGTCGACGAGGACTGGGGGGTCTGAGCTGCCCTTGATCTTGCAGAAAAGTTACGGCGCAGATCTGGCGAACGAGAGAAAAACGACCGGCGCAAGGGCAGAATCGGAGTGCTCGCATCGCTAGGCGTGTTGGACGCGAACCGGAACCGAGACGGAGTAAATTCAAAGGGAGTGGTGATGACGTTCCACCATCCTTGAGAACGGTACGGTGTTGGCGGAATTTTCGTGTCAATGTACAGTCCGGTAGGGCCTCTGAGGGATCCCGCCGACTGAGGCGTGTTGTCCTCTTCGAAAAGGGTAGCATCAGAAGTCACACGCGCCTTCTTGGTGTTCGCAATCTCTTGCGCCTTCGAAGACGGGCCGGGTTGGGGCGGTTCGGGTTCAGACGGAGTCTCGGAGATCACAAACCCGTTCGCAGTGCTGATTCCCCCAGGGCTGTTGTCGTTCCTGGTCCCGAAGTTCGCAGGAATTGCAGGAACGGGAGGAATGTGCTCTCGACTGGGGTTGTAGACCGTGTACGCATTCGTTGCTCGAGAGTAGACGCTCGACGCGGGACGAGGCCGGTTGTCCATGGCGGGGAACAGCCAGCCAGCCTTCTCTCTTGCGGGGGTGACGATGATGGTGGGCGTCTCCGCAGAGCCCGGGCTGGGGGATCTTTGGCCGCCGGCGGAATGGACGTCCAGAAAATCTCTTGAGTGCACAGACTGAGGCGTGTCATGCTCAGAAACCTGTTCTGGTGATACCGTCAAGCCGATGGTGATGGGGCGATCAGATGGAGACACATCGAGGGGGCTCATGCGCGGTGGCTTGGTTCCTTCTGGGGTCTCGGGTACTCCAATGTGGACGACCGGAGGATCAGGTGGAGGTCCTGGAACAAATGGAACCATGAATGGTTTCGTCTCTGGCTTGACTTCCGGGGCGTTTCTGCGCATCGTCTTCGCTTTGAAGTGGAAGCCGTCGTCGGCCGGCATGGGCCCTTTCTCTTGCAGCTCATAGCTGGGAGCCAGCGTGTCAAAGCTTTCTTTCCTGTCTTCGGGTCTCAACTTGCGTATCGACGCAGATTTGACCAGTCCCAGCCACTTAAACTTGCTTGGAGCCTTCTCCTCTTCAGGTGATACCATGCCCGGCCTACCCGTAGCAAATAATCCTCCGACGGCAGCAGGAAAGACTTGACGCGGCGCAGGGCCACGATGACGACTGTAGTTGGTGTCGACTGCAATAGTGGGCCTCATGGTCTGGCCGAACGGCTTGTTCCTCCTCTTGGACTTTGACTTGTTGAGATGCGATGACAACCTCTTCTGCTTGGTAAAGGCCTGCCTCGCAGCAACACGTGAAGCATCGTATTCCCAGCTCTGGGAAGGCTGATAGCCTACCACGATGCCTTGCTTATCCATCGCATCATCCGTGCGCGGTGTTTCGTAAGGAGGAGGAGCCCTGAAGTTCCCGGCTTGGGCGTGCCAGCTGTCCAGACCGGCTGGCGGCTGTGCTGGCGATCGAAAGTCGGCGGCAGCAGGGAAACGCGTTACCCTCTGGATCTTGACATCTCGGTCAACAAAGTCTGGGTTTGGGTTGAGTGTGGCCATGGTAGGCGCCGAGAAACCGGATGTCGGGGGCTTCAAGTCAGGAGGGTTTGAGTCGGGTGTCAGACAAGGACGTCGAGTCCGGGACAAGGAGAGGGTAATGGATTATGAGAGGCCGAACGAAGACATGGTCGCAGGAAATGCAGGTCGCTTTTGGGAGCCCGAAACACAGTAGGCTTCTATTGTTGTCTAAGACGCGGGGCTGGACAAGGGGAACAATAGAGACAATAGCAGGACAAGATCGCGTCAACGCGATGAACGAAGGAGAGAAACAGAGACTTTTCGAAGTGAATGAGAAACGGAAGAAGACGAAGACGAAGAAGAAGAAACGAGAAGCAGAGCACGCGATGGTGGCCGTCAGGCGGCCCAAAGCAAAAAGTACATTGGTGCAACAGCCTAACGCTCGGAAAGGCGCTCATCCTGATTGCGGGCGCGGCAGAGCAGGTACTGTACAGCGCGAGCAGCAGGCGCGATTGGTGGAGCGGTACGAACGATCATCTCGCCGGCTGGGTGGGCTCGACTGGCGGGAGGTTCGCTGAGGTTTTACAACTTGGTTGGCTCTCGAAGCGCCCTGGCGAGAATGCCGGCGTTGATCAGGCAGGCCGGAGCAGCGGCTATGCCCTTTGCAGCCTAGCCCTCCCCGGGCGCCAGCAAAGGCCGTCTGCTCCCGTTAGCCACTCGATGCGGTTCCAAGAGCCTCACTAGGCGCTAACCTGCTATCATTAGCAACGAGTCGTCTAACTTCACACACGTTCCAGGAAGCTTCCGCCGTCCGCGTCGGCTGCCTCGTCACCTTGCGCCCGCCATGCCGCCGTCGACCCGTTGAACGGACAGCAGCAAACCACCACGGGCGCGAGCGTGGCCGCGCTGGCAAGTCCACCGCCGCCAGCTGGTCGCCAGCTGGTGGTCTGCGGGAGCGTCGCGCGTCGCGGCTCCGTCGGTTCGTCATCAGCACCAGAGCACCAGCAGCTCCGCCGTCGATCGGGCGAGACGGGCGAGACGGGCTCACGGCTCCAGTGCGCTCGTATCAGCGCTGATTTGCGGCGAGGATCGAGCGCTGCGGGCCGTCACCACGAGGCATCGCCGTGATCGGCTCCAGCAGCTGCCGTTTGTGGTGCAGAGGCCACAGAAGCGAAAGAGAGCGAGCAACGCCGGACGATATTCGACCCTGCTGTGCCGCGCCAAGCACTCGCGACGCGGGCCATCGAAGGAAACATCGGGCAGATTGGAGAGTGTCGTGGTTGCTCGTCGAAAGGAGAAGATGGAGTGGGCGCCGAAGATAAGGCGAGATGAATGGGCACACCGCCCTGGCGTGGCAGCGGAGCGGACACCCTCCAGCGCGTCCGTGGTGGTGACGGAGATCGCAGCGCGCGACGTGTCTTCAGCCAGGCTCGTACTGCTGATTCACCACGCAAGGGCTTCGCGAGCACAGCCGAGGTGCCATCGCACAGCGGGTAAGCGGTGGTACGAGGGCGGCGAGGGATGCGGTGCGCTGTTGTATTCTGCCGTGAAGAAAGCGAAGCCGCACGCAATCGCTGCGCCGTCTGCCAGACGGGGGAGTTGCTGCCAAGCGGGCAGCTCCTAATCTCCGCCCGCTCGCTGGCAGGCGCTGGGCTAGAGGGTTAGAGGCCTCGCTCCCGTCGAGAAACCGTCCTGCGCTGCTCCAGCCCTCTGCACTGCACCGCTCACGCTGTTGCGACACCTGCGCCGCCCGCGCCGCCCTGGCATGACGCCCGCCTGAAATCGCGCCCTCACAGCAGCAGCCCGCCTCGCTCCTCCGCCCACATCCCTGTCCCTGCAACGGTGACCCTGAGCTGCCATCGCAGTCACCCGCCGCAATCGTATTGCACAGCTGTCCACCAGCGAGTCCAGGTCGCATCCGCCCAGCACGGCCGATTCCGCCCTTCTGCTTCAGCCAGCTTCGAGCCCGTACGAGCGCGCGCCGACCTTATCCTAGCCCCGCCGCCGAGCGTCCCTCCCTTCGCACATTTAGCCCTATATCTCTCCCAATAAATCCGCCTGCGTGCGGCCAAGTCTGCCAATCTGGCTTCCCCAACTTCCACCACCACGCTCCCGTCCGGCCACCGGCGACGGCGTTCGTCTGCCGGCCCTCCGAGCCTGCAAATCCAGCAGATAGACGCAGCCCAGCAGTACCGAGACGCGCGACAGGGCGCCACCTCCGGCCTGCCCGCCCGCTCCGGCTTTGGCCAGCCGCTCCCCGCCATTCCCGGCACCCCGGTCGAGTCCACCTCGCAGCAGGGTCTGTTGCCGACCCCAACCAACACGCAGCCCTTCATGTCGCTGTCGCGCTCGCCGTCGCCCCAGCCGGGCGGCGGCTGGGCGAGCCCGGCACTCAGCACGCCCTCGCCCTACGCCAGCGGCAGCGTGAGCCCGCGCGTCGGCGGCAGCTTCACCACCACCAACGGGAGCCACAATGTGACCTGGGGCTCTGCCCAGGCCCGAAGCGACGAGGTGCGCAGCTACAGCTCGCGCTTCAATCCGCGCGGCGGCGCCAGCGGCGCCGGCTTCTTCTCGTCCCACCTGCGCCGGTTGTCGCAAGGTCTTCCGTTCGCGCACACCCCCAGCGGCGCGTCCGCCGAGAAGCAGAAGCTCGAGCGCAACAAGTGGGCGCCGCGAAAGACGGGCGCGCTGGGCGGCGTCCCCTCGTGGATCGTCGGGAGGCTGCGCTTCATGAAGTTGCGCTTCGTTCTGGTCCTGGCCGTTTTGTTCATCTTCGCCCTCACCTATTTACCCCGTAAGCTTTTTTTCCCACACTCGCACCGCCATGTTCCAAGGATTCTGACTCAGCCGTAGCTTTCAACAACGTCTACAACCACGCGCTCGGCGGAGGGAACAAATTCGTGATAATATTGGCCGCAAACGTGGGCGGGGGCGTCATGGAGTGGAAAGGACCGCGCGAATGGGCGATTGAGCGCGACAGCGTGAAGAACAAGAAGAGATATGCGCGCAAGTGGGGATACGAGCTGGAGATCGTCGACATGAGCACCAAAAAGCGATACGCACACGAATGGCGCGAGAGCTGGGAGAAGGTCGACACCATCCGGAACGCCATGCGCAAATATCCCAAGGCGGAATGGTGAGGATTGAGTCTGGGCATCATGCGTTGCTATATGCTGACTGTAGACTGCAGGTTCTGGTGGCTCGATCTCAACACCTTCATCATGGAGCCCTCGTATTCGTTGCAGGAGCACATCTTCAAGGATCTGCAGGCAAGCACTTACCGCGACGTCAACGAATACAACCCCCTCAACATTTCGCACCCTCTCACCGAAGAATGGCTCGACCCTATTTCACGCTCCGTCGATGGCGACGGTAGCCCTGAATCCATCAATCTCATCGTACCGCAAGATTGCGGCGGCTTCAACCTTGGCTCCTTCTTCGTCCGTCGCAGCGCATGGACCGATCGACTCATGGACATCTGGTGGGACCCGGTGCACTACGAGCAGAGACACATGCAATGGGAGCACAAGGAGCAGGACGCGCTGGAATACATGTATCAGAACCAGCCATGGGTGCGGTCCAACATGGCCTTCATCCACCAGCGCAAGGTCAACGCCTTTCCACCGGGCGCCTGCTCCGACAACGGCCTCGACCCACGCATCCACTACAGCGAGGAGGACCGCGACTTCGTCGTCAACATGGCCGGCTGCGAGTGGGGCCGCGACTGCTGGGGCGAGATGTACTCGTACCGTGAGCTGAGCAAGCGCCTCAATGCCGGCTGGTGGGACGGCTTCAAGGCGTGGATGACCGGTGAGGTTGGCCGGTTCCGTGGCGGCAAGGACACCGATCCGGCGGATCAGATGGTGTTCCAGAAAGAACACGAGGAGGAGATGGCGAAGCTGCAACAAGAGCAACAAGGAGAGATGTCGCAGCAGCAGCAGCAGCAGAGGCAAGACGACCCGAAACGAGAAGAATGAGCAGCAGGCATAGACGACTTGGCGCATTGGCTTGAATGAGTTTTTTTCTTCTTCATTGGAGGCCCGTTTGGATGAGGCAGCCTTTTTTTTCCCTCTCTTCCCTATTGGACACTTCTACTGATCGGTGTGTCCTCCCTTTTCTGCTTTCTTAGCGATTTTGCCTCGTTGCTCCTCTTGCATGCCGCTCACGTTGGATTTGTTACTCCTTTAACTCCGGTCACACATGGTTTTGCTCGTTTTTAGTCGTTACACGAACGCAAACTCTTTTATTAGACATGTCGTTCACGTCAGAGCTTGACGTACGACTCTTTTCTTTCTTCTTTTTCTTCTTCTTCACGCCGCGGTCTGTTTCAGGCTTCAATTGGATTAGAGCAGGGGGGATGTTGCAGTATTTCCTCCAACATCCGAGATCCTGCTGCGGGATCTAGTTTTGTATTATTTGGCTCTCTTTTCTTCTTCAATTGGGCCTTTTCGTCTTCTTGCCTTAGTCGCTTTCTTCTTCTTTATCCCTCTTCTTCTTCTTTGGAATTTGCGAGATACCTTGCTACTCTGCAGTTCAGTTGTCTGTCTTTCCGTATTATGTGGGAAAGGACCGGGCTCTGGGTGAGAATCGGTTGGATTCGTTGTAGAGGGGAAAAGAGGATGGGGAGAAAAGGATAACAAGATTCAGTTGGGGAGAATCAAGCAATGACCAGTCAAGGGTGGGAGGAGGATGCTGGCACGGGGACTATTGGCGCTGCGGCAATAGCAGACAAATGTATGAAAGCGACGATGACTAGAGACGCTAAATCATCGAAATCCGAGAAGATGAAAGGAAAAAATTGCGGGGAAAAAAAGTGGCCATTGTGAAGTAGTGAGCATGCTGAACAAGTCCTGCCGTGTGCCTTTTGACCCAACTGATCCACCAAAATAAGTTTGTCGTTGCCTCTCTCTCTCTCTCTCTCTCTCTCTCTCACGCACTATAGGAGCAACGACAGAGTTTCTCGACTGGACAACAAAAACAACAAAAACACTCAGCATCATCCATCCATCCACCCATCTGCCTCCCCCCCTTATCCGTGGCCCTTTTTGCGGTGTACGTGTGCGAAATGACGAGTGGTCGACGATCTCCCTCCTCTCTCCGTCGCGCCAAGAGGAGGCACCTGCAGCCTCGACGATGACGTACGTCGACACACCCAGGTCCCTCCCAGAAACCTCCCAACCTCCCAACCTCCCCCCGATGCCCGAGGCGGGGAAAAAGAGACGCCCGTCCGCCCGCCTGCCCGCCCGCGAGAACGATCAAACGAACGAACATCGTAGCACCACCACCACCACGGCGTACCCACGTCTTGGACTGGTCGCGTGACCCTTCCCCGCTAGGTTAGGAAAGGGAAAAGAAAGAGAATGATGACGCAGGCGCGCGGGCTGGGCAGCACCTCAAGCGTTGGGTGTGCATGGGTGTGTGTCGTCACAGGCGCCCGCGAGCCACTCGACCAGGTATCGTGTTGTTTTGCCAAGCGCTGCTACGTGCTTCTCATGTTGATCATTACTTTCGCGCATTTCTTTCTTATCTCCGCTGTGGCGTTCAGGGTGGAGTTCGGGTTGGAGATCGGCGTTGGGTGCCTTTCGGAAGGGGGGAAGGGAGGGGGCTTCGTTGTGGTTGCGGGTGCGTTTTCGGTTTTGGTTTCTTTTCATTTTTTTTCATTCTTTTTTTTTTTAAAAAAAAAGAACAGTCTCGATTTAGGCAGGCAGGTAGGTAAGTAGACAGACAGGTAAGTAGGCAGATAGATCAACAGGTAGGTAGATCAGTAGATGAGTAGATCAGTAGGCAGGTAGGTATGTAAGTACGCTGGTAACAAGACCAATGCCAGTAGAACGTTTTCGAACGGCCGCCGGCGGCGCCAACATCAATCACAAACAAAGAGCCGACGGGCAATGGTGGTAATGGTGGGCTGAGGCGCATGCAAGAAATATGTGAGAAGTGGATAGATAGATGGTAGTCGCTTCAACAACCACCAAGGGTCTAAGCGACTGCGGAACTGGAACGTTTTTCTATTCCCCTCTTCATTTGTATCATAGACAATCAGACAACATCAAAAACACACAGTGTGGTGAAGAAAAGCAGCGGCGGGAAGGCGGGGGGGAAATACAAGAACAGAATATACAGTAGAAGTTAAGGTATAAACGAGCTCTCCCCCGCACTCAATCGAGAGAAAGAGAGAGACACACAAAACGATAAACAATAGACATTCACCCCCTCCCTCCTTCCGAAACAACCCCAACCTCCCCAACATCACATCACATCACCTCCCCAGGAGGCCCTTCCCCTTACAAACTCCCCAGCTTCCTCCACAGGAGGCGCATCAGCACACCCCCCTCAACACCAGCAAGACGAGCGACGAGCGACGAGCGGAGCAATCCATCCATCCATCAACCCCCTTACAAAATCGCCAGCAGCCACCCCGCCACAGCCAACACAGCGCCGCTCACCGCACCAGTCGAGATGACGGCCCCCGGCATCGCCGCACCCGAAGACGCGGCCGCCGACGCAGAGCTGGACGACGACGAGGACGACGACGAGGAAGAAGAGGAGGACGAGGAGGACGAAGAGTCCGTGCTGCTGCTGGAGCTCGAGTCGCTCGTCGCCGACGCGGAGCCGCTGCTCTTCGCGCTCGTCTTGGTGGTCATGCCGGTCGTCGCCGCCGCCGACGACGCGGCGGCGCCGGTGCTGTTGGTCGAGCCTGCCGACTTGGCGGTGCCGGTGCCGGTGCTGCCGCTGCCCGCAGTAGTAGCGGCCGCGGTGCTGTCGCCGGAGCCGGAGCCAGCGGCGGTCGTGGCGGCGCCCGTGCCCGTGGCGGCGCCCGTGCCGGAGGCGGCGACGGTGTGCGAGTGGGCGGCGGCGGGGGTGCCCAGGGGCGCGGTGGTGGCCGGGGTGGCGGCGGCGCCGCCCGTGTACGTGTAGCTGTAGCCGTCGGGCATGGTGTCGGAGAGGAAGGAGTCGCCGTCCGAGGCCGAGCCCGAGGCGCTGCTGCTCGACGACGACGACGACGACGACGATGACGACGATGACGAATCGCCGCTATCGGAGTCGCCGCCCGGCTCGCCGGAGGACGTGACGCCGCTGCCGACGGAGGCGCTGTAGCCCGGGTCGGCGCCGGCGGTGGCCGAGGCGGCGGCCGTGGCCGAGGCGACGGCGGAGCTGCGCTCGTAGCTGTAGGCGTAGCCGTCGGGCATGGTGTCGGCGGCGAAGTTGTCGGCGTTGTTTTGGGCGAGGGCGCCCGAGGACGAGGCCAGCAGGGCGGCGGAGAGGATGAAGGCGGTGGAGGAGCGCATGGTTGCGGTGGTGGTTGGTGGTGGTTGTTTTGTTTTGTTTTGTTTGTTTTTTGTTGTTGTTGTTGTTTGCAGGTGGTTATTTCTCCCCGGGAGAGTTAAAGAGACGGATGGATGGGTTCTTTTTCGTTTCGCGCTTCCACGGGTTGGAGTCGGCGGTCCAGACGAGAAAAGGGAGTGATGGTGGTAGTAGAGACCGTGGTGGAGCACAGCAGCACTGGAATACTCAATAAACGACAGACAAATTGGATGACCAGGGATCCAAGGAACGAGCGTAGAACAGAGGCAGCAGGCGCAAGGAGAAGAGGAGAGACGAAAGAGCGGGTAATGTTTTTAAAAGAGAGCACAACGCCCGGGCTTAATGAGGTCTGGGGATTAAGGCTGATGCCTTGGCCACGCTGGGGCAGGGGTTCCGGTCCATGCTGCCCATGCTGAAACACGCTGGCCGACGTCCGATTGGCTGCGAAGCCCGTTTTCGGCTGACTTGGCCGCCGGCTTTCCCGTTGTTTCAGCCCGCCGCGCAGGGGACACCGGGCGGGGCCGCATGTGGCGATGCGAAATTGTGAGTAGGGCGTCATGTGCGTGCTGGGAACCGACGCCCTGGGAAAAGAGTGGCGGCAGAGGCGGTGCCGTGGGCTCGCAGTCGCAGTCGCAGTCGCAGTCGTCGTCGTCGTCGTCGTCGTCGGGGCCGTAGCCGTAGCCGTAGCCGTCTCCTAAACCCCCCCCCGTCGAGCTGCTGCAGCTTTGGGGCCGACGGTTTCCAGGCACACTGCACGTAATCCCTTCAATCTGCATTGCAAGGCCGACGCCCAATGACCATCCTTGCTGCTCGCAATTGCCTTTCCCGAGAAAGGAAGTCAAGCCACACCCCCCCTGGCGCCTCATACGTCTGTCCGCCCGCTCCTCCGCATAAGAGTGGACCGCTAATTGGCCGTGTTTCTGGCATCGTGGACTCGTTCATTACTCTAAAATATGTACCCAGCGCAATCCGCCGCGGAAAAATACAACTGGCGCCTTGCTTCGCGCTGCTTTTATGCTTCGAAAATCATGACGACAACAATAACAAAACATCCAGCGCTCCTCATATCTCCAGCTTCTCGTTGTCGCTCTCCGAGCTATGTCCCGGTTGTATCCTCGGGCTGGTCGTCTTCTGCTGCTTCTCCAGCGTCGAGATCTGCGGCGTCGGCATCGGCGTCGACCGCGCCGTCCGCGTAAAGTACGACGACACGTCCTCGCTGAAGTCGGGGTCCTCGCCGACGTCGTAGCCGTTGCCCTTGTGCTCCTCCTCGAACTTGCGCTGCTGCCAGTCCTCCCAGTCGCCGCGCATCTCCTCGACGCGCTGCTTGTAGTCGGCATCGGCGTCGTAGTTCTTGCCCACGCCGCGGATGCGCTCCCACACCGACAGGTGCTTGGGGTGGATGGCGATGCCGTGGTAGTCCTGCTCGCGGCCCGCGCGGATGTACGTCCACCGCCTCTCCTGCTCCTTCAGGTCCAGGCCGGTCGTGTCGGGCAGGAACAGCCAGGTCAGGAACGCACCGGCCAGCCCGAACCAAGGGACCACATAGAACTTGGTCTGAGTGTCGATGTAGTTGTACAGCACCGCTGCGAGCAGTGCGCCCAGCTTGCCCATGGCCGCAGAGAAGCCGTGGGCCGTGGCACGGATGGGAGTGGGGAACACTTCGGCCGCAACCAGGAACGTCACCGAGTTCGGCCCGAATTGGTTGAAGAAAGACGACAGGAAGTACATGGCCTGGAACTCGTGGATGTGGGCCGGCGACGTGTAGTACTCGTAGTTGAAGGCCGGGATCACGAACAGCACAAAATCGAGCAGGAAGCCAACGATCATCATCCACTTGCGGCCGTCTGCGCGTGCGTTAGCGACTCGTCGGCCAGGACTTCAGCACCGACACTTACAAAGCTTGTTGTCAATCATGAAAGAGGCCGCGTAGTAGCCGACCAGGGAGACGGCGACGTTGATGAGGTTGTACTGCCACGTGACCATGACGTCTTTGCTCGTCGTAATGACCTTGATGAACTGGCTCTGGAACAGCTTGTTGCCGTAGAAGAAGACGTCGTTGGCGAACCACGCACCGGCCGTCGCAATCAGGCGGGGGCCGAAGTAGCTGAAGGTGAGCTTGAGCGACTCGGTGTCGTAGCCCGTCACGTGCTGCTTCTTCTTCTGGATCGTGAGCTGCTTGCCCGCCGACTTCATCCTGTAGGCACGGTGGAAGACCAGCCACAGCGTACCGACGGCCGGGATGAAGAAGGAAACACGGTAGGTCCACTGCGCATCCGACTTGGCGTAGGGCGGGCCGTCGTAGCCGTGGGTGATGCGGAGGAGCACCATGAGGATGACGACGTTGACAAACTGGCCCCAGCCCTGCATCAGGAAGGCGCTGGTGACCTTGCGGCCACGGTGCAGACGGTCCTCCTTGGTCGAAACCTTGCCGGAGCCGACGGCGTTCTCCATGCCCGACGTGGCCGTCATGGGGTACTCTCCGCCGACGCCGATGCCGTAGAAGAAGAGGGCCCAGACGTAGCAGATGATCCAGCCGTTCTGGGTGAGTCCCCAGGCGGCGGTCAGCATGACGAGGCCGACGAACATGATGACGGCGTCCTGGATCAGGCCCCAACGACGGCCAAGCCAGTCGCCGATGATGCCGACGAGGATCTGACCGACGATGATACCGCAGATCTCCAGGTAGTCGATGGCTTGGGTCCACGTCTTGTCGCAGATCTCATACGACTTCCAGCACGTGCCGAAAGTATCTTCGAGCAGAGGCCTGACGTTGCCAATGGAGAAGAGCACATATCTGAAACGGGTCAGCTGCAGCCAAGCGGGAGCGTCAAGGGGGGACCTTACCCTTCCAGAAGCAGGCCCATACCGGGGATGATGCAGTTCTTGAAGTAGTACGACCACAGGGTGAAGGAGCCCAGGAGCCAGCCAATGGGAGCGAGGACGCCGTTGAAGCGGGAGGCCGACGTCTTGAACATGGTCCAGAATTCGTTGGTCTCCTTCTTGGCCTCGGCAGCATCGACGGTGGACACGAACCTCATGCGCTCCATGATGCCCATGTCGGCCCAGTACTTGCCCGAGGCGTCGAAGCTGTCGTCGGGCTTGAGCAGGAAGTCGAAGACGCCCTTCTCGTTGGGGTTCATCTCGTGGAAGTCGCGGGTAGCCACATGGTCGCCAGCCACGTTGGGACCGTGGGGGGCAGCAATGCCATAGTCGCGCAGCGAACTCTCGGTGGCTGCCATTGCTTGGTTTGGAGGGGACAGCGGAGGAGGGAGTGGGACGGAGGGGCAAGAGCGGCGGCGGCGGGGTGTTGATGAAATACCCGGCCGGGAGCGGTGTCGCGTGAGCTCCTACTCGTAACGGGCAGCACGCCCACCAGGCGGCTTGGCAGAGAAAAAGTTTACGCAGCCTTCGAGCGCCCTAGTCAACGTGGACGGATGAGGGCGAGGCTAGCTGGGGAGACGGGGCCCGGGGGCTGGGCGCTCGGCGGTGCGGCGAGGGTGACGTGCCTGGGCTCGGGCGTGGTGATTGGCCGCGGGCGGGGACACGCAGGCAGGCGCAGAGCAGATCCGGGGGAGGTTCCGCGGCGGCTTTCGGAGAGGGGTATCAATATGGGTGGCAGCGAGAGGGTGATGGAAGAGGAGCAACTAGGAGCAGAGGGCGAGCTTAAAGGGCGGTTGGGCAAGGGCAGGCATGGCGACGTTCGCAGACCACCAAACGGCGGCAGCGAAGGCGAGCCCAGGTGCCAGGAATTTTCTGGCGGGAGCTTGTCAAGCGGCCGAGGCCAAGGGAAGGCGCGGTGGAGCTTGACATTTTCGGTGGATCTGATCGCCGCAGGCGAAGCGCAGCATCGCGTTTTTCGCCCTGGTCGACGCGAGCGACCGTCGAGATGCAGCCAATCAGCGCCCGCAGCCGAACACATGGGCGGGCGCTGGGCCTCGACTGGTTGCGGACGCGACCGGCCTCGAGCAGGGGCCCTCTCGCCTCCGCGCCACGCTGCAGGGCCTTATCCACTCCACGCCGGCTCTGATGCAGCCAACCCCCATCGACATCAGCCCGCGACCTCAGCAGCCTCGCGCCCCAAACGAGCCGCCTGCCACTCAGCGCTCGCCCTCTGCCCACGCCCCGCGACATGTGGCCCTGCGCCCCGTGCGCTGCCGTGCTGTTCGGGCTTGCGCCCTCGGACATGCCGCTCCGTGGCTCTGCAGTGCATCCAACAGCCCGTGTCTCTCCATGCGCCTCCACACTCGGCCGGGAGCTGCTCGAACCGCATCTCCATCCGCGACCCGCATCCACTCGGCGGTGCTCGTGGGTGCTGGGCCAGACGACAACGGTGCTGTTTCCGAGCCAGGGCGACATCAGGGTCCATCTCAACATTCGCAATCTGCTGCATGAACCCAGGCCGTGGTTACACCGGCACGAGGCCAGCGCGAAGGCCATGGCTCTGCCGTGCGCCCTGATGCCGCATGTCGAAAGAGGCGTCGCAAGTGCCGGGAGTCCGTCTGAATCGCCCGTGTTAGGGTTGTGCAGATCCGGCCAGTGCGAGCGCTGAAGAGTCGCACGTGGTCGGTCGTGCTGCATCAGAACCGCCTCTCAATCTCTCCTGAAATGTCACCCTTCAACGTTGCCAGTGTATGAGCTGACGTCCAGCGTTCGCCAAGCACCTCGATGATCTGCTGCAGCTGAATCCGAGTCCCGCAAGGCTTGGTTCCCCAAGACTGCGCCCAGCGCCATCAAGCCGTTCAACCCATGGCGCCGCGCTCTTGACAAAGTGCTTGCATGTGTCTTCATGCACGCCATCTGCTTGGCTTAGCATGCCCAGCGCGGGAGTGTTTCTTGGAAAGCGCCACGTCGGCTTGTCATTGCACATGCGCCCTCTGCGTTCAGGGCTGTGAAAATCAGGGTTCGCAATATGCAATATCCGGTCAGAAGGACCTCTCAGCTCAAGCCATGCGGATCTTGCGTTGCGCAGGCCGGAGTTGTTGGTGTCTTAGGAGTGCCGTCGCGGTCTCAGAACGACGGGTAGTCGGGGGAGCCAATCGCCGCACCATAGGTTGAATTGGAGTACCTGTTTGGCTTCATCCAACGGTCGACCGTGGTTGCTGGATGAGAGTATCGGGTCGGCCCTCGCGGGCTTGGGACGTCGACGATCATCATATGGCTAGACCGGTATCGCGCGACACTTCGCTCGGATGGCAGGAATTCATCATCGCGCCATTGCTTCAGAGTGCGCCGGATATAGTCAGGCCACTGGACCGATCAAAGGAAACTTCCCACGAGGGCATTCAACGGGAACGTAATATAGGTCCCGAAATCCAGAGACCACATTCCGGAATGACAAGGGGTAAACAATCGTGATGTCATTCGAGCTGTTGAGAAACGCGGGGAGGTGCAGCAGCGGAGCAGCTGCAAGCTATCAAACCTTGTTAGTCGCGAGAGATGGCTCTGCATATGCTGTACTCTTGTATGACGAGTCTTGTTAGGGCCAGGGGCATGGATGTAAATCACGTGCCACGTGACAGCTGAGGAATTGGGACACAGGTAGGTAGAGGTACGCCTATCGATGAGACTCGGCGTCTTCGGCCCTCAGTGCATACGATGAATTGCGCCGGGGACCACGATGCCTCCAATCAACCAGGGCTAAATCGTGAGATCCGGGCCTTGTGTCGAGGTCAGCCAGTGCTAAGGTATGCCTGTGGTGTGAGCGTACTTTCGCAGTAGGGGTTGTAAACGCGGTTTCATCCATTCGCAGAGGTCTCTACGCAAGGATTGTAACTGGAGGAGTCGTGGTCAGGCAAGCGAAGAGTTGGGGTGAGCGGCAGGTGTGGGAGCTTCTAAGCGCTAAAAGGCGCGTGGAAAACGTGACCGCGCGCGGCATTCACGCGACTTGGTCCGTGCTTCTGTATTCGCCATCCTCGCTCGCCCGCTCGCTCTCAAAGCCCGCCCGCTCTCAAAGCCCGCCCTGCGTTGCTGACCACTGCACGCACGCCTCGGCATGTACTACGACCCTGCGTAGCATGTTCCGAAACCCCCGTGAAAACGCACATCTCCCTTCCTCTCAACGAATCGCTCCGTCCATCGGCCGCCGCCCATCGCCACCACCCTCCCGATCCACCTCCACCTCCACCTCCACACAAACCTCCGCAACCGCCGCCATGGCTACAAAATCAATGCCTTCTCGCACCTCACGCCCATCCTCAACCCCGAAGTCGAAGCCGAGACCGAAGCAAACCCGGCTCGATTTCAGCAAGAGTACCGGAAAGACGTCGACTAGACCGAAAGCCCAGCCGAATGCGAGCATTCTCACCTTCTTCAAAAAGACAGATGCTCCACAGCATATGGAGCCTGGCTTGTTCCTTGAGACCAGAGGCAAGAGTGGTAGCATGAACAAAGAGCAGGATTGGGACCATGTCGTGGGATGGGATGACCACGAATCTTCCAGTAAAGATATAACGGAAGCTTCGCGGTTCAATGAAGACGGTGGCAGCATGAAGAAAAGGAGGGTTAGTCTGGATGAAGATGAGAGAAGAGGCTCGCGGTCATTGCCGCCTTCGAGCCACGGCGGACCGTCTTCTACAACTAAGCGTCCTTCTGGGCCGTTCCTGGAAGAGTCCGATAGCGAGGAAGAGGAAAACACCACGCTCCGAAAATCACCTCCGCAGTTGCAAGCTCACCAAGTTGAAGAGAAGGAAGACATCCCTCCAGTGGATGCGGCTACTACTCAGCCCGCCAATGAAGAGGTTGGTGAAGAATCTGATCATGACCATCCCGGAGTCCCGCCACTAAAACGAGAACCTACCAGCTTTTTCGGAAACGAGGGGTTTGACGAGTTCGAGGAACTTGGCAACTTTGACGAGTTTGAAGATGAGGAGGACTTCGGGGATGAGGAGAGACGATGGATGCAAGAGCAGCGAAAGCTTGGTCTGGAGGACGCCGACCTGGAACCTGATTCTGGTGACTCGAAACCGGATTTTACAGACGGCGCGGAGCTGGATGAAACGAACGACACGACGCTCATCTCGGACGCCCCGACCTGCCCGATTTGCAGCCTGAGTCTTGAAGGAGCCTCAGACCAAGACGCTTCAATACACGTGAACAATTGTCTAGACGGCAATCCGACTGCGCTCCCATCGACCAAAGAATCAGCAGACGGCAGACCCCCTCCCGCCGTTCATGGCGCACAACGGTTTCAGCGCCCGGCGAAACCAGCAAAGCCTGGCCAAGCAACGCCGTTTTCGCTGGGAGCAGCCGAGGGAGGCTCGACGTCTGCCTTTGCCAAGCTCATGTCCGGCCATGCGGAGGATTCTGCCTGGGCGACCGCTGCTGCAGCGGAGAACGCCTCTCGTGGCAAGCCATCCTACCAGCGTACCTGTCCCTTCTATAAAATCCTTCCGGGCTTCTCCATCTGTGTCGACGCATTCCGTTATGGCGCCGTGCAAGGTTGCGAAGCCTACTTCCTTAGTCACTTTCATAGCGACCATTACATCGGCCTCACTGCGAACTGGCGCCATGGCCCAATCTACTGCAGCCGTGTCACGGCCAACCTCGTCCGTCAACAGTTGCGCGTAGATCCAAAGTTCGTCGTTGGTCTCGAGTGGGAGAAGCCGACGGAGGTTCCACAAACAGGTGTGACGGTGACCATGATACCAGCAAACCACTGTCCTGGGAGCTCACTCTTCCTGTTCGAGAAACCCATCGGCAAGGGCCAGAACCCAAGAATGCAACGTGTGCTTCACTGTGGTGATTTCAGAGCATGTCGAGCGCACATCGAGCACCCGCTCCTTCGACCTGATGTGTTGGATGCTGTCTCTGGCAAGACGAGACAACAGAAGCTCGACGTGTGCTATCTAGACACGACCTACCTCAACCCAAAGTACGCATTTCCCAGCCAAGGAGAAGTCATCAAAGCATGCGCCGATATGTGCGTGAGCCTCAACAGGGTCCGAGCGGATGATACGGACGGCTGGGAGCAGATGAAGCGAGAGCGAGCCGGAAAAGGGATGGCAAACTTTGTCCGCAAGAACTCGGACCTCGTCAACGAGGAAGACAATGACGAAGACGTCGATGCCATGAAGCTTTCGAAGGGAACGAAGAATCGTGGGAGGCTCCTGGTGGTGGTCGGGACGTACAGCATCGGCAAGGAGCGCATGTGTCTGGGCATCGCAAAGGCCATGGACAGCAAAATCTTCGCGCCACCAGGGAAGATGCGCATCTGCAGAGCGCTCGAAGACGCGGAGCTGGATGCGCGCCTGACGACAGACCCCCGCGCGGCCCAGGTGCACATGACGCCGCTCTTCGAGATCCGGGCCGAGACTCTCGACGACTACCTCAAGGACTACCGCGACACGTTCGCGCGTGCCGTCGGCTTCCGCCCCACCGGCTGGAACTACAGGCCGCCGAACTCGCGCTTCACGGAATCGCCCCTCGTGCAGACGGTGCTGCACTCGGGCAATTGGAAGAGTGGGTTCAGCATGCGCGATCTCGTCCCCCAGCGCGGCAGCACGGGGCGCGCCAGCAGCTTCGGCGTGCCTTATAGCGAGCATAGCAGTTTCAGGGAGTTGACCATGTTTTGCTGCGCGCTGAGGATCGATAAAATCATCCCGACGGTCAATGTGGGCAGCGCGAAGAGCAGGGAGCGGATGAAGGGGTGGTGCGAGAAGTGGGCACAGGAGCGGAGGAAGAACGGACTATTCAAGCCGGAGCAGGGGGAGTGCTGGTAAATGGAAGAGAGAGACGTCATGTGTGATAGCCCCAAGAGCAGGTTCAATCAGCGGCAATGCAAGGTTTCTTTCCTGCTATTTTGTCGGCCAACGGCATCGTCCTGCGGACAAGTGCCAACACGACGGGGGCGGACTCTATGTTTCCCACCTCACTATCGACCTCCTTCTATATACTACTAGAGAAGATGGGTATGTTGTGGGCGTTGGGGCTTGGATACCTCTACGATGTATAAAATACACTGTACGCGTATCTTGATGCATCCCAGGAGTCGGTAGGGTCCAGCGGCACATGCGACGGCTACTCCTCATATCAAGACATGTACCTGCTCATTGAGGCCTTCCTCTACCAAGCGTAGGTCTCACTGACCCATCTTGAAAGTGGGGAGCTAGCGTATATCGGGCTACTCTAGGCACTGACGTCAGTATCTGGAGGACGATGACGGGAGCAGCACGTCGCCTGCACCGCCCTTGGCTCATAAGCCGGATCCTCCGGCACGGGAGTGGTTGGCGCCACGACCACGCACGACCGGGTTCGGCACTACATCAGCCACGAGCGTCTGGCCCCCACGCCATCCGCCCCGCACCCCAGCTCAGCGGGAGTCTACGGTCCGCTGCCATCACGATCACCAAAGCCATTCTTGAGAATACTGAAGCATAGATCCAGCTCAAGCACAGGTAGTGTCACAACTGTTCTCTCTGAGAGCTGGTGCGAGACTCGGATTGTATATATGTTGTGCGCTGTGAGTTGCCGATTCCCCTCCGGTTCTCTCTCCCTTTCCCTTCTTTTGACACGGATGATCTGCACCTACCGACGATTGACCCTCATCCGCAGACCAGGGCGATGCGCTGTTGCTATCGTATCTACCCAGAACAGTATCTCGAATCCTTCTCGGTAAGTGATTCTTGAAACATCCCAATGGCTTCAAGCTCAAGTGGCCGTTATGCAACCAGTCCGACTTGTCTTCCGTGACAGACGACCGTCTACGAAGACGAAACATGGGACGGAAATTCCCACTTCGGATAGTCTCGGTAAATGCATTGGTAGAGGTTTTTATCATTACCCGCGCATTCCCCGGAGCTCACTAAACCTTATTTCAACCGTACTTGGCATTTTCCAAAGCGACACCGTCCGCGTTCGTCATCGGAATGGTGTCGTTATAGATGGTTCTCTTATTTAGCTGTCCCCTGCTCGGCTCCACCGACGTCGTCGATCTCAGTTGAGGCTGGCGAACTGGACGTGTCAAATTGGGCGATTTTTTTCTTTTTTTAATTCAAGTAACTGAATTAGGAATTCACAATAGGTGCACGTTCGCAATGCAACAACCCTCCCTCTTTTCTTTTCTTTTCTTTTCTTTTTTTTTTTTGGATCCCGGGCGTGTCAACTGTGCATCTTTCAAGGGCAGTGAGAATGTATGTTCTCGGCCACTTCAAGGCCCGGGTGATGATCTTGTCGGCAGGGAGCGGCGTACATTGGGTGAAACAGTCATAGTGGATATTCTCATCCGCGATCATCATCACCAAGAGCAGCGATCACCATCTGCTTAGTTAGATAAGAATATGCAGGGACCTCTTCCGATCCGTGGAATTCTTTGATGTGTCATCTCAAGGTGGATGCCTCATGCATCTAGTCTCTCGCCGTTGCCGGCCCGTCATGTGCAGTAAATGGGCCGAGCTGCCGATGGGAGCACGAAGGGCTCCGAAGCTCCGAACTCACGTGGTGGGAAGGTGGAGAGAATATAAGAATGGTGGATAGGATGCGGTACATATAACACCAGCGCATTCGAGTCTTTTCTTTTCTCCTCCTTCTTCTTCTTTCATGGTGTATGCCGCGGGTTCGAAGGATGCTAAGCACGCCGTGAGATTGATGTGCATTACGCACATTGCCAATCAAAGGAGAATCAACCGCACATCAGCGCAGGATAGGTTCTTGGCTCGTGCAGCCGAGCCAGGCGACAAGGGAGTGAAAATTTTCGGCAGTTTGACGGCATTTCCTGTGCTTCTCTGACGCCATGATCCATCTAGCAGACGAAAGAGTGGTGCCATCCGCAAGCCGATACCGGTTAGGCATGGTCAGATGCGTCGGAGTGTCGCGGCCCGCCATCGCCATACGGTGTACCTCGACCTCGGATAGTGAAGCCAACTATACATGGAGCCAAGAGCGCAAGGCGTTGAAGTTAAGCGGCGGTGACAGCACATTGACGAGGCAGGGCAGCGGCGTAACTAGGACCAGGCCGGAGAAACACACGCCTTGACTGCGGGGATACCTGGCATTGGTCGGCGGGGTGCGATCTGCCGCCGTTGTGTACCTGAGGTCCAAGCATAAATCGTCCAGGCCCAGAACGGCGGCTGCGCACCGGCACACAGCAAGTACCGGTAGCCGAAGCCTGGTGCTTCCGCGAATGAATGCGAGCCGGGAAGGGCGGGTCGCACCGCCTCTTGCACGGCCCACGGGCCAGGTTGGTGTGCGTGCGTGGCGGTAAGGCGGACAATCCTGTAAGGTGTGAAGAGTGAAGAATTGTATCACGCTGTGCGCTCCGCCTCCTTGCAGAAGGTGGCAAGTTTTGTGCGACGAGCTCAGGAGACAATAATACGAAGCAGAGCTAATTGCTGCTTGCGGCCACCGCTGCGAGACTGCGTCGGGATACGGGATACGACGGCCAAGAGGGGGGGAATGCTTGGGTGCGAGGCTGGGGCTTACGGGATTGGGCCAGCTCCAGCTATTCCGATGGGAGCTGATTTCTAAGACCGTCGCGGCCACTCGCGGGTGCCCAAATTAAGGCGGGGAGGGTGGAGCGACGAGGCAGTCGCATACAGAAGAGCCCGTCGTCAGGGGGCACTCGGGTGGCCGAGGCGAGGGCTCACGGTCGGTCCGACTGGTGGACAACAGCCGCCTTGCTGACTCGACACGCGGAGCCGGGGGCAGTCAAGCCTTGTCGTTCGGCAACTGCGGCGCCTGGGCGCCCGGACAAGCGGACCAGCAGCCGTCAAACACCGCAAACACCGCCTCCCGTCCAAGCCGATGGTCTTGGGTCTTGGGGCTTCGATGTCGCCCAACCGCCCAGCCCGGTCCAGCCCCTAACGGCCGCTTGCATTGCTCGTGCTGAATCGTGGAAGCTGTAGTCGAGGGATCTGCGTCCGACGTGGGCCGTACCGCTCGTCAATCTTCAACACCCGCAAGTCATGTCCAAGGGCGCAGGAACCACACCTACTACTGCCTTCCCGCTCCGATCCCGCTGCCCTGCGCCTCGGAAGGCCAGCTGGGCCCGTCTCCTGGCCTGGCCGTCCGTCGAGAGCCTCGGGCACTGGCGATCATGAAGCCGCCCGTTGCCCTGTCGATGCTGCACTGAAGTCCGCCCTCCCTTTATCGGGCAACTTCTGTAGACCCTGGAGTCCCTGCCAGCCTTAGTCATGCTCGTACTTGGCCGTTCCGATGCGCAAATCGCGCACAGCCTGTCACTCACCCGTCCAGTGTTTTATTTGGGGCCTTGCTCCATCCCAAACCACTCGACCAACACCCGCCCCCATTGTCCGGCATCACCATGTTCACCACTTTTGTGGGCGTCTCGCCGCGCCCGTCATCGACCAAGGGGACCGCCTCGCCAGCACCGCGCCCAAAGAGAAACCAGGTCCACCGTGCCTGTGACTGGTGCCGTCTGAACAGGGTCAAGTGCGACAGCAGCAGGCCGTGCCACAATTGCAAGCAGATCGGCCGCCGATGCAGCAACGACGGCCTGAACGAGTTCCGGAGCCTGGCCTCGGCCACCAAGTACGACCCGGGAGCTTCTGTGCTGCTCGACAACCAGCTGACTTGTTCTCCATGCAGGGAAGTCGAACGGCTACGTGCCCAGATCAGGGACCTCGACCGACGGCTGAGAGCCGCCAACCCCGACGACACTCCCACTCCGCCCTTGACTGCAGAGAAGCCGTGGCCCGGCGCCGACGATACGCTGGAGCACTACGAATCACGACTGGACGCCCGCGAGGGCCCAATTGTATCCGATGATTCTGACCTGCACGGCACCCATTACTACGGCCCCTTCTCCTCGCGGTCCTTCAGCAACCGACTGTCGTCGTTCTTGGCCAGCGTGCTGCATCGGCCATTCCACGACATGGAGCAAGCCGACGACGATGCGGGCTCGGCGGTGCTCCGGCTGGGCGGCGGCGGGCCGGCGTACCTATCTCTCGAGGACCAAATCAGCTGCGACTGGCTGAGCAAACCGCAGCAAGACTACTTCCTGGATCTGTTCTGGTCGCAACAGCACGCGCTGCCGCCTCTGGTCTCGCGGGCCGACTTCCAGCTGCACTACGACTCCCTCTGGACCACGCCTTCGCTCGGCGTGTCCTTCCGTAAGCCGTCGCCGCTCGTCGACATCATCCTCGCGCTGAGCATCCAGCTCTCCACCTTCCGGCCAACCCACGGCGACGACGACAAGCACAACACCACCCAACCCATCCCCCAGCCCTACTCCTCCTCCTCCATCTCCTCCTCCTCTTCCTCCCTCTCCCTCTCACACTCCTCCTCCTCCTCTCCCTCCCCCCGCCAGCTCCTCCTCATCAGCCACGCCTACTTCCACCGCAGCGCCGCGCTCCTCTCCTCCTCTTCCACCACCACCCCAACAACAACGACAACAACAACAACAACAACCTCGACAACCCCCACAACAACCTCCCCCGCCCTGACAAACCCCACCCCCGCCCGCACCCCCACCTCCGCCCCCCTGACAACCGTCCAAACCCACGCCTACACAACCCTCTACCTCCTCCACGCCCGCCGCCCCAACGCCGCCCACGCCCACCTCGCCGCCGCCGTCCAGGCCGCCCACGCCATCGGCCTGCACCGCGAGCCGCCGCAGCACCAGCACCAGCATCAGCACCACCAGCAGCAACAGCAACAGCAGCAGCGGCGGCGGCGGCAGCGGCAACAGAAGCAGCAGCGCCGCCTCCTCTGGTGGGCGCTGTACGCGCTGGACGCGGCGGTGAGCGGCGAGGCGCTGGGGCGGCCGGGCCTGGCGGGGCTGCGGGGGGCGACGGTGAGGGTGGTGCCGGTGCCGGCGTCGGCGTCGGCGTCGGCGTCGGTGGCGGCGTCGGGGGCGGGGGCAGCACGCGGGTCACAGCCCGTGGGCGGTGGTCAGCGGGGGGATGGGAATCATGGGGGGGATCATCACGGGGGGGATGGGGATTGGGATGGGGAGGAGGGGGTGCGGTTCCTTGCGCTGGTGGTGCGGTTGGCGGACGTGGGGCGCGGGGGCGCGGGGGTGTATGCGGAGTGGGAGGGGGAGTGGGAGCGGGAGCGCGGGGCGGAGCGGGAAGAGGCCGGGCGGCTCGTGGGGGAGCGGCGGGAGCGGTGCGCGGCGGCGGTGGCGGAGTGGGTGCGCGGGCGGCTGGGGGCGTGGAAGGCGCTGGTGCCGCGGGGGCTGGTGTTGATGCGGCGCGGGACGGGGAGGCGCGGCGGCGGCGGGGTGGAGGCGTTTGCCGTGCCCGCCGATCAGGGCGAGGTTGGCGTCGGCGGGCAGTTGGATCTGGATGATGGGCGCGCCGCCGCCTGGCTGCGCGAACAACGCGTCCTCCTCGCGCTGCGGTACCATGGCGTGGCCATGGCGCTGTATCGCCCGTTTGTCTGTCTCCCGTTGCTGTCGGCGTCGTCGGCGGCATCGTTATCGTCGTCGTCGTCGTCGTCGTCGTCGTCGACGCCCCTCGCGGATGCAAACGCCGTCGCTTGCCTCAATCACGCCATGGCTGTTACGGATATCGTCCACCAAGCGCTGTCGTCGCCGTCGAGCGCGGAGACCAGCGGCGGTTGCGGCGTTGTGTATCAGCAGCTGCAGCACGATGCCGCCATTGTCCTGGCGGGCTATGTGTGTGCGTATCCGCTCAGCCCACACGCGGGGGCTGCGCGGAGGGCGTTGGGGGTGGCGGGGAGAGTGTTGGAGAGGATGGCGTGCGGCGGGTCGTGGGAGGATGGAGGGAGGAGGAGGAACGTGGCGAGGGAGTTGGGCGCCATGGTCGATGCCGTCGTCCAGCGGGTTCGGGATGGGGGGTACGTGGGCGGAGGCGGTGGCGGCGGCGGTGGCGGGAGCCAGATGTGCTTCACCACTGCTACTGCTACGGCTTCGACCATGGCAACGACGCCGGCATCATCCTCTCTTTTCGGATCTTCTCCCTCGCCTTTTTCTCCGGTCCTGGACCAGAACAGCCTTTTCCCCCTTTCCCTCCCCATCACTTCGCCCTCGGCCTGCACCACCACCACCACAAGAACAGCAACAAACTCCACCTCCACCTCCAACCCCAGTTCGACGCTCGGATCGCCTCATCCTCCACCTCTCAGCGACGGCGGCGGTTTCATGGCCATGAGCGCCGGAGGCATGGATATGTCGATGCTCGAGCCATCCATCACGTCGACCGCCTACGCTGAGGATGCCGACGTGTGCTGGATGGCCAACCATCATGGCTTGAGTGAGCAGCAGCAACAGCAGCAGCAGCAGTTGTGGCATACGGCCGTCGACATGAGTGCCGCCGCGGATACCGAGATGCTCATGATGAGGGACTTTGATTTCTCCCGGCCGCCGATGGAGACGGACATGGGCATTTTGCGTGATGGAGAGTATGGCTATCGGAATTGCTTCTAAGGGCGTATGTTGGTAGGCATCAGGTGTTTTGCTTTTTCTTCTCTTATCGGGGTGTTTCTGAGGAAAGGGGTATGTTTTTCCTTTGTTGAATTAAGCGTAGATACCTTTTGAGCCGTTTTGGTAGTGAAATGCAAAGGTCAAAGAGCCTGACATGTCAAAATCAGCCGTGAGCGTGACGTATATATGCTGTACTCGCCAGTGAGCCTCGTAATCAGACTTCATATCAGTACTATTTGCACTCAGGAGATATGGCGCAGTGGATAAATTCCATCGTTTCCGGGCTTGAGAACTCGCCCTCGGCCAAAGCCGGAGCCACTGAGATTGATATGGTACGGAATTTTCGGCTCGTCTCAGACTTGGACTCGGCATCCACAAAAAATAAATTAACAATTCGCTAAGATAGCGTCTGACGGGAGAAAGAAGCCGCCAGTAAAAAAATCAATCACCTGTGTGGTTTTCCGGATCATTGAAGATCCATTCTTCCACAGCTTTCAGGTACTCCAACCACAGCTGCGAGTGGGTCTCCGCTCTGCTGGCCCCGGAAGAAGCAACATCTCGTACAACTACTTGAAACAATGCTGGCGGCAATGAGAAGGATTGGGTGGAGATATAAACTGAACCTGAATCTCGCCACATCCGACCTTTCTACAAGCGTCTACGCCTCTCGTCAGCCTCATCAACTCGAACTTCCATTCCCACGCTACAACTTACGCTTGTCGCAGTATTTCGACCTCTGCGCGCGTCGATTCTGGCACTTTTCGAAGGCGCATTTGTGCCTGTCGCAGAGTTTGGAGTCCCCCTCCACGCACCCGTTCTTGCAGTCCGCGGCGGTGCACTTGTGCTTGGCGCAGTATCCCGAGCCGTGGGTGCGCTCCCGGTGGCACTGTTTCAGACTGCATTTGTGATCGCCGCAGTAGGGGGAGCCCCCGGACCGACCGCCCTGGCAGCCGTGAACGGCGCATTTGTGGTCTTTGCATCGCTTCGACTGCCCGTATCTCTTCCGGAGACAGCCCTCCGTGCTGCATCTGAAGTCTGATGTCGACGGATGAGCGAAGCGGGCATACATTCGGGTGAGAGGTATCTGAGACTTACGAGCGTTGCACCAGGAAGAGCCCTCTGTTCGCGGCGCAGTGCAGTTGGCGCCGCTACACTTGTCTGTTCTCATGGTGAGTTTCAGAACCATCAAGACGGTATATTTCTGATGAGTGGAAGACCCCGTTGGCAGAAACACAACTTACGTGAAGCGCAATAGCTGGACTTTCCCTCACGCAGCTTGAGACAGAATTGACACCGATCTATCTGTACACTCAGTTTCAAACATATCCTATGGCCTGGGCTAGATATCATGCCCTTGCGAGTCAACAAGACTGGGGGGGCTTACGCTCTGGGCAATAGGTATGTTTGGTGGTGTTCGAACATCCCTTCGCTGTACAATTGGGCATGGCGAATCTCCAACCAAACACGGCCGATGCTTGGCTTTTCGTATTCTGTTCGACAACACTCCGCAAACTGATCCTCTGCTCAATGCCAATGCCAATTGCGGGAGAAGTCAACAGAAGGAGAGTGGACGATTTGCGACAAGGCTCAGAAGTCAGTCATGACCACTCTTAAGTATTGCTCAGCTGCGGGGTAGCTCTTGTACTACACACAAGTATCACCTGAGGCTACTTTCACAAGCATATCGTTTTCGACGAGGAAGTTGCGTATGACAAGGGGGTGCGCTATCCAGTCAGAAAGCCCATAGACTCGCTCCATATATCATCGGTTTATCGTGAGCAAAATCCACCATTGAAATCGTAGGATATCGTTGGGAAGTCGTCTTCTGCTGCAGCCTCGGCCGGGCGTCGAAGCATGCTTACGCACGCTTACGCATCGCACAAGCATCGGGGATCCGTCCGTTTTTGTTATCAGGGCTCCCGTGATGCGGAAGTAGGAGAGAACGGGTAGTACGCATACATGGACTAGGGTGCCATACAAATCCACGACACCTCTTCAAAACCACTTCGGCCACCAGAAATTACCCACCCCAACTCCGTGTCTCTCGTCCTTATATCTCTCCCTCTCCCTTCCAACTCTTCCCCAGTCCCCACGTTTAGTCTCAAAAGAAAAGTAATATGCATTTCATTCGGTTTATCTCATCCCCCCCTAGAAGGTGGGCGGTCTCCTGGTTACACGTGCTACTGCTAATACTATCACCTACTACTAACGGATATCTTCATCGTCAGAAACTTTGCTTCTCGATCTCCTCGTACTTCAAATATTTCTCCATGTACGCCAAAACAAAAAGCAGAGCAATACGAAAACCGATATACCAGCAGATGAAAAGACGCTTGAGAAAGATGAAATGGCAAACAATGATTAAAGAGGCATGTAAAGACATTCAAATGCTGGAAGATAGGAAAGTAGCCCAAAGCGCCAAATCGCGACATCTCTCACTCCGTACGTGCCCCCGTAAACAAGGGCCAATGTTCGGACGTGTGGATGAGGAGGACATCAAAAATGCGAAAAGATGATGAGTGTAGAAGTGGAAAAGAAAACATATCTATGATGATCAGCCCCCCTGAAAATATTTTGTTCAAAAGGAAGTGGCATCGCACCATGTGTTTGATACCTTTTGTTCATGCATGTGTCGGCTCCCTCGCACATTTCCATCCGCAACGTCCTTCTCCGCTTCTCTCGCCTCGTCGAAGCATCTGGTCTCTGCCAGGGGTCAGGAAACAGCCTGTCTCTCACGAAACCCTCACCGCATCCGCAATCCTCAGCCTCCTCAAGCCCAACCCCGTACCCCCTCCCACGCCACCGCCACCACCCCGCAACCCGACAACCTCGCTCGCACAACTCCCAACAACGCTGCTCCCGTTCGAGCCGCCGAACTCGCCCAGCATCTCGACCTCGGCCCTGCCCGCGTCGCGCCCGACGACGTAGCCGGCCGAGAAGCTGAGCGCCGAGACGAGCACGACGACGCCAGCGCTGACGACCCAGGTCAGCAGCGTTGGGCTGACGGCCGGGCCGCCGAGCGCGCCAGCTGTGCTGTCGTCGAGAGACGTCGAGGCGGTGTGGGGGCCGATAGCGCGCTTGGCCTTTTTGGTTAAACCGCGGCGCTCGCGGCTGGAGCGGCGTTTGTGCTTTTCCGTGGTGTTGGGAGTTTTGCTCGAAGGGGTGTTGGTGGCGGTTGTGGTGCGGGTAGAGGGGGTTGTCCTGGCGTTGGCAGGTTGTGCTGGGGGCGAGGGGGAGGATGAGGGGAGGGCGGATTCGGGCACCATGCGCAGCGTGGTGGGGTCAACGCGGCTAGAAGAGGGCACAGGGGCGTTGCGATTTGTCGTAGTGGTGGGCTGCGCCTGCGATTTGGGCAGACCGCGGGCGGCGGCGGCGCAGGAGAGAAGCGTGGACAGACTGGCGCGGAGGGCAGCGTCGTGGTCGGCTTGGTGGTTGGGCGAGATCATGTTGTAGGGCGAGTGGGCCGCCTGTTGCGAGGGGTACGAGTGTCGTTGTTGTGAGGGGTTTCTTGCTGAGGGGCGCGACTGGAAGTAGGAGGTTTGTTGGTTCGACGGGCGGCTGAGCGGGGCTGAAGGCGGGTGCGAGAAGGCGTTGGGCTGGGGGGTGAAGTCCTGGTTCTCATTCCTGATGTAGCCAACGGCGGTCGAGTTCTCATCCTCATCGTCGTCTTCCACGTCCGACTGGTTGTCTGAGGAGGAATACTGCATTCGTCCCGAGCGAGGCAACTGCGGCAGAGCCTCGTTCGACGACGAGAGGACGCGGTCTGACTCGCTTTCGCTCTCGTCGTACTCCTCCTGACTGCTTGTGCCTGCGCTTGCCGAGCGGCGGTAGCCTAGGTCCAGGCGCAGACGGGAGGCGCGCTGCGGGCGGCGGCGGCGGGAGTTGGAGTCGTGCTGGACGCGCAGGCCGTCGGTGATGACCTCATCGCTGACCGAGGCGGCCGAGGAGAGAGACGAGGACGAGGGCTGAGAGGCAACCTCTATCCAGGAGTCTGTGTACATGTGGTAAGTCCAGAAGTCTTGCGGGAAGTCGTCCATGACGGCGAAGCGGGTGGATAGCATGATTTAGATGCAGAAATTTGGAAAACGGCGGGGGAAAGATGGGAGGAAGAGAAGGGCGCAAGATGAAGGGGCTTGCAAAGGTCACCGGAAAGGAGCTGGGACTCACCATCTGAGCGTGACCTCATAGCTTGGGCGGGCGGCGCAAGATGACCTTGGGCGGGCCGGCGGTGGGCGTCGCGGGGCATTTGGCGACCGTGACCTCGGGACTGCATGGCTGGTGATTCGAGAGGATGCGTGGGCGTGTTTGGTCGGTGTTCTTGCGGAGGGCGGGGGTGCAGGCAGAAGGCGCGGCTGCGGTGGCTGTTATCGGACGGGTGGTTGACGGGGAGCTGCCGAGGCGGGCCAGGTCCTTTGTTTCGTGGCACTGTCGAGAGCACGGCGCGTCGGATTGCGCGCGCAGAGTCGGCGGGCAGTCGCGGGAGGAAGACGAAGCTGCTCCAGGCGCGGGAGGTTGGGCACAGTAATAGGAGAGCGTGGCCGTGTCAGGCGGGCGCGGTGTTCTGGCAGTCTCGCAGGTGACTGGGGCTGGGATGGCGCGAGACAAGCTACGCTGCTTTGCGGGGGCCGGGGGTCGCGCTACTGCCGATGACGCTTGGGCGCTCGATAAGCCAAATCCCACGACACTCGGCGCGCGTCCGAAGGCACTGCAGTTGCTCTCGCAACAGGCTCACGGGAGGGGGAGGGAGCTGGCGGAGCAGTGCTGGCGTCCTGGCGGGCGATCAGGGTCTTTACGTATCTGGATCCGTATCTGCCTCCATATTGTGCGCATGCACCTGCCCTGCCCATCACGCTTACCGCTGCCTCCGCACGTGGACCGATGCCGGCTGGGCTGCCTGCCCAGTGCCCACTCACAGCCCTCAGCTCGTGCGCCAAGTCGACTTCAACGCTCTCGCCCTCCTCTCCTTGCTTGCGCCCAACTCCCACGTCATCGCAGCGCGCCTGTCCGTTCGCGTCACATCACCCTCTCCTGACTGCTGCTATCCGCGCCCTGCCCGCCAGGGCGCCTGCGGAGATGCGCCGCGGATCTACCCTTCACCGCGATAAGGCAGTCCCAGCCTGATCGCCGTGGCGTGACGGCCACAAGAGCAACTGTGCCTGCGAAACCGGCTCGACTTTCTTGTGCTGCTCCACTTCTCCACGCTGCTCCTGCTCCTTCCAACACCACGCCCCACCCGTATACACAGTAGGTACACAGCAGCCCGTCTCCTGAGCCACGGTGCAGCCCCGCTCGCCTCCTCATCCCAACCGCCACTTTGGTCTTGCGTATCGTAGTACCAAAGCGGAGAGGGCCCCGCAGCCTCCTGGCAAATTGCATTCGAAAGCGTACATCATTCTGCTGCAGTGCTGATCGCTTCGTTGGTTCTCTTGTCGTTCCGCGGCTAGGTCATGTGTCGTGGTTCCTCGTGACTGGGCTCGTCAACTTCCTCTTACAATATGCGTTTCAAGAGAAGGAAAGTTTCCTCTCCATGACATATGTAATCTGCTCTCTTTGTTTCTCAGCAGACCGTCCCTGCGAACGGGCCGCAATCTATCTCGTCGCTGCAACACTGGCCTGTGCATACCATGTTATATACGACCTCATCACCTCGAGAGTAGACAGCGGGTCTCTTGTATGTCGCACCAGTGCACGACCCGCACTTGCAACCTCACACATATCGGTGCTCGGCTATCTCCACCCCGTTCAAATCCCAACAGTTGATCCCGAGCGCCCTGTGGCCCGTGAGATGATACAAGTACACGCCACCGGCACTGTTCGGACGTCTGAGCAGGCCTTGCTCGGCCCGCCATCGGCCGGTGCCTGACTTCGTCGCCTGAGGACCACGCGTGGTGATGACGACACCTTATGAAGCTGATACTTCGTACTTCTTGCTGCCCACACTCCTTGACACACTATCGGCCTTAACACCGACTTTGATAAGTAGTGGTAATCTTCATGTTCCCTCGTCCACGCGTCGTCCGTTCTTTCTTCCGCTTGCCTCGCAGTCACCTGACACCCGACCTCAACTGGCCACGCAATTCAAGCTCCTCAGTATTTCTCAGTCACTGCTGTTCTTCGAGAAACTTCGTGCCCCCGCATTATACTCGTCCACCTACTTACTGTCCTTCTACGCAACAACTCTGGTGAAATGTGTAGCTCATGTACCAAGATCTCTTTCAGACGCCCGCAAGCACTACCCGGCCAATATATAAATATAGAGCCAAAAAAGAATTGGAAGCCTCGAGCCAATAAGCTCTCCTTACCGAAGCTACGGAAGTGAAATTCAGTTCATGAACTCCCTTTTCTTCGATTTTACTTTGGTGTAGGGACAGCAGCAACCAAAACATAAAGCACGTCATTCATCAGCATGCCGCCAGACATCCCCTTTTTGCATAGGCCACGACGTTCTGCATGAGCTTGTTTACTTGTATTCAGTCTGCTAGGCGGCGGCAGCGTATATGCTACGCCTGCATGCTTTCTATCCTATGGATCATCCTGCTTCGCCTTCTTCAATAAAGAGCACTTCTGACTACCAAAGACGAGTTTTATAGAATATCGATAAAGTCAAACACCCCTTCTGCCCGCTTTGAAAAGAAAAAAACAACCCCCCCTCGAAAATATACATACATCATCTACACTTAGCTAGCTGCTCTGCCTCAATCGCACTCTCCCCCCACCATGTTCAGAGTAAAAAAAAAAAAAAAAACCCTCCTCCTCGCAAACCTTGATCTAAGATACCGCAATAAGAGCGAGCGTTCTGACCAAAGCACGACAGGAAGCAAAGAACAAAACACAAAACCCTAAACAGTCCGTGCTCGCTTCTTTCTAGTAATGAACGCTTGAGGGTCTATCTACACTACATACACTACAGTCGACTGCAGTCGACTGCAGTCAAAAAGGAGAAAGAAAAGAAAAGAAGTTCGAACTGTTTCATCTACATACCGTGGAAGGGAAAAGGTCCGCAGCCCGAACCCGTCCACTCCGTAGATTTACCAATTCATCCACTCCGTACGTGACATCTACCTTCCGTCTTTCCTCCCAGTTCCTACTTCCCCACCGTTGAATCTCAATCAAAAAAACAAAACAAAAATAAGTTTCTTTCGCCAGGGTTCCCATCCGTCCATCCGTCCGTCGTCACCACCATGGATATATGTGACCGACCCGACTTTCTCTTTTGTTGCCCTCCCCTTTGGGAAAAAATAAAAACCAAAGAACAAAACACCAATCGCGAACCATAGTAGCCAGAAAACCAACAACAACAACAACAGCCCCAAAAGAAAAGAACGAGCATTTATTTCGGTGAAGGTCGTTGTTGTTGTTGGTTGTTGTTGATATTCCCCAAGCCTAATAACACCAAACCAAGTCCAACCCCATTTCCCCCATCCGGTGACCGGTTTTTCCAATAATAAGACGCGCTTTCTCGATCATCGCATCATGATTCTCATGATATCACTTTCTTTCGTTCTTTCTCTGCTTTTTCCTCCACTCTCTTTTTCTCTCACTCTCTCGTCTCAGTTTACAACCCAGTCTTCCCCAGCATGTTGGCCAACTCATCGACGCTCTTATCCTGCTTTTCGCTAACATTCTGCGCCTCCGCCTCGTCCGCCTTCTTGAGCACATTCTCCTTCACCTCCTCCTCCTCCTCTTCTTCCTCCTCCTCCTCGTCCTCACTCTCATCATCCAGCTCATCCAGCTCGTCAAGACCAAACTCGTAGCCCTCCTTCAAAGCCTCGACGAATTCGGAATCGGCTTCTTCCTGGCGCGCCGCGAACATCTCCTGCAGGCGCTCGACGCTCTCGTCATCCTCGCCGAACCTGTTGCCATTGACCTCGAGCCTACGCAGCTTCGGCAAGGCATTCTCCGCCGCGTCGGCGAAGCCCTTCAGGCCCGCCGCATTCATGTCGTTGTACTGGATGCGGACAATCTCCAGCTGGGGGTTGTTGCCCTTGGCCAGCGCGGCGGCGAGCAGCAGGCTGCCCTTGGCCTGGAGGAAGCAGTCGCTGACGCCGAGCTCGCGCAGGTGGGGGAAGCCCGCGACGATGGCGGCGAGCGCGCGCGCGCCGCCCTTCTTGGTGAAGGTGTTGTCCTGCAGGTCGAGGATGCGGATCTGGCTCTGGTGCGCGAGCCCGTGGCGCAGCAGGTGCGTGATGCCCTCCTGCCGGATGCCGTTCTGGACCATCTTGATTTCGCGCAGCCCCGTGTGCTTCGAGTAGGCGCGCGCCCATGCCTCCATCGACCCGTTCTCCAGCCGGTTGCGGCCGCAGATGACCGTCTCGAGGCTGGGCACGTCGGCGCCGGCGCTGCGGGCGGCCGCCTTCTTGTCGGCGAGGGTCGAGAGGGCATCGGCGATGAGGGTGCCGGCGGCGGGGCCCAGGCCGTTGTTGTTGAGGTAAAGGTGGCGGAGCGGTGTGTGCGCGGCGAGGAAAGAGACGAGAGGAGCCTGGGTGTTGAGGCCGAAGGCGTTGTCCGAGAGGTCGACGGTCTCAAGCTTCGGGAGAGTGAGTAGCGCCTTGAGGATGTGGTCGAGTGCCTCGGGGATCTCGGAGAGCAGGCGCGAGGTGAAGATGTCGGCGAAGTTGGCGATCTAGTGAGGAAATGTTAGCGTCGCCGCACAAGGCGCCGAGAAGACGGTGGGCTTCGAGAAGAAAGGGGGGGAGAGCAGTACCTTGAGGTTTTTCTTGGTCTCCAGGACCTTGGCCAAGGCCTCCGAGGCACCTATGCCGAGTGTGTTGCCAACGAAAACGACCTCCTCAACATCAGAATTCTCCTTCAGTGCCTGAATGTGCGGCTCGATGTCCTCGGCGGTGGTGAGTTTCAGGCCCTTGTCCTTCAGGCTAAAAACTTTGGAATTCGCCATGATTGGCCGTAGAGATTCGGTTGTTTTCGCGGAGTCGCGCGTAAAATATATAAAGGGCGTTTGCTGACGGGTGGCGGAAGAAAGAGAGTTCTTGGAGGGGCACGGTGGGATGTTTTCGTTTGCTTTGAGTCCCTGCACGACCCTGCAAGCGCCAACGCGAGTGCCTGCATCGGCGCCTGCCCGCACTGGCCCGCCGACCGGGCTTGGCGCCCGGGCTGATGACATGAGCCGCCCATTGATTTCTAAGGTTGCGTCTTCCTTTCAACATCCGCAAACCCCCCAAGCACTCGCACCATGAGCTCAATGTCAGCCGGTATGCAATAGTCATTGTTGCAGCCCTTGCGCGCACCGCTAACACTGTTTTGCAGCTCCCGCGACCTCCGCCAACCTCGGCGCCGACCTCAAGTCGTCCGGCTCTTCCAATGCCGCCGCAAAGCCAAAGGTGCGTCGATGGCGTGCTGCGACCCTTTTCGCCACAAAGTCCTGACTGAAGATTGGATAGCCCTGCTGCGTCTGCAAGGACGAAAAGGCTGCCCGCGACGAATGCATGCTCTTCTCCAACAGCGACAACGCCCAAGAGGATTGCAAGGACATGGTCTCCAAGTACAAGTCCTGCATGGCTGGGTTTGGTTTCAACATCTAGACGCGGCGAGCCAAGGCATGGAAACTGGCGTTAGATACCGGGAATAATTTACATGGCATTGAGAAGGCGCAATGATCTAATTCTAGTCCCCTGTACCATTGTATGGGCATAATTGTACAACATATCCTCCACTCGAGACGCTGTTATCGTTGAGCCAATTGGCGGGTATATTTTGGCCTTGGCCTTTTGAAGACAAGAAAAAGTAAGCAACGCAACTTACTGCGTCTTCTTCCACTCATCCACCCTGACCGCCATCTTGAAACCCCGGATCAAGTGAAACAAGCACCACAGGTAGCAGATGTAGAACCCAGGAGCGCCGACAAGGACATTTGCCACCACCCACAGATCCGGCTTGTTCTCCGGTGGGATTACAAATGCTTCGGCGATGTGCCAGCCGACCATAGCCACGTAGAAACCGGCGTGAATCAGCTTCTCAATGATGCTCAGGCGACCGGGGGTCTCATTGCGGAAGATCGAGAAAGAAGTCGGAGGAAGTCCGAGCAGATAGGCCCAGAGTAGCGTGAGGATGAAATACGGGACAGCCAGCTCGTCACGCTTGAGAAGCGGATACATTGTCCAGGCGCCCAGGATGTTGGCCAGCCCAACCCAAGCTCGCGCCGACGGTAGCATTCCGCTACGAGAACCAAGGAGGAGCGTCATGGGTAGTAAAGGAAGAAGAACATTCTTCTCGTGAACTTGATAGGAGAACAAGAAGAATGCCCACGAAGTGGCGGCAAAAGCCAAAGGAAGAAGCTCCTTGCGCGGTTTGACAAGGAGCGCCATGCATGGTGTGAGAATGTGAGCTCCAGTCAGGACCAATGCTCCAAGCTGGAGCTTCTCGGTGGGATACCGGTTCAGCTTGTGAAAGGTGTGGAAAAAGCACCATACGTTAGCTACCTTGTCCTCGAACAGACCGCGGGCAAACGGGAAGACGCGGTGGATAGATTGGGCGACGACCAGAAGTATCGGGAAGTACCAAGACTTCTCGTCGATGGAAACCGGCAGCTTCGCAAGTAGCGGAGGCGTAGGCAGATCGTGAACAGGCAGGCCCCGGTACCAATCGTAGACTGCTCCGGCGATGAGCGGTGCGTACAAAACCGCAAACGAGAGGGCCGTGACTAGGGCAATTCCGAGGAAGCGTGAAACGTTGACTCGAGGAGAAATGCAAACTCCAAGAAGATACGCAAAGACAGCAGGGGCATAGAACAAGGCCATCTGCTTGAATCCAAGCGCTCCCACGAAGAAGACGCAGCTCCAGAGGAAACGGCCGGCAATCATGCTCGAGATACTCGCCAGAACCAAGCCAAGCATCACGGTGTTATACTGAAAGTGTCCGTGGTCGATCAAGATGGATCCAGGCTGCATCAGAATGGCCACCAGAGCTAGGGAATATTCCCAGGTATTGACCTCTTGCAAGCGAGAGTAGCGGCGGAGGCAGATGACGACGGCCGGAATATAGACAAGGTACTCAGAGACAACGACGGTAGCACGCATAAACACTTTGAGTACGGGGTCATCGAGGCCGCGGGAGGTGTGAAGAGCAAACCACGCCGGCTCGATATAGTGACCACTACCAAAATCAGCACAAACCACGACGCCGAATCGGCGCGCTTACATCTTTCCAAGGAGCCAGCTGTGGTATGCCGTCAGTGGCGGGTAGTCGAGACCCCACCACTCCAAGTCGTGGAAATACCATTGGGACACGGGAAGGTTGACGGTAATTTCCAGCCAGTGCCTCTGAGCCTCGAAGTCTCCGTGCATTGGCGGTTTCTGGAAGCCTGCAGGCCGTCAGCATGTGGCCAACGCGGCGAAAATCATTGATACGAACCAGAATAGCCCCAAAAAGCTGTAGCCCATCTGAACAGGCCAACAACAATCAAGATCAGCGGCAAGAGCACCCATTGAGAGACTGCTCCCTTGGCCGGCCAGAGGAAAGCGACGAGCGGGAAGGCCGGCCTGGCGACGTTGTCCTTAGGATCAATGATGACGGTGCCATGACGGGGATTGGCCAGGACGGCGGAGTCGCCCTTCTTCTTGCGCGGCTTGTGGGTCGGCTTTGACATGGTGCGAACGAGGTAGTCAGTCGAGGGGCATCGCGCGGAGCTGCGGGCAGAGCGCGTCCAGGTGGCCGGAGACGCGGTCGGGATTCGACGAGCCGGCGCCACCGCGGGAGCGAGTCAGTGCGGCGCAGAGCTTTCTCACCGCCTGCCGCTTGGGCTTAGTGCCCGAAATAATTTTGCGGTCGCGCGCTGATAAAGCTGCGACGCGACCCAGCAACCGATTTTTTTCTACCAGCAAATCTTCTCAACAGACTTCACCAATTCCTTGCTCCAGAGCACAGGATATCCTTTGCGGGCACATTTCGATCAGTGATCGGAATCTTACAGTGGGCTTTTGATCCAACTACATCTCGGTTCGTGGGCTACTATTCCTTGTGGGCTTATCGCGCTTCATTAGAGTGTGCGCGCAAGAGAGGAAACTCTCTGTGGGCTGTTGACTTCAGTGGGCTTTCGACTCGCGACGACGTCTCGGCCCTTGCGGGAACGCGCCGCCTTGACAGTCGCTCTGTGGGCTTGTGGGCTTGAGGGTTCCATCCGCCACGCGCGGACTCGAGGGCTGTGGGCTTTGCACACGTTTGAGAGATCCTGATGAAAAGCCTTTCCCATTGCGCCACACTTGGCTCAAGATCTCTCAGAGGGCTGTCGGCTTGAGCGCGTTCACTTGCGTGCTTCCATTTTCGCTCAATCCCTGTTCCAGCTAACCTTTCTCGCTCTTCAGTAGATCTCCACCGTCGCAATGGCCAAGGCTAAGACCGTCAAGCCTACCAAGGCTGCCGTCGCTGAGACTCCCAAGAAGGCTTCGGCCGTCAAGGTGGGCCGCGTCACCAAGTCATCCCAGACCCCCAAGGCTAAGGCTAAGGAGACCGCAAAGGCCGCCGCCGCCAAGACCGACAAGAAGAGCAAGAAGACGAAGAAGCAGCCCACTCCTGAGCCCGAGTCCGACAGCGACGAGGAGATGAGCAGCGACAGCTCTGACTCCAGCAGCGACAGCGAGTCCGAGGCTGAAGCTAAGCCTGCTCCCAAGACCAAGTCTCCCAAGACCAACGGCGCTGCTGCCAAGAAGGAGGTGTCCTCCGACTCTTCCAGCGAGAGCAGCGACAGCGAGAGCGAGGCTGCTGCCCCGGTCAAGACCGCTGCCAAGGACGACTCCAGCAGCGAGGAGAGTGACTCTGACTCCTCCGAGTCTGAAGCTCCTGCCCCCAAGAAGGCTGCTACTCCCAAGAAGGCTGCCGCCGCTCCTGCTTCTAAGAAGGCCGCTGCTAAGGCCGAGTCTGAGAGTGACAGCGACTCCGAGTCTGAGGCTAGCTCTTCCGAGGAGGAGGCTCCTAAGGCCAAGAAGGCTAAGGCTGTAAGTAATAGCTATCTAGATACTACTCTACTCGTACTAATCATTGAACAGGACTCTTCCGACTCCGACTCCGACTCCGACTCGTCCGATTCCGACAGTGATGAGGAGGCTTCCGAGGAAACCAGCTCCTCTGAGGAGGCGCCTACCAAGAAGCGCAAGGCTGAGACCGAGGCTGCTCCCGTCACCAAGAAGAGCAAGACTGAGGAGATTGTCGGTGGTTCTGCCAACCTGTTCGTTGGCAACCTGAGCTGGAACGTCGATGAGGACTGGCTCTACCGTGAGTTCGAGGAGTTCGGTCCCAAGGCTGTCCGCATTGTCACCGACCGTGACTCCGGCAGGTCCAAGGGGTAAGCAATCCAAACCACACAGAAAATTCCTGCCTGATATTAACGTCGTGGGTCAGATTCGGTTATGTCGAGTTCGAGACTGTTGAGGCTTCCACTGCTGCTCTCAACGCCAAGAAGGGCTCTGAGCTTGATGGCCGTGCCCTCAACCTCGACTACAGCACTCCTCGTCCCGAGGGCAACAGGGACCGCGCCAACGACCGCGCCCAGAAGCACGGTGATGTCCCCAGCAGGCCTTCTGACACTATCTTCGTCGGCAACCTGTCTTTCAACGCTACTCCCGACAGCGTCACCGAGCTGTTCCAGGAGTACGGCACCATCACCCGCGTTTCCCTGCCCACCAAGCCTGAGGACCAGATGCCCAAGGGCTTCGGTTACGTTGGCTTCAGCTCCGTCGATGAGGCCAAGGCGGCCTTCGATGGTCTCCAGGGTGCCGAGCTCGATGGTCGCCCGGTCCGCCTGGACTTCGCTCAGCCCCGTGACAACAACGGTGGTGGTCGCGGCGGCGGCGGCTTCGGTGGCCGTGGCGGTGGCCGTGGCGGCTTTGGAGACCGCGGTGGCCGTGGTGGCCGCGGCGGTCGTGGTGGTCGTGGTGGTTTCGGTGACCGTGGTGGTCGTGGTGGCCGCGGCGGTCGCGGTGGCTTCTCCACCAACCGTGGTGGCTTCGGTGACTTCCAGGGCAAGAAGATCTCTTTTGACTAAGCAATTATTCTACGCTCATGTGAAGGGTACTTTGAACGGTAAGTTTTGTATGGATACAGGATATGGTCAAGGTTTGGGGTCATGGTCGGGATTGGGTCAAAAAGTATTGTTTTGATTTTCGGAGGACACGAGCACAGTGTGTGCTAAGTATTGCTTTCCTCATTAGCTCTATACACCAGACAGTGGGTACGTGGCGGCAGGATGCAAAAACGCGCCTAATACAAGGTCTTTCTATCTGAAATGCTTATTGCAACCATGGTCGTACTGTCCCAGCGATATCAGCCAGCGCTTGGCATTGTGGGGTGTCCTCGGTGCAATTCCGACGGCCAATCCCGAATTGAGGAATGAACAATGTTCAGGACGCATGATTTTGGCAAGACTTCTGCTGTTTGTGGCGTGAGAGCAAGGCTGGCAGTCCTGAGATTGCGCACAGACCAAGAAAAAAAGTTCGGATAAGAACGAAGCCATAGCTCCTCCGCCCTGTCCGTCGCACTCCTCTATTTGCAGCCCAATCCCACCTCCCAATCGCTCAAAATGCCGAAGCGCAAGGCTGAAGGCCCCGCCGCCGTCAATGGCAAATCCAAGAAGCGTGCCCTTTCCGACGAGGAAGCGCGTTCCAACTTCCGCAAAGGTCTCTTTGACACCAAGGTGCTCGAAGATTATCAGCAGCAATATGCAGAGTCGCAACCGTACGATAGCATTTCAAACGAGCTGTTTGCGAGGGCCACCCACTGACTGAGCAATGCCCTTTCCAGATACAAGCACGCCGTGATCCAGAACCTCGTCGACACGAAACTGCTCCGCAACGTCCGCGACGAGATCCGGCAGCACATCTCGTTCACGCCCAAGGAGACGGACATCTACAAAATCCACCAGTCGGGGGACCTGGCGAACCTGGACGGGCTGGACGACTCGTCGCTGGCGAAGCTGCCGTCGCTGCTGCAGCTGCGCGACGCGCTGTACTCGTCGGCGTTCCGCAAGTACATCGCGGGCATCGCGGGGTCGGGCCCGCTCAGCGGCGTCAAGACGGACCTGGCCATCAACGTGTACACGCCGGGCTGCCACCTGCTGTGCCACGACGACGTCATCGGCAGCCGGCGCGTCAGCTACATCCTGTACCTGCTCGACCCGGACCGCGCGTGGCGGCCGGCGTGGGGCGGCGCGCTGCGCCTGTTCCCGACCGAGGACCTGCAGACGGACGCCGGCGACGACGTCAAGGTGCCGCGGCCGGACCACACCGTCGTCATCCCCCCGGCCTTCAACCAGCTGGCCTTCTTCACCGTCCAGCCCGGCGAGAGCTTCCACGACGTCGAGGAGGTGTACAAGCGCGCGCTGGGCGAGGCCGGGGAGGAGGTGGACGGCGGCCGCGTTCGCATGGCTGTGAGCGGCTGGTTCCACATCCCGCAGGAGGGCGAGGAGGGTTACGAGGAGGGGTTGGAGGAGAAGCTGGCGGAGAGGAGTTCGCTGCAGCAGCTGGAGAGCGGCGCCAAGGCGGCGCAGTTCGATCAGCCTCAGCAGAAGTGGTTCGAATATCCGGTCGAAGAAAAGCAGGAGGAGAAGGAGGAGGAAAAATCGGAGAAGAAGGGCAAGGGCAAGGGCAAGGCGGAAGAAGAAGAAGAAGACGACGAAGATGAGGAAGAACAAGCGCCTCTCACAGAGCAGGAATTCGAGTTCCTCCTCAAGTTCATGACGCCCACATACCTGGCGCCGGACACGGTCGAAGACCTCAACTCCATGTTCGCCGACGAGTCGTCCCTCCGCCTCGCCAACTTCCTGTCCAAGTCCTTCTCCGCGCGCCTGCGCGCCTTCCTCGAGGACCAGGACCGCATCTCGCCCGCCGCCATGCCCGCCCCGGCCTCGCGCGCGCAAAACACCGGCGTCGCCCGCCCCCCGCACAAGCACCGCTTCCTGTACCGCTACCCCGCGTCGCGCGATGATGATGACGACGCTGCCGTTGCGCACAAGGAGCTCTCCCCGTATGACGAGCTCCTCGACGTCTTCTTCCCCAGCGTCGCGTTCAAGAAGTGGCTCGCCCTCGCCACGGGGCTGACGCTGACAAAAGCCAGCATGCTGGCGCGCCGCTTCCGCCGCGGCATGGACTACACGCTGGCGACGTCATACGACGATGAGCAGCCGCAGCTGGAGGTCACGCTGGGCATCACGCCCAGCAAGGGATGGGGTGATGATGATGAGGAGGAGGAGGAGGACGAGGGAGAAGCCAGCGAGAAGAAGGACAAGAAGAAGAAGGGGAAGGAGAACGGCGAGAAGACGAACGGCACCGCCAAATCCGACGAGCCCTCTCCCGCCGCCGAGGACGATCCACCCGGCGGCTACGAGATGTACATGGCCGCCGACGAAGATGACGATGAAGACAACGACGACGCCGGCTCCGACGACGGCGTCGAGGTCGCCCCCGGCTCGAAGAACAAGTCCGGCGGCTCCACCATGACGGGCGCCGGCAAGCGCCGCAAGGCCGACCCGGCCGTGTACCGTGCCAGCGGCGGCGACGACGACGACGGCGTCCTGTTCAGCATGCCGGCCGGCTGGAACACCATGGGCGTCGTGCTGCGCGACACGGGCGTGCTGCGCTTCGTCAAGTACGTGAGCCAGGCTGCGAAGGGCGATCGGTGGGACGTCTGTGCGGATTTTGGGGTCGAGTTCGATGAGGATGATGACGATGAGGAGGGGGAAGGGGATGCGATGGAGGAGTAGGAAGTGGTGTAGTCAAGGTAAAAAAAAAAAAAGAAAAGAGGGGAGGGAGAGAGAGAGAATGGGGGAAGAGGACTAGTTGTCTGAAGCGGAGAGAATGTTCTACGTCCGCGATATGAAGATGTATCGGTGATGGGGAGATGGACGGATATGGGGTCGGGAGAAGCAATAATCGCGAATTACACAAAAAGCGAACCTTTGAAAGGGTTTCATATTTGACATGTAGGATACCCCTGACATGAGAAATGAGGGGATATACAGGCTCTGGGTATTGGGATATTATGGCTCTGTAAAAGAGAAGGGGAAAAAAAGGTTGTCTAAAATACAAAGAGTATAAAAAAGTCTTCTACGTCTTTCAATCGAGCCTAACGCCGTCCTAATGCTTCTTTCCTCCTCGAATATGTACCGTGCAAACAAAATACGCTGATGCTCCAAAGACAATTAAACAGTACGGACTAGATGGTGTACACCAGGCAAAAAAAAAAATTTAAGTGCTCGACTCCCTTCCCATCAAACCTCGTCCCCCATCTCCTCCAACGCCACAAAAATCCTCATGACCCGCTCATACGTCCACATGGTCACCGCGCTCGTCGGCGCCGCCTTGAGCAAACTGACCGTCAACCCACGATACAGCCCCCTCACGCCCTCCCTCCGCACAATCGCGGCGACCGTCGCCGCCACGCCGCGGTCATAGACGGGGATGTTCCTGTGCACGTAGCGGGCGCGCGTCGGGCCCTGGACCTGCAGGCGCTTGCGGACGGTGTCGAGGGGGAAGACGGCCGTCTTGGCGAGCACGCTGGCGGACATGCCGGCGACGGCGTCGCTCGAGGAGCCGGGGAGCAGGCGGAGGGCGTGGGCGAGGGGCTTGAGCGACTCGTAGGAGAGGAAGAAGAGGCCCATGTAGGGGACGATCTGGGTGACGGCGGCGCTGAGGCCGCGGAAGAAGCCGAGCGGCCCTTCTTGGCGGAGGATGGTGGAGATGGACGAGGCGAGGGTGGGGTAGATGCGTTCGGTTGGGCCTTGGGCGGCGAAGCGCGTGCGCAGGAGGTCGAGCGGGTAGGTGGTCGTTGTGGCGGCGGTGCCGGCGAGGGCGCCGGAGAGGAAGGTTACGAGGGAGGAGGGGAGGAGGGGGGTGTGGTTGTTGCTGTTGCTGTTGGTGTTGGTGTTGCCGCCGCGCGCGTCCTGGGGGTGGCGGGACTGGAAGGAGTCGCCTTGTATGGAGAGCGAGGAGAGGAAGGACGAGGTGGTGCGGTAGGCGAAGAATTGTACGGAGCCGTAACAGAGGTACATGGCTTCGGCTGGCACGTTGCCTTTCCATAGCCCGGTGACGCCTTCTTCGCGCAGGATGTGCTTGAGTGTGCCCAGCGTGCCTTTGTAGATGGGCCCGCCGCGGGCGGACGGGTGGGTGAAGGGGTCGCTGAGGGAGTGGGTTTGGAGCTGGAGGCGGATCTTTATGACGTCGAGCGGGGCGATGACGAATCTGGGGAGAGGGAGCGGACAGCAGCGTCAGCGTCGGGGAGCCATTGGCATTGCGAGGCGGGGAGTGGAGGCGCACCTGGATACCAGACCGGCAATGGCGCCTGCGCCAATGACCTGCCAGCGGGAGCCCTGAGTGAGAGTCAGAACCGTGCGCGCGTGGATGGTTTGGTGGGGGGAGGTACCTCATCCTTCAGCTGCTCGACCTTGCCAGACATACATCCAGCGGGATCCGGTAGCTCGCGCTGTGGTAGCTGGCGCAGTCAAAGAGGAAGCCGGGTGCGCAGGGAAAAGACGTGAGGCCTGGTGGAGGGGAGGGCGGCGCGGTTGTTGGTGACTGCGCGGTGTTGACGTTCGATAATCCGGCCGACGCTTATTCGCGGAATCCATGCTGGACTTCCCCGGCCTCCGCGCTCGCCAGAAAGCCTCGGCCGGCGTGGCTCTTGCTCGGCCGTCCCCCGCAGAACCAAATGCCAGGAACCGGCGACTAAAGTGTCAGTCCACCCGAACCAGACCCTCCTTAGCTCCGAACACCCACCGCCTCACACACCACACCACCGCCCTCTCTTTTTGCCCTTCATCTCCGCCCTCCGAGTTTCGGCTCGGGTCTGTCTTGTCTCAACCCTTTTCTTTGCACATCGAGCAGAAAGAGCAGTGTCTTTGGCACAGAGGAAAATGCTACGCCGGCTGTGCTCCGAATCCGGTAGACCTCGGCATGTCACTGCAGGGTTGCTGACACGCAGACGCTGTGTCCAACATGATGCATTTTCGTCCGGTATTTCGCGGCCTGAGAAGCAGCTCTGTGGTCCTGCTCCGTCTTTTGTCCCAAGGAGGAATGCTGTCCGGGTCAACGCCGTCCGCCACGTGAGCAGCAACGCCCTGCGCCAAGAGATTGAGGAAGATGCAAACAAGACCGCCACCGGCCATGGCCTGCCTTCCAGTCTGGAGCACGACCTTGATGCCCTGCGATCCGGAAAGCACGTTGTAGAGGAGACGGTCCAGCTCGGCAATCGAGAGAAGCTCCATCGCGCAGAGGCATCCGAGACGGTCGAGTTTGGCGTGCCCGTAGGGAGTTCCGGATTGACCTACCCGGCCAAGATGAACGCCGTCTTCGCGCGAGACAGCTGCACGTGTCCCCTGTGCGTCGACCCGTCCAGCAAGCAGAAGCAGTTCCAGACGTCGGACATCCCGACCGACATCAAAGCCACGTCAACCCTGGATCCCGACAAGCAGACACTGGACATCACCTGGACCAACGACATCCCAGGCTTCCCCAAGGACCACGTCACCCGCTTCGACCTGAAGCCCGCTTCCGTGACGTGCAGGGACTCGGTCTACCATCCCCTGGAGCCGAAGAACCGGCTCGTCTGGGACGGCAAGACCATCGCCGAGAAGAACAAATGGATCCCGTACGACCGCTACATGAAGGACGACTCGGTCCTCCACGAAGCCCTCGAGCAGCTCGGCCGGTACGGGCTCGTCTTCCTGACCGACGTGCCCGACAGCGAGAAATCCGTCGAGCACATCGTCCACCGCATCGGCATCCTCAAAGACACCTTCTACGGCCGCACCTGGGACGTCAAGTCCATCCCCAACGCCAAAAACATCGCCTACACGCACCAATACCTCGGCCTGCACATGGACCTCATGTACGTCACCAACCCCCCGCACCTGCAGCTCCTGCACTCGCTGCGCGCCCGCTCCCCCGGCGGCGCCTCCCTCTTCTCCGACTCGCTCCACGCCGCCTTCACGCTCGAGCGCACCGACCGCGCCGCCTTCGACGTCCTGGCCTCCGTCCCCGTCCCCTTCCACTACAAAAACGACAACCAATCCTACGCCAAGTGGCGCCCGACCATCGAGCTCGCCACCGGCCCGCAGCCCGCCAGCCTCGCCCCCAACCCCGCCCACGCCGTCGTCAGCGCCTCGCCCGCCGACCCCGTCCTCGGCACCTCGCTCGCCGGCCGCGAGATCCTCGAGGGCGTCCCCCCGCCCCCGCGCATCAAATGCATCAACTACTCGCCGCCCTTCCAGGCGCCGCCCTCGCCCGCCGCCCTCGCCGACCTCGGCCTCGCGGGCCTCGTGCCGTTCGCGCCCGCCGAACGCTCCTTCGCGGCGCTGCACGCGGCGCTGCGCAAGTTCGCCGCCCTGGTCGAGCGGCCCGACGCGTTGTTCGAGCACAGGCTGGAGGAGGGGCAGTGCGTCGTGTTCGACAACAGGCGCGTGTTGCATGCGCGGAGGGCGTTCGATGCGAGCGAGGGCGAGCGGTGGCTGAAGGGCGCGTATGTGGATGACGATGTGTTTTTTAGCCGGTGGAGGGTCTTGGCGGAGAGGGCGGCGGGGAGGGAGGGCGAGGGGGCTAGGGTGTGGGAGAGGTTGTATGGGGAGGGGAAGGTGTGAAGGGGGTTTGAACGACGGGGCGGTGGCGGCGGCGGCGGCGGCGGCGGTGGCGGCGGCCTTTGTTGATGGGATGGGGTTTGTAGAGCGGGGGAATTAGAGAAGGGGGCTGAGGCTTGGTGGTTGGGCCGGCGGCAGCGAGGCGCTGTAGATATTTGTATGTTGTCCTTCTGACGATATTTCGGTTGTTGCCTTGAACATGTAAATGATTGGATTGACGTGTAATATGAAACTCTTCTTATGGTGTGCGGACCTTTGGGACGAGCAACGGAAGTAGTTCATGGAGCGAAGAAGGCGGAAGGCGCAGCATCTGTCTTGTTGGTAGATGAAGAAATTGCCACTTTGCGGCACCATTGTCAAGAAGCAAACCTTGCCACGCGGTTTCATAGTTAATTCTAAGCCTTTCTATTGATCAATCTGTGACTCGCGAATCATGTTACGCTCCTCCTACCTGAACACTGAACAAATATCCGGACGTATTCACAAGTTTCAAAATCGTACAAATATGCTCGGATTCTAGTATCCACGTAAGAGTGGTGTGAGTCTGACATCCGAAAGAATTATGTAAATGCGGGTGGACTCGGTCTGTCTGCTGACCCTCGGGGTTTCCGCTGCCGGAAAAAAAAAGAAACGAAAAAAAAACAATGACCACCAAGACGAACTTAGACGAAAGACTGAGAAAAAAAAAAGCTACAGGAACAACACCAACAACAGTAAGCGAATCACCATAAGCTCGAACCTCGCCACCTCACATCCCCATCGCCGCCCACTCCCATGTCTCTCTCCAACCCATCACCCCAGCGCACGGAAGGAGGCGGAGAAAGACGTGGGGCAGGATTGACAACTTCCGACGCAGAGCAGAGTCGAAGAGTGACGTGTCGCCCAAATCACCTTCGGGAGTACGGACGGTTGTTGATAAAGTGCGGACAGGGCAGGCAAGTAGGCAGGTCATCAGCTTTTGTCTGATTGGACTGGACGAAGGGCAAAGAGTGGGTAAGGGGATGGAGGGGCAGCGAGAAAGACCAGAAAAGAAATGCAATGGGAAAGGATAAAAGCGAAAAAGAGGGGGAGACCGGGTTCCTACTGATCAAGCGATGTGTTCGGTTGGTCGGTCGGTTGGTGGGTGGGAGGGGGCTTCGGGGGATGGGAAGGATGGTGCGGTGGTATTGGTTGGAGATGGTATGGTGCGGCGGGATGTACGAAATAGGAAAGAGGAGTGCTTGATCGATGGTTGGATATGGAGAGAGATGCGGAGTGTGGATGTGGGGGGAGGAGTAGGGTGGCGGTGCCGTGTATGAAGGATTAAAGGCAAAAAGTTGCCTGATCCTGCTTACGCTGCCTCTTGGTTTTCATCGGTGCTGCCCAATAGCTGCGCACGGCGTGGTCTCTTCATGTTGTAGCACGTCGTCATGGCAGGGCTGGGACCCGGTCTGGACGGGTTCCAAGAGATCGTCAAAGAGATGGGATTGTGGTGAGGTACAAGGCAAGTGCTTGGTGTACAAGATCGTCCATTTGTTGGTTGTTATTCAGGTCCAGTCAGACATTGGTGTAGAGAGAATGAGCACTGCTCAGACAAGCGCGCTTTCACTGCTGCTCCACAGATCCATCTAGGATTGCTGAAAAATAAAGAAAGGGAGAGAAAAGAGGGAGGAATAGGAACCTTGTTTTCAATATCCTTGTTGTCAGTGCGTTTTTTTTTTCTGTGCGCGTGAGCATGGATGCGGGCAGTGATGCATGTGCGAATCTGGCGATAGTTTTGCAGGCTGGCAAGGGATATAGAAAAGGTACGTTATGCATGTCTTGTGGAAGCTGAGCAATATCGATGTGTATCGCGCAACCTCCCCCTTCCCACTTTTCAACTCCCATCAGGCATAGTGTACGGCGCACAAGAAGCAAGCAAAGGCAGCAGAAGGGGTTCTCGTCGTGGCCAAAGTTACTCTAAAGCGGTGCAAAGATCCCGGCGGTCCGATCGGAAGCAGGCAGATGGGTTACAGTCAGCTTGCACAGGTAATCTCTCTACCTTTCACTGAGAGCGGGGGGATGGAGGATGAGCATGGGACATCTGGGCTCCGGGATAGGGTCTCTGCCTCTCGACCACATACATGTGGCAACATTGGCTCCGCCGAAGTGCATGATATGCGTGCTCATTTTTCGATTAGTTAATGATCAGTAATAAGTCGCGGCACCGCGTCGTCGGCCCGGTCGGGTTCTTGCTTTGCAGTGTGGGGACTCTGTTCTTGTGCAACCACCAAGCCGGGCCGCAAAGGTAAGGGAGGGGTTGCGCGGCTGGCCCTGTTCGATCTGATTTGCTTTTTGTAGGGTTCAACAAAAAACAAATTAGGATTGCTCTCTCTGACTTTCCCAGCTGGGATGCGCGCGTCCAACGGTCGATCTGGGCTCTGCTGTGTAACCGTCACATGTGTCCTGTTGAACGAAGAAATCTTGCGTAATCAATTCTCCGATGTTTGAGACACTTACAACCTTGAACGTTCAATAACGACATGGACGCGAGGTTCAAGACTCCTTTGCGAACGAGCGGCGTAGAAAGCAAAGGGAAATGAGGGAGGGGGGGGGGACTCTTTGAGGCCTGAGAAGTTACATATTAAAGCTTTTGGAAAACAGCAGTAAGACGACGACATGCCGAAAGTTTAGAATGCAGAGGAACGGTTCGATGGCAGCAAATACAGCGAGTGATAGATGCTGTCGCATGCATTTTCCGAAATCGGAGATGCGCGAGCAGTCCCATTCTAGTAAACTCACAACGTCTCATTCCCAACTTCCCATGAGTGCTTTAGAGAGAGCAAGAAAGTACTACCCCCGCCAACGAAGAGCAAAGTAATGGTGGTTGGTTTTACAGCACCGTGATTATGTGCTTCTTTCTTCGACAATGATTTGGAACCTACGAGAGAATGCTGCGTGGAGCCCCAGGTTTCCGCAATTATACAAGCTGAGAAAGGACAAGGAAAGAAAACAGAGAAACTTCTTCCAGCCATCTCCAGCCATCTCCGAAACAGCCGCTGAAACAACCGCATATCTTACACAATCTGGTCAAGACAGCCATGGGTCAAGACGGGGACAGTCTTAGGCGTCTTCTTTTGCGGTGTCCGTTATGCCGGAGGGAGCGCCCATTCGCGCGCACTTTGCGTATCTGTGTCTGAGGCGGGCTCTCGTCCTCCGGCGGCGCGGCGTTGCGGCTTAGAATTCGGCGCTGCCGTTGCCGTTGTGGTGGCCGACGGTGTAGCCGAAAGCGCTGTTGTCCTGCTCCGACGTGTCGACGTCTCCGCTCAGTAGGTTGTTGTTGCTGGCACCCTCTGCACCGGCATAGGCGGCGGAGGCATTCGCACCGCCGGATGCGCTGCTCCCGGCCCCGGCAGCGGCATTGCCCTGTTGCTGATAGCCGACGGCAGGCTTGTTCTGATTTGCGAGGAGGGTCTCGAGGCGCCAATCAATACCAAAAGTTCAGATTATTCTTCGTCATATGCCAGAAAAGGATCGGCAACAAACGAAAGGGAAGGGGGCAGCTTACTTCGCGGTAGCGTGACAGGTAGATTTTCAAGGCTTCGGCGTAGTTCTCGAATCCAAGCGAGGTCATGGCAAAGAGGATGTCCTCGCCATTGACCGTCTTGCGCTTCTCCTGCTGGCACTTTTCGGAGGCTGGCGCCGAGTTAGAACGAGAGCTCGTCCGCCGGGGCAAACTTCACGGACGCACCTTCGCTGGTGATGAAGGAGATGAACTCGCTGACGCATTCCTGCATGCACTCCTTGGCCTCTTTGGCGATCTTCGCGTTTTCGGGCAGGGCCATCTTCATGATGCGGGCGACTGGCGCAAAGTTACGAATGTTAGCGTCGCTGGCAGCACTTTCGGGGCGGCCCTTGGAAGCATTCTGGGGCGGCGACTGCGATGACGGAGGAGATGCAGACGACATGGTTCAGGGCGGGCGCGGACCGTTTTTGAGCGACCGTCTGCTCAAGCGCTGATTCGAGGTATGGGCGTGGAGAGAGCATTCGTCGACGTGCAGGCGCGGGTTTGGGGCGCGCAAATCAGATGAGGGGAGAGGTGCATTTCAGACGTACCATTTGCTATAGGCAGCCATCGGTCCTGCTCCTTGACTTCGAACTCGTAGCCGAGTCCTTGCGCTTGTGTATCCTGAGCTTCTCTGTCCATATGCGGCTCCGAAGATTCGTCAGGCGACTGCGCTCCAGGTTCCACGTCCGACTTCTTCGGCGGGGTGGCCGACATGTTTATTCGGCCGGCTGCAGGCCCCTCGGAGCCTGACAGAGCTCTCTTGTGACGTGGACTGCCAGCGAATAGGTCTGCTCAAGCCAGCGCAGAGCTTGGGCGAGCCGGCCGAGTATGCGACCTGGGTGATGCGCGTCAAGGGCAGCCGGGGCCTGTGCGACTCGAGCCTGGACCGGGCGCTGGGGGAGTCGTGCGCCGTGGATGCCAGGAAGCTTCTGATGCAAGCGCTAATGTAGGATGGTATCGACGTGCAGGTGGAGCAGGGGACGATTTGGGCAGATCCGTCGAGCGTGGTGGCGCGTAGCTGCGCAATTGGCGAGCGTGCGACTCGGGCTGCAGGCGCGCGAACGGAGGCCTACTGGGTGCTACCGTCAGCCGCGAGGCGCGGCGAGGCGCGGTGCGTTGGACGAGGCGGGCGGGCTGCGAGCTGGCGACGAGGTACGACGGATGCGCTGGAGAGGGCGCGGGCGGGAGGAAGCCGTGCCAGCGTGCAGGTGTCGGGTTACGGCAATGGGCGCAGGTGGTTGATGGAGAGGACGTAGCGGCGTTCGCGGAGAGGGCAGGCAGGCAGGCACGCTACAGCACAGGCAGCCGGGACCAGATGGACGGCGACGCGGGAAGGCTCCGCCCGCCGGTCAGCAGCCGCGACAACAACAAAACAACAACAACAAACCCGCGCCCGCAGCCCAGGGCTGCATGCCGGACATGGAACCAGGGCCCGGTGACGACACAGGCCGCCCGCGAGGCTGAGCCCGCGCGACTCGTGGCCCCAGCGCCGAAGCCAGCCGCCCCCAGCGCCGCGCTCGTGCTGCGCATCCTCCACCGCGGGGTCCGTCGCGGCCAAGCCTCGATCTCCCTCGCGCTCAACAATTGACCAATGACCTGGCCCGTCCCGCCGCCAAACGCCCGCGTCGAGCCGCCCTGCCCACGCGTTCCGCGCCGCCATGCAGCGAGCCGCCCGCGCGAGGGCGTCGCGGGCAGTGGGAGCGTCCATCTGGCCTCCATCTGGGCCGGATAAGGGCTTCCCCCACCCCGTCTTCTGCAGTAGTAGTCCCAAGCGAACCGACTCCATACGCTCGGCCGTCAGCCTACGTCCTCGCGCGCCGCGTCTTGAGCCCGCCGGCGGAGGGGGAGGGGTGCACACAGCATGCAGCCACGGGTCAAAGCCTGCAGGACCAGACTGTCGGGGTCTGGCACACCACCCCCTCTCCGGCACGCAGAATGATGTGCTGTCCTCCGACTGCCGTCAGATTACTGTCTTCGATCCAAGCTCGCATGGCGGAGACAGCAGCCCCCCCTGGCAGCCGGCTTACTGCTCGACGTGGTCCGCAGGAGCGTCGTGGCTGCGGCGCACGCCCTGCTCTGCGGGCAACCTGCGATCCCATGACGTCGGCACATCCTTTTGGGGCCAGCCATACTATTGGTGAGTACCTGAATTGGGCGCGATCTCTGGGTACCCTATGAGCTGCCCGCCCACACTCGCGGAACTGTCTCTGAACGTTAGGCGGCGTTAAGGCGTCGATCCAGCTCTGGCTGCAGCTCCGGCCAACACATCCTGCAGCTGGCATCGGCGCGCATCAAGCCACGAATGCTCAGCCTTGTGCCGACAGCCCTAGGATTGCCCAAACCCATGCCGCCGTGGAACCGACGTCAGGAAAGGCCGTTGATCGGCTGGGCATCAGAGCGCTCGCGTGCAGAGATCGAGGAAGAGGCGCAGCCGCCTGGAGAGTTGTTGACTTCATTGTACAGGCTGCATGTCCGACTCGTGTGGGCTATGTACAGCTCATCCTCCGCGTTCAAGCTTTTGCGCTTCTGTTTCAGCACACCATCAGATGCTTGCAATCATGCCAGCAAAACACCTCATCGTACCCTCGACGTATGACGCTAGCAGAGCAGCATCGAGCTGGCCTCGGATCCACCGTTCGCATGGGCTGATCTCAGATTAAGTTCGCTGACAGCAGGTAATATTTGCCGTGAAAAAATTTGACAGCGCTGGTGGAGCACGCTTTCGCCCATGGTCCGCAGGATTCCGAGGTCAAGGTCTGTTTGACTGCAACGTCGCCCCGAGAGGCCGCCACTGCACGTTGAGTGGAGCCGGTGGGTGCTGCGTGTTCAGTATTATCATCCGTCTGTCACTACTGCTGCACGACCTGGATGTTGTTCTTTTTCTGGATAGCGACACGCGTTAGCATGCATGGCATCTGACGTCTGCCGAGGACGCGTTCCAAATCCGAAAACGTACCTTCCACTTGTCCATTTCCTCCTGCTTTGACTTGTACTGCTTCAGCAGGTCCTCCAAAACTTTCTTCAGGCCCTCCGAGTTTGTCTTCAGCGCCGGTACCACATCCTTCACTGTTCTCTCCACCAGCACGCCGTTGATCATGCGAAAGCATTTCCGATCTTCGGGAAGGGGCTCCAGGGTCTCGAGAACTAGCCTGACGCCATAATCAGTGCTACAGTCCGTCAAGTTTCTCGGCTCGGGCGGCGGGAAGCGGTGAGCATAAGGCGAGGGAGGGGCGCCTTGAGCAGGGACGGGATGCGAAGAAGCGGTGTGATGGCCTGGGAGGTGTGCGGAATGGAGATATGGTCTCGTACTTGTGCTCTTCGGTTTCCTGTTCGACATCGCCGATCTTCTGTGCGAGCTGTTGGAGAATGTTTTTGTAGTTTGAATATTGAACTTGCAGCTCTGCATCAGGCGTTAGCGTGAGGCTCATGGAGCTCTTCCGTTCGAACAAGGCGCCGTACCTTGCTGCTTCTTCTGCGACATGGGCTGCGCCATTGTTCTGGAGCTTCTGCTAGGGTGTTGCGGCAATGCCGTCGTCGAGGTGCGGGAGGCTCGCGGTAGGTGATGGCGGCGGGCGGAGTGCGGGACGGACCCAAAGGCGGGATGAAGCACGGCCTTCTTTCTCGCCGGTCGAATCGCGACACTTCCAATCACCGCATCCTCCGCCTTTCAGCCCACACCCACCCAGCATCCTGCCCTGATCTACTCTGCGTCAAGAAGCCCACGCGGATCATCGCACCCCAGGCTAACCTCACTGCCGCCCGCGCGCCCGCCCAACATGCATCCGCATCTGCACACCAAAGACAACAAAGGTCCCCAACCCGCCGTTTCCCGACCCCCCCGTCATGCGATCGACTGACACCGGCGCCGTGTCGCAGCCTGCGAGGAGGTCATGAATGCCCTCGACGAATGCCACGCCCGCGGCTTCCTCTACAAGGCCGTCGGCATGTGCAACAAGCCCAAACACGCCGTCAACATGTGTCTCCGCGCCCAGCGTCTCGAGCGAACCAAGGCGAACCGCGAGCAAGCGAAGATCAAGCGCGAGAAGATTGACAAGGTCTGGGCCGAGATCGACGCCAACACGTAGATTGGACGACGTGTCCCGAGGGGACGTGTGTATTCGGGTGTAAGATATCTGGCGGAGAATGCATGGGCGGCGTATGGGTATGGGAAGTTTGGCAAAACAGTCACAAGGCAATGGAGTTTCACCCGGGAAATATGTAGGTGCAGAGATGGAGGAGATTGGAATCGGTCTGAAGATTGGAGCGGTATCGAGTCTTTGGTCGAGAACGTCCTGGAATGTTCGTCATTCTCCACTCCGCAAGTAGGTACAAATTACACAAGAGCTGAGATGACTTGAGGGAGATGGTGCGCATGGCGGCAATGCATTCACGAGGAGGCAGCTTCTTTGCTTAGGGTATCACGCATCATCCTCATTCGTACGCTTATGCCTGGAGATACACAGATTGGACGTGTCGACATACACAAACGTCAGTCCGTACAGCTCCTCCAGCTCACATACGTCCTTCCTGCCGAGGCGTTAGGCCTCTGCCCAGCGCTCTTGTGAGTCTGTGCTCCTTTTTGTCTTGGACACTTCGTTTCCTACATTCGCTTCGGCGCCTAAGGTCGTGTTCGCACGGTGTTTCGCTCAGATAGGGAACTGCAATGGGGCAGCCCACGTCCATCCAACCAAGGATTGAGCAATATCAACGATCCACCCCCCGACTCAGGCTTGCTTCGGCTCACAGCACGCTGTCTGCTAAGGCTCCGTGACCGGCCGGCTGCGATCCTTGCTTTGTGCTCCTGCCAAGCGTCCCGAATAGGAAGGTGCTTCATAGGCCCCCGACGGTCAAACGAGCCAAGAGATCCGTCTACCAAGGACATTCCTCCTCTGGTTAGGCGAGACCCGCATACAAGCTCAACGGACTGATCGCTGTGCTGTGTACAAGATTTTTTCGCCCTCATATTGGTCCGACTCTCTATTGCTCGTAAAGGCCGCCAAGTGCATGATAGCACCAGATGCTGTGAAGCATTTGCCAAAGTGCTTGCCACCTCGATGAAGGAGGAGCCAAGAGACTTGGAATAAATGTTACGATCGGAGGTCAGCGACGGTTGTTGGTATAAATTCTTCTACAGGTTGATGTTTTGAAACAGCGGGATCCACCTCTTCATCCAGTCTTTCGTCTGAGTTCAGGTCTTGACATTTTATTCTCTCTCCGCCGTCGCCATGAAGGTTTCCACTCTGTTTGCCATCGCCGCGGCTGCGGCCGTTTCTGCGGCTCCGCTCGCCCCGCGTGCCGACGAGGTCGCCGAGCCTGAGAAGTTCCTGCTCAAGCTGAGCGACTCGGAAGAGAAATGGGTTACCGAGGACGAGAAGTGGGAGCTGAGGAAGGTGTGTGATGTCTGATGCGCAGGACCGACGACTGAGAAACTAATTCAATGCAGGCTGGCGTCAACTTTTTTGACAAGACCTGGACCCAGGCTGCAAAGACCGAGTCCAAGGCCAAGCGTCAGGCCGTCAGCTACCCTACCACAGCCAAGTTCACTTCTGCTGTCAACACTCTGATCAGCAGCCTCTCGACGTCAAACATGCAGACGAACATGCAGGGGCTTACTGGGTTCACCAACCGTTACTACAGGTCCTCGACTGGCTCTCAGGCTGCTACTTGGCTCAAGAACCGCGTCCAAAGCACCATCGATGCTGCTGGTGGCGGCGGCACCGTCGAGTTCTTCACCCACTCCTGGTCGCAGAGCAGCATCATCGCCAAGGTTCCTGGCAAGAGTGAGGCGACCATTGTCGTTGGCAGCCACTTCGACAGCATCAACTTGAACAACCCGAGCAGCGGCAGTGCGCCCGGCGCCGACGACGACGGCAGCGGCTGCGTGGCCAACCTCGAGATCCTCAAGGCCTACCTCGCGAGCAGCGCGGTCAGGAACGGCGAGGCCGAGAACACGGTCGAGTTCCACTGGTACTCGGGCGAGGAGGGCGGTCTGCTCGGCTCGCAGGCCGTCTTCGAATCGTATGCCAGCGACGGCCGCAACGTCATTGCCATGCTCAACTTCGACATGACGGGCTACACTGCGGGCATGACCAATGCTGGCGTGGCCAAGTCGCTGGCGGTTGTTACCGACTACGTCAACACGGCGCTCAGCAACTTCGCCCGCTTGATGATCAGGACGTACACCACTCTGCCCATCTCCACCAGCACCTGCGGCTACGCTTGGTAAGTTTGAATCCCGGAGTTTGTGCTGGAGTCGTCGTTTGCTAACCAGGTCTGCAGCTCCGATCATGCCTCGGCGACCGATGCCGGCTTCCCTTCGGCGTACATCTTCGAGAGCCCTGACGAGTACTCGTCTCCGCACATCCATACCACCCAGGACACCATCAGCACTGTCGACTTTGGCCACGTTCTCAATCACGCAAAGGCTGGTCTCGGCTTCGTCTACGAGCTTGCCTTTAGCAGCTTCTAGAGCCGGACGGGTATGTGTGAGAGAAAAAAGCGTGCAGAGTAAAAGAGGAGAAAAGAGACGGGGAGCAAAGCGTGGGTAGACTCGCCCGTTCATGATCATGTACATAGTTATGAATGAAAAAATAAAATGATTGACATGTATCATTCGCTGCCTTGTCGTTTTACATGTCACATGGTGGGTGTGAGAAGAAACTGACCCTACCTAAATCTATCTCCGTCCCAGGCTTCTGTCACATTCGGCCTGACTTTGACATGGTTGTTATGGAGACGGCAGCGCAGGCTACCGCGGAGCATGGTGGAAGCGGACGGAGCTGCGGGCTGGGGCGCCGCTGTCTCAGGTGCAGTCACTGCCTTGAGATGATGCTGGCGCTGTGGGGAAAGGCAGCCAGGCATCATTGGCGCGGAGGCGAGGATCCTCGGCGCCACATCGCGGGCCCACGCGTTGATTCGCGAGGCGCGTTGCTGGGGACCTGACGTCCGTTGCCTCGACCGTCGATGCGTCGCCGCCCTGTCACCTTCGTTACACAACCTTTCCCTTGGAGCCTTCGTCCTCTCGACCGCCCGCGCAAGAATTTGCAGCGCCTTCGACGGCCGCGCGCCCCGGCTCGATCCACGGCCCACCTTGTTCTTTGCGCCGCCGCCGCCGCAATTGCCTGCATCCGCATCCGCCGTCAAACTGCTCCCGCCCAGCAACGAAAGTCCCGCATTGAGAGCTCATGAACGCCTGAGCGTTTTCGCCGCCTTGTTTCGCGTCAACCACGCGTGCGCGCCGCGCCGATTTCGCCCTCGCCGTGTCACCCAGCTCGCCGCGCCACAGCTACAAGCCCATATAACCGGTGCGGGAACATCGCGGCCAAGCTGTGCAGCACCGCACGCCGAAATCGAGGGAGCGTGCGATATTCCGAGGGTCGCCTCTGTCTAGCCACTCGAGCGCCGCTTTTGCAGCCTCGCGACTTGGGCGTGCGCAACTGCCGGCGGCTGTCGCAAGCTGCAAGTCAAGTCCGAGTACCGCTACTTGGGAAGAAATACAAGACATTCAACTTTCCTGCCGCGCAATCCCCACCACACCCCACCCGACTTTGCGACCGAGCTACACTCTACGACCGACACCCTTCTGTCGTCTCTGTCATTCGGCATCGCATATTTCCTCTACGCCCGGGGTGGACAAGGGCGTGCATAAGAGACAGGCATCCGAGAGCCGCACAGCTCTGGTCGACCATTGAGCGTTGCCGATAAACTCCCGATTCGGTCCTTTGCTTCCTGCTGCCTAACCTTCGTCTGCCGCAAACGCTTCAGGTATGTATGTCTTTTTGCTTTGCTCTTAGTAGTAGCCGCTCCATCTTCCTCTGTCCGTCTCTCGCCTCTGCCGCCCTCGTCCCACCGAAGCTGCGACCCAAATCTTGCAATTGCAAGTTCATGTCTCACACTTCGTCCATGTTTGACCATCTGCAAACTTGCCGTTGCCGCGACGCGCTAATCTGTTGCGGCGAGTAGTATCCAGCATGGATGAAGAACCCACCCAACCCGCCACGCAACAGGTCATCGACCCGCGTCGCCTTGGCCGGAGCATATCCGGCCTGGGCGACGACGTCGCAGACATTCTATGCATTCTCACGCCGACCTCGCGCGCCGCCTTTCAAATCGTTGAAAATACCGCTAAAGAAGCTCCCCAGCACGTTCTGCAGAACCAACCAATCAATGGCTATCAGCCCAACACCCAACCCTTCAGTCAGAGCTTAGAAGAGGCCGAAACCTTCATCCTTGACCCGCATGACCTCGCCCTGAGGTTTTCGTCCTCGTGCAAGCAGCCATGGCACGGCTTTTGCTTCGGCCGCAATCCAAGCATGTGCGACGTCATCCTACCTGTTAGCCCCGACTCGGCCAAGAAGATCAGTAACCTCCATTTCATGATCTACGTCAACAAGCACGGCGTCCTCATGTTGGAAGACGCATCCATGAACGGAACCTTGGTCGACGACGTCCACCTCAAGGCCAGGACAAAGGATCCTCTGCACCAAAGGACGAAGATGCTGCAACCAGGCTCCATGATCACACTGCTTTCAACCACAGACGATGAGATGATCAAGTTCATCGTCCGAATCCCGGACCATACTGGGTTCGAGGACGAGTATGCGGAGAACCTCAACAACTACATGGCTAATGTTGAGGAACAGAGGCTGGCAAAGGGAAAGCCAGCGCGTGCGCAGAATGAAGGCCTGATCTCCCGACGGCCTGCGGTCAAAGCTGTCAACACTTTTGGCATGCACTGGAACGGCGGTCGCATCTACAACGTCATAGACATTCTTGGTAAAGGAGCCTTCGCCACAGTCTACAAGATTGCAAAGGCAATGGACGGCCAGCTTCTAGCAGCAAAGGAGCTCGAGAAGAAGCGCTTCATGAAAAACGGCCATCTCGATCAAAAGCTCGACAACGAGATGAAGATCATGCAGTCGCTTGTTCATCCCCACATCGTCCAGTACATCGACACGCATGACGTTGGACACCACCTCTACATCATAATGGAATACGTACCCTACGGAAATCTCTCAGACCTGCTCACCGGGGGCAGATGCCTGCCCGAGGGCATCGTCCAAAGAATGGCTTGTCAAATCTTCAGCTGCCTGGCCTACCTTCACAGCAAGAGGATCACGCATCGCGACATCAAACCTGACAACATTCTCATCGCCTCAGAATCGCCTTTCGACGTCAAGCTTTCTGATTTCGGCTTATCCAAGGTAGTCACGAACAACGAGACCTTCCTCAAGACTTTCTGCGGTACGCTGCTCTACTGCGCGCCCGAGGTCTTCCCGCACTACGACAGCCGTGGCAACAAGAAGCGTCGCAAACCGGGTGAGACAAAGAAGAGGTTCCATTCCTACAGCCAGTCGGTCGACATCTGGTCTTTTGGAGCCGTACTTTGGAGCTCTCTCTGCGGAAGCCCGCCCTTCGAGGGTGTCATGGACAACACTGGCCGCGCCATGTTCGACAGAATCATGGAGACTCCTCTGGATCCTACGCCTCTGCTGGACCTGGGAGTCTCAGACCATGCCATCGATCTACTGACGACAATGCTCAGGACTGATCCCGCACAGAGACCCACCGAACTGGAATGCCTCAGACATCCTTGGCTCGCCGGCCTAGCCAGAGAGATCGTTCCAGAGATCGTCCAGTCCGATCTCAATGCTATCCCCGAAGAGGACGAGGAAGACGACGAAGTCGCGGCAAAAGCAGCCGAAACTCAGCTTTCGGAGCTCAGTCTCAACGACAGGAAGGCAGGTTGGGGACTACCTAGCCAATGCAGCGACGACGAGGATGAGGAATACGGCGAAGAGCCCGAGCCCGAGCCAATCAACCCACATCAGTCCAAGCGCCCTCGCGTCCGCCGAGACCACCAGCCCTCAAGGTATCCGCTGCGCAACTTGTCACGTATTGAATCAAGCCCTGAAGAATCCCAGAACCCCGTGGTAAGGACGTCTATCGGCATCAACTCGTCCATGGCTTCTCGACTAGCCGCTCGTGGTCGTGGCCAGCTTTTTGGTGAGTTTGGCAAGAGTACGGTGGGCAAACCTCGAACGCTGGACGATGAGACGAACCCCGCGATGGCCGTGGACGATGATGATTCGAGCGAAGGCGAGACTCCCGACAAGAGCCCCAAGGCCAACCAGTCCATTAAAAGACGTAGTAAGACCCCGGTTGAAAGCCAAGGCACCCCACGCAAAGACCCTCGTGGCAACAAATCTGCTGCTAGTCTTGATGGTGCTGAATCCATGGTCAAGAAATTGACAGTCCATGACCAATTCGAACCGCATACCCCTCACACACCTACTGGCAGTGTTCCAGGGACGCCGTCTCCGTCTGAGATCCCCAAGAATAGGCTTAACGATTCGACTACTTACGGTTCGCAAGAACAGACACCTAGACCAACAACAAACACCAAGTTCACTAGGGAGATAAAACTATCCCCACCGGGGTCGTTGTACTACGACCCGTACGACCCTTCTACCCACAACTTGGAATATGCGGCAATGATCAGCGGTAAAGACTTCGTCTCTGGCCGTAACGGGTCCGTGACTTCTCTCCCGTCAACCCATTTCCCATCGGACGCAAGCGAACAAGACGCAGATGAAGACGACAAGGATGATGTCGAAGGTGGGATGGGTGGAGCTGTTCACTCACCGCCGGCCGCAGATCCAAGCTTTCGTAAACCATCCACTCCCCTTGGAAAGCTGACGACTACGGACGACTCGATCGAGAAGGTGTTTATCAGACTCGACAAGCGGGTGGAAAGCTGGGGTCGCGATCCTGACAATACGCATCACTTTGAAGACAACAACAGGCTCATTCCAAGGAACGCCTTCACCATCTGGTTCTACTCACCGGACATCAACATGGACGCTTTGCTAAGGGAGGGCGAGGACTGGACAAAGATACCAGACCTCAAAGTGGCCATCCACACCAACTCGAGGTGGGGCATCACTGTCAACAACGCACGCATCGACCCTCCTAAGCCGGATGGCAGCTACTCTTTCGGCCACCTTCACACGGGCGACGTCATCACAGTCTTTGACTCGGGCAGGACGAAACTCAAGTTTGTCTGCGAGTTTTCGGTTGGCGAGGCGGCCAAGCGTCGTCCTGAGGGATCGAACTTCCCGGTTTTTCACACTCTGCCTAAGATGTACTGGGCATGATGAGCCCATATTCGTCGGCGGGGGGTTTTTTCTTCTTCTTTTTTTCTGTCTTTTCTCGATCTTCAACCCAAGGGTTTCTTCTTTCATTCTTCTCGAGATATCCGGGCTGCATTCAGAGGTGTATATGAAGGTTTTTGGTGGAGATTCTTTCCTTTTTTGTGGGCTTTCTTTTTCTAGCGATGATAAGGGTGGAATGATTGAACCTCTCTTGTCGATTTCTTTCTCATTCCACAGGCACTTGACAGCGAGCGAACCCTTTTTCCTTATTTTTTTATGAGCACGGTGGCGGCGGGTATACCACAGTACAAGCGAGTGAGCACATGAGAGTTCCGAGATGGGTCGCGCCAGCAGATTGTTCGGATGCGCCAGATACAGTCGGAGATTGAGTTGAAAACAACACAAATAAATTATCATACATTTAAGGGACGCTGATCTCTTTGACTCTTTAATACAACATCAAGTTATGCGTGCTTTTTTGATAGAAAAAAAAACCCCTCTTTGGATTTGTTGTCGTCGGCGAATCGATGTGTGAATGGAAGAAATTTCGAATATATGCACATACACGAGTCGTCGGTTATTATACTAGATTCATACACGTAAAGGCCATTCGTGCCCATCACTTCAACACACTCCCGTCGAAAAGTCTCGAGAGAGTAGAGGAGAGAGACCCAAGGCGGGAAACAAAGAAAAAAGGAAATAAAACGGAGGAAAACCCACCTGCACCACCCTCGCGGGTCACACGTGTCTTTCCCATGCAACATGCAAACAACAACACCACCACCACCAACTGCTACTATCATTTTTTCCAGCCCAGACCCACCACCACCACCACCACAACAGCAACAACAAAGACCAGAAGATGGAAAAAAAATAACCCCCCCCCCCCCCCCCCCCCCCCCCCCCCCCTCACGCCTTCACCGGCGACGGCTTCTTCCCACCGCCGCGCACCCACGCCCACTCCGGGCCATCCCTGCTCAAGACCTCGTCGACGCCCCTGCGGACGCCCTCCTCCAAGCCGACGATGGGGCGGTAGCCGAGCCTGCGCTTGGCCTTGTCGATGCAGTAGTAGCGGCGCACGGTGCTGTAGCGGACCTGGTCGCGGGTGAGGTTCGGGGTGCGGCCGAGCAGCCAGCAGGCCCACTCGAGCAGGGCGCCGACGGGCATCATCAGGTCCTTGGGCAGGACCCAGGTGCTCGAGGGGGCGACGGGCGGGCCGGCGCGGCGCCAGACGGCGCGGGCGAAGTCCCAGAAGGGGACGGGCTGGTCGTTTGTGACGAAGAAGGCCTCGCCGTCGACGCGCTCGGTGTCGAGGGGCAGGGTCGGCGCGAGGGCGTGGGTGGCGAGCAGCGCGGCGGCGGCGAGGAGGTGCGCGTGCGCGACGTTGCCGACGTAGGTGAAGTCGAAGAGGTTGGTGTTGTCGCCGAGCTGGAAGCGCGACTGGCCGCGGAAGTAGGCGCCGAGCATGGGCGGGATCAGCTGCACGTCGCCTTCGCCGAAGATGCCGGCGGGCCGGATGGCGCAGGTGAGGAGCGGCGATTTCGTGTCGTCGCCGGCTGGGGTCTTGCGGTTGGCTTCGAGGACGGCGGATTCGCCCCATGCCTGGGTGGTGGGGTGGGGAGTGTCAGCGTTTGGCTTTTTTTTTTCTTCCTGTTTGCCAACAGCGGCCAATTGCTTCTTCCTTCAGACGAAGGGCGGAAGGAGACGAAATGCACTCACCTTCGTCGTCGTATAGTAACTCGGCTGTCCCTCGCCCGCCACAATCGGGTACCTCTCGTCCGCATTCACCAGCTCAATCACGCCATCAAACACCACGCTCGCACTGCTCGTATACACAAACGCCTTCACGCCCCCCTTCCTCGCCGCGTCCAGCAGGTTCCTCGTGCCGTCCAGGTTCACCTTGCGCAGCACCTCGTCGGGCACGCCGACCGCGTGCGGGCTCGCCGTGTGGATGACGACGTCGGCGCCGGACAGCTTCGTCGCGAAGAGCTCGTTCAGCGCGGCGGCGTCGGTGATGTCGCCGTCGTGGTAGGATGCGTTGGGGAGCCGGTTGGCCGTTGTGCGCAGGTCGAGCACGGACACGCGCGAGGATGGGTACCGCTCGCCCAGCAGCTTGACGATATGGTGGCCCAGGAAGCCGCAGCCGCCCGTCACGACGACGTGGCCGAGGGATTTGTTCGGTGTTGCCGTCATGCTTGCTTGCTTGCCGTTTTTTCCGGGGGGCGGGAGGGAGAAATGGGTCGGGCGGGGTGGAATTGGGAGCGGAGCAGGTTGTTTTCGAGAGGTTGTTCCTGGGGTCGGAAAAGAGTTGGAAAGGTCATCCCCGGTCAGGCGGTGCGGTGCGGAGTGCGGCGTGGCCACACCATTTCCCCGGAAGCTTGGACCCTGACTCGCTCGCTCGGCATTGGCGCTCTGGGGCAAAAGCTGCACGACGCCGATCGTATCCATGGTCCGGTTTCGAATCTGTTACTACGCTTCGAGAACGGTGGATTGCGAGAAAAGGATGAGCAGCTCCTTCTCAATTATATAAAACCTCTTACAGTGACATCGCATGCCCTCCTCAACGTTTCACATCTAAATTTTTTTTTATACACGTCTAGACGTCACTATAGAAAATTACCAGATCGGTTCGCTCAGTATCCAAACAAGCTGACGGAGTAGCTAAAAACGCCTGCCTGATCGGATGCTCTTCTTTGCAGATATATGCTGTGCGTTCACGCCCAGATAGACGCTCGGACCGCCGACTGAGGAGCTCTTGGATATCGTTCCCTTATTTGTCATAGTAGATAATGAAACAGTGCCGACTACTATGTACATGTACTGACATAGAGAAGGAGATTCTGCCATAGTCGATACCTCTATCGTCTGAGAAAAGGGGGAGGAAAGGAGAAATGAGACAATTAAATCGATCCTTTGTGTCATAACCCTCCGAGAGCATCCCACCATCGGACGGCATGGTGTCTTCAACTCAAAGAGCACAGCATCAAGGAAAACTACCCAATCTGGCTCCTGCTGTCTCATTCAAAACCCATCCGTCCAAAGGTCTCTTTCCCCACCACAAGTCTCTAAGTTACGCCGAAGCAAATCGAGCACTAAGAAATGAGATTGTGACTGCTGTTGCTGATGACGATTACGATGACGATGGTGTAAAGTTTCAAAGATCGTTACGCCATGAATGGAAAATCCCATACGGATGCCAATATGGAAGACAAGTAACAATGAAAAAAATAATTAGACAGGCTCGCGTTGATGAACGGCAACCCAAGCACATACACCCACACCCAAAATGTCCAAAAAAGAAAAAAAAGACATTGCTCAGGTCCTCTCTACTCGAGCGCCGGACCAGCAGCGCCGATTTGACCTTTAGCGGCCAGCACGCTGTTGAGTGCGTCGCGGATTTCGAATTCCTCGATAACGGCACCGAAACTGCTCGAACAATTAGCGAAACTGTGCCCGAAACCAACTTCTTTTCCGTAGCCCCTTGGCAAGTGAGAGGTGCAAAGGAAGACAAAACTCACCCATAGCATCGCACTTTCGCCAAAAGGTCGTTCTTCACCGCCTCGATGTCCTCCTTGACCAGCTCTGGGAAGCGCGGATCCTGGATGATGGACACCCAAGCCATGACGGGGGTGATTTCGCCTTCCATGGTGGGCAGGCGGTGCGATAGATCGAGCAGCTTCATGAGGTCCGGCTGCGAGACGTCGAGCATCTTGTGCGGGTACTTCTCCTCGGGATTTTGAGCGATGTGTGAGTGCGGAGGGCACGTCTGCATGAGGGCGTGGCCCGACACGTCCGCCTCGTTGTCCTCGGCCCGTACCAGAAGGAACTGCATGTGCTCCATGCACGGCTTCTCGAGACTATTGCGGCGAAAAGACGAGGGTGTCGTATTAGAATGGCGTTCTTCTTTTTGCTTCTTTTTTGAACTGAGGGCGGGTTGCGAGTCGAGAGACGGGAAAAGAAACGCAAAAATGAGGGAAAAAAGGCCGCTGAACCTACCTCATCCGGGTAGGTGCATGGCGTGTGGCTGATGGATTTACAAAAGGCAGTTGTGCTGCCGTGGCTATTGCGGCGGAGGAGAAAGATAGGGTGTGCGGTCGTACGTTAGGACAAAGTCTATGCCTATCTGGTCATAGTCCATGCCGGTCTGAGCCGGTTGCAGTTGGTTATGTTGAGGTGGGATTCCCTGCATGGGCAAGCCGGGAGCAGTGCGTGCGGGCATCGACGGCGGCGGCGATGTGTAACCTGTCGAGGCGGTACCTGCATGGTAGCTCCCAGAGACACTACCACGCGAACTTCCTCCGTAGCTGGAGCCTGCCATCTGCTGGAAGACACTGGCGGGGCTGTTGGAGTCGAAGGGGATTCCGTGAGCGGCGAGAAGCTCTTTCAAGCGACGGTTCTCCTCTGCAATGGCGTCACGCTCGCGAGCTGTGTTACCGAAAACATCTTTGAGGCGTAGGACTTCTTGTTCAAGGGCCTTGATGTACATCTCTTTCCGCTCACGATGTGTCCTGTGTTGCCAATGAGACGGAGCTGTGCGGCAGAAGATGAAAAACACTTACCGCTGGGCTTGGCGATTGAGCTCTTGTCTGCGGGTCAAGGCGGGCTTGCTGTCGGGCTTTGGACCACGCCTCTTGGGCGGTTGCCCATCTGCATCGGCGTCAACGGGGCAAGAGGAAGCTGGAGGCTTGTGGGACTGACCTCTTGTCTTTTTGTCGCCGCCATAGCCTTTGAAGAAAGGAAAGTTGGATAAGGGCCCTTTGGCCGATGGGTCGTCTTCTGTGAAAGAGTGCGGGCTGTTTCTCTCCTCACACTGAACTGGTCCTTCCGCCGCACTCTCAGCCGTGCCGTCATCCACATGGGGTCGGGATGGCGGATTGGGAAAGGCTGCGGCGGTGGCCAGTTCGTGGGGAAAGAAGTCACCACACGCAGTTAGCGTGCTGGCCCAAGAAGAGTGCGATTGCTGAGGGACCATCATATCGCCGGTGAACAACACAAGAGAAAGACAGACAAGTGTTTGTTGGCAGCGGGAGGCAGATGGAAAGGAGAAGAGATTGCGGGGACAGGAAGGGCAGATGAAGAGGGTTCTTGACGTCAGATGGCGGTGGAACGCAACAGGTGCCATTGAGGTGACAGCGGCTAGACAGGCAGAGGGGAATTTGTCACGGGAGGTAACGGGCAGAGGCACGGCGTAGCGTCGTGGGGGCGGGCAAGTGAGGCGGGCGGCGACGTGCACCGCAACATGGGGAACAGCAAGGCGGCGAAGGAGGACTCACCGAAGCCGTTGGCCGAGGCGGCGAATGCGGCGTCCATGGCGTGGTTCTGCGAAAGCTGGGCCATGGCTTGGTGGGCGGTGGTGAGGACTGGGGCGCGAGGTCTTTGGGGCGAGGGTGTCGGAGTCGGGGTTGGGTTTAATAGCTCAGGCAGGCACAGACAGGGCGGGCCAATCGGGAGGGTAGCGTGGGCCTGGGGGCAGCGGATGGACGTCTGACAGAGCTGGGGCGCAGGGCAGGCGTTTGCTGGCGGGCGGCAGGGCGAGCGCACACGGCTAGGGAGCAGCGCTCGCACAATATGTCAGCGACAGCAGGCGTTTTGGTGTTGCCAGCAGCGTAGAGCGATATTTGGAATTGCTGTGTCTGGCTGCGCCAGGCGGGAGCGGAGCTGGGCGCGGGCCGTGCTTGATCCCAGCGCATCCCCGTCGCGCCTGCCCGAGTGCTCATCTCAGCGCGGGGACGCAGTCCAGAGAGCGTGCCGGGAGCCGGGAGCCTGCGCGCTGCCTCGCGCTGCCTCGCGCCGCCTCGCGCCCCAGCCGGGTGCATACGCAGGGAGAAGCTCCCACGCCGCCGCCGCACATGCGCCCATGACGCGCCGGAAATGGCACCTCTCGCTCGTGCTGATTGGCGGGGCCCGGTCCGGCCAAGCCCCCCGTTGCTCCCCCGTCTGGCTGTGCACGGCTGCAGCGCGCAGCCTGGGTGCCTGGGATCGCGGCCGATCAGCGGGCGAGGCGATCAGCTGCGATCCCGGCCCATATGCCACGCCGTGACGCCCCGAGGCTGCCTCAGCCACCGCGCAGCCAGCCCGCAGCCAGCCCGCCGCCTGCGCCCACGAACGACACCATGGCCGTCGCCCCAGCTCTCGCGACCGCCCGCTTCGTCCACGCCGCCCATGCCCTCCGCGGCGTCGCAGTGCTCGCGCCCTGGCTCGCCTACCTGCTGGGCGTCGACCTGCTGCTGTCGCTGCTGCTGCCGCTGAAGACCCTCGCCCCCACCCCCGTCTACAACCTCTCGTCCGTCCTCGCCGGCGGCGTGTGGGCCTGGATCCAGAACATCTTCACCCACGTCAACCATGCCGACATCGTGCTGAGCACCAGCTGCCCCGCCGGCCTGCCGCGCGGCGAGTCGGCTGTCGTCATCGCCAACCACGTCGCCTGGGCCGACTTCTACATGATCCAGGAAGCCGCGCGCCGCACGGGCATGCTGGGCCGGTGTCGCTGGTTTGCGAAACGCAGCCTGCGCTGGGTGCCGTTCCTGGGCTGGGGCCTGTGGGCCATGGGCATGCCCCTGGTCAGTCGCAGCTGGGCGACTGACCGCGCCGAGCTGGAGAGGGTCTTTCGAGGCATTGTGTCCAACCGCTGGCCCGTCTGTACGTCCGCCTTTGTGACAGTTTTCCCATCTCCCCTCCACCCTGCTGTTTCGTGCCTGCACCTTCCCGCCCAGCGCCATTTCTGGCGTCGTGCCATGCCGGCTTTCTGCCTCCACCCGGATGCTACCGCATCTCCCAAAACGTCGGTGCTTCCAAACGAGGCCATCCGCCCTGCTCCAGTGCCACCTCTGATCGAGTCTGTTGCTATCTTTGTTGCGCCTGTGGCACTTGTGCCCGTCTCCCGTTGCTTTGCTCGTCCATTGAGTCATCTCCGCTCCCACTCGCTAGCTTGATCACTTAGTTCACATCCGCTGTCTGCTGTTTCAGCCTTGAATACCAAACTGAATCTTCACACCCGTTCCTGTCTCCGCGTTCCTTATTTTCCCCTTCATCCGCTTCTATCTTTGTCCCCGACCCGCTGCAAACCTTTCCATCTTTGAACACCACGTTGCCGGCGATTCCCCATGACCACATACACCCAAGACCACGTCACAGCAAATACCACATCACCACACCACACTACGCTACCATCCACCGCATTCCCCGCCTCACCCCCACAATTCCTCTCCCCTCCCCCCACACACAGACGTAACCCCCCCAAACAACACGAAACGAGACCAAGCAAACCCCCCACTCCGCGCCACACCCGCCCGCCCACCCTATCCGCCTCCAAAAATAAAAAACAACAGGAGAAACAGAGAGACTGACACATTTCCCCCCCGCTTCCGAACGCAAACAGGGCTCATCGCCTACAGCGAAGGCACGCGCTTCACGCCCGCCCGCCACTCCGCCGCGGTCTCGTACCGCGCCACGACGGGCAAGCCCCCGCCGCCCTCGCCGTACCTGCTGGTGCCCCGCCCCCGCGGCTTCGTCGCCACGGTGACTGCGCTGCGCCGCGGCGGTGCCGACATCGTCAACAGCAGAAGCAGCAGCAGCAACAGCCCCAACAACATCACGCACATCCCCGCCGTCCTCGACTTCACCATCGCGTACGCCCGCCACGGGAAGTTCATGGCCGCGCCGTCCTTTTGGGACACGGTCGCGCGGCCCGATTTGGGGGAGGCCGGGTATCGGTTCTATGTCCACGTGAGGAGGTGGGAGATGGCGGAGCTGCCGGAGGGGGAGGAGGCGTTGGCGGGGTGGTTGGAGGAGAGGTGGGTGGAGAAGGGGAGGAGGCTGGAGAGGCTGAGGGAAGTGCTTGAGGAGGGGGAGGGGGATTCGGGGGACTGGGGGGATTGGGGGGAGGTTCGGGATGGGAGATGGGAGGGGAAAGAGAAGGAGAAGGGCGAGTGAGTGGGTGAGTGGGTGGTGGGGTGTGTTGATGGGTGGTTTATGTACGTCGGCTTTTGTGGGGGGTGTGGGGGGTATGGTTTGGTGTTAGAATGTGTATTGGGGATGTTGGTGTTCTGGTTCATGGTGGTGGTGGTGGTAGGGTAGTAGTAGTACTGTAACGGCGCCCAGGGCGAGGTGTTGGTTGGGGTTAAATGTATAAATGTGGTGGTAATGCTTAATAGTGCCACATAGAGTGGTAAAGGCCGTGTGCATGTAGGCAGCGTTGTTTCGCAAAGAAGTTACGTGTCAAAACTTTTTGTCTTAGCGAGCTATATCCTGTCTTAAGCATGTAGTTTTCCAATGGTTTTCTCCATCTCGTTTTAGTGCTCAACACCGCAGCGGATTACAAGTTTTCCTTACCACCTACGAGTGCTACGACATATGTCTAGTACTCTCTTCGTTCCCTGCTTCCGTCAAGTACGTTCTCATCCTTAGGACCACTAAAATAATAGGAACTTGGCCCGATTCTATCTCAAAGGGCACTGGACTGTATTTACAAGGGTAATAGATTCTCGTGTCTAAACGTCTTTATGGGTTTAAACTTACGTTTTCTTCACTTTATACACCTACTTAAGAAGCTCATAGTATCGTGTACGCAGCGCAGATGGATCAAATATTCTATAATATTACTATAACTTTTACACCGGAGAAAGGAAGAAAATGAAAGAAATCAAGCGTCTAATCATTCTGGAGCATAACTGAGACTAAAATCAGTCAAACGACGTATATGAGATAGAAGTGGGCAAACGTCCTGCAAACCGCTTCTGTGTCTCCGTCTCATTTCTACTGGTTCTCTATGATCAGTCTCTAGTTGGTGTTGGAATTGTTCTTTGAAAATCGGTATTCCACACACAAGCAGCACATGACAATGCACACAGTTCGCAGCAAGAGGCCAACTGCCCAAAGACAAAGACAACGCAAGCACTTGTGACATTACCCACCCACATCCGGTGTCATAAAAGAACAAAGGACGTCCGTCAACGACCACCAGCTCCACTTCGCGAGCGGATTCAACAAGAGCTGCTCTAACAGATGGGCCTGATCACAAAACGCGGTTGCAGCAGCACCCAGCAGGCGCGCGCCACACACCAAGCACCAATGTGCTACCACAGATTCTACATCTTCACCATCTGCGGGCACTCGTTCTGGCAGGCCGGCCCGCTCGCGCAGTGCCGCGACGCATCTTTCCCGGGCCCATCACTCAACGCCGATGGTACGACGTCCTTGGCCTTCTCCACCACCTGCCAGCCGCGCTCGCACCCGTTCCAGACCCGCAAGCTCTACACGCTGTGCTTGCACTGCGCCAGGCAGCGCGCAGGGCTGTTGGCGCAGGCGGAGACGAGAACAGAGGAGCTGCGCTTCGAGGAGGAGAAGTGGCGCGTCACGTACCAGAGCCCGCAGGCGGACGAGAACGCGTGGAGGAACTGGGGGAACAGGGCGGCGGCAGGGCGGAGGGGGCGGATGAGCGATGTTGTCAGGGCCAGGCTGAGGAGGAGTGCTGGCGGTGATGAGAGGAGGTAGGTGGTAGGGTAGGACGAGCGCGGTGGATCGGCGGGCGGGCTTGCTGGTCTTGGCGTGGGAGCCGGGGCGAGCGAACGACGTGCCTCTCATTACCGATCCTCGAGAGAGCTCGCAGCTGCAGCTTCGCTACCACCCACCCACCCACCCCACCACTCAATCCCGCGTCCCCGCGTCCAAGGCACAATATCCTCCGCAGCGGCGCGTCGTCAATTGCCCTGCTGCCGACCCTCTCCGCGCCGACGACACCCGTTCCACTCTCCTGCCGAACCGACAAGACGCCATGCCGACGCCCGAGTCCGCCGCCTTCCTCGAGAAGAAGCCCAAGGTGCCGCCGACGTTTGACGGCGTCGACTACAACGACAACGCCGCCCTCAAGGCTGCGCAGGATGCGGTGCTGCGCGAGCAGTGGGTCAAGTCTATGATGGCGCGCCTGGTCCGCGAGGAGATGTCCAAGTGCTACTACCGGGAGGGCGTCAACCACCTGGAGAAGTGCGGCCACCTGAGAGGTGAGTGATGGGCCTCCCTACAGAATTGCGTTTTCATGTTTCAGCCCCCTCGGTCTTCGTGGCGGAGGAGGATGAGGACGAGGAGAAAGGTCCGAAGGAACGGACGGCACTGTGACGCGAGACGCCGGCACAGCGAGAAGGCTTTTGTCATGGTTCAATGGGGCCCTCTTTTTGGCTGACGAGCGATTGCACACCCGTACAGAACGCTACTTTGAGCTGCTGAAGGAGTCCAAGATCAAGGGCCACATGTGGCAACAGCAGAACTACGCGCCCAAATAAGATGGAGGGGCTCGTGTACGAATCGGCCGTCGCAGGCACGGAGAAAGAGGAAACAGAGACATTGGGGATGTTCGGCCCACCACAAAATCCCAGTGTGTATACGTGGGCCGGGGCAACGAGCTCAAGGAGCTTGTATCATATTATCGATATGCTGGGTAGAGACCAGCGACCTCAATGAGCATGTGATTTTCAGAGACGTGATGATGCATGCCCGACATTTCGCCAGTTGCCTTGCTCTCCACACTCTACCGTACCCGTGCATTCTTACCGCCAATGGTTCCTACGTCCATACCATGAGGCGGTGCCGCCCCCGAATCTGTCAGCGACCGCCGGTTCCAAGCCTCGCGGCCAAGCCGGGCTGAGACCATCAGGAATTTAATCCGCGGGGGAAAAGAGCGAGGAGGGATCGGCCAGGCATCAAAAAGCCCCAACGTCACACCTTCCCCGCCATCCACCATTCCTCAATATATCACCAGTCCCCACTGCGGGCACCACCGCGCCCCCCGCAAAGTTTCCACGATGCCGTTCCCCTTCGAGCTGCCGACCACATCCTCCATATCCTTCGACGACTTCTACATCAGCACGACACACCCGTCGCTGCCCCTCGCCGCAACAACATGCCGCGGCGTGCTGCGCGACGTGCTCAAGAAGCACAAGCGCCTGCCGCCGCCCTCGCAGACGTCCGACCTACCCGCCGTCGCCACCGCCCTCAACGAGTACATCCCGCACCTCTCCGCGCTGGACGCCGGCCTCAGCAACAGCAACAGCAACAGCAACACCGCCGCCGCCTCCGAAGCCATCAACGTCGCCCCCCTCCCGCGCGGCGAGCTGGCCGTCGAATGGCGGGCCACGCTCACGGCGCCGCAGATGCCCGGCCGCGACCCGCCGCGGATCAAGCTGCGCGGGCTGCGGCTGGAGCTGGGCTTCGCGCTGGCGTCGCTGGCCTACGTGCACAGCCTGCAGGCGCGCGCCGCGCTGCACGCGCTGTACAACTACAACAGCGCCGCCGCCCCGCCATCCTCGGAGCAGCGCACCGCCGCCGTCGCCGCCGCCATGCGCGCCTTCCTCGAAGCGAACGCCATCCACACCTACCTGGTGCAGCGACTGGGCAGCATCAATGCCAATGGCACTTCTCCTCCCCCCGCCGCACCTCCCCAACCAACCAGCAGCAACAACGACGGCAGCAAAAGACCTCCTCCCTCGTCAGCACCGCCGCCGACCGCCATCCCGCCCGACATGACGCCCGGCGTGCAGACGGCGCTCGCGGAGCTGACGCTCGCCGAGGCGACGCTCATCGCCGTGCTCAAGGACGACCCCTACCCGGCGGTCGTGGCCGAGGACCGCAGCCGCGCCAGCCGCGACTGGATGTTCAAGGCGCCCGACATACCGCGCGTGCGCGCGCACCTGTTTGCGCGGCTGTGCCTGGCCGCGGCCGAGCACGCGGCGAGGGGCAAGGCCGGGCTGGGCTGGGCGGCGGGGGGCAGTGCGGCGGCGGCGGGGAAGGTGGATGAGGCGTTGGGCCGGTATCTGGAGGATCTGAGGCGGACGGCGAGGGGGAAGGCGTGCAGGTTTTTTGGGATCGATGCCGAGTTGGAGGGGAAGGCGGGCGAGGCGATTGCGTGGTTGAGGGCGGCGAGGAGGGAGTTGGGGTTCTCGAGCGGTGGTGGTGGTGGTGGCGGCGGGGTGTCGGGTGGAGCGGGCGAGGAGGAGGGCGGCGGCAGTAGTAAGGGCAGGGGGTTCGCGTCGAAGTTGAAGAAGGACTGGTCGGAGAGGAGGGAGGATCGGAAGATTGAGAAAGGCGCGGATTGGGGGAGCGATGCGGGGAGGTTCGAGGAGGGGCGGGTGGTGGACATGTTGGAGAAGAAGTGGGTGAAGATGAATGATACGGTGAGCTTTTCCTTTTTCCTCTTGCTACTTCTCCAAATTCCGCCTCTACCTTTTTTTTTTCCCTCTCCTCTTTTCTCCCAGTATCCAGAACCGCATCCTCATTCATCCAATGCCTTTTCACGTACAAACTATCTATTTCCTTCTGTCCTGCCCGCCGAATAAAGGAATCAAACCGCTCACAACCTTCCCCCCTTTCTCTCCCCCCACAGGTCGGCGTCCAAACAATACCTCCAATCGAGCCTCTCCTCGCCAGCATGCCCTCGGGCCGCGAGTACCACTCACCGAAAGCCTACAAGCTCCCTCAGCTAGACGAATCCACCATTGCTCGCATGCGCGCCCCGCCAAACCCATCCGAGGTTACCAGTGGTGGTGTCGATGACAGCAGCAGTGATGATGACCGAGAGGAGAGTCGGCGCCGCGCAGCAGGTGGCGGAAACCCCATCGGCGCGTTCCCCGGGACGAGCGGGGATTATGCTGCGGATGCTGGAGGAGACAGGGAAGGATATTATTGATGTGTGGAATCCTCTGTGCTTTGTCCCTTTTTCCTTTTTCCGTTCTTAGCAGAGCATGCACGGTAGCGATGAATTCTCGAGAGGAAAATAGCGCGGTGATGTCTCTCCACCCGGCTTTTTATTTTTATTTTGGTGCCCTTCTATTGCGGTTTCTGTTCTACTTGACGGGGGCACAGTACCCACTGAACAATTTAGCGTTGGTCGACCGACTGCTTCATGCTGCCCGCTCCTCTTGTTATGCAATGTGGGACTGTGTAATCCATCCCCCCTTTCCTCCCCCCCCTTCTCTCTCTCTCTCTCTCTCTCTTTCTTCGGCCTGGCTGCTTCTACATACCTCAGACCGTAGAGAATGTCTTTGATGTCTTTTCTTTTTCACCACCAGTGAAAAAAGAAAACTCTTGCTCGGCGATTATTCCAGTAGAAGAAGCGGGACGGGGTTCGCTCCACCGACGCACCCCGTCCGCCGAGCAGTGAAGCCTTCCAAGCTACCACTTCTACCCCCGTCGGGAAGGACGGACGTCAAGACAATACGTAAACTTCAGGCATACATACGACAATAATAATCAAAAGCGAACGAACCTGTTCCCTCTCTCCATCCTCGAACGACACGTCTCAGCATTTAACAAGGACGAAAGCGAGACAAGGCATATAGCTATTTGAAAAATACTTGAATACATTACACATCATTCACTTTCCCTCTTTCCCCGTCCTTGTAACCCGTAGTATATATCTCCTTTCATATCGTTTCTTTTCTCTCTCTCCCCTTCCACAACTAACCCGCCATCACGACGGCGGCAAATTGCTACCACATAAAATAGACAGTAAATGTACGTATAACAGAAAGACGACGGGAGAAAACCAAAATCAGAAAAACGCCGCAAGCAAGCATACCTCCACCCACGATAACAGAAACGCTATACAAAAAAGTACTCACCACTCCGCCTATCCCTCATACCACCCTCACAAGTGACGGAGGGGAGGAGGAGGGAAAGCCGGAGAAGACAAGTCAGGAGAAGAAGGAGAAGCCCATAGGAAGGGGGAAAAATAGAAGTTAATATAACGAGAACCCATACCTCTCATCCCTCCTTTCCCTTCCCTCCCATATTGATTTTTTCCCTTCCAAACGAGTGGCGTGCGTGTACATACATATACATCAGAAACGGGGCGTAAAACGAGCGCAGGCATACAAAACCGGAATAGAGAGAACAAAGAGCCGGAATCAAGAGATCAAAGAAGATTTGTACAAAAGCTCTCTCTCCTCACAAGCCCGTACAAGAGGAAAAGAGACGAAAAAAAAAGACAACGAAGATGGAGAAAAAAAGGCCAACAAGGTGTTGGCTTGTTGACTTGCTCGCTCGCTCGCTCACTCCGCTGTTGCACTGGCGTCGATTCGATTCGAGCTGTGCAGCACATACGGAGTGAGACTAAAGGGGTATCCGAAGGCAAATAAAAGAGAAATAGAGGAAAAGAAACGGGAGAAATAATACAAGAGATTATACAGCCACGGCTGCAAGGCGATGGATGCGGCAAAAGCGGGAGGGAGGAGAGGGCGCAGGCGTCCAGACAAGCAGGGAGCTACCCCGCCATCGAACAGCCACGCGCTAACGCCACAGCCAACCTTGCATCGAATCCCTACCAACGCGAGTAGTAGTGTGCGCCAGAACCCACGCCAACTTCTTCTTCACTCCTTCCATGCATATTACCCCCAGCCCAGTAATCGGACCGGGGCGGCGGCGGAGGCGACACGAGAAAGACGTGTGCGAAAGGTGCCCCACCACCACCGTACCCACCACAAAACAATTATGAAACCACACCGACCTCGGGGGAGAAAAAAAAGCCAGGGCCAACCATAAGCCCCTGCGGAGACACAAAATATATAGAGACGCGCGAATGGAGCGCAGAGTGATAGGAGAGAAGTGAAAAAAAAAAGGGACAACACCCGGTCGCTCAAGGGCCGCGTGCGTCGTCTCCACGGGAGGTCGTGCGTTAAGGGTGGGTGGGTGCGCGTGTAGGCGGAACATGCGCCGTCAGCATGATTCGCGGAGTAGCCGTTGGCGGGGTATGTGTAACTGCGTCTGGCCATGGTGCGGGTCGTCGGTGGGGTGGGTGGTGCGTGGCTGGGTAGGATTCCGCGCGCGGCGACGGCGGCTATGCGGAATGACGGCGGTTGTGCTCTGCCTGGCCCCCGTTGCTGCGGACCTCGATGGTACTGGATCGTTTGCGACGGCCACCGAGGCACGCGGAGAAGAAGCTTGCGATGGTCTCTCGGAACGTTTTCGATCGCGTCATGACTATAGACAGAGAAAAAGGTCGACAAATTAACATTCATCCCATTTGACAAAATGTTATAAGGGGCAAAGTGTTTACAAAGGAATGTAAGTGGTAGGACGTTTGATGTGCAGTGCTTTGTGTGGCTTCTTAAAAGGAGTGTAGTGCGTTGGTTCACGATGATGCAGATGATGTAGGTGCTGTGACGTCTTCATCGCCAGCAACAGTAGTGGTAGCCTGCTGCTCGCCCGTCGTCGTTGCAGTCGTCTCCTTACCCTTCTTCTCCGTGTCCTCCTCCTCCTTGACCTCCCGGGTGTTGTCGAAGCTCGGGTCGATGCCCTTCTCTCTGATTTCATCCGTTGACGCCTTCGGGGTGTCGTCGTCCTGCGGCGCGAGATTTGCGTGGCTGGCCTCGGGTGCGCTGGCATCGTTGTCCTTGGCAGGGGCCGACGCGTGCGCCTCTTGCTCTTCTTTCTCCGTCGGCGCTGTCGACGGCGCGGCAACGGATGATCTGTCGTCCACGACGGCCGTGGTTGCGCTACTCGAGTCCACCTTGGTTATGTCCTCTTTCGAGCCGGCATGGTCCTTGACGGACGCGCCCTCGTCTGCCGCGGCGGGCTCCTCCTTGAGGGAAAGCGACGAGACGTCGACCTCGTCTCCCTCGGGTATGGCCAGAGCTTCCTCGAGAGCTTTGATGGCATCATCGGTGGCCGCAGACATGGTCGAGCCACGGTGCGACGCGTGCTCCGTGTTGCCAGCGAAAGTCTGACCGGTGGGCGAAGGAGACTTGCTTCCGAGGCCGAGAGGAGCCGGCACGGCCGAGTCGACCGAGGGGCGAGGCGAAAAGGCGTCCAGGGATTGGGATTCACTCGTCTTGTCGGGAAGTGTGCTGCTACCGAAGGGGGTCAGGATAAAAAGAGGTCGACAGCATCGAAGGATGTCTGGGAAGACAGGCAACACAACGGCGGGGGCGGGGCTTTCAGGCTTACTGCGTGCTGAGGTTAGACTTGATGGAGGGGGCGCTCTTCTTGCTGGCAGCAATCGACGCGGCCTCGTTGCCGGCCTTGCCGAATGCCTGGGCTGCCTCGAGCGACACCCTGGGCGTCTCGTCGGCGTCCTTGTCCTTCTTCGACGAGGCTATCGAGGCGCCCGACGACGCAGGCTTCTTCTTGTCTCCGGCGGAGGCGTTCAGCGGGTAAGGCGAAGCGAAGCCCGCCTTCAAGGGAGCAGTCACGATGGACGTCTCGGGCTCAGCAACCTCGCCAATCTCGTCCTCGAGCTCGCCAAATTCGTTCCATTCTTCGACTTCGGTGATGCCCTGGGAGCAAAGCTCAGGTCAGTGTCTGAGTTCGCAAAGCTCCCCAGCCAGCGTGCCATTGGAGCCCGGCCTGCAGTGACACGCCGAGTCGGAGTCGGTGAAAGGAAGGAAGGCTACTTACACCGAGGAAATAACCCTCCTTCACCAGCAGCGGGAACTTCTTTCCCTGGCCGCGGCGCATGTACAGCCTCTTGGCATCCTCGTTTGTGGCCGTGTCGATGTAGGTGAAGGGAATGCGATTCGCCCTCAGAATGGTCTCGATGCGCGAGGTGGCGGTGACGATGTGCGAGGAGCCGGCCGTGAGGGACGTGAAGAGGTAGAGGGTCATGTCATTGTCCCACTTGCTCATGTCGGACGCCATGGCTGCGGTCTGGGGCCTTGGGTGGCTTGTTGTTTTGGTGTCGAAAGGGAAAAGAGGCGGTCCAAGTGCGTGTCCGTCCGTCGGTCGGGTGGTGGTTGCTTCTGGCGAAAGCAGCGCAAGCTAGGGGTCCGCGGGGCAATAAGGTTGGTGCAGCTGGGCAGGCAGTTGAGGGCGCAGGACCCGAAATTTTTTTGGTCTCTTAGCTCCAAGGCGCGCGCGAAGGACCGGCGTGGCGATAAGTCGCGCGGTAGGCTGAAACAACGAAGCTCTGTTGGCCGGTGGGGTTTTGGCGAAAGGGAGAGAGGGGACGCGCGCGCGCTCTGGCGAGCAATTGGCGAGCAGCGAGGGCTTGAGGAGGATGATGATCGGGACCGGCTGCGACAGGGGCTGCCCTAGTACCAAAGCGACCCGATCGGCCATCCACCGCCGGTTCCTTTTTTGGCCGCGACTGTCACCACTGTCACCACCTCTCGCGCGCGCTCTGCACGCCGCCAATGAGCAACTCTGTCTGCCTGACCGAAACCCGCGGCTCCAATCCCACGTGCGACGCGAGAGGCGCCCAGACTGATCCCAAGGCGACACGAGCGCCTCGCGTCAGCCGTCGCGTACTGCGCAATTCCCCACGGGCAACCAAGGCGGCGACGTTTGATTGCAACGACCGGCCGCTACGCCCGATCCGGCCGCCTCATTGATACGAAAGGGTGACTCGGACGGAGCTGATGTCTTGATTCTGGCAGCCTGCGCACATTTCAGCTGTGCAGCCCCGGCCGAGCGCGGAAATTGCATGATGAGCGCACTCCCGGCGAATGACGCAACGACTGTGAACATCCGTCGCTCGTCGCTCCCCCGGCCTGGACCATTTCTTCGAACCGCACCCTTCGGCCGTCCGCGCAATCACTGCCTGAAGAGTTGTTCAATTGACAAGGGCCCGCGAAGCCTTCACCTCCCTATGACATACGCCCACACCAGGGCCGCCGTGCGTCACGTCCCAGCCGCTGTCCCGTGTGTCTAGGGGACCATGCATTGAAGGTAGATGCAGGTTGTCTCGATTCCAAAGGAAAAAGGTTGATTGCTTAACAAGAAGTTGCACGGTTCTTCGATGAAGAGACCATACGAGAGCACCATCTACTTATAGCTAAGTCATATAACGTCACGCGGGTCACGGGAGTGACTTACGGGGCGGATCATGACAGCTAGGATTAGAGTTCAAGAAGGTCCGGGTTGGCCTTGGGAGTCAAATTTTCATCGTGTTTAAATCGTGTCTGGATTTTGTCTAATAAATTGTGTCTAGATTGGATTTGAATTGGTATCGAGTACCCCCCTTAGTCATTTACCAGATCACTAAAATCTCGAAGGTAGGGCTTTGTTGGGCCGACTTGTAGCCTCGATTGAAGTCATGCCACAGCACCGCAGCGGGTGACGAAAGAAATTGGCTCACATGCATGGGCAGCGGAATCCTATATCTGGATGCATGTGTGTTGTTTTAATACGTACTCACACCTACATCCGGGTATCTAGTGCTTCAGCTGCTGATGAAGAATAGGTCGCTTAAACTTGCATTTACGTCGGTACACTTCCTTCAACTGTCCACACAAAGGATCGCCGTAGCTCAATATCTTTTGTCATACACTGTGGCACGGCATATGTAAACGCGAAGGGAAAATGATAGACACAGAAAAGAAACAGGTATCATTCGCCGATAGCAAGCCGCTCCGCACATCAACAGGAATCCTCATCACCCTTTTATTCGCCTTCACCTCCTTTTCCCCTCTCCGCCTCCAGCAGACAGACAGACAGACCCACCTGGGGCCTCTATTTCGAGCCGCCGGCCGTGCTTCCCGCCTCCGCAGCCTTTGCCGACGAACTCTCCGGACGTGGCGTTGCGTCCTTGCCCTCCAGCACATCCGTATCCGGCCCCAGCATCATGTGCTCGATGTTGACCTTCGGGCCCTTGAACCACTTGTGCGCCGACACGACCCACCATATCAGCACGAAGAGCATTGGGGCCCCGTACACCAAGCACGTCCAGTTCATGCCCGCAGCACTGTTGGAGAAGAAAAAAACGGTCACGTCAGCGGTCAGACACCAAGAGGCCCGCGCGGGAGCGGGGGAAGAAGAAACAGGAATGGGCGGTAAACGACTTACTCGAGGTTGTCACCGACGGTGGCGGGCAGGCAGAGGATGGGCACCATGAGCGCCGTGAAGGCCGAGGCGACGACGCCGACGGGGATGCTCAGGCGGCCCAAGTGCCACGGGCCGGGTCTGAAGTTGCCCCGGGTGAAGAAGACTCGGATGAAGATCGGGGTGGTGAAGGCGACGAAGGCGGCGATGGCGCCGATCGAGAAGAGGGCGCCGATCGCCAGCTCGCCGCCGAAGATGAGCAGCGTCAGCAGGATGCCGATGATGGCGTTGAACCACACGGCGTTGACGGGCGTCTGCGTGTGGCGGTTGACGCGCTTCCAGTACCGCGACAGCGGGAAGCAGTCGTCGCGCGCGTATGCGAAGGTGACGCGGGACGCGGCGATCATGCAGCCCTGGCCCATGGAGAAGCCGGCGATGATGGTCAGGGCGAGGATGGCCATGGCCATCTTCTGCGGCACGCACTGGATGAGGTATGCCGCGAACGGCTGGCCCAGCTCCGAGTTCAAGACGTCGTCGATGCTTACGACCGTGTAGGCGACGACGAGCTGAAGGAACCAGCCGAAGAGGCCGCCGACGGTCGAGGTCATGACGATGGCCCGGGGAGAGGCGATGTTGGCATTGGAGCATTCCTCAGCCAGATGAAACGGCGAGTCGTATCCACTCAACGTCCAGATGACGCCGATGAAGCTTGACAGTACTCGAATACCGGCCGGAAAGTCCATTCCCTCGTAGATGGTACCCCAAACCTCGCTGGATGGCGTGAAGCGCGGCAGGCCCTGCTCCTCACGGTTCGTGCCGGCCGGAATCATGATGATGACGGCGATCAGAGCCACGATGTTGAAAGTCGAGCCAGCCGAGTTCGCCTGGGCCAGCCACCTGGTCGGCATGCTGGACATGATTGCGTGGACGATCATGAGTAAAGTTGTGAGTAGGAATGTCTGGTAGTTGGTAGGTACGTATGCGGGGTTCTGGATGGATGCAGCGGCAAGGATCATGGCGGCTACCCCATAGTCGACCGAAGGGGCGGCGGTGACTTGGCCAAGCCAGTTGCTCCAGCCAGTCACCCATGCTGCAAGCGGACCCCAGCCTGATGGGGCAAGAACAGCAGCTGCATAGTACAGACCGCCGCTGGTTGGCATCGAGGAGCAGAGTTCTGCCATGCTTGAAGCAACACACTGGATGCCAATCATAGCAACAATCCAGCCCCAGGTCATCCCTGCAGCCCGTCAGTACCTGTTTAGCCTTGAACTAGTCCAAGAGCACAACATACCAGCAGTGCCCGCATATCCCATGCCATAGTACCTGAGTGCTGTCAGCAAGGCGTCTCACTCCGGCAAGTAGCACAGCAGGCATCACTCACAGCGTGCTCGCGAAACTCGGCAGCAAGCCCAAGACGGCAAACGAGACACAGAAGGTGGTAAACAGCGAGAACTCGCGCTTGAACTCCGACTTGTATCCGAGCGCAGCGAGCACCTCCTCGTCCGCATTGAACTCGTGGTTAGGGTCGTACGGGACGTCGCCGTCTGCAAGAATGATTTAATCGTCAGCTCACGACCGCACTCCAGACTGCTCTCAGGAGACGACTTACCGGGCAGGACCGACGTCACCGGCTCGTCGGCAACGCTCCGTTTGTGGTGCTCGGCCATCTTCTCTCGCCTTTTCTCAACCAACACGGCCGCCGGTCGGTATTAATTGCAGAACAGCCGAAAAACGACAGCGAAGAGAAACACGGCTGGCCCCAAGTCAAAAAGGCCGATGATGGGGTAAAGCTGGAAGGCCGAAAGGTATGGGGGTTTCCGGTCAGCGACAGCGCCAACAGGGTTCGATAAGTATAAGTATTGCTGAAAGTGGGTGCGACAAGGGCCCGGCCTTAGGCACCTGTCATTCGGGACGCGGGAGAAGCCAGAACACACGCGCGCGCCGGCGCCGCCTTGTCGATCGGATAATACCACGACGCGGCCGCGAAGCCGCATGAGGCATGTCCAGCCTGGGAGGCGAGAGATAGCCGTTTCGGTCCCCACGGCCAGCCCGGCGCGGACCATTCACAGAGCGGGGGTGGAGAAGGCCGAAGACCACGATCAAGCACCTTATTATTATCACACTGCGTCGCTCACTGATGAACGGCAAGCTCATGTATGGCGGTGTTCCGCGAAGGGCTTGCGCCTGTCAGCCAGCTGGAAGCGGTCGCGGCGACATGTGGAGCAGAGGGCTGAACTCTTATCTTTGGAGCCCATCTTCGGCGGCGCGCCGAACGGGCTGGCTTTGGGCGCGATAAGTAAAGAGAACGACAATTTCGTCGGATCCGCGGATGCGTCCCGGGCTGAGCTTTGCTTGTCACAGCCATGAATTACGGCCCGCGCGCTCTCGCTCTTTCCTTGAATCATGGCTGAGGGAGCGATGCGCCCAAACACCTCGCCGTGTCGCCCTCTCCCCGCCTTGCTTTCGCCGAGAACAGGCATGTAGGAGGAAGACGGGTTCGAAAGGCGCGCCGCCATTGACGCTCCCGCCTCTCACGAACGAGCTTTCTCTCCCTTCCAAACGAGCGATCCCGTCGCCGCGCCCCGTCCCCCGCGCGCCGCTTTATGCCTTCTTGGAGCTATCTTCAGCCCCCCGTCAATCAATCCACGCTCGTGACGCGCATGCAATGATGAAACGAAAACCCCCTCCGTCTCCTCCCTTCCCGTCCCCCGCGAACACGCCGTATCGGCAGCCGCACGTAGTGAATCCTCTGGCTGGACCTACCGCATGCAGTTTAAAGGCGCGCATCAATCGAAATCGGTGCGGTGCGATGCGGTGCGGTGCGGTGCGGTGCGGTGCGGTGCGGTCGGCTGCCCATGCCCGCAGCAGCGTTGCCTATCTATCCGTAACGTGCGGACATCTGCTTTTCTCTCTTTCTCTCTGCCTCACTCATCTTATTAATCGCCGGCTGTCCGGAACTCGGTTCGTGGGAGGGAGCCGGTCAAGTTGGTCAAGTTGGTTGGGTTCCCCCTTCCCGTTGCCGTGGCGCAGCAGCAGCAGCAGCAGTGTGTTGATAAAGGTGTGTGTGTGCAAGATAGATAACGGAGCTTTCCCCACACGCGCATTTTTGCTGCTGCTGCTGCTGCTGATCAACCGCGGTCTATTTGGCGCGCTAATTGCTAATGTAAACTCCAGCACCGTCAACCCCCAGAGCTGGCTGTCTGGCCAGCCGCTGCTGTCTCTCGCTCTTTCCCTTACTTTCCCTTTCGTTCCTTCCTGCTTTCGTAGATACGATACCACGGCGCATCGTCGAAGAGCTGAGCTTCTTTATATCTGGCTACGCGGATAGACGATTCTTACGTCTGGACGTTTTTGTGCACTTTTATCAACTCCCCATATCAATTGCTTCTGCTGTGTATGTTTTGCAGCCGACTGGTTGCTTCTACCAAATATATCCTTTGTCGCACTGTCTCGGGCTGTTGCTAATCCCCCTTAAAAATAAAAGGAAAAGAATAGGAAATAAAGCTGGGATATCTAACGAAGAGTAAATGCACGCTACATCCTCCCGGGAACCCCAGACCAGCCCAGCCCCGTCCAAACAACAGGGTCAACCAATGCACCACCCCAAAAATAAAAATAACAACAGCCATTAAAAACGCCACTTCCATCCATACATACCTATCATGTCCATGGTTCCCATTCGCCCAAAACAGTTTCAAGGAGGGTTAGGTAGGCAGGGAGATAGGCTGATGCCAACCAGAAACCTCGCGCACACCCGGGGGGGAAAGAGAACATCAACCTTTCCCGGCAAACCTCATAAACCGGCTCGCAGCACTCCCCCCCTTCTTCTGCTTCGCCGACGATGGCTTCGCTGCCTCGGCGTCGCCACCGGGACGGGGAGAAGAATCGAGTCGAGCCAAAGCCTCAGCATTCGACGACGGCGGCATCCTTCCGCGGTGTCGTGCCGCCTTGGCCACAGACGCCGTCCGCCTTTCCGCATCGGCAATCTGCTCCTCGATGCTTTTCTCGGGCGCCCCGCTGATGGGCGACGACGTGATGAAGTCCACATCCTCGATGCCGCAACTGCGCGGGTGGTGGTGATGGGGGAGGTGGAAGTGCGAAGGCCACGGGTCCGACGGAGACTCTGCCGGTTCCGCCCACGGCGCGATTTCTTTGGGCGTGGATGATGGGAGGTGGCAGCTGTGCCTGTGTGTTGTGCTCGTTGCCTTGACACGTCTGATCATTGGGTCTCTGGGCTCTGGTACGATGGACGTCGTTGTCACTGCGCGAGCTTGCGTGTCGTTGCTAGCGGCTCGTACTGCGTCCGTGGACACGACCGGAGGCCCGCTCATACGCTTCGAAGAATCGCCGGTTGAGGGAGGATTGAGGGGCTCGTACACCCCAGTTCCACTGTCGTGGCGTGGGTGGGACTTGATGCTGAGATTCTCTAGCGAAGGTGGCGGGGCGGCAGCGCGACCCAGATCGGCCAACGAGGACTCTGCCGACCTCTGAGACCTGCGACTCATTTTCGACGACGAGTTGGTTGTGGCGACTGAGCTCCGGCGTGCTCCGTACAACGTTCCCGCGGAGAAGGTGCTCGCTCGCTTCAAATCCGGTTTGGCGGCCATCTGTGGAAGGCCGTCCCATTTGGTGTTTACTCTGGGGACTTCTAGCGGAAGCTTTTGAGAAGACACGCCAGCCATGAATGAGGTGCCCTTCGCTGTCGCCTGTTTCCTCTGAAGCTCGGCGTATTGTTCCAGCGCCCCAGAAGTCGGTTCCTTGACAGCCAGGAAGCTGAAGAACGAGCTTCCCTTCTTCCTGCTTTTGTGTTTTGTCTGGGGATCTGGTGCTGCTTTGATCGGCGTCGAAGCGATGGCGGGGGTGGCGGGCTCCAAAGCCCAGTCAACCTGGCGCCTTGCGGTCCGCATTGGGACCGACTTGGTAGTCGGTACCACCGTTATCGCGTCATCAGCATCCTGTGAGGCGGCAGCTCTCCAGTCTGGAGCGGCATTTCGACCAGGCATGGGAGATGGTCGTGCAGCAGGCGACGGAGCGCTGCGATTCCTGTAGGTGAGCTGAGGGATCCTGTGAGGCGGGGCCGCGGCGGGTTCTTCATTGCTGGCAGAACCAGCAGGAACAGTTGCTGATGGCATGCTCGCTCGGGTTAGAAAGCAGCGGGGGCGGGCCAGCCTCAGCTGTGCTAGTGGTAGGGTGGCTTGCAGTGCAGGCGAATTGGCGGATCCTTCGCTTCAACGGTACGGTTGGCCAGACTCAGGCGGGTAAAGAACGCATGATAGACTTAGCGGCTACGGCTTGGGCAGATGCTTATTCGCTGATGGCGGAGATGGAGCTGCCGTGCAGTTGTGGGTCGAGACGGCGCCAAGATATATGCGTGGAGAGATGGCAACAACCTCGAGAGGGCGGCGGCGGCGGCGGATTGGCCGGCTGGGTGATACAGCCAGAGCAGCGCCAGGAGGCGATGGTTCCGACAGATGCTCGCAGAGTAGCAGCAGTGGACTCCTTGCCGGAAGACGCTTCGGCTGGGAGCGGGCGATGATTCGTCAGGAGGACAGTGACCGGTGGTGGAAAAATGGCAGTGGTTGCGCAGACCCGGACGGCTGGTTAAGCTCCGCGAAATCCTGCCCGGAGATCCTGCTGTGCGATGTGACGGCGAGGGAGAGTCTCGGTCGTGCTCGAGGGTGTCTGGGAGCGAGGCGACGCGGGCATGACTGGGAGGCCGGCATTGCGGGCTATTTCAAAGCAAAACACCCCCGGTTCAGGCTGACTGTGAGCGAAGATGAGACCAGTGAGACTTGCTGAACGTTTGGAAGCCACGCGAAACACGCAGGGTTCCGGCGCAGCCGCGTTCAGCAGCAAAACGAATCAAGAGGAGGCCATGCCCGCTTGTGCAGCTGCGGGGCTGGCCACAATACGAGCAGCACCCGGAGCGGAGCATTGTCATTCTGCAATCTGCATGGAGTCGGGCCCAGGCAGCCGGCAAGAGGCTGGGCGTGGCCAATCGACACCACCTGGCTGCCGCCGAAGCCTGTTCTTCAGCCGTCTCTGCGTTGCCCTACGGCTCCTCTCCAGCCTGTTGCAAATGCCGTGTCTCAGCGTGCCTGGTATGGCACGCCAGTCGTCGTTGGCTGGCAGCCGCCACCAGCCTTACATCCGGGGGCTTGCGCTGAGCCGGAGCACGAGTGGCTTGGGACCAGCCGTTCGTCGACCGATCCAGCAAGGGGCGTTGCTCCAAACTGCCGTCGATCACGCACCAGACGGGAGACTCGCCAGTAGCGTCCAGGGCAGCGCATGATGCGGCATGCGTCGCGCTCGAACAGGCCGGGTTGGGGCGCCGGGCACCTGGGTTTTAGGTGCCGCCACAAGGCGAGCGCTGTGACAGACAGGTGGTACGTACCAGGCGAGAAAAGAAACAAACGGCGTCCGGATTGCATCAGGGCCGTCAGGCGCGGCCATGCTGTGCCGCTTAGCGCATGTGGGCACGTTCTCGCAGCACACGGGCGGTGGTGTTGGAGCGTGGAGCTCCTTGCAGGCAGGCAGGAACGGCAGCAGTTGCGGCCGGGGGCCCGCGTCAATCGGCAGCCAAGGCCTGCCGCTGGCCCGCCTCCGCGATCCCATCGAACCGATGGCGCCTTCTGGACAGACTTCTGCTTTTTGCTGAACCTCTGCAACTGTCGCATCCCAAGCGCGCGGGTCTGTCGCCGGCCCGTGGTCCTCCAGCCGTCAAGCTCTCCCTCCTCGGTCCCCTGGGCCAGAGGTCTGCTTGTCATCCGCATTCAGACGCCATGCCGGTGCCGGCCCTCGACATCCCCTCCCCCGCGAAGGCCAGGAATGACTCCACCACGTCCACCATATCGCCGCTGCAGATGCCGCCCGGCGCGGTCCCGGCCTCGTCCGCACAGCAGCCTGCTGTTGCGCAGAAGCCTCCACAGACGCCATGTGCGGGGAATTCGCGCGACACCCACGACCGCCAACAGCAGTCCAGCTATGCCCCGGACTCGCCGCCCCGCCCCCCGGTGTCGCCCATAACCCCCGTGGCGACAGTCGCAGAGCTGGCGCCCACCGACCCTGCCGACCGCGTGGTGCCGCCGCCCGCCGTCGAGTTTGTCCCGCAGCCGCCGCCCAAGCCCATCAACGAGAGCGAGAACACGGACGCCATCGCCCTGCGCTCGGCCATTGCGCTCCTGCAGATCCAGCGCGACAAGAGCAAGCGCGACATGCAGGCGCTGGAGAAGATCAAGAACGCCGCCGTCGCCCAGCCCGAAGCGTTTGTTGAGGAGCTCAAGTCGGGCCGCCTCAGGCCCAAGCACGCGAAGAACGACCTCTTGGGCCCCACGCTCAACGGCAGCCTGGACGGGGTCGTCGACAACAGCAGCGACAGCGACGACGAGGCTCGATCACCGCGCACCTCGGGCCCTCCACCTCCCAAATTCGGCCCCGTCCCCGAGCCGCAGAACGTCTTCCGCTGCCCACCCATCAACTGGGCCAAGTACCACGTCGTGGGCGAGTCGCTGGACAAGCTGCATGCGGAGCAGCAGAAGCGGCCGTCGTGCGGAGCGGCGGGGCAGGCGCGGGCACCGGTCCATGTCATGGCCGCCCCCTACTCTCCATTCGCCGACCATCTGGGTGCTCAGCAGCCGGCGCCCGCGCAGACGCGGCGGACGTCGAAGAAGCCCGGCTGAGCAGGCTGCCGCCCGGAGTTAAAAAGCTATTTTTTTTTTGGGTCCATTGACAAATATGAAATAATGAAGTTACGACTCGTTTGCGTTGTAGAGGGAAGACGGCGGCGACGCGCAACGCATGTGGTCTCGTGGCATGGGGACACTAGCGGCGGTCCCGCATTGTCTTGGGTTCCGCGAGGGAATCAATAAAAAAGAAGTTCTTTTGGCTACACCGCCACGGATCTCGACGCCGACGTGGTGGTGAGTGTGGTTTGGGACCGCGCGTTTCGCGAGGCTGAGGCGGTGGGCGCCACACACAGATCTGCCAGCGCCCCGTCTCAGGCCTCCCGGAATAGAACAGCAGAAAATCTGCGGCGACGGCCTCGGCATGACATCACATGATAGACTGTAATTGCAAAGATTCGCGCCCGTCGTCCACTCGTCTGCCGCACCGTGCGTGTTCGAGCCGTCTATCGTGCGTACTTGGTGGGCGCAGCGCCCGACTTGGCTGAACCCTTGCGCAGGGCTCCGGGTGCCTGAGTGCTCGGAAGGGCGCCGAGGCGGCCTCAGGCCTGTTTTCCCTGCCAATCACCCCGACACAGGCCCTGCCACCCGCTGCGCCAGCCTGCGCGATGACGCCGGCGGCCCTTGCAGCGCGACGAGGCGCCGAGTTAGGTCAAGTCACCGGTCCACGACACGTCAGTAGTCAGCGTTCGCGGTCGCCCAACCAGCCCGTTTTCTTTCTCGCAGTACGCTGCTTGCCCCGTGCGTGGAGCTTGTTCCGTGGCCACTCGACGAGGCGCGGCATTCGTAATGCCTGACATAGCAGGTGATGCCACCCTTCGTGGCTTGGATCCTGCTGGCCTGGCACCCCAGACCACCAGAACCCCAGCCTCCAATATAATAATGGCACGGCATCCGGTTTTCTTTGTGTCGCATCTATCACTACAATAACCACCAGTCTCCAACCCTCTCTCTACCTTTGTTCCTCCTGGCAGCGCAGTCCCCCAGCCAGGTGCCCATCTCCCGCTTTTCCACTACATCTTTACCTCTTGAGAACAAGCCAGCGCACCGCTCAAAGAAGCGCCTCCACCTCCTCGACATCAACATGCGGCCGTCCGCGCTATTCCCGGCGCTCTGCGCCATGGCCGCCGTCATCCTCGGCTTCCTCTGCATCTTCGCGGGCCACAAGAAGGACTTCATGGAAGACTACCACATCCTGACCCTCAACACCAGCCGCATCGGCCAAAACATCCTCAGCGAGCTGTCCGACTCGTCCAGCTCCAGCTCCAGCGGCCTCCTCGGCCTCATCGAAAACGCCACCTCCAGCATCTCTTCCGAACTCACCGACTCGCTCAACAACGCGGTCAACAGCGTCGCCGAGTCCATCGCCGAGGACATCGGGCTGTCCGACTTCTACAGCGCGCATCTGATGGACTACTGCTGGGGCGACTACACGCCGCAGGCCGTCGCCAACGCGTCCGTCTCGGCGTCGCAGATCCACAAGAACGTGTCGGCGTGCTCCAACTCGACGGCCATGTTCCACTTTGACCCGACGGCGGTGCTGGAGAAGTCGCTGAACGAGAGCGGGCTCGGCATCACGCTCGACGACCTCAACTGGCCCGACGACATCCAGCAGGGGCTCGACGCCCTGCGCATCGCGTACAAGGCCATGTTCGTGCTGTACTGCATCGCCGTCGGCACCTCCTTCCTGGTGCTGTTCGGCTCCGTCGCCGGCGTCTTCCTCGCCTCGGGCAGGCTGTCGGCCTTCTTCAACGTCATGATCGCCATCCTCGCCTTCCTGGCCTTCGGCATCGCGAGCGCCATTGCCACGGCCATTGCGGTCAAGGGCTCCGACGTGATCAACCAGTATGGCAACGACATCGGCATCGAGGCGCATCGCGGCGGCAAGTTCATGGCCATTTCGTGGGCGGGCACCGGCGTGCTGTTCTTGGCCATCCTGGCGTGGTGCGTCGAGTGCTGCATCGGCCGGAGGCACAAGAAGAGGACGACGTTTGCGGAGAAGCCGTAAGGGGGATGTTGTGTGCGTGTGTGTGCGCGCGCGCCTGAGTCACGAAAGATGTTTCTTTTTCTTACGAGGAATGAAGAAGGGAACTGTAGATATGAGGAATGATGAGGGAAGCGGGCTGTTTTGCGACCTACTACGGTTTGTCGCTGTATATGACTTTTCCTATTTCTGAGTTTAGATACCCTCCTACCTGGAGCATGAGCATGGTTAGTTGGAAGATAATGACTGTTAGTTAATGATGCTTTATTCTGTTTAACTATGCTGGCTTTTCGATCGCCTTTCGTGTCCAATTGAAATCCCCACTGGCTTTGAAATGTGGGTATAATGCTAATAATACTAGACACGTCCTGATACAATTGATTCTCTCTTAACGCCGTGAGAGAGTAAAAAAGAAAAAAGGAGGGGAGAAACGAAAGAAACCACTCCTCAACAACGCCCCCGTTCGGCTTCCCGGCATTTGTAGCGCGAACGTTTTCTCCCCCACCTACATATTCCACAATTCGTACCACCGGCCCCCATCCCACATCCAGCCCATCTTACGACCCAACCATCATTCCTCCCCCGTTCTCTCACTCAGACAAAAAAAGCCGCCGCCGCCGCCACTACCACCACTACCACCACCACTCACCCCATAACCATCCCCTCCCCCTCTTCCTCCTCACTACCTCCTCCACCCCCCATCTCCCCCACCGCCACACACTCAAAACACCACGTCTCCCCCTCCAACCCAGTCTCGACGCAGCACTCGCGACAAATCCTCCTCCTGCCATCCCCGTCGTCGTAGCTCCCACCAGCACCACCGCTACCACCACCGCGGCGGCGGTCGACGCATCCGATCCGCCGCTCGCAAACCCTCATGCAGATGTAGCACGTGCGGGCGCCGCAGGCGCTGCAGGCCGAGTAGTTGTCCAGATCGCGTTTCTGGCGGGGGGCGCGGTGGCAGCGGTGGCAGGGCGTGAGGTCTATTGTTGACGACGGGGTCTGCGGCGGCGGTGGTGGTTTGGTTGTTGTTGCTGTTGTTGTGGGGCGGGAGACGGCGAGGGGGCGGGTGTGGTGGTTGGTACTGTTGCGGTGGGTGCGCGGGTGCGCGAAGACGCGGGGAAGAGGGAGGAGAGGTTTGCGGTGGTGGTGGTGGTGGTGGCGAGGAGGGGGGAGGGGGGACGGGTAGTCGACGGCTGGGTGGGAGTCGTGGCGCGGCGAGAGGTGGTGGTGGGTCGGGAGGATTTTGATGTTCTTGAGGGGTCTAGACGGCTGTTTAGAGTCGGTGGTTGCTTTTGCTTTTGCTTTTTTTTTTTGCCGGGGTCTTGGGGAGGGATGGAAGGAGGGTCTGGTGGGCTTACGCGGTGTTGGTGGTGTACTCATGGTCGCCGGCGGGGCCGCGCTTCCTCTTGCCTAGGTGCTCCGGGGAAAGCGGGTTGGTGTCCATGGGCTGTATGGGAAGAGAGTGGTAAGGATGGCCGTCGGCGGCGGCGTCGGTGGTCTTGAAGATGTCGTCGGTAAGGTACATTTTGGATTGGTGACGGGCAAGGGCTGCGTGTGCGACAATGCGAGGAATTGGAGCTGACGAAGGGAGCGGTGCGGCGTTTGCAGTTGCAGGTGGTGGGTGGTGTTTGTCGGGAAATGGAAAGGAAGTGGTTGAAGGAGTGGGTGGTTGCACGAAGCCGCCGGGGGTTCGGCACAAGAGAAGGAGAGGCTGGCGGCTAAAGGGTTGGGTTGCGCAGAGGCAGCAGATGACCGTGATGGCGGAGAAGAGAGGAGCGCGGCGAATGACTGCCGGACAGCTCCTAGGCACCACAGCTGGCTCGAGCGGGCCCGCACACAACCCCCGACGACTCGCCGCCCGCTTCGACAGCCTTCGCCGTTGCTCCCCGACTCCCCGACTCCCCGACTCCTGAGACCGGCGTGCGCTTTGCCAATTGGCTGACCCTGCCTTCGCCCCACGAGCTGCCACCTGCGCTGCCGGTTCTGCGACGGTAAATAAACAACATCCCTTTCCTGGATGCTGCCTTGACGCCGGCATGCGTGGCGCTCAGTTGTGGTGGCAATCAGCGCCGGCTCATCTCCACCAGCGTCAGTGACCGCACCTTGCTCTCAAACACCATCACAGCTTCGGGAATGCGATCAGCTATTACGGATACTTGGCGGAATACCGCGTGTGGCTAGCTCGGGCCCCCAATTGCATTTCAATGCCTCTCAATCAAAGTACACGGCTTCGGGCTTGTGCACGCAGATCTTCCCCGACGAGTTGCTCTTCAGCACAATCCTCGCATCGTCTGCGCTGGCCTTGACGTCCTTTCCCTCGACCTTCTTGTGCTCCGTCACGATTTCGACGACCTCTCCGTCAACCCAGCCAGGCAGAGACTTCCAGTGGACCTGCTGCCCCTTCTCCGGAAGACGATCGTTTGAACCTTGCTCCGCCGGCGCGTCGGCCTTGTCATGCCGGGAACCGACCCTCTTGTTTGACTTGTCGCCGCCTTGCTTCGATTCGCTCTGCTTCCCTTTGCCCGAGTCGTTCTTCTGTTTCTTGTTGGCAGACGACTCTGACTTGGTGGGACGGCCGCGCTTCTTTCCTTTTGGCGTGGTCTCTTTGCCGTCCCCGTCTGAACCGTCTGCTTCTGAAATCTCGGCATCGTCATCCTCCTCCTCTTCTACATACTCTACGTCCTCCTCGTCAACTGCCTCTGCCAGGCCGTCTTCAACCGCAGCCTTCTCAGCTTGTTTCTTGACCGCATACTCCTCGTCTTCTTCGTCGTTCGCCTTCTTGCGGCTTTCCTTGGCCTTTGGAGTGTTGCCGACGAACTGCTTCCCCTCCTTGCTCTCTTGCTGCTTCTTCTCGTCGGTCGCCTCCTTCTCTTCCTCGGTCATGTTCTCCCAAGCCTTCTTGGGGAGGTAGCGCTTCTGGGTGCCGTCCTCTTGCTTTGCATGCGCGCTGCCGTCCTTGGTCTGCCACTCCTCCTCACCCCACTTGGAGAGGTGCTGTTGCGACTCGTCCTGGTCCTTTTTGTCGGTGGTGTAGTCACCGCCTCGCTTTTTGTACTCGGCCGCCATCATTTGCGCCTGAAGTGCCAAGTCAGTCATCGGCCAGGATGCGGCAGAAGAGCTGGTCACCAACCTTGCGCGCAGACCATTGTCCAGGTGCTCCTCCCTTGTCTCCCTGACGGATTTCCTCCTTGACCTCATCGCGGAGCTCGGGATCGGTGTATTTGTCCGTGGAAGGCATGTTGAAGATGGCGGTCGTGTGTAATGGACGGTACGAGAGGCGTCTAAAGTCCGAACAACAACAATAACGGATAGTTCGATTGGACGAGTTCACGACAACAGATAGGCGTCGCAAGAGCATAAAGAGCTGATGTCTCAGGCACAAACTCACGACCGCGCAGCCAGCGAGCTTAAGAGCTGCTGTCTCTGGGTCACCGGCGGCCGGCATCGCAGCAAGGAGGCCATGCCGTCATAGAAAACCTGTAGCATCATTGCATAACATCATCGGCCGGAAAAAGGAAGGCTGACTACCATCGGCCAGAGAAACCCTTTGTACCCCAGGAACGACTCGATGATGCAGTGATCGACGCGGGTTCCTTGCGCTAGCCCTTCTTGGGCCTCGCGCATTCGCGCTCCGGATCGCGTCGCGTCGCGTCGCGTCGCTTCAATCAGCTTTCCTCTTTGGGACACATGCATGCAAGTCCCTCAAGCCCCTCAAGCCCCTCAAGCCCCAACCTTGGACTTCTCGAACTCCTCGCTAAATGGGTAGTCCAAGTAGCCTTTCTCTTGCATCGGCGTGTAGAAGGTCGACCGATCGTACGGGTTCGGCTCAAGCCCGTTCTGCAACCTGTACACCAGATCCGGCGTCGACAGGAAGTACCTGCCGAACACAACACCGACATTCCAATCCTTGTACTCCTCATCCACCGCCCTCTTCGTCGACTCCGCATTGAACCCGCCAGCCACCAGCACCGGCTTGTCCTTGCCCCACGCCTCCAGCGCAAACTCGATGCCCTCCTTCTTCTCAACGTCCACAGTATTCACCACTCTCGACTCCACCACGTGCAGATACCCCACCCCCATCTCTCTCAACCTCTTTGTTTTTGAGATTCCAGCTGCGTCTTTGACTGAGAAACGAAACGCCAGCCCATAAGTTTATCTTACAAGACTGTGACTCAGATCAGGATGTTAGATACTCCGGCCCAAAGGTCTTCCGAGATGCAGCAAAACAACCATCAGCTGCTGGGTTTTTAGAGATATCTTGAAGACTGTTCAAAATCCAGGAACCCTTGTTTTTTACTTATTTCCGATCTAGTGGCACCAACAAGCAAACCTTCAAAGAAAGAAAGAAATGGGAGATATGATTGGTTTTCCTAGAACCCTTCTAATTTCAACGGCGAAAAGCATTCGGAACTGTAACCAAAATACCTAGAATGTAACAAGGAAGATGGCTCAGAGGCGAATTGGTGAAGGATCGATATGAACTGGCTGTCGTGTTCGTAATTGCTTAGTCTTTTGGCTTCCGGATGATAAGTGAGACCAAAAGCCTTGGGGTGGCTATGAGCTTTAGTGAACCGCATCGTGACAAAGACCTCGAACTTAGGCCAAGAGACAAATCACGGCCGCATCTCTCAAGAATTGTTCTCGGACGTTCAGATGCAATGCCGTGTAGTGCCAGGGCCGTCGCTGACGTGCTTGCGGGGCAATCGCACGAACACCAACCACGATTGGAAAACCGAGCAGCATGCCCCAGATACGTATCGCATTCACACAAGATGATTGGAAGCAGGAATGCAATCTGTCAGCTGAGATGCAATCCAAGGAATTGTGCCGGTCTAAATTTCCGGTGGATTGCGCGCTTCCTTAAGACCGCCAGCCTGCGTTGACTGTTTTCCTTACAAGGCTCCACGCTACACAGACCCCAAGATGGCTACAGAGGTCGAGACGGTCAGGACAGCGCCAGAACTACCTCGGTACATCCAGGTGCCAGAGACGAAACATGAGTGTATGCTATTTGGTGAAACTTTTGTGGTGACTATCGTTGATTCGAATCGACAGTGGATTGGGCGGACCTCGCTACGCTGGATCTGTCACAATATGATGTCCCTGGCGGCAAGCAGAAGTTGGCTGACCAGCTTTTCCATGCTATTCAGAGTGTTGGTCAGTATGGCGCGGCCAAATACAAGGACAATTGCTGATGTGAACTAGGCTTCTTCTACATCATCAACTTCGGATTGACGCAAGAAGAGGTAGACCGTCAATTCGCCATCGGAAAGCAACTGTTTCAACTCCCCATGGAGGAGAAGTTGAAGTACCGGGCAAACCTAGAAGAAGGAGGGTACAATGGCTACAAGCCACTGGGGCTGCGAGAGATCCGGCCGGGCAAGTTCGACAACACGGAGATATACAACATCCCCAAGTTCATCCCAGCCTACGAGCAGGAGCACCCGGACATCATCAAGCAGCACAAGCCCGAGATTGAGCGCTTCGCGCGTCACATCTTCGACTCAATCGTGCAGAAGCTGCTCGTCCTCGTCGCCATCGTGCTGGAACTGCCGGAGAACTACTTCCTGGAGCGGCACCGGTACGAGGACCGGAGCGACTGCCACCTGCGGTACATGAAGTACCACAAGCGCAGCGCGCAGGAAAACGCCGAGCTGGAGAACGTGTGGGTCAAGGGACACACGGACTTTGGCAGCCTGACGCTGCTGTTCCGGCAGCCGGTGGCGTCGCTGCAGGTGCGCACGCCGCAGGGCGAGTGGAAGTACGTCAAGCCGCACCCGGCGAGCATCACGGTCAACCTGGCCGACTACCTGGACTTCGTCACGAACGGGTTCCTCAAGAGCAGCGTTCACCGCGTGGTTGCGCCGCCACCGGACCAGGCCGACGTCGATCGGCACGGCGTCTTGTACTTTGTCAGGCCAACGGACGACACGGAACTGCAGGCGGTGGAGAGCGGCGTGCTGACGAAACTGGGGTACGGCCAGGCCAAAGACGAGGCGGCGGTGGGGATCACGGCAGGGCAGTGGGTGAAAGGGCGGGTCAAGACGAACGTGATGAAGGTGCCGGAGAAGGGGAAGAACGACCACGTTATCGTCAATGGCGTCAAGGCGACGTACTACGACTGAGTTGAGATGGAAGGAAAGGCGCGGGGCTCGCAGCAAGCAGGGGCCCGTGCTTGGCGTCATGGAGCTGGAGCTCCCGCAGACAGCTGCCACAGCTCGTTATTCCCGACGCTCCATATAAGTAATATCATCGGCGTTATGCTCCCGACGGCAGCACCCAGTCATCCCCAGTCTCCTCGCAATGCACGCCCTCCGTCGCAGCTGCCGGCGCCAGGTGGCGGGGCTCCCTCGCCACTGCAGCCGCGGCTCGCAATCTATCAGCCGGGCGGGGTTACGGTTGCCGGAGAAAGCTGTAGCTCCGCCGCCAAATCGTGACGTGCTGCTGCAATCCCACTTTTCGACAACACGGTACCGAAAAACACTCTTTCTCTCCCAGCTCGACAACTCACTCTCTCCCGCAGCAACCTCTTCGCCCGCCCGCCCACCGAAACAATGGCCGTCCGCAGCGTTTTCGACCCCAAGGACATGCCCTTCAGGCACCTGGGCCCCACCGGCCTGAAGGTCTCCGTCTTCTCTCTCGGCGGCTGGCTGACGTACGGCGGCACCCAGAAGGGCAACATCGTCAAGGAGTGCCTGCAGGCCGCTTGGGACAACGGCATCAACTTCTTTGACACCGCCGAGGTCTACGCCAACGGCCAGTGCGAGATTGAAATGGGCCAGGCTCTGAAGGAGCTCGACTGGCCCAGGGACGAGTACGTCCTGTCCACCAAGGTGCGTGCCCCGAGAGACCCTGAAGCTTCTGCGCTGACGTTTCCCAGGTCTTCTTCGGTACCGGCAGGAAGGAGCCCAACACGCGCGGTCTCTCGCGCAAGCACGTCGTCGAGGGCCTCAAGTCCTGCTTGGAGCGCCTGCAACAGCCCTACGTCGACATCGTCCTCGCTCACCGCCCTGACGTTGGGTACTAGGCCCTGTATCCTCGTATCCATTGAGCCTGAATGCTGACCAATCGCAGCACCCCGATGAAGGAGATTGTCGAGGGCTTCACCCAGGTCATCCGCAACCTGAACCTCGCCTACTACTGGGGTACGTGCCAATTGCCTCATTTGTGCGTGGTACTTTGCTAAAACAACCCTTCAGGCACTTCCGAGTGGAGCGCCGCCCAGATCACCGAGGCCACCTTGATTGCCGAGAAGTACAACCTCATTGCCCCCATCGCCGAGCAGCCCCAGTACAACGCCTTCCACCGCGAGCGCTTCGAGGTCGAGTACGCCCCGCTCTTCCAGCAGTTCCAGTATGGCACCACCATCTGGAGCCCGCTCGCCTCGGGTCTTCTGACGGGCAAGTACAACGACGGCATCCCCGAGGACTCGCGCTTCGCCAACAACAAGGCCTTCTTCGAGAGCACCATCAAGTCGCTCAAAGAGCCCGAGGGCCAGGCCAAGATCGAGAAGGTCAAGAAGCTGACGACCGTGGCCGAACGTCTGGGCGGCTCCACCACCCAGCTCGCCCTCGCCTGGGCCGCGAAGAACCCCAACGTGAGCACCGTCATTCTCGGCGCCACCAAGGTCGAGCAGATCCACGACAACTGCAAGGCTCTGAAGCTCCTGGACAAACTCACTCCTGAGGTCATGGAGGAGATTGAGACCATCTTGGACAACAAGCCCACCGCCAAGCCCTCTTTTGGCAGGGACAGGTAAGCTGTGAGTAGTGGCTGGGGGAAGATATCTCCCTTTGGAGCTTGGTTCTGATGTTGCTGCAGGTTGAGGCAAGCGAAGCTGTAAGCCGGCTTTGACGAATGATGAAATATCTTGAATAAAAGAGCAAGAAAGGAGAATAATCAGGCACATTGGCCAATCGAGTTTCCTTCAGCCTTGATGATATCGGAAGTGAATACTGAAAAGTCTAGATGAAATTAAGCACGCGATTCTTAGGCCATGCCTCACTCATGGTGGCCATAGTCCATCCAGAATTAAAAAGCCTTACTGTCCACGGTAAAGCTCAGCCTCCAACGCATGAAGAATCGTTTCGTACGTTTGCTTCGAAAGAAAACAAATCACTCACACTAAGAAGCGCTCAATATGATCTACTTGATAAGGTCCTGTATGTTGACTCATATAACTCAATCGGCACCACACATATCAACACCTTTGTCTTGCACATCCGCGCGACACATCTCCAACTCCTTGCAACGCTCCAAACGAGCACAATCACATCCTTCTTGCTATTATTCCTCAAGTGTGTACGCCAAGGAGAATTATCTTACTCCCAAACTCCCGTACCGCAGCAGATAACATTAGAGCTTTCCTTTCTCGGAGGTTTCTTACTAAAGGTGCACCACTTCACTCTGGTGGATGGTTTACACATAGTAGTGTCCCGTTCCTACCTATCGAAAATAGAGACAACTGGAGTAGTTTGGGTTGCGCAAACCATACCATCAAAGCTAACGCGCACGTGTTATGGAGTACAGTCACAAGTGGACGCCGCATCCATGGTCTTGGCACGTAGGGAAGAGAAGTTATAAGTGGGAAGCTAAACGCAGGGTCCGCCTCTCGTGCCATGGAAAGGACGAAGGACCCTAAAATCTCAACCGATATATATTTCCAACATAACACTCAAATGCAAAATTTCTATCTTCAACCCCACCTCCAGGCAAAACGATGCGGTCCATGGCAAGCATAGAAGCAGTTCAAAGGGCACCAATACACGCGGAGGAGCCCATGTTATACTACGACGACGATGGCGATTCTTTAAACCAGTTATTATCTCCGGCCGGCGATCTGGTCGAATCCGGATGGGACATCCGTCCTGTCCCGATTTCGGACAGACTGTACGAAATGTTCTTGCTTTGCTGCTGCGCTTGGTGCTCGTCTGACCCGTAGTAAGTTTCACCTGTTGGCTTGATTTGCACAGTGGCGTGGGTAAAAGATTCATCCCTAGAGAGGGAGACGACACACTGTTTGGGCGGGTAGTAAAATCATACGTCGGGGCGAACATGGACAGTCTGTAGACTGACATCTAACGTCCGGTTGTATACTTTGACTACACACATAGGAGGGCTTGAAAACCCCATATCTACGTCTGGGCATTTCTTTCTACAGCCTCAACTTGCGCTAACACGGTTGATAAAGTTACTGGGGTGTGTGACCCATAGCGCTCGTCAGTGCAACACAGTTCTGGAGACATCAAGAACATCGGACCGCTACCGACCGTGCGTCCTCTAAAGCACCAACAGCAACGACCTTTGTCATTCGAAAAACGCCAACAAACAAGCACCCCTCGGCGGCCGTAGCTTCTACCATAACAACATTTGCGAGATCCAAGTCATTGCGAGCACTTTTGGAGTACTCTATTACAACAGTCAGTCCAAGCGGTTTGATATGAGAATGATTCGGAGTCAAATTGGGGTGCACATTTCGCTTTAGATTGTATATAATATATCAACACGAAAATACCTTCCTCACACAAACACCTACATCGTCGTCATCGTCATCGTCACCAACTTTCAGGCATGTGAAAATGCCCCACCAAACTCCTACCCGGCGTCGCCGCCGCTTCCACACCGGAATCTAAATGATGCTCCGCTAAAAAGTCTTCCACCCAGATAGTAGTTCCTCAAACCGACACCTCAGAACTCGCCTCCCTAGGGACCGGCCATGGTCCACTCACTCACTTCGATCCATTCCCCTGCTGCTGCTGCTGCTGCTGCTGCTCCCGCTCCTGCCTCTGCGCCAACAGCTTTTCCGGCGGCGGCAGCACATCCGGGCCGAAGCTCATGGGCAGCAGCTCCCCCATCGTCTTGACCACATACCTCCCGTCGTTCGTATGCATGAAAATCGGCGTGTCCAACTGCAGAAAGAAAGTCGATCCGTCAGCACAGATTCATTTATTCCCTCGCAACCCCCGCGTCCCCTCTTCCGTCTCTCTTTCTCTCTCCCTTCCCAACCACCATCACCACCACCGATGATTCCTTACCTCCAAAAACTCCCTCAGAAACTGCCTGCACATGCCGCACGGGCTGCAGAACTGCTCGCCGCCCAGGTCCGTCGCGACGCCGACGGCCTTGAAGGCGCCGCGGCCGTAGCCGAACGTCGTCACCGCGGTGCCGACGGCGACGCGCTCGGCGCACGTGCCGACGGGGTAGGCGGCGTTTTCGACGTTGGCGCCGACGACGATTCGCGGGTGGTCGGGGTTGTGGTCGGCAGAGGAGGAAGGGGACGGGAAGGAAGGGCGGGCGGCGGGGTCGATGAGGAGGGCGGCGCCGACGCGGAATTGGGAGTAGGGGCCTGGGAGGGGTGGTGGGGTTTGGTTAGCTGGGTTTGGGTTGGGTTGGGTTGGGTTTGTTTGTTTGTTTGTTTTTTCGTTGTGAGGGAGGGAGGGAGCGGCGCTTGAGGTGTGGTGAAGCTCCCCATGGCGAGAGAGAGAGAGAGAGCGCGTGTATGCGACTAGACTGGGGAAGTGCGCGAGTACGTACAGTAAGCCCTTCCCCGCGCCTCAAGACATCCCTTGGATAAGGCGTCGACCTCCTGCACGGTGAGTCCGTGGATCAGACCATCGTCTCGCTGTTGCTGCTGCTGCTGCCCTGTCGCGGTCATGGTGAAAGGGAAAGAAAAGGGAAAGAAAGGGAGGGAAGGAGGGGGGAGAGCGGAAGGATGGCGGGGACGAGGGGACAAGGTACACAATGCTGCGGCATGGGTGTGTGCAGCGCGCCGTAGAAACAGGGTCCAGGGCAGTCGATAAGAAGGCAGATAAGATAACGACTGGCGGGTTTGGCAGTCGGCGTCGACCGTAGAGGCGGGGGTCGCCTGGGTTGCCGTTTGCGGGTCGAGCTGGAGACAGCTACCTGATGCGGGAAGGCTTCCTCCAGCTCAGCAAAGGGCGGCGCGGCACGTTTCCCTTTGGTGCTCCGAACAGAGCCGCTGTACCCTGAGATCGACGGCGGCGAAGTTGCCACCCAGCGTGGGCGGGTGGGATTCTTGGGCGTCGATCATCCGGGAGCGGCGAGCGGAGGTCGGCGGGTCGGCGGGTGAGTTTTGCGCGGGTCGCGGCTTGCTGGAAGGTCGGCTACCCGTCGATCCCCGCTCCACCAGAGCAATGACGCCAACGCCAGCGCCAGACCACCTCTCCCTTGCAGCTTTCCCTTGCCCTCGCTGCGCCACGCCTATACTCGCTACACAGCCCTGCCTACGTCACCCGAGTCAGCCAGGAGCATCGGGCCAGACTCGAGAAGACTCATCTATCGATCACACTGCTCGCGCCAATGGCAGCAATGGCGCAGGGCCCATTGATCGGCACGCTAGCCGCACGTGTACCTGCAAGACGAATGCAGCCCGCTCGGAATGGATGTGTTTCATCGACTGGCATCTCGCACTTTTCTTCTGCCCACCTGCAGCCAAGAGGCCGCGTGGCAACGTGGCCGATCGTGGCACCGAGATATGCCTGAGCACACTGGGAGACGCTGTTCCTTCCCGCCTGCCACCCAGGAAACCGCGACTGACATGACATCGACGGTGTTTTGCCTCGTGGTCATGGAAGGGCGGAGTTAACTCCTACAGACACGCCCTACCTTGCCGCTACTCTATTGATGACCCTTCTGTTCTTTTTCTGTATTCAGCCTCTGCAACACTGAAACTTCACCATGGCCAGCACGTTCCACCGCAGTGCTAGCCCTCTCAGCACTTGCTTCTTGCCAATGCAACGTCGACAACCAGCCATGGTTACGACGTCGGAGCACGCGGAGTCGGGAACATGGACCGTCCGCTTCCTCGTCGGGAACGATGCCCAACGCCTCCGTCTTCAATCTATAACGCGGTAGTCGCGGTTGCCCATCAAACTGCGCCTTGACGCACTCAATGCACTAACCCGGGCACTACCAATCCTGCCCCCATTCCGGGGTAGCCAGTGGCGCGTGGCAATGCTAGTCCTTACTCATCACGAGCACCCCATGGATCCTTGGTATCGAGGCCATGATATCCAAGGCGACGCAGAGGGAGAGCCAGAGTGGTCAGCGGGCAGAAAACCGCCTTCTGCATGCATGTGTATGCAGGCAGTCGGAAGCAGCAAAAAGCCTAAGCCACGAGCGAGAGCCTCATGGAGAGATAATATCACGCACATGGCCAAGAGTGCAACACACGCCAGGGGCGAGGCGTTGATGACGATGCCATCGCAATTCTCTCCTCGACCCGCAAACCAAGGCGAGATGGTGATTCGCAGCCCTTCTTTCTTCTGCTTTGCTTGCTTGATGTCGTCGTCACCATGCATCCCGCGGATCCAGGAAACGCACGCATCCAACCGACCATTTCCCAAGCTCCCGTCTTTTGACGCAAGACACATGCCGCCCGCCGGCCACGCGCAAGTGAACCAGAACCAGAACCAGAACCAAAACCAAAACCAAGCCAGTGGGCGATCCGATTGACACGTGCGAAAAGGAAAGAAAACAACGTGGCGGAGGCAAAAAGATCATCATCATCATCATCATCATCATCTCGTAGCACTGCACGCACGCCGCTGCGCATCTCTAACCCAGCCAACCCCATCACACCGATGAAGCGATTTCTTTACTAGTTCAATCGCGCGCCAGCCACTGCGGCCTATCCACGCATCCTTCCATTTCTGCTCCTTAGCGATAGGTAGAGAATAAAAGGCGCAACGAGAATTAGGAGAGACAGACGGACGGGAGACGGAATGAAGAGGTCTGCTTAGCTGCGGATCAACTACCCCTCGCGCGCATACGACGGAGAGAATAATACAAGGAAGATGGGACCCGGCACAGCGGGAGAGGGGCGATTACGTGCTGGTTGGTGCTTTTCTGTCGATGAGGTCAGACGACGTCTGTTGTAGAGACGACGGAACCGTCCAAAGTGATCGGAGAAAGGCTGATCCAGGCCTTTGCTTGATATTCCGCGGATGCGTGCATCTTAATTAGCACATGAACGCCTTACGTCGATGGCTTGGGTTTGGGGAGGGGGGGAGGGCTGAGATGGGATGTGATTGGCAGAGCGGGAGAGGGGACCCTGTGCCGTATATGCTTTGTCCAGGCTGCTGTTGGATGCCTTTCCGTGCCCGCAAAAAAAACACTTGATACTACTATTGCAGTCTTGCGACAATCGGTTGGGCGCTTGCTAGCACTTCTGAGCTGATCACGCGCATGCCGTAGTACATACTCGCTCATCGTACCATGATCCGAAGCACTGGCTCTCTCTATCTCTCTATCTCTCTCTCTTTCGCGCTTCGGCCTGATAGGGCACGAGCTCTCGCCCTCCCGTCGGCTGTGCAGATCTGCAAGCCGCCCCCTGCCCTTCCTTTCCAAACCTTAAAACAGCCCACACCCAGAACGAAGCGATCTTCAACAGAATGCGGAATTCGACCGCTCCGTAACGGATACCGACGGCCCGCACGTAATTGCCGCCTTTCACTACTACTGTATAAAACTCTCAAAATTCAAACGACGTATACGTCGGCAGTATTTTTTCCCCGGACAGGGGAAGTAGGAAAACCGCCCTGTGAGATGTATGTACTCCGCATGGCTGAGGTCAACCGCGCTTGCTGTGACGTACGTGCGGAAGCATACTACCTACGCAACCTCTCTCTGGGCCGGCTCCAAAAGAAGGTGCCGCCGCATGAAAACAAAAAACCATTCCCTTTCGGGCCCGGACCGAGAGCAAGAGGGAAAGCACGTTGCGGAACCTGATGACCGAAGATATAAAATTCGGTGTACTCCCCGCCCTGTAGATCATGGAGATAAACGTGGGAAAGAAAAATGAGGCTACGGAAAACGAAAAGGTACATAGGTACAGTACGTACCTTCTCACTCCATCACCCTAGCCCGCGACGCCCTCAACAAATCCGGATAATCATTGACCACCCACCACCACCAAAGGGGGAAAAGAAAAGCAGGACGAGAGATCGACCTCACACCACCACTAGATGGTGATTCGACACTACTCGGACCGCACACAAAAAAACCCGAGGAGATGGGAAAAAAATTAAAAGGACTATGCATCCCTCTAATTCCCCCGAGTCTTCCCGTTCCCTGCAGGTATGATCTCACCCTATACCGAACATATACCTACGTACCTAGTGATCGTCGCCCGATACCCCATCGCGCCATCTCTCTCTACCTTGTACGTGAAGATCTACCCGCGCTATCCCGGAGTGTCAGCCTTCTCCCCGGCTAGCGCCAAGCGTGCCGGCGGCGGCGGCGGCTCATGCAGCCCCTCCCCCCCCACTCGTTTCGACCCGCTTCCGACGGGACTCCGCGGAGCATTCCGTACGTCAGAACGGAGGAGGGGGCCAGGTACAGGTACATTGGCGTCAAGAGGTATGTAGAGGCAACCAAAGGAAAAACAGATGGTGGTAGGCGCAATCCCCGGCGGAAGGCTGAGGGATGGTGGAGTTTTGATCCATAGCGTCTCCCTCAAATTACCGGATCCAGCAAAAACAAAGAGGAAGAACGGAGCAACCATCAGAAGAATCCGTGTATACGGCCGTAGACGGGCAAAAGAAAAAGCAAAAAGCCAAAGCCCCGGCCATTCCTTCCTCTCAGCCGCAGCAGCTCTCCGAAGGAACGTGTTCACGATGCAAACACACAAACATACTGCACACTATCATGAGCAGCAGCTGGCGGCGGCGGACTGTTTCCGACGATCTGGCGCGTGCGTGACGCGGGACGAGAAATTCAAAAAGACAAAAAGGAAATAACGAGGAATCGCGCACTCCCGCGGCCCCCTCCCATCCCTCCTTCGATCAGCCGCGCGTGGTTGATCATCATTCCCCGGGTTTGCCGAGTTGCTCCATCGTCCTGCATCCGCCTCGAGACGAGGTACTTGGGCTCGGTTGTTGGTTGGCGTGTTGTATGCACAACGCCAACGCCAACGCCAAGGCGGAACGAGCTCGTTGGATGATGATCGAGGGAAGAGGAAAAAGAGGAAGTGGTGGCATTAGCAAACCCAGCAGAAGCCGTCTTCTAGCTGCAAAGAAACAAGAGCACATGTAAGAAAGGGAAAGAGTGGAGCGAAGGCCAAACCTTCCGCCCCATGCAAACGCCTACCTAGCTTATACCCAACCTCCACTAGCCCCCCTCCCCTCCACCAACCTACACACACACATGCACACACATCTAAAAAACATCAGCCCATGAGCCATTTAAAAATGAATTGTGGGCAAAACTAGAGAAATCCCATCGACCCAAAGACGGGGGCCGGGGAGACGGCGGCGGCGCCCGCCGCCGCGACGGGCCAGGCTTTGCTACTTTCGAAACGTCCGCCCGACTTGTTTTGCGCTGCTGCTTGTTGGTGCAACAAGTTGCATGCAAGTGCGGCTGCAAACGCCACACATGCTAATTATTACTCCTTTTTTTTTTCCCGCCTCCGTTTAATCCCCACCGTTTTTTTCTTATTTCCTCTACTCTCTCTCTTTGAAGACCCACATCACCTGAGAAAGATCAGGCTTTTGGCCGCGTGCGGTGTGGTTGGTAATTGGGTTTTGAATTTTCACATGTGAACAAGAAGGGCGAACAAAGGGATGAGGGTATGTGAAGGTGAAGTGGGGTAATTGGAGTAGGTAGCGATTTAACGACGCAGGTACACAGGTACTTCTGTTTGCACGTGGAGAAAAGCAGATTGAGAAAAAAAAACACCGTTCCTCTATCATTTGTGGTGGTCTGGACTTTTTTTCCACTCGTCCATGCACGCGGTCTTCCCACGCGTCGTGCATTTCCCAAGAATTTCTTTTGGACTCTTGAACGGGAGGTGGTAGATAGCTAAGATACATGTCTCAAACATCGGCGTGGGTAGGTAGAAAGAATTTTAAGTTAAAAGGGAGAGGAACCGGGCCAGGTCGCCATGTGTTCGCTGAGGGCTTTACTGCGACCTGAGCCAAGAGGGGATCCTGGGAAGGCGATAAGCTACCAGCGCGTACGGCAGCTCCGAATAAAGCGATATTGGGAAGTGTGGGAACATCACAAGAATAAAAACGAGCAGACAGTGCGGTAAAAGTGCAAGAAGCCAGACAGCCAGATGAACAGCGGACAGCATGCCAGGTAGGGACACAGCAAAAAAAAAAAAATGACGCTACCGTGATACTACCCCGCAGGTTACATCCCTCTTTTTATCCCATCCACGCCGAAATGAGCCCATTCTCCCATATGCCTTGCGGCATCGTCACCTCGTCTCACTCTGGAAAAACAAAAAAAAAAAAACAGACCCATCAGGCAGCAACACGCAAATGTCTGCCGTGAAATCAGAAAACGCGCCGGGAATATGTTGCGGACCAAGAAAAGCCTCCGGATGAGAGCAAATGATACGCCAGCCCGATTTGAACGGAAAAAGAGCTCTGATGATCCCGTGGAAGCTTTTATGTCGACATCGAGCAAGACAGTCCATCGTGGCACAACATGGTATGCGGCGGCGGTAGACCCTATCGTACAGTGCGTAAAGTAGGAAACTCTTTGACATGGAATCGAAGTGCGTTCGTTGGCACTGCGTGTGAGGGCCCGAGGATATCATCAGAAAACAACATTGAGGCTCTCTGCCATTCAACGTTGGACATGCCAAGGAAAGAAGGGGTGAGCAGATGCTTTGTTCTGGAAACAGCCGCGCGCAAAGTTTATCTGTGGCTGTATGGTCTCCCGCCGGCAAACTCTACACCCTGCATGGCAGTGGGTTGCGCTGCGGGCTGTGCCCCGTTCTGCCATTGCTGCTGCTGCAGAGGTGGGAGAACGTTTTGTTGGCCGGGCCCGGCCTGGGGTTGATTGTGTGCCAGGAAGCTGGTCATGGATCCAAACACGTGTGGATGACTGGGGTCCATCTGGCGTAGCTGCTGCCATGCAGCGTGGAGCTCCTGCTTGAGTTCGGCATTTTCGCGTTCGACTTCGCCACCCCGCGGGTTGTAAGCAGCAGAGGACTCCTGCCGCATACGGGTGTTTTCGTTATGTAGTCTGTCGTGGTTCCTCTGCATGTTTCTGATGTACTCAATCGCTGCAAGCGAGTGTCAGTTTCCCGATCGACATGGTGAAGCAATGCACCGCTTACACTTGGTGAGGATTTCCCACTTGCTGGACTTGTTGCCAGGGGAGTTGGGCAGAATGCCATTCAGTTCGTCAAACAGCTGCTTCATCTCGCTCCGTCGCTTGCGCTCGGCCATCTTGTGGCTGACGCGCAACTCGGGAGTCCGACTGTAGTTGCCGGTACCAGGCGTTGCCGCGTGCTCGGACTGAAGGTTGGTGATGTTGCGGTGTTGCATGGAATGGTGATGCGTGTGAGGGATTTCTGCACGCGGTTAGCGTCGACCAAAGTGACGGTGAGCAACAAACACTGACCATCTTCGAACCTCTTCTGGCCGGGCGGGAGCGCTTCGGCGAAGATGCTGCTGTTGATGGACGTGGCGAAGCTGTTTTGCCTCGAAGGGATGGATCTCGTCGATCTCTCGATGCTGGAATCGCCGCTGCTGGAGCCACGGCGCTCGTCCGGTTCGGCATCGGGGAAGGCCCATGGGAAACCCTTGGTGGGGGCCGCGGCCATGGGATCGGGCATGCCGGACACACTGCGGGGGTTGGGGTTGATGACGGGTGCCCGGCGGGGTGCTTGGTTGGAGCGGACGGAGTCGGTGGAGCGGATCGAGTCCCGATGACCAAGAGGGGAGAGCGGCGGGCCGCTGTGCCGGTGGTTCTCGGTGGCGGTGATGCCCCGCTGCTGCTGGAGGCTGGAGACCAGCGACACGCGCGAGGTGTTTTGAGACTCGTAGGGCGAAGAGGGGCTGATGGCGAGGTGGGTCATGCCGGCGTTCATCCGGCTGTCGACGCTGCTGCGCCTGGACTCCAGGTAGGACGACGAGGCATCCAGGCTCTGGCGGTTGTCGAAGTTGTGACTGAAAGGCGGCAGAGCCTGGGGGGTCTGGGAGGGCTGACGTAACGACTGCGGCGTCTCCGGGATAGAGCTCCGCGATGGCGAGTCCTCGGCATTGAGAATGTTTTGCAATTGGAGGTTGGTCGTGTTGGACACGCCCGACGAGTGCTTGCTCTGGGCCTGAGACATGGACCAAGCTCCGGAGTCGCGGGCATCGATGTGGTGTTGGCGGGCCTGCATCTGGGCGACGTCGGAATTGGGGATGCTCTGCGTCAGCGACGCGATGGACGGCAGGGCCTGGGCCTGAGACATGTTGGACAAGGACGCTCACGTGAGACGGAAGCGACAAACGACCAGGAGACGGGGTGGAGGAGCGGAACGGCGGCTTTTGAGAAGGCGGAACAGAGGTGGGCTCGGTCGGCTTTTCCGACGTCGGTCAGCCCTGGCAGTGGAGGGGCGGCGGGATGGAGTCCGTCCGGTGGAGGCGAAAGGGGATGGCGTGGTGGTGGGGGGCAGGGCGAATGGTCAGGACGGTCAATTAAAGAAAGGCTCTTGGTCGGTCGGTAGGGCAGCGGGCTGCGGCCCACGTCAGCGCGTGAAGGGCAATGGCGGGCAGGCGGGCAGGCGGGCGGGTTTGCCGGGGCGCTGGCACGAGGGGTGACGTCGGGAGGGAGTCGGGGTGGCAGCAGTGGCAGCAGTGGCAGCAGCAGGCGAGGAAGGCACTTACTCGAGGCGGGGGCCGCTGGCTCGGGCTTGCAGCAGCGTTGAGAGCAAAAGAGCGGTTCAGGCGCAGCGTGGACGTGAGGGCCGCGAGCCGGGCCGATTGTCGAATGCAGGGAACGGGGCGGGCTCAGGGCATTGGGGTGCGGAGGGGTGGGTACGGGTCGTTGCAGAGTCGGGGAGGAGGGCGACGGGGGGAGGCGCGGGAGGTCGTGTGGAGATCACGGGATGCCGCAGGACGAGGACGGGCGCACGCGCGGCAGGCCGGAGGGGAGCGAGGACGAGGGCGCGCGGTGCGGGTGCGGAGGCAGATGAGATATTGCAGCGAAGGGAGGCGGAAACGGTGGCGCGCACGGCCGGTTGCACGAAGCGCTTCGGAGCCTGACACGGTCACGGGCGGGTGCCGGCAAGGGCAGCTGGGGGGAGAGTCAGGCACTGCACCAAGGGCGGCAGAGTGGCAGCAGCCGTGGCCGTGGCCGTGGCAGCGCGAGCGCGATGAAGGCGAGCAGCCGGAGCTTGGGCGAGCAGCGACCAGCCCGCTCAGGCGTCCCTTACATGCACGACTCGGCGGCGCGGTTCGGGGAGCAACAATCGCCAGCACAGCCAGCAGGCCAGCACCGCCAGCACCGCCAGCACCGCGTGCACCGCCGGCCGCCACGGGGGCGCGCGCGCGGGCAGCGAGCGCAGGGCAGAGGGCAGGCTGGCGGCAGCGTGGGCAGAGACGGGCGGCACCGCGCCAGGCCAGGAGGAGCACCAGCCGCGCCGCCGCCGGCCGCCGAGGGCGATCTGCTGGCCATGCACGTGGGCGGCCGGGTTGCGAGCCTCCAGCTCCAGATCCGCCCACCCTCGCCGCGCGCTGTGGCGGCCGCTTGCCAAGCGCGTGGAGGGGTGCCCGCCGGCCGCGCTCGCGTGGCTCCCGCGTCAATGCGGAGCCCGGCCGTCCTTGCACCTTGCAGCGCCGCTGCTTTAACCACGCTGCTCGCTTATCGCCCGCCCGCCAGCCCGACCACACCTGCCTCGATCTGCCAGCCCGGCGAAACCCACCGTCGTGCCACTGCGATCTGCACCCTCCAGCACCTCCAGCACGCCCTGCCAGGGAGCCGCCCGCCGCGAGCAGCCCGCCGTCCGCAGCCCGCCGTCCGCAGCCCGCAGCCCGCGGCGAGCAGCGAGCAGCGAGCATTAATATTACTGTCGGGCGCGGAAAATGACGGGCGCGCACCTGTCGCACCGCCCCGGCTGCAGCGTTCCTGTCTGCCTGCTAGTGTCCGCTGCATGTCATTCGCCTGCGCTAACTCTTGCCCAGCCCGCGCCCGCCCAGGCTGCTTGCAACCTCATCGCCCGCGCCCACGCCTGCGCCCACGCCCGCGTCCACGCCCGCGTCCACGCCCGCCTGCACCCATCACCCCATCTGTGGGGCTCCGTCCAGCACGACGCCGTGTCTCAGCGCGCGCGAGTCCAGCCCGTCCTCACGCGCAGCACCGTTCCCCTTTGATCGCGCCCGTTGCACACGCGCCCGCTTTGGGCCGCGCCGGCAGCACCGCTCACGCCCGGGTGAGCCCGTCCGCCGCCCGCCGAAGCCCGAACCGCGTTATGCAACGCCGTCGACGCGCCCGCCGACTGCTGCAGATCCGGATGTGAACCCAGGAATCGCGCCGTGGCAAGGGAGGCCGCCAGCCAGGGGCGCCGCCCGCCGCGCATCGTGAAGCCGCTCTGTACCACCCACCGCTGCCCGGCTACCCAGGATGGGTGCAGCAGTGGCAAGAACTGTCCTTCGCGCCGAGCCCAGCCTTGGTTCGTCCGACCAGCTGATGCTCCCCGATCGCCATGGTCCGCCGTGCCGGACTCGCCCCATGTAAACAAGGAGTGCTGCTGCAGAAGGTCATCTCGCGCTGCAAACGCGGCCATGGAGAGCCGGCCGCCGTGCACATGGCCCGCATGTCTCTGCGCAACCCAGCCCGACGACGACTCCCGCGCCACGCTTCGGAGAATTACGTCGGATACGCACACATGCCAGCACCGCTCGACACATGGCGAAGAGGCCGCTTGCAGCTGCGTTTCGACCTGTGCCGCCCTCGAGTGGGACGCCTCCCACCGACCGGGTTTGGAACCGCGTCGCAGCACCACCACCGTGCCTCGTTACACGCCCCGTCGGAAGCGGGCGCAGCACGGAGCTCACCAAACCGTAGTGCTGTGTTCCCCCCCGCGCCGATGCTGAGCTTCTTTCGTTGCGACTACCAAGCGTGCACGGCATCGCGCTAGCCTCGGTCCCATCGCCGACTGGGTTGCGTCTCGTGTTTGACTTGCTTCTGCCATCTGAGCAACCGTCATGTTTGGCTCTTTGCCTACCAGACGGCCGCGACGTCGTGAGGCCAGCATAAGCGGCACGTCCCATGTCTCAGTACAATCTCTCTTCTGTCGGGCTGCCCGAGGGATTGCGCATTCTCTCCAACGCTTTCAGGAAATGGGACCCAAAACTCGGGGTGCGAAGGGGCGCGACATGTGCCTCGTTTCAGCAGCTTGGAGCCGTGGCGATCTCCGTGGCGCCAATATACATCATGCGGCATCTTTTCGTCATGATGGGCTGCGTCTGCAGGCTCGATACGACTACAAGAGCACGCGCTTTCCACACCGCCTGGGTGCCGGCAGCTCTCCGATATAGTTCGCTATCAATCGCAAGCGAACGGCCATACTCGATCTCTAGTAATCATGCGGCGCTGATCTCAGACTGTTCGAGGGATCGCGTTTCATGGGACCCGTGCTGATGTTCCCAAACGCGATGTCCGTTCTGGAACCGCGTGTGCACATGGCAGCAGCTTCCCGTCAGCCTCCCGTTGGACGGGGCCCCATCCAGGCTAAACAAGCGTGAAGGATAGGTCGCGAGGTGCACGCTTTCCTCACGTTGTCCTCGTGCTGCAACCGTCAGGATTCCTGGGGACCGACGAAAACGGAAGCACCACAGCCTGAGAAACGTGCCCCAAGTCAAGCCGAACACCACGGCCCCTGCCTTCGCTAGCAATTATTCAAAGAAAAAGACGTTGCCACGCCGGCGGCATGCGCCATCCATGTTTCTCGAGCCCAGAGCGCCGGGCGCGATCGAGTGCTGCTTTCCTCAGCACTCATGCTTTTTGTTGACCAAACAGCCTCATCAGCAGAATGCCCGGCGGGTCCCACGGGCACGGGTCTCGCTGAACGGAATGCTTGGCCAAGCCCCCTCCTCCACGCGTACGGAAGCACGAGGGTGTGTTGCTGCAGCAGGCATTCCTCAATCTGCGGAGGAAGTCGTACGATAAAGGAAGATCAAAGGCCGATCAACTCAACGGCATGACCATGCAAGCCAAAGAAAAAAGAAAAGAAAAAAACCAAAGCTCTGCAGGCAGCTGCGGGCTGATCTGTCCATCCGCCATTGGTGCTCACGGAGGTTCGGTCCAGTCCTTCCGCCCCGCACGGAAGCCTTGAGGTGCACATCGAATACGGGTCCTCTTACACAGACCCATACCCCTCCTCGAAGATCCACTCGGCAAAGTTTCCTTTCGCGTCACTTTTTCACGAACACGGCCGTTTTATCAACAGCAGTCGCTGTCACCATCTAGACCAGCTGCTGCATCTAGTATGCCGGGGCCGGTTCACCGTTTAGTGGGATTGTTGGCCGGTCTGTGCTGTGTGTTTGGTTTGCTTGCTTGGTCATCTCTCCCCCAAGATGATATGCCAACTTCTCCATTCCTGACGGATTTTTCTGTTGCTGGACGAGCGGTGCCACGGTTCCACCCGTAGTCTTTGTGTTCCGGTGTGGCGGGACGACCGGCGTCATAACTTTTCACACTAGCTGGGTGCTGGTACCCACGTCTCGTGAGGGCACATGGAACCAAGCCAGTTTGTGGACCGAACGCATCCCGACCGCGCTTGATCCATGCATCACTCCTTCGTCGAGAGGGCGGAGGGATGCAAAGTTTACGAAAGAGGAAGGTAGACAGCCAGGACTGACTATCGCCTAGTATAAGTTAACAGCAAAGAGATAAATCTTCCCAAAACTTGTGAGCCGGCTTGCACGCCCCACACGAACAGTTCGTACTTGCCAGGCCCGGGGGGGGGGAGGCAGCGGAATCCGTTGCGTGCTCCGAGGGTAGCCCGGTGCTTCCACAAAAAGCCTCGTGGTCGACGACGATCAACATCAGGATCGACCGCCTACCCCTATCAAGATCCACTTGGAAGAAAAAGAATTCCCAAGGCAACAGGAATGGTGGCTGTGTCCTGTGTTTTGCGAGGGCCGAGCAGCTCCAAGAGGGCATCAGTGCTCGGCTCATTCTCGGACCGAGAGCTAACCACATCCGGTAATCCTGCCACGTGACCGACCAACTCCCTGCGCACCGCCATAGCCTCATGCTTGAGATGTGTCGATGAAGGTGTAAGAAGACTGAATGTGTAAAAAGATCGAATGACGAAAAACTGTCCCCCGGATGGGGGTCTAAGGGAAAGTCGCTTGCCCGGACTTGAGTCTGGCCAGGAAAGTGGTTGCCGGAACGACCCCCTGGTCAGGATAATTGGTTGCCGGAGCACGCCAGCAGAGACGGGACGTCGGAGTTGGCCGTCATCGCTCAAACCAAAAAAAAGTATTTTCTCTCCGACGGGGAATCTTTTATACGTTAGTAAATCGCCGAGAACGGGAGTCGAACATGGAATCTTACCGAACCCCGGTCTCCCGCGCTTGCCATTAACAGCGTAATTACGTCTGCCAAGGATGACAAGCGGAAATCATCACCACTAGACCATCGAAGAAGACGGACCTGAGGCCCGGATGGTGTGGTTGACTGCAAGTCAACTGGTATGGGATAAGTTTGTTGACCACGAGTTATATACCTAGTCCAACTCCCCTATCGAACCCACCCACGATGTCACCATACAAAGCCTCCATGGTCTCATCTGCGGCAGACGGACCGACGAGCCAGAGAAAAAAGCAACGACCACTTCACAGCCGTTGTGCAGCTCAGACAGCGCACGCTGCGCGCGGGCAACCGAGGGGAAAAGCAAGCCACAAAAAGCCGCAAGTCAAACAGCATCACGAACCGAGCGAGAGAGTCTGGACCCGCCGCGGCTGACAGGAGGGAGGGGGAGCTTAAAGCGGCGTGTCGCGCTATTATGACTCGCCCAGTTTCTCCTCCAACCCGACGCGACGGCCAGGAGGGGGCAGGCGTGTCGACAAGAAATCAAGGCGTTCGAAGCGGTCACGAATACGTAGCCATAGTCGGACGGGCCACGGAAAACGCAGGGGCAGCGGGTGATGAAGTGTTACAGCCACATTGAAGAAAGGAAAAGAAAAAAGAAAGGACCAACAACAATAACAACATCAACAACTACACTCTGCCATGGCAAAACGTGGCATAGAGAGGGAGGCCGCGGCCACCAGCCAGAGGAGGAAGACGGTCAGGGCTGGACTAGCTAGGAGCTGTCGGGGTGGGGAGGGGACGCCTGGTTCGCCAGAGCCCACAGCCAAGCCGACGCCCAGCAGCCGGGGCGGGGGGGCCTGTACCTAGCAACCACGCACGCCACGCAGCGTGGCCGCCATCGTCTCCAGGGAGTACCCCCGTGCTCTCTTTCCGGAAGCTCACCGTCCGATGCATAAACGGGCGGGGGCAGCATCGCGCGCACGCGGGTTTTCCTCTCTCTTTTTTTTTTAATGCGCGCGCGCGTGTGGCTGATCATCAGCGCCGCCATGCGTGTTTTGTGTACGTGTGCGTGCGTGTGTGTGCGCGTGTGGGAGGAGAGAAAAAATTAATAAGAACAAAGAAGAACGAAGCGGCCAGTCAGTGGCCGTGGCGGCAGCTCGTCGGAAGATGCACCCGCTTCCCAAAAAACCACGTGGGCGTGAGCGTGGATGCCACGCGGTCCTGCCGCCGGCCGATGGAAAGGCCACGCTTGTCCGCCATTTGTCAGTGCCCCCTGCTACGTACCCCTGCACTGCCCCCCCGGGCCCCCCCGGGCCCCCCCCGACCGACCGACCGACCGATTGACCGACTACTGACCGTGTGCTGTGCTGTGCTGTGCTATGCTATGCTATGGCCCCTGGTCGGCGGTTCGCGTGCTGGGAGTCGTTACGCGAGCGCATGGCGTTTTTGTTTGGTAGGACTACTGGGTCTGGACTGGGTCGGAAGTCGCAGGGCAGGGGTGCTGCATGGGGCTCCTCTTTGACAGGGGGAGCGGGAAACAGGACCATCAGATGCGGACGAAGGACGAACAAGCAACGCAGCATCAAGGGCGATGATGGAGAGGCAAAGCAGCGAGGAAGGGCAGCGGCACGCGTGGCGGAAAAAAAAAAAAGAGACGAAGCGCAAGTGCGTGCGCCGCAGACGCTGCGCGAGTGCTCGTGCGTGGTTGCGCTGCAGCCCGTCCGGTTCTGTGCTCTGTGGTGCTGGGCGAATCAGCAGCTGGTCCGACTTTCCACCAATCACCCGCCCCAAGCCATGGTGTTGTTCCAAAAGCACCCGCTGTTTCCCTTGTTTTATTCCCTGGCGAGACCATCAGACGTTCCTTCGCGTGGCCGCGACCCGGCTTTTGCCTATGGCATTTCTTTTTTTTCCCTTGTCCTCGCCCTCTCCAACACGGCTCGCCCGTTCCTCGCCACGGCTGGGCGATCGACGGTTCACCTAGGCCGCGCGATTACTGGACCGCTTGCCAGCCAGAAGGATTGCGGGTCCTGCAATGAGCTCGTTCGAAACCTTCTTTCTTGAACCGCCGTCTCGGATCCCGCCCGGGTCCGTTCCTTTCTGGAGTAGTGGCCGACAGCTTTCCTATTCCAGCGTCATCTGCCGCTCCATCGCATCACACGTCGCGACCATTATTCCTTCGTGCTCTGGTCCAACCGTGCAAAGGAAAGAAGAAAAAACAAGCCAAGGACCAGGGAAACTTCTCTTATTCCTTCGTCCCAAGCCACGATCCTGGAAATAGACCCTTTCTCTAGCATATTCCCGCGTCTCCCTATTACGGATGTGCACCACTATACATCTATCTCTTCACCTCGACAGAGGCCGAGTCATGCAGCGCTTCGATGTGACGTTGTTGCCCACCGGGTCCAGAACGAAGGCCGGGTAGTACGTGGGCCAGTACATCTGGGGCGGACAGAAGACCAGAATGCTGGGGGATCATCGCCGCCGCCGCCATTGGCCAGGGTATTGCAGATCGTCTCGCAGTGCGTGTGCAACAGCACGATAAGCCTAAACCCTTTCTCTCCCTTGATCCTCCTCACGTGTTCTCGTGCGTCTTTCGTGCGCTGACGGGCTGGCACCGGCTTACGCGCTTGATGGGTGAGGCGGGGCTTCACCTTCGATCCCAGAAGACACTCACGCATGGGGAATTTCGACATGGTTCTTTCTTGAGTGCACGTGGCTTGTCGCGCTGGTGCTGTGCCTACAGGTAGATGATTCTTTGACCATCCTCTCAACCTCACCCGACAATCTTTCCAAGCTCAATCACCTCCCACACGCATCGCCCGTCATCATGACTTCCAGCACCGCAAAGGCAAAGGCCGTGAAGGATACAGAGCTTGAACGTATGGTTCAACAGACTGTCCAGAAGCTCGAAGCTTTCGCCGAGGACAAGCATCGTGGAAAGAAGGTCTCAAATCCACCCCTCCACATATTTACGAACTGCTTGCTGACATATGACTCTACCGAAGGTCTTCACGCAGCTGGCCACCAACCCCACGAACAGCAGTGACAAGGCATACCTGTTTCAGCATCAGCAATTCGCCCTTGTGCGCGTGAAGAACGTCCCTGGAGCCATGCGTGACACGCGCACGGCTTATGGCGAGATGCGTGGCGTCTTGACCGCCGAGGGTGGAGAGGGAGAGGTTGTCGCCTTTGATCTCTTCACCAAGGGTGAGCTTGACGCCCTCGGAGAGCTGCTGCCCTACATCAAGAATGATGTGGCAATCATCAACTTGGCCAAGAAGTCGGGCGCCTGAGGTGGCAGCGTTCATGTCCTGGGTTACGGCGGGCGTGATGCTTCTTCCCGAGGGTGAAGGAAAGAGGTTGACGTCATGAGGGAATCTCGCTGTTCAGTATCACAGCACAACTTCAAATGCCTTCTTGGATGGATCTGAGGCTGCTTCGAGGAGAACTTTTCGACGGAAGCATAGCAGCCCGATTTCAATACAGACTTGATCTCACCAGTGACACAAAACGTGACCATCTTAAACAAATGAAGCTGTCATTGGACACTTACGTTCGTTTTCACACCGTGATTTCCCCGGGAGGCTGCTCCTTCCAAAGAAGAAAGCACGGACAGGCAGCTGCACTGGTCCTTCCAGCACAGGAAACTTTCAGGTTCCACATCTGGAAGGCGCTGTGGCAAAACCGCAGATATATATTTGGCTCTCCCCCACCCTCGGCCTCACTGCATCCTCAGACCTAACAACGTTGCCTCGCGCAAAGCCCAGTCTCGTCCTCAGTGGGCCCATGAAGATCAAGTGCGTTCGGCGCCCCGACATGCCAGCTCCAACTTCCAGCGGCGGGACACCCGCACAGACTCGGGCTGGAATCGAACTGGAAATCAAGCAGACGCGACAGAAGCTTGCTCAACTCGAGGAGAAGCTAGAGGCGGAGAAAAAGCGCGACTCGGAGGACAACAACAGGAAGAAAAGGGTGAGACATCTGGCTGCGTTTCACCATAGAAAAGACGCAACTGACAAAGTGAGCGCAGAAGTATGATGAGTTCATGGGACCTCACGGATCTTTCTACAGCCATGAACGCCTGTGGATGAACATCTTCTCCATTGCAAATGTTGAGGGCACAAGCCGGCGGCTGTGGCCAGCAAGAATCGCCATGTATGATGAGATACGCCGGGCTCTCACAAAGCTCCACGAGTCCCCCATCTCTTCGCCCTCGTTCGACCGCATCAGCCATGAAGAACTCGAAGCTCTCAATGAGATTTGGGGCTGCATTACCGCAGACCAGAACGCAATCAGAGCATGGGAAGAACCTCTTCTCACTTCAGTCCGCGACAGGATCGTTGCCCTCACGGACAAAGCAATCCCGGCTGACAACAGGCCCAAAGCCGACAACAGGCCCAAAGCCGACAACAAGCCCAAGGGACGCAGCAACCAGGCTCAGTGTTCTCCGAACTAAGGCTCGTTTTTGACGGAAACAAAAGCATTTCTGATGGTGTAGGCACTCCTTGGTCTCATCCCACGGCCCCGGGAGTTCGATCTGGTTTATCTCAAATGCCGAGCAAATTCGAAGTCATCTAAGATTGAAAAACAACATTAGGGAAGGTGACAGCAGATGTCAGGCAGAAGACTACAGACGCCGGGAAAGATTCCAGGCTCTAAAGACACATGACTGGTTTGCGGGAAAAGTAGTTGAGTCGAGAACTTCCTGCAGCAGGGACTCGGATCAAAATTGGCATTCAAGATTTCGAAAGCATTCGGGGAAAGTAAAGAGTTATGAGTAGAATATCCAATCCATCACTGACAATGAGAGCCCAACAAGAGCGCATGAAGTCCGGCCAAAGCTATTGCTCAAGTGAAAGCGGCGGAACATTCTACACCCGCCTCGACGACCACCAGATTGTGCCGCACTGACGAGGCCAACCTATATCTATCTCCTGCTCTTCGCCGAGCTGCCTACCTCCATCATCCGACAAACTACCTCCAACCCGCGCATTGATTCTTCCTTCGAAGCCCAATCCGCACCAGCTCAGTCCCACCCACAACGATGGCTCCACCCAATCTGGTCTTCGCCACCAAGAAAGCCCAGCTGCGCGACAGGCTCAAGCGGCAGATCCACCAGAAGCAGAAAGAGCTACGCGACCTCGAAATTGCTCTCGGGAAGCTCGACCACAACCCGCAGCAGAGCAACGCCAAAGCCATGCAAGCCGTAAGCCGCTTCTCTCGCACAACCACCACCACCACTTCCTCCTCTTCCTCCTCCATCCGCGACGTCGCATCAACCCCCCCACGCACTCCCAAAATCACGTCTCCACCTCCCCCTACACGACTAGCTCCACTGACCGAAATCACCCCCCGATAGCCGCCGCCGCCGCCGCTGCGACCCGGCACCGCGCCCGCAACCGTCCTGGCCTCGAACCAGATCCCGCTCACCCTCAACCTCACGCCGCACAACCTGTCCACCCTCCTCCTGCCGCAGCTCCGCGCCTGCAGGTTCGTCTTCACCAACCGCTTCCACATCCTGCAGCGGCAGGACATCGTGTACGCGCAGATCGAGGAGCTGCTGAAGGCGATCGTGCGGAAGGCGAGCAAGAGCGCCGACGAAGAAGAAGAAGAAGAAGAAGAAGAAGAAGAACGGACGAACGGGCGGCGGAAGAAGAAAAGAAGCGCGACGGCGGGGATCGAGGCTGGGGATATGGATATGCCGCTGCTGCTGCGCGTCGAGGAGTACACGGACGAGGAGCTGGAGCCGCTGGCGCGGTTGAAGGGGAAGATTGAGTGCGACCATGAGGCTTTGAGGGAGTTGCAGAGGAGGGGAAAGGGGTGGGCGGGCGTGTTGGAGGAGGTGAAGGCGGGGCTGGAGCGGTTGTTGGGGATGGTGGGGGGGACGGAGGATGATCAAGAGGGCGGCGACATTGACCGCCGCGGCGGCGGCAGGGACGACGTCGGTGGTTTCGGCCGCCTTCCGCAAATCGTGTCGTTCATTCCCCGTGGAAGCGTGCACCAGGTCCCCAGCCCCGAGCCTTCGCCTGGTCCGGATTGGGGGGAAAGCGGGATGGTGGAGATAGAGGACGACGACAACGACGACGACGACGACGATTCTTCCGATGACAGTAGCGACTCCGACGATTCTCTGGAGTAGACCTGAGGGTCGATCATTTTGGAGCGGTTTGGGAAGGCGTGCGTTGCGGAGGGGTCGTGTCCTGAAGATGAAGAGGACAGACGCAGGTCGATCAGCGCCTGCAAGCGAAGGGTTGCGGTGGCGAAGAGCGATGTTATTTCTTTGCGTCCGTAATGGGCTTTGAAGCCATGACAATCATCTCCTCGCTCAGCTGTTGTGTAGCCCTGAGGGACGAAGTGTTGAGAGCGGAAGGCCTGTCAGCGCAGGCGACAGACATTGCGAGGCTCACTCGCCTTGGCCACCCCAGAGCATAGATGGCATCAGGAAGCGGAAGAGAGCCTCAGCGCATCTCTTACTTAGATAAAGGAGTTTTGATGGGCGTGCGCTGAAAAACGCCGGTATTTGCTTGGAGGGTCAAGCGGCAGCGCGCGGTAAATAGTACAGGAGTCATGATAATCCAATGATCAACCTTATCATGTATAGACTGAGCGGCGCTTGAAAAGTTTGCGCGGATGTTACCCGCTCTATCCTCGGTATGTCAAGTGAGTCCAGAACACAATGACCTGGCACTGGTTGTTCCTGCCAACTTCATCCGAGTTCCTCCTTCCTCTTTCACTTGGCCATCTATGCCACATGATCTCATGGACCCTTGATCGCGGCCCCACTCACTCCCGTCCGCTGCCTACATAACCCCTCCGCTCCATTGCCCAAGGTCCTCTTCACGTCTTCCACCGTCCTCACTTTGGTGTCTATCGGGTTCGAGCAGATCCTTCGCCCAAATCCACTATGCCTATGAAACAGATTGCCAAGACATACAGGACTTCGAAACACCCCTCAAGGAGACGAGAGTTTGGGCCCGTGACTCCAGCCGGCACCGACATCGCGTCACCTAAGCAACTTGAGTTGGAGGACAAGATCGCAAAGAAGCGACAGGAGATTCTGGGCCTTGAATCCGAGTTGGCGGCTGAAAAGGAGCGTCATTCAGAAGAGACGGCCAAGAAGAAGATGGTGAGCGAGCTGATTCCAGCTTCACTAGAGGCGCGACCGTGACCAATACTGACAGCGTAGAAATTCAATCAACTTTTAGATCTTCGCGGGGACTCTATCCCTGACCAGCTCGGGTTCTTGGTGGATGACATGGATAAGATATGGTTGCCCATGCTCTCACTGTACAAAGAGGTCCAAAGGAGCATCTCGGTTCTCATGGATGAGAGGGACGCGATTGACTTCCACGAGTTCACCGATGAGGAGCTTGATGCTCTGGAGTGGCTAGGTCGTACCATAGCCGAAGACCGGAGGTCGGTGGTCTATCCCATTTATACCAGTGTGCCCACACTCGAAGAAATTCGCGACAAGCTGGGAAACATGGTGATGAAGGCCAAGAAGGAGTGAAAAGATGCCTGAGCAGATCGGCTAGCGCTTCAATCCTCGAAATTCTTCAGATGTATGCGGCAACTCAGCGAAGGATGGATCACAACAGCTGGAATGAATTGGATAGAGTATTGGAGGAGGTTTCTCGGATGAGGTGGACATAGGTGGAAGCCACATTGTATGGAAATCCAAGCTCAGAGGGCATGAAATTTGCACCTCGCCAACCTACAGAACTAGGTGCTCGGTCTCTTAATACATTTTCTATTTCTTTTCACATTTGCTGTGCATTGACCGTGAGAACCAAGCAGGGCTTTGAGAAGTCGTGGGAGAGTCAAAATATATACTTAACCTACTTCGTGACGCAAATTTTTCTGTTAATTTGTCACTTACCGTCTTTGTTCATCATGTTTGCTCGGGCGACAGACGATTCATCAAGTCAGCTAGTTTGGCAAAGCACCAGATCTCCCTCAAGCACCCAAATAGCGTCTGGAAAAAGTGATCAGAAATTTAAAGAAAACAGAAAGGGAGGGGAGAATGCTCCGTAGAGGTTCATATCAAGCAGGACAGAGCGCACGGGCCAGATTCCGCGGCAACGACTTGTGGCGCGGGCATCATCATCATCACCGCCCGCCGACGACAGCTACTTCACCCACGACCGCAAGCCCGCGCGCAGCCTCACCTCCCCGACTACGCCCCCGCGACCCACCTACCGCCAACCCCAACCGCCGCCATGCTCTTCTTCAGGTACGCACCGCCCGCCTCCCGCGCCCGCGCCACGCCCAATGCCTCCCTCCCATCCCCGCGAACAGCCTGCCTGCCTACCCGCCCGTCCACCCACCCTACCCCCGCACGACGCGCCGCTCCTACAAGTCCCCCCTTCACGTTTCCCCTCACTCCACCTCCACAAGAAGCGCCGAAGCCCCAGAAAGAAAGAAAGAGAGGAAAAAGGAACCCGAGCTAACCAACTCGAGGGAGGGCGCGCGCGCGTGCGCACGCTCTCGCTCTCTCTTCTCTCCAGCTTCTTCAAGACGCTCGTCGACCACGAAGTCACGGTCGAGCTCAAGAACGACATTTCGATCCGCGGCACGCTGAAATCGGTCGACCAGTTCCTCAACATCAAGCTCGACGACATCCACGTGGTCGAGGAGCTCAAGTACCCGCATCTGGTAAGAGAACCCCAACCACCACACAAAATTATATATATACGCCGCGCGTACCGCATAGTATGCTAACACGCACATACACAGAGCTCGGTCAAGAACGTCTTCATCCGCGGCAGCGTGGTGCGGTACGTGCACCTGCCGGGCGCGGCCGTCGACACGGCGCTGCTCGAGGACGCGACGAGGCGGGAGGCGGCGCAGGCGGCGGCGAAGGCGAAGCAGTAGAGTGGGGGGTGTTCCTTTTTTTTTAGCGGAAAACAAAATAAACAGCGAACGAACGAACAAGACAAAAAAGGAATCAAACGAAACAGAAATATGAATACCGAGAGCAACTACGACGACAGAGTAGAGGAAAGAGAGGAATGGAGGAAAAACGTGGGGTGTTTTGATTGTTTGATACCATGGAGATGAGAGAGCGAGAGCTATGGCATATCGCCCTTTTTTCCCTACCCTCCGTCTCATTTCTTCCTTAAGTTTTTCCTTGTTGTGGGGATGGGGTGGTTGGAAATACGGCAAGGTGGGGAGGAATGGGATGGGAATGAAGGGCGGAATAAGAAAGTCAGAGCTGTGGCTTGTTGGAGAGAAGGATGCGCAAAGGGAGTTAAGCTGGTGCGAGTGAAAGGATTTAGAGGGCGGGAAAAAAGGCGGTGGGTGGCGGCAATGCATCTCCTCCACGCGCAGGGAAAGGAAGGTCAGGGAGGAAGGGGAGGAGGGACGGATGGATGGACGGACGGAGGTGGTGGTTTCGATATCCCGCTCCCCACTCGAGGTCACAGTTACTACTTTTCAAAGTCCTGCGGTGTCACTCGGTTCGGTCAGGGGGAGAAGGAAAAAGCCAGATGGTTCTCCAACGTGTTCTACGATGGACACACGATAGTCCCACAGCAGGCGCGCGGGGGTAGGAATAAAGAGGAAACTAAAAATTTGGAAAAGACGCAATTTCAGCACTGCCGCATCATGCCATAACATATGCTTTAATTAAGCTTTCACAGACTTCAAGTCGAACATCACTGTTCTCAATGTTCAACGCCTTGCAACCCGAAGTGGAGAAACAATCTTTTTCATAAGAAAATCTAAAATAAAAAAGGGTATCAGATCAGAAAGAAGCCAAGCAACAACGCCGCAAACGCCGCGCCTTCCTTCACACTTCTAAGCTCAAACGGTTCCAAGTTTCTTCTTCAACCCCCCAGGGCGATGAGAGGAGAGGGAAGAAACGAAAAGTCCGAAATCACTCTACTCCCCCTTCGCCTCCTCCCCCTCCTTGCCCTCTCCGGGACCCTTGATCTTCCCCTTAACCTCCTCGACCTTATCGCCCGCCTTGTTCGCCACGTCGACGGCCCAACCCTTGGCCGCGTTAACCTTGTCCGTGAACCACTGCCACCAATCTTTCTTCTTCTCTTCTTCTTCCTTGACGGAGTCGTCACCCTCCTTTGCTTCTTCTTCGTCGTCATCATTCTTCTCTCCATCGCTAGACGCAGGAGCCGTGGTTGCAGCAGCGGTCGTGGATGACGATGACGAAGAAGACAACGACGACGAAGCAGACGCGGCACCAGACAGAACGTGGCCGGCCAGAGTGGTCGTCAGGTCCGACGCAGATGCGGAAGAAGTGGTAGAAGAGGGAGACGACGTAGTGGTGGGCACGGGGTCCTCCGGCGTCTCCTCCGGCTCGACGTCCGAGTGCAGGCCGACGGGCTTGAGGGGCAGGCGGAGGGTGCCGTTGTTGGGGGCGGGCTCGGCGCCGATGGAGTCGCAGATGATGTTGTAGAGTTGGATGTTTTCTGACGCGACGGGTTAGTGAGGGGTATGAGAATGATGGGAGTGCAAGGAAGGACGAAAAGCAGAGGGAAAAAAAAAAAAAACTTACGGAACGGCACCAGCCTACTGCCAGGCTGGTGCGGGAAAGCAGGGCCCCTCGCGATGAAGATGGCGCGCATGAGCGGGTGCTCGTGATCGTAGCCGTGCAGGCCGTGCGGCTGGTAGGGAGTGCCCGTCTTCAGCCCGAGCTCAATGTCGAACTCGTCCTTCGTGGCGATGGCCCAACCGGCTTTGGGCACGATCCACAGCGGCGCGATGCGGGGGTTGTTGGCGAAGTGGTAGCGCGCGGGCATGTCGAAGTCGCGCAGGTAGACGTCGATGTTGGGGTTGTGCTCGGCCTTGAATTTGAGCTCCTGGTACAGGCGGTCGAGGTTGTCCGGGTTCTTGGGCCACAGGCCGTACAGCGGCCAGCCGTCGATGTGCTCGATCAGGTTCGTGTCGATGAGGTCCTCGAGCTGGATCATGCGCGAGATGTCGGTCGTCGCCATGCCGTGGTCTGATACGATGACCACGTTGACGATGTTCGTCAGGTTGCGCTCCTCGATGCCCTTGAACAGGTTGCCGAGCATGGTGTCGACAGCCGTGATGGTTCCTCTGATTTCAGTGCTGTTCGGACCGTACCTGTGGCCATCCTGGTCGACGTTGGGTACATAGGCAGCGATGAACTGAGGGCGAGGCTGGTCTCCCAGAGCGTGCGGGCTGTCTGGGCCTGGAAGATCCAAGAACCCGAGGATCCTGTCAACCTTGACCGACAGCTTTTCTGAGCCGTTGTACTTGTCGAGGTGAGCGGGCTCATACTCGCCGACGTCGGCCTCAGAGCCCGGCCACATGTGCACGGCGGTCCTGATGCCTTGGCTCTCGGCTGTCGACCAAAGGGGATCACCGCCCCACCACTTGCTCTGCATGCTGACGTCGGTGTGGGTGTAGTAGAAGTCCTGCTCGAACGCGGGGTCCCAGAACGTATTGCCAACGATGCCGTGGGCTTCGGGGTAGAGCCCTGTGGCCAACGTCCAGTGGTTGGGAAAGGTCACACTGGGAAAGCTGGGGTTCATGTACGGTGGGGAGACACCCTCGTTGATGAACGCCTGCATGGACGGGGTGAGGTTCCGCTGGAGGAAGTCTGCGCGGAAACCGTCGAGCGAGATGAGAATAGTGGTGGGGGCAAAGGCTGCTGTGCCGTTGTGCAGCATGGTCGCAAAGTGTTTGGTCGGCCGCAAGCCGGACGCCTTGTACGCTGCAAAGAGCAGGACGAAGAACAGAATCACGACGAAGACGTAGACCAAAGTACGCAGGAAAAGCGGCCGCGACGACTGTGACTCGGCGTTAGCTCCAGCGACGGTATCGACGCCGTCAGGCTACATACCCGTTTGTTCTTGCCCAGCAGGGCGCGCATCCGCTGCTCGTCAACCTCGGAAGAGTCCCTGGACGACGCACTCGACAGTCTCCCCCCTTCTTCGGTATCATACATGAGTCGACTCTCTTCGGAATTGTGGACATGTCGCCTGCGGTCTCGGCCGGGCTCCTTCGTGGACTTACGTCGCAGCCCCGTCGAGGCGTCGCCATCTCTACCGCGGAAGAGTCGTCCCAGGGCGCCTTTCCTCGCGCTGCCTGCCGGTGAGCTGCGGGCGATCAGCTTCTCGCGCTCTTCTTCCTCCTCCAGAAGCGACATGTCCTCCCTGCGGAGCTCGGTCGATGTCTTGCCGGCGTCGAAGCGGTCGTCGTCGTCCTCGTAGGCGGTATCGCTGTCGGAGCCTGCGAGCATTGGCTCAGTGTCCTCGGGCTCGCGGCGTCCGCGTCGGACAGATCGGGGCGGCGCCATGGCTGGTGGTCGTTCGGTGACTGGACTGGGAGGTGGTGTTTGGTTTACGGGATCATATCCCTGGGACACGTTCGCGTCGCAATATTAGGCAGGTGTCCGTGTTGCGTCGTGGCCGAAACGGTCGATCGCCAAGAGAACCAGCACCTCCTGCGCGAGCGTGGAATGTTTGATCTTGACGAGCCTGGCCAGGGCGAACGCGATCTTGCAGGCTGTCGTACAAGCTAGGCTATTGTACGGATGCTGATGTCTGCGGCACGGTTGCTCCCCGCGCCTGTGAAATGCGCCAGTGTCTGCGCCAGGCCGATCCGCCATGACTCGTGCGCCCTGCAGCCTGCCGATCCCCGGTCTATTTTTACAACCAGGGTCCCTTTCCCAGCTACTTGTCGAGCACTTTGCAGGCATGCAGCGGCGGATATTCCTATTTCACGTGTATTTAGTCGTGTATATAGAAGAAGGCTTTACGCCCTGTCCCAACAACCCGAGACTCTAGAAAGACGCTAGTAGTAAATAGAAAGAAATAATACCATCAATCATTGGCCGGCTCGGGCATCTTGACCACAATCTCCAAACTCTCCATCGGCCCAACCACCCATCGCGCACTGGACTTCTTCCTCCGAATCTCCAAATGGCTTTCCGTCAGCAAAACAATCCAAAGATACGGCACGGCCTGCCCCCAACAAAACATCCAAACCACTCCCAAGCCCTCTGCCTCTCGTCCATCCGTCCCGCCACGCTTCCAGTCCTTTGCGATATTTCTCTGCAGCCACGCATTACCCAAGTAGCCATGCTTTGTCAGATACTCCATGCGTGTCCAAAACTCATGCTGGCGGGTGTGACTCCAATTCGATGTGTCGAACATCCAACATCCACGCTCCGTGGGTCTGATATCGCGCCAGACCAATGCCGGCTTGTAGTGTTTGGCTATCGAGGCTTTCTCGGCATATAGCTGGAGCATAGACGTCACCTCGTTGAACACTCGCTTGCTTCCTGAAGGGGTGGCTTTGGGAAAGAGCTGAAGCGGGAGTGAACCAAAGTCGCAATTCGGAGATCCGTGGGCGTGGGCCGCTGCAAGGGCTATACTCGGCTCGAGGGGAGTTGTGGTCGCATCTGCTCGACGCTCGCCCCCAGCATTCGGTGCTCCAATGGCCGGGGAATCATCAGATACATCTTGCGTGGAGACCTGAGATTGTCGTGGTTCCTGCCGTGCCCCCTCTTGGTGTGCACCATGAGACTCGGGAACTTCACTCGGCTGTCGCACGTCGTTTTCAGGCGCGGGTCTCAGATTTTCGTCTGCTCCGACATTACTCTCGACCATAGGCCGGGGGCCCTCGGAATTTCGTAGTGATGACTCGGAATTGCTGAAACCGTAGTCGTCAATCATCTGTGAGCTCATGTCCTCCCTCGGGGGTGTTCTTGGCGGGGGTATCCAAGTACTGGGAATTGGTGGGGTAGTTGATTTCCGAGTTCCTGCATGGTATTGCGCCCGATATGTCTCTGAAGGGCTAGGCTCAAACGAGAGACGCGGCCTCTTACTGGTTCCCTGGGTGATTGGCGACTCGATATCCGAGAATGGAGCGTCAGAACCGTAGAAGGAGGTGTCAACGTAGTCTTCGAGCATAGCCAAGGCTTCCTGCGTATCTTCGGTGTACAACGGCCGTGGAGTGCTTCCACCGGTGCTTGTTCTTGGTTGGCTCGATGCAGAGCGTTTGACAGAAGACGGTTTCTGGTGAGCCCATCGTTTCTCGAGCTCATGGAGCTGCTCAACAGGCGATCCCGACGCGGGCGTGCTCATGAAGCTCCCGAAGTCCGGTGCTTGGGCAAAAATTTCAGGCCTCTTGCCCTTGGCTACAGACTGTCTCGAGGCAGGGACGATCTGTGCGGTTTCCACAAAGCCAGCGGCGGCCGGAGTTTCTGCAACTCGAACGGCCGAAGCGCCTGCTTTGGCGTCATCGGGACGCGGGTTGCGGTCTTGGAACCCTTTGGAGTTTGCCGGAGTCTGGTAGTCGCCTGGATCCACTGGGGGGTTCATGTGCTTCCGAGCAGTGCAGTCGATGGTGGTTGCAGGCTCAAAGTCGTCGTAGGCTTCGGCGAGCCTCCTGTATCGCTCGTCATCCTTGCGAGAGGTGGGCGCGGAGAGATGGACTAGGATCTCTTTCATATCCAAAATTGTCGCAAGTGAAATCTCGAGGAAGTCGAGATGTCCATGGTTCCGGGAAGGTAGGGGCCCGGTTCAAGACAGGCACACGGCAAATGATGGCTACGTGTTAGATTTCACCCTGTGATCGGACGCGGTGGCGGGCAGGCCAGCAACGCCCAAGCACGTGCACCGGCGACAAAGCGACGGGGTTGATTGTTGCAGTTGCGACAGTGGGAGGCGGCCAAGGGTCTTCGCGTTTGCGGACGCGCCACCGGCAGCGTCGCTTAGTCACGGCGCCAAGATATCAAAATTCCCGCGTTGACGCACTTTGGGCCCGCGAGACACCACCACTCAACCCCACACCACAATCATGGCGCCTGCTTCGCTCCTCGACCTCGTGTCGGCTCTGCCGGCCACCGACAGCTGGGGTCCCGCTACCGACAGCGAGACCATGCTGGATGGCGTCCCCTACGCGCCCTACTCGAAAGGCGACCGCCTAGGCCGCATGGCCGATTGGACTGAGGGCAAGGACCGTGATGGACGCGGCGGTCGCCAGCAGTATGGCAACAGGAACTACCGTGGTATGTCACCCGTCGCCCGTGCGCGAGTTGCCGCACGCCTCGCTTGTCGAGCCCATGCTAACCCACAATGAAGACCAGCAGGTCTACGGCGCATCCCAGGCGAACAACCCCTTCGCGATCCAGGTTGCCGAGGAGGAGGCTACCTTCTCCGTCGTCGACAACACCCGCACTTCTGCGAGGACCCGGGGGTTCGGCCGCGGTGGCGGCACCGTTTTCCGCGGTCGTGGCCAGCGCGGCGGGCCTGCTGGACGTGGCGGCAGAGGTACATTCCAGCGCGTTGGAGGAAGGCAGCAGCAGGGCGGCTACGACAACCGCAACCAGCGCGGCGGCCGCGGCGGTGGCAGGCGTTTTGGCCGGTGGGACGACAAGCCCCAGCGCAACAGGGACGCCTCCGTCCAGGTCAAGCCCGACTGGGCTGTCCTCGAGGAGATTGATTACTCGCGTCTGGCGAAGCTCAACCTCGAGACTCCCGATGGCGAGGATCTCGACAACTACGGCTTCCTCTACTACTACGACCGCTCCTACGACAAGGCTCCCGGCGCGAAGACTTCCGAGAGGAAACTGCAGGTGCTGGACCGCGCAGCGTACAACGTCACGACCTCCAGCGATCCCATCATCCAGGAGCTTTCGGAGAAGAACGAGGCTACCATCTTCGCCACTGACAACATTCTGTCCATGCTCATGTGCGCGCCGAAGTCGGTCTACCCCTGGGACTTGGTCATCACCCGCCGCCGCAACCAGCTCTTCATCGACAAGCGCGATACCTCCACCATCGACATGGTCACCGTCAACGAGAATGCCATGGACGCACCTCTCGAGACCTCGGAAGGCAACAAGGACGTCCTCAACAACCCCAATGCCTTGATGATGGAGGCTACCCACATCAACAACGTCTTCCCTCTCCAGGTCGTCCAGGAGACCACCAAGAAGGATATGCCCAACCCCCACCCCTTCTACAACGACGAGGAGGAGTCTGCTCCTGCGGCATCCAAGTCTTACAGGTACCGCCGTTTCGACCTGTCGCTGAACAATGACGAGGAGCCTCTCCACCTCGTTGTCAGGACGGAGCTCGATGCCGCTGTCAAGAACAACATCAACGGCGAGGACCAGTACCTGACCATCAAGGCCCTGAACGAATTCGACAACAAGGCCCAGGGCTCCGGTGGTGCCCTTGACTGGCGCACCAAGCTGGCCAGCCAGAGGGGTGCTGTCCTTGCTACCGAGATGAAGAACAACAGCTGCAAGCTTGCCCGCTGGACCGTCCAGTCCATCCTCGCCAAGGCCGACTCCATGAAGCTTGGGTAAGTGAATTTCTCGTCACACGAACGATCCAATTGCTAATCAGATGCGCAGTTTCGTGTCCCGTACCAACCCCAAGAACAACAACGACCACGTCATTCTTGGTGTCCTCAGCGCCAAGCCGCGTGAGTTCGCCACCCAGATGGCGCTCAACCTGTCCAACGGCTGGGGCATCGTCCGCACCATTGCCGACATGTGCTTGAAGATGCCCGAGGGCAAGTACGTCCTCGTCAAGGACCCCAACAAGCCTATTCTCCGCCTCTACCAGGTGCCGGAGAACACCTTTGAGGAGGAGGCCGACGACGGCGCCGTTCCGGAGCAGGATGACGAGGAGTAAGAGCGATATCACGATAGGTAGGGGCGAGGTTAATATCGGGATGAAAGGCATGATTTTGTGCTTTATTTACGAACGGGTATGGTTATGGGTGGTAGCCCTGGAGCCAGCGACGGGCTTTCGTTTTAGCTCGGGCGGAAACAAAAGCAATGGAGACACATTTGATCGCGTGCAGTTTTCTCGGCCAAAAGATGGATAGGCGATTCGCAGTGCTTCCTTGACCAGTTCGAAGACAGATGCCCCGCTTTTGCAATCAATTGGGTGACAGACAGTAGCTGAGCTTGGTCGGGATGCCGATTGTCAGGTATGCAGCTAATCAGAGCTCTCTAAACGCACGGCAATGCTGCTCTCACCCACCTCCTGTTGTCTTTGCTGGCTGGTCTTCCTGAGCCGTCAAGCACTAGCAGCCAATTGTGATCTCTGCATGTTTTGTTGTCTATCTCCCCTCACCAAACCACCATGCAGTCACGCTCAGACGCAGACGGCGGAACTGTCTCCCCTCGTCCTCTGCAGCGAACAGCCATCATGCCGTCGTCCGCCCGCTCCCCAGCGCACTCGTAATGGCTCGCCCATAGTTCCAGAGCCTATCTCGCCTCGGCCGTGCAGACGGGAAACCGGAATGGCATCTGCAGGACGACTAGGGAGCAGCTTCGAGTTTATTTGATTTTTCAGACAACCAGCCTGATTTTGCGTCATTTCCCCTGCCTTTGAACATTGAGGAAGCGCTGAATGAAGAAACAGCACCATCCTGGGAGGTAGAGTATCTTGTCGAGATCATACAACAGCCCTGGTTTTACCGCACGTGGGTGATGCAAGAGGTTCCTCTCGCCAAATTCGCCATCATCATTCTAAGATATGGAGAAGGCATTCCCTGATACAATATCTTGGGAACCTTTCTTCTACCACGGAATATAAGCGGTTCCGGGACTCGTCACGCTCACGCTCGTTACAAACCATAGCAGGAGTGACCGAACACTGCTGCAGCTCATACGTGCGACGAGAACTCTCCATGCTTCGATGCCACGAGATAAGATGATCGGCCTCCTTGGGACAGCCTCCGATTCCCACTAATATACGGATCTTGCCGGTTACAACCTCGACGTGAATGGAATATACGTTCGATACAGGAGAACAACACTTTGCTTCCAGAAAAGTGAAGTAATTCGTTGGCGTGAACCACCACCACGGGGAAAGTGGCAGGAATCGCTCCCGACCAGGTTTACAGACCGGATGGGCTGTTTCCTGCTATTTACCCAAAGCCAACTTCCCGAGTGGCCTAGGTCCATGCGGCTTCTATACCGTTTCCTCTGCAATCATCTACGTACAGACTGGTTGATGAATGGGCGTAACGTTGCCAAATGTGACGTCGATACTTCGCGCTTCTGTAGAGGCCAAGTGAGGGGGCTGGGAACCGTACCTGGGCAGTCTTCTTTGTTTTTCCAGCTCGGTTTCTCTTCTCGATGCCTGTCTTGGTCAAAGCTATTGTTTGCGGGAAAGCCCAGCATCTGTTCTTGTTCAACGCCGCTGTGACACAATAAAGCAGCCCCAGGATGCGAGCTCTTTCCCGCCTGGCTTAGGCTCCTTGCCCAATAGTCGTCGGGTTATGTGCGCCTTCAGGATAGCTTTGTCGCTTTTTGTCGCCCCAACGAGCAGACCTCCGCGCGGGGGTCTTACGATGTTTTCAATAGCGAGAACGGCGGCTGTAGCCGAGGGCGAAGCTTTTCGGCGCCGGACGCTACACGATATGTTTCGCCCAGCTATATGTTTCCCCTCTCGCTGTGCGACGTCGGGCCATGCACGCAGGAACAGGACATAAGTCCCGCGTTCTTTTTCGGTGCCTTGCAGTTTCTGACCACGGGCAATCTCCCCTCGCGCATGCACGTTTCCAAATAGTCGGAGGGGGCGGTTCTGAAACACGGCGGGCAGGCGACAGGCGGGATCATGGTGAGGTTCTCGCGGCAGACGGCGAGGTAGGTAGAACCGAGGGTCGCCATTTGGATCCCACTCCGTCTGACAGGCGGGCGTGAAGAAGAACGATTGGCCTGCTATCTGTGGTGCGGCGGTTAGAGCGTCGATGGTCGGTCCGGTCGCGTTTCCGAACCAGTCAGGCCGGTTGATCGGTCAGGCCAGCCACACGGCGCGCGAAAGTCTCACTTGGCGGGGAGCTGAAAAATGGCAATGGGCCGGACGCGCGCGGAACCACAGTGCGGGCGTGGAGGAGGAGAGGCGGAGAGGGCTAGAGGCAGCGAGGCAGAGCCGCCAACCCTTGGCCCGTCAGGCTGGGCTGTTTCGGGCAATGGCAATCGACGGCCAGTCTCAGATCAGGCCGCCCACGGGGCCCATGACGCCGGCGTCGAGACTCTCTGCGCGCTCTCCACTTTTTCGAGAAGGTCGGGCCCCGGGCTTGGGGGTGGCTGTGGCAGGCCGATGGTCAAAGGGTCGAAGTGCATCCTTACCCCAAACGCGCGCACTGGAGCGGCGACGATCGATTTGGGGCGGGCTGCATCAGGGGGATCATCTGCGGTGTCCAGCGGGATGCCTGCCGGCCATCCTGAGATTGTGAACGGTTGGCTTTCGGCTGGATTGGGTGCGGCGATCAGCAGTAAGGCGCGGCTGCTTGCCGCACGTCTGCTGCAGGCGGGCGCCGATCGTGGCTCGCGGCCGGGGGCTGACTGGCGAGCGACTGGCGCGGAGCCGGTCGTCCTGTCGAGCGTGCAGGAGGCGGAGAGAGACACGCATCATGGCAGGGATGCCGGCGTCAGGGCGACTGCACGGCTGCTGCTTCCTCGCCGGCCGTGCCTGCGCTCTGTGGCCGGCCGACACACCACTTTGCGCGGGCTACCTAGCATGGCTGGCATGGCCTTGTTTGGCGCGCGCGCTGGTGCCGCCCTGGGTGACGTCTTCCCGCTCTTTCGTATATCTCCACCCGCTGCCGTTGCGCCTGCGCCCGCCCGTCATCGACCTCTGCGACTTCCTCTGCGACTTCCTCTCCGTCAGGCCGGCCTGCGTCTCAACATCTCTGCAACAACCACGTCCTCTCTGATCCAATTCCTCTGTCCTGGGATCCCGCCAGAAAAAGCCTCACACCCTGCCTTTGACGTCCTCCAAGATCCAATACTTCTCCTGACAATCATCTACACCACTACCACACCCCGCCCATCGAATCCTTCACCGACCAAGTCTACCCACTCGTCCAACAACTTAAGAACCCGCCTGCCCCGGTGCTACGGACTCGTCCACGTCTCTCCTCTCACCTTCCAATCCACCCCGCCGCTCAGAACCAACCACGCCCGCCCACCATGCGCTTCACCACCGTCTCTCTCGCCCGCCTCATGGCCTCGCTCTTCCTCATCGCCTCCGTCACGGCCGTGCCCGTCCCCGCTACCACCTCAACCGGTCTGAGCGCCGCTGCCCAGGAAGGAGGCGCCGCCGACGCACGGATCGCCGAACGCGACCTTTCGTCATCATCATCGTCCCGCGCAGGTAAGCTCTCTCCTATCACCATCTCTGCCTGTCTCTCCACAAAAATACCGGTTCCCGTGCCGATGCGCCGCAGACGCAAGAATCGCTTCACATCGTGCTCAAGGGCGCCCTACGTCATCATTGCCCAAGAAACCACGGCAGTCTTGTTCTGGCCCGACTAACGCGACCCTGAACCAAAAGACACGGATGCTGCCGCTGCCGAAGCCAAGAAGCGCGAATTCACCACCACCATGTTCGCCCTGAAGGATCGCCTGCTGATGAAGCGCCTGCCCAACCCTGATCCGGCACCCAAGGCCGCTGCTGAGCCCAAGCGCTTCACTCTCGACGACTTCACCACCATCGCGGCCGCCAACGAGAAGTACGACGGCCTGCGGCCCGAGGGCGCTGGCTACGCCGGCTTGAAGCAGCGCGGCCTGCCCGGCTGGTCGAGGATCTATTGAAAGGGATCCCACCGACCCTTGACCGGTCTGGAACCGGACTGATGAAACGATCAAGAGAAGACTTGTATTTTATGGCTTTCATGTTGAGGAACGTCTTTGCCGAACTTGGTTCGGGAATGGCCTAGTTCGCCCAATCTCCCGCTTTTCTTCGGCTTCCGACGACGATACCCTTTTTAGCGGAAATGATTTGCTGGCGTCACCCGGGTCTCTTTTGTCTTTCCGCAGGATTACTTTTTTTTGGGGGGGATCCCCCGCCGCTCCTTGCTTTCCTTCTTCCTGCTTCCAGGACGGCTCTGGCTGAAGCCAAGACTATTCGATTCGGCGAGTGCTCAATGCAAATTATCGCCACGGCGCAGCAAACAGTCGAAGAGCATCTACTCTTCTTCACCGCTACTTCTCCACGTTATTCGAAACATTTATCGACCGGCCAGAGCGTGGAGACCACAATCTCGACGGCAAGTTGTGTTCTCGGAAACACAAGTCTCGGCCTCGGCGACATTTGTGTCTTGATCCGAGACACGCATGTCCGAAAGGGGGAGCATCCAAGCCGCGTTTTGTTTCACCAAGCGTTGCGGAGGGAATTCACGTGGCGCCTCAACCAGCCCACGCTAGCTATAGGGAGAGCGACTTGGCATGCGGGGCGCCTCAACGTGGCGACGGGCTGTATTGGGACCCTTGAGACACGGGGACCCGGGGGCCTGAGTCACCGTCTAATGGCGCTGGAATACCGATGCATGGCTATACCACGTTCGGTTTGGCTTCAGCATTTATTCTGAAGCTGGCCGGACCTTGCTTTGTGGGTGGATGGGGAACAACGGTTGTCCAGGCCAGCGAGGGGGGACAATCACGACAACTGTATTATCGAGTGTTGTTATAGTATCGATCATTCGAAAAAGTCGAAATGACAAAATAGAAACAAGTCAAAAGGTACATTAGCAGGAACATAATGACGAAAGTATTTTCCTTCAGATTTGATGCTTTGATGAGGTTTCCCTGCGCCATTTCCACGTGTAAATCATGTCGATAAGAGAAACAAGCTTCACACCCAAGCTTTTCACAATTTCACACCGGTCCCACAGGCCCTGATGATCCATGCTTCTCCTTGATCACCTCATTCGTGGATCGTCAGTTCCCCGTGCGCACATAATCACCCACCACCCTGTATTATAGCCTCCGTGCTTCCTTCTTTCCTTCTCAACCCCTTCTCTGCTGTCGGTGAGGCAAACAAAGGAAGGGTCCAGTCGATTGAGAGATCAGCACCTAGCTTTGCGGTGAAGAACCGCTGGTCCGTGATCCACACCCGCCTCCCCGCCCAACTTGTCCTCACCCCCCTTCCTCAACATCCCTACTATGTACTGTCCTTTGCAACGCATGCTTGATTCAACTGCCAGAAAACCGTGGCCTGCCCTTCTTTTCATCAATGTTTCCATTTAGTTGACATCAGGTCATACCGTTGACCGTTCCCAGATGTCGGGGCTTAGACGCATGCATGAGCTGCTTGAGCATTGAGCATGTGAAAGGGCACATGCACACACCTTTCCGCCCATGCTCCACCCCACTTAGCGTTGGAGCAAACAGTATACAGCGAAGACACGTAGCAGGCAGACCGTAAGGAGCATGAGCAGAGAAACGTAATAGCGGGGGGCGACGACGACGAAAACCCCCTCCCTCGTTGTCGGCCATGACACAAGACTCCAGATATCCCCGCAGCCACTATCTGCCCGGTCAGCCGACTCTCAAGCATGTATCGGCTGGAAAGGACGAGCAAAGGACCCGGGCATTGCCTCGAACAGATTCCGCGGCTTCAGTCACATCCAAATGGTCCAGCTTTTGCTCGCGTCTGGTAAAGACACAGCACCGCGGAGCCTTTGCTCTTCATTCTCGGCAAGTGATGAGACGCACGAGTTCACGTTCCCAACGTCTATGAGACCTTTACTCACCCGTGCATACACGGCTAGACGGTCTGTACATCATACACAGCCCAGCCGAAAACATTGGCTTCGCACAAACAACTGGCTTCAGGAGCATTCGCATCCTTTGGGCGATGACGATTCAATTGAGCTGACTCGTGTGCACGCGTCAATGTGACGACCGACTGCTTTGTGTATTCAAGCAAGCGACCGAGATTGTGGCCGCTCGCATCGAGGCCCATGGCAATAGTGTTGCTCAGCATCGCAATGACTTACTGTAAGCCTGAATCATCGTTGCGCGTCGCGGAAAAGCCATGCCCTTCTTCTATCTTACGAAGCACTCTCCCCGCAAAACCTTCCGGTAGAGAATCGAGTTCAAAGTCACGCTTGACACACTACATCACCGACATGGCGGAATTACGAGCCTCACCGGCTTAGCGTCTCTCTGCTGCTGGGCTGGTTCCAGTAACGGCGGGAATTATGAGACTGACGGCGGAATAGGCCCCAAGTATGACGTTGTGACAGCAAACGGCAAAAGAGAAGTAACAATCTCAATTACGATGCTTCCACGACACAGCGAGCTGTGCACACGGCGCGCACGTCACACGTCACCGTTCCAAAGTTCACAGGAAAGGGTAGACGGCATGTATCTGTCAAACAAACAGCTTCTGAACGTTTATTTCCTCTGCTCCCTTCAAGAAAGCTCAGTCTGTAGGTAGGTATGTAGTTCCAAAGAAAAAAAAAAGAGAAAGAGAAAGAACAGTCTTGACCCGGCTCTGAAAAAAGACGTGTATATCATGAAATTCCCTTCTTCAAATTAACAAACCTCCTTCGGGCGAGCGCTCTCCAACTACCCATGTACGATAGCTCGTTGCCCCTCCCTTCTCCCGTACAACTTACAAGCTTTGCAAAAGAAAAAAAAGGTATTATTGTCCATACAGTTGTTTCTTGCTGTTGAACATGAACAGGACTTTCGTACACGAGCAAGAGCCGTGAAGTACACAACCCAGAGCAAGAGGGGGTAGAGACCGAAGCCAGCCAGCACATAAAGAACATTAGAGGGCGGGGAAACAAGAAACCACTTCTCGTCCTTCCTTTATTGCCAGCAGCAAACGCCGCCATTCCCCCGCTTGGTCCTCTTCAGCCCCATGCAACCGGACAAGAAAGGAATTCAGCTCTTGTCACCGACTACATCTCGAACGTGTTTCACTGAAAAAGAAGAAGTCTCAAGACACACGCACGCACATTCATCAGAAAGAGAGAGGGGAAAAGAAGATTCCATCTTACATTCACAGCTTCATTTTTCTCCTCTTTCTCGTTCACTCTCGCTCTTCATGCTCCTTTATCCCTCTACCGACTCTCAGGGAGTAAAGGAGAGAGAAAAATAAGGAGTGTAGAGAAGAAGGGTAAGCAGAAAGAGGCCGACTGACTGCAGCTACCACGCAACCTACTACCACTACTACTTCCACTAAAGGGAAAAAGGGGGGAGAAGAAGAAAAAGAAGAAGAAGTAGAAGACGACGACGAAAACCGAACACAGAAAGGGTATAATCGACACGAAAGAGAATAAAATCAAACGCGGTAGGCAGAGCAAAAAATAAAATCAGCATCTGCGAGGGAGAAAAGTGACCAGGTCGAGAATGCAAAGGAGAGGGGGGACTTGGTTACTGAAGTGAAGCGAACATAGATCCATCGAAACCGCACCGATGTTCGCCCCACGTCGTTTCCTTGTCTCTGACCTCCATATTATTGTGAGCATCGAACAGCTCTTTTCTTTCCTTATCCCTCTTTACTGCACACGACCCTCATGTGTCTTTTGTATGTGTTTTCCGGCAACCTGAAGAAGAAAATGCAGAGAGACGCAGCCAAGGAAATTACTATGTGTGTGTGTGTTGTGACGTGTACGCTCATGGTGTGCGCGTGCGCGAAAATCGATTGATTAGGAGAATCATTCCGCGACTTGCCGATTCTAGATGCGCATCAAGGAAAGCATTGACTCGAACGCAGACGCGAGAGAAAAAAGAGATGGAGGGAGTCGGGAGTTTGCCGAATCTATGAAAAGTGACGGAATGGCCAGGCGCAATTTGGTATCTCAAACAGAAACTGGGGTAGGCGCAAATGGTTCGTTCTGGCAGTATATGCAAATGCAGCCATTGCCGGCGTCGTTGGAAGTGTAAAGGACCTTGGGCCGAATTCAGATCTGCAAAAAAAGAAACGCTCAGAGAAGATGCTGAATCAAAAGTCGTGGCGACGGTGGACATCATTCGGTCGAGGGATCGAGGCACGCTCTTAACGGCGGGCGCCAGTAACGATGTTGCCGGACTGATCCATGTTGCCAGTCAGCTCCGCGACACGGGCCTTGATGCGCGCAACACGAGACTCAATCGTCTCCTCGCCGCTGGTGTCACCATCGTCGACGGTAGTGCGGGAAGTCTGACTCTCGCTGATGCGCGGGCGCGAGTACGGCTGGTCGTCGCTCATGCGCGCGGCACGGTCAGCGGCGTTCCTGCGGATCTGTGCCCAGCGATCCTGAGCGGGCGAGACTTGCTGCGCCAGGTCGATCGAAGCCGACGAGATGGACGAGACATCCGCCTGGGAAACATCATCGCCACCGGGCGTCTCGGGTTCCTCACGCGCTTCCTCGAAGCGAGTCGCATGGGGAGTGAGAGCCTCGTCATCCGAGTCGTCGTCAGGGGCAAAAGCGGGCTGGTCACCCAGGGGGCCTTGATCGAAGCGGGAGAATTGCGCTTCAGCCTCCTCGCGCTCGTCGGTGTGGACACGGGAGAGCGGCGGGCGGTCCTCAGTATACATGACAGCTTCGTTGCGCATGGGCGCCGCAGGCTCAGTCTTCTCAGCCGAGGCTTCCGGAGCAGGCGCAGCGGACGTCGGCTTCTTGCGGCCCATTCCAGAAAGAGTGCGAACAAGACCGTTGCCTTGCTGTTGCGGGACCTGAAGACCACTGCTGGCACCAGGAGCGGGCTCGGTGTTCTGCGGCTGAACTGGTTCAGCGGCAGCTTTCTTCTTGCCGAACAGCTTCTTGAAGCCACCACCGCCACCGCCGCTCGTCTGGGCAGGCTTCTTGAGTTTCTTGTGCTCATCCTTCTTGATCTCAGGGCCAACAATAGCAGAAACTTGCTTCTCTTCAAACATCCTGCGCCTCTCGGCAACACCAGAAGGCGGGCCGGTCTTCTTCTTCTGCTCCTCACGGAGAGCGGGGTGCACGTTGTTGTGAGAAGCATCCTTCTTAGCGTCCGGCTTAGGCGGAGGGAGAGGCACCTGGGCAGCTGCAGCTGCCGCTTCATTGGACGTCTTCTCCTCCTTGGGGGTCGGAGGAAGAGGGGATGGTGCCAAAGCCTTGCGCTGGACGCTCTTGGGGGTTCCTGGCTCTTTCGGCAGAGGCGGAAGTTCACTCTTTGTCGACGGTGCGCCGGGAGAAGTGGGTCCACCATTCGAAAAGGTCGGGCTGGGCGAGAGAGCAAGATTCTCACGCGAAAGACCCGTGCCAGCACCCGGGTCACCCAGGTATTGAGCACGAATGGTCTCCTTATCGAACGCACGCGCCCACTTCATCGCCGGACCGGCCTCGCTCACCACCATGGGCTGCAAAGTCATCACGCTGTTAGTCTTGGCGGCCGACTCTTCACTTCTGCCGCGACGCTGAGAGGCATCGTGCGATTCCTGCTCCTTCTGCTGCTGAGCCAAGCGCGCTGCGGCAGCTTGGATGCGAGCGTGCTGATCTGGACCAATGCTGGACTTGCTCGTCGGCGTATCGGTTTGAGTCCGGTCATAGGGCTCCTTCACGGGCAATTTCTTGCCCGTGGATTTCCTGCGGCCGAGGCGACCACGTCTGGTGAAGCTGAATTTACTCTTCTTCTCCGCGATGTAGGCGCCTTCCACAGGTTCCGAAGCGCCCTTGACCTGTTCCTCCAGCACAAGCCACCTCCCACTCGAAATGCTCGTCTCAAGCAGCGCGCAGCGACCAAAGACCGCCTTTCGCTCGTTGGGCTCTTCGATTGCCAGACTCGTCATCCAGACCCACCAGAAAGTGTCGTCAAGGTCGAAAGTTTGGATGCTAGCGAGTTCTCCGGGTTCCAGGTCATCCTCGGATGTTCTCAAGTGCGACTGCGAACTCTGGACACGTGCGACCTCGCCAATCGGAGGAAGAATCTTGTCCGGAGGGAGCAACATGGGAGAAGAAGTCTGCGACTGTCCCTCCTGGAAACCGGTTGACAAGAAGTCCGCCCACGAGGGAGTGGTCGGCCGTCCCCCGGTATTGGTCCGAGCGTGTGGCGTGGACCGGAGTCCATTGCCAGGGCTCGAAGACGTAGGACCACTGCTGGTGCTGGTAGGCGACGATAGCGAAGTGTCCAAGAAACCGAACCCCAAATCTTCAAACCTCGACCAGGAGGGATCTGAAGAGCCTTCGATAGCAGCAGTACTTGACTGGTTAGCCGACGAAATCGCAAGCAGAACACGGCGACACTCGTCCGTCAAAGCCTGGACGGGATCCTCGTATTGCGAGAATCTCTGAAGAAGCCTGTCGTCGTCACGGTATTCGAAGTTCTTTGCTCTGCGCAAGAGGGCAAACGGAGTTGGAGACACGGAATCGACAATCATAACCACTTTCGTTGTAGTGGTCTGCATTAAAGTTGGCGGCTCGGGAGGGTATTCGGTCTGATTGACCAGGGCTTGGAGCGAGCGCGGGAGCGTGTTAATGCCACTAAGGTTCCTGTCCTCCGGAGCTAGCGAACGCAGGTAGGCGAAGAAGAGATGGCTCGTAGCATCGGCGGCGCTAAACATGTCAGCAACGTTTCCTGATCCGGAGCAGGCACGATTTACCTCTTCCACGTCTTGTATCCGTCGTCGAAGCCCTTTCCGTGATCCGGGTGCTCAAAGGCCCACCAGCCAGCCATCCTTGACAGTTTCCTTCCTCCGAGACCGTTGTTTTTGCCACGCGCAGAGATGGCGGCCAAAAGGTCGAAGAAGTCGGTAATGATCTGCTTACGTGCTTCCGAGTCAACGCTAATCGGGATGAATGTATCGAACGCATGCTTGGCCATGCCAGAGTCTGAGACCGTCAGCTTTCTTGCGCGGCCGTTTTCACTCTCGGGGGCGCTTACCCTGCTCTCCCACGCGGAATAGCTCGTACGCGTCCCAAGTGACGACACCGCCAGGGAGCCTGCTCCAGCACCACTTCATGATGCTGCAGAGGACCTGGATCTCGGTCAGCCCACGCACACGCAAACACTCGCCATGTATGTCCTCACCATTGGCTCCGTCAAGCGCAGCTCTGCCCGCAGAGCTCCCCCCTGGTATTGCTGTCCACCCTCGTAGGCATCCCTGAAGAAGCTTCGGATAAAGCTCCGCGCGGAGGTGGCATCGGAGCCCGGTCGGAATGGAAGGAGCAGGAATGGAGTGTCGAGCGCTGCCACCTGTTAACAACACTGCGGCGAGAGAGAAAAAAAAAAGAGGATCTACGCACCTCGCGACTTCAGTTCCTGGGTGCAGACGTGGATGAGCTCCTCGACCTCGTCGGGCGCGACCTCCTTGCGGGTCCACGACTCCTCCCAGCGCGGCTTGGGCGGCGGGAGCGGCAGGTTGTGGGAATCGTCCAGCTTCCCCTTCTTCCCACCGTCGCGCGGCTTGAAGACCTTGGCGAAGAAGGGCATGTTCGCTGATTTGCTGTGGTAAGGCTACGAGCCGGATCGCATCGACTGCGCTATGGCGCAGGCGAAGGGGGGAGCAGCGGTGGATCTGCCGCGCGCAGGGGGGTGCGGGATTCGAGCGGGCGGCGGCGGCGGCGCGAGGTTATAGGAGTGGTGGAGACGGAAACTGGATGGAGCGCGCATGCATAGGTGGGAGAAGGAGCGACCTGGAGCAATTGACTGCGAGCGGACCCTGCGCTGTCTCTGGATGCGCGTGGGGACCAGGGGGTCGCGTCCTCGGGCGATGGGCACGGTGGTGGTACGGAGCTCGTAGAGGGCAGCGCGTCGGATACGGCGCGCGGCGGCGGCAACAGGCACGAAAACTGCTAACAGCGGACCTGGGCGGGCGCTGACCGGGAGGGCGCAAAGGCGTGTTTTGGGGCGCTGGAGGATGGGGACTTGCCGTGCTTTAATTTCTCAGGGGAGTTGAAAGCATGGCGATCAAGCTAGCTGCTTCCCTTGTCGCGCCCACGCGCCGTCAACCGTGCCAGCGCAGCGCAGCCTTGCCTCCAACATCGCCACACCTCGCCCGGATGCAAGCTCTCGCCAGCCAGCACACCAGGGCCCGCCGCGTCGCCGCGACTGAAACACTGGTACCCCGCCCGCCCGCGCTGCCGTTCTGCGAGGGCGCCCGCCAGAGACGGCCACCTGGCCCAGCCTTACGACTCGTAGCCCATCTCCGAAGAGCTTCCTTTTGGCACCGCCGCACGCAGGGACGCCGAGAGCAAGCCACCCGCCCGTCACCCTGATTGGCTCCCGCGCCCGCATGACGGCCCATTGTCACCCTTGGGCGCAAAGTGCGTGCGGCATCTCGCTACGCTGAGCCACGCGAACCGCCTGCAAAGACCTGACGGCTCCGCCGCCGCGGATCGCTGTCGATGCCTGCTTCGTCCTTGCTCCAGGGGTCCTTCCTTGCGGAGGCTGCTGAATCTGCAGCTTCGGCATCCGCTGGCATTCGTCTGATCTAACAAGTGCGTCAGGGCCTGTGGTCCCGCAAATTGCTTTTTCGGGGACCCAGCGACGTATCGAATCACGAAGCCACCCCGGCCGCGGACGTGCCTGAGGTGCCAATGGCTTGTCGCAGCTTGTTTTCATCGGCGCCCGCCTTCAGGCCAGCTGCAGCTACTGCAGTTCGCCGCCACAGTCCCGAAAGGCGGTCCAGGAGACGGGTGGCCCTCGGTTTTTGCGTGGTGTCTTAGTCAAACGGCTACTATCTGCACAACCATGAAGCGCATGGGGCGGGCGGCGAGGATGATCCCTCCACATGCCGGAAGGCTGCCTATCTCTGGAGACGCGCCACAGTCTGCAGTACTGGCTGCGCGTGCAACAGCTCGACGCATCCAGAGCGCGTGGTAAATAATGGTGATCGTGTCAACGGCTCAGCTAATAACTAGCGGCACGCTTTTGGACTGTCTCATTTCTCATTCCGTCCGGATCTACAATCAATCAACCACAAACATCTTCTTCGTCCCGAACACTATTCGCCGCCTTTCTCTTTGATTGGCCAGCTTCTTATTGCCTTGAAACATTTGGAAGCCCGCGCACGCGCCAACCGCCGTGGCTTTGTCTCTTGCAAACACGATGTTCCGTTTCTCTGTCCTGCACGTGATGCGCGTCATACATTTTCGCCCATTGTCGACCTATCCACGCCTGAAAAGGACGTCTTTTTTACCTGTCTCCAAACATCCCTTGAGCCTGGATCAACAGTCTTCTCACATTCACGCTACCCTTCAAACACAGTTCAGCTCAACATCTCGCAAAATGGTCAAGGATACCGAAACCGTCATCAAGTACGTGGTGGTCATCATATGCCGAAGAGTTGCACTGACGTCGGGCAGGGAGTTCAATGAACTTGTCAACATGTCTCCGAAAGAGTTGAAGGACTGGCTGGGTCAAGAAGAGTCAGCCGGGTCTGGTTGGAGCAAGGATGATGGGCAGGCTTCCCTCATGCCCGCTCGTCAACATGCTTTTGGCTGACGCTCTTTCAAGTTCTGGAGAAACGATCGGACACGAGAGGTATTGGGTTCTACCCATGTTCTTGATTTTACTCTGTGCTGACTACGGCGCAGTGGGCGGAAGATTATCAAGATCCTTGAAAAGAACCCCAAGAAGGACCCGGAACAGTACGATGAGGAGGATGTTGACCACATGAGGCGGGTTGTCGCGTACTGCAAGCGTCATCTGGCGCAGGAAGAGAAGGCAAAGCGAGACACCGATAGCAAGAGCTACAAGTATGCATGCGACGCCTCTCACTTCGAAGCTGCAATGCTAACCTGACCGGCAGGAGCTTGAAGAACTGGGGACACGATGCTCAGAAGGCCTAGGCGTTGAGGAATCTCATGATGATCCGATGGATAATTGTCTATATGTAACACGCAATTCCCAGTTGTACATGCGCGCCACACAGTCGCGCTTCCAATAAACCTGTGCCATGCTTTCGCCAAGCCTCACACGCTTTTAGTCTTTCCAAATGCCACTTTTGGCCAATTTGGAATCGAAAAAGATCCGGTCTTCCAATGCTTCGACGTCAAGCGAGAGCTAACAATGATCTGCCGCTTCCCTAGGCACGCGCCGATCATGGTTTTGAATCGCGCACGTCCATCGGGGCGGCCGATCTCACATCTATTGCAGGAGCGAAGTCCCATGAAGACATTACGCACCTCAATATCGGGCTCTATGCTCAATAGGGACACGCCGAGTGGAACAGTGTGATTGCGTCGACCCCAACGTATGAAGTCGCGTGCAAGCGTAGCCGTGATGTGCTGGTGCGCGCAGGCTCATGGAACCCATCGCTTTCTGCCTCAGGCACAAATAAGTAATTGACGTCATGATCATCCACGTGGACGCGCTTTCTTCGGCGCTTCCTCCAGCCCAAACCGTGAAGATCACCAGAAGACAGTGAGACGGAAGATGGAATGTGAGGAGAGAAAATATGTACGCTAATTAGCAGGCTTGGGCGTGTGCCCGTATTGGCTGCAGAGCCACAGTCCACAACCATGTCCTGCATCAGGCTATCGAACAGGTTAAACGCAACATGAGCCCAATAACCGTCTTCAATTGTTCGCATTAACAGAGCTACAGAAGGGAACTATGCTTAAACATACTCTCGCCGGCTGGGGATACAGTGATGTCTCTTAAATGTCTACCAACAGAACTCCATCCTGACAATAATTTTTCCGTGCTCGAGCTCCATCCTCTCGAATCAGCGTGATCCTCAAGGCCTGTTGAAATGGCGGTGAAAACAATCTGTGTTTGACTCTGGAGCTTTGCATAATGTTGATGGCGCAAAATGGCTTTGGTATGGTGTAGGTACCGATAGCACAATTTTCGTCGCGACAAGAAAAGGAAAAACACCAGTATTGCTCATGGTGAGTACAATGCGCAGTGCCATCCTGATCTCCATAGCATACGTTCAATACACTTATATCGACTCCGTAAATTAGAGATTCCATGTCGTTGATGTCTCTTCTGTTAGGCAAAGCTGGAAAAAAAAAAGGTCCTGTCACTGGGGTGCTGCGAGGTTGATCTCCATCCCATCTGCTCCGATGCTGAGCCGAACCGCCACCCCAACGAGCCAACATGTTGCGTTCTCCATACAGGCGAGGATGCATGCCTATGAGGCGCCCTGAACGAGTCGTTGGTCTTATTTCGAGAAACGGAAATGGCCTCCCGGCGAGGCACACAGAGATCAACAGTGGCGAGTGCCCAGAAAAGCTGGTTCAGCGCCAATTGCCTCCCAGGCTCATCCGCCAAGTCATCGAGAAGGCGCCTTTACCTCGATGGAACAACTATTGTGGGCAGTGGGGAGAGAAACAAACGGGGCGGAACTATCCGGGCGCGCACAAGGCAGAAGCGTTGTCGCCGTCCACCCAGCTGCCAGCCTTCTTCTTCCCCACAACGCACACGCAACACGAGGGTCATGCGGGAAGAAAAGAAAAGAAAAGAACTAAGCTAGAAACACGATGATCGCCAACGCACCCGCGTCCGCGCCGCGCCGCAGGGTCCATCTCCTCCATCCTCTCAAAAAAAGCAGTCATCGACGAGGTGGCTGATGGCGCTGCCGGGATGGGGAGCGAGAGGAGGGACAGTTACGCGGGCCCTGCGCCGCCGATCGCTGCGCGGCTCTTGGTGTCTCAGCACAGCAGCAAGGGAAAATGGCCACCAGGGCTGATGGGGCTCAGTTCAGCGGCTGAAGAGGGTGGGGGAGGGGGGAAGCCCGGGGCACTGGTTCTTCGAACGAGGCGCAGGCAGGTGGGCGGGCGCGAAACCCACCCCACCACTCAGCCCAGCCCAGCCCAGCGCGAGACTGACTGACAAACGAGGCGGGACGCCGGCCGCAGCCGCGGCGGCCTCTCTGAGATCGCGTGCGTGATACGTTACCATGACGCTGGTGCAGGTGGGCGCATGCTTTTTTTCTTCTCTGTACCTTGAGCACAGCCGCAATGGTGTGGGCTCTGAGTGTAGACTGCGGGCGAAGCGTTTCGCCGGGTTTGAGATGGGGAGCCAAGCGGATATGACGATGTCGGTGAGTGCAGTATTGCAACGTGGAGATAAGAGCAAGAATGGGTAGCTGAAGCGTTGGCATGTGTGTAGATGTCCCTGTTCGCACTAGAGCCTGCTCTGCCTTTCGTGTAGTCATGCTGAGTAATTTTCCCGTAGTATGAGTGTGATTGACTCAGTATGCGATATCACAGCTCTGTGCCTTTTTAGCGCCCGAACGAAGGCTCCGTTGTCGTGACGGATGCGGGCATGGTTACCGAAAGGAAAGCAACGTGTCAGCGTTCAAGGTCCTCCGGCGTTTCTGTTCCCACCGACCGACGGCGGGTGACTGCTGGCTAAACGCAAGGCTGGCCTGTAGCTGTGCGGTTGTCGTCGTGTTGATTAGCCGCAGAAGCTCCACCGGAGCGCGCTGCAGTGGGCTGTGTGCAGGGTGGGAGAATTGGAGTCGCGATGACGACATGGAGTAGCGGCTTCGCAGCTGGGCTGGTCCAGTGCGCCAACGGCTGCGGCCCGCGGCTGTACCTAGTATGCACCCGTATTGCTACCCAGCGAAGCGCAAGGGAAGGTTAGATGCAGATATCTAAAGAACAAGGATTCGGCAATGCAGCTTGGGCCGGGCTGTGGGGGAGTCCTCAGCTCGGCTGCCATGATGCAGCATCGGTTAGCAGGCCATCGTACGAGGGGCCGGTAGACATGGTGGGCTCCGTCATCTGTTCCAGCAGGCTGGCTCGCGATCTGAGGGCGGGCAGAGTGAGGTTGTAGCTGCCGTGGGCGAGTTATTTTTAGAGACTCTAAGCGCCAGAGGGTCTCCAGCCACATCCGGGGAGGACGGATCGTGTATCGCTCCCGCTTGCAGGCCACGCTAAACACTATCGATCCCAGATGAGCGGGCCTGCCGACCTTATCGATGGCCGCCCGCCGCCGCCGTTCCTCGAGGAGCCTGTCTCATCTGCACGTCACTCGGGGCCGTTTGAGGGCGGATTCGCGGATTCGAACGGCGGTCCGCACTGTAGGTTCTGACGTGCGCCCGCCCCACGCCGCCCTGCTCCTGCTTCCCAGCCGTTCTGCTGGCGGGCGGGGCAGCGCCGCGGCGGTATGGACGAGGGCTCAGGCTGCTGCACCGGGGCGGGCTCGCGGCGCGCGCAAGGATGGAGGCTTGCCTGAAGAAGAAGCAGGCGCAAGGGTTGCACCACCTCGCCGGTTGCCTTGGCCAGCGTGGTATGTCAGCATGGCATAGAGATGCTCCGGCTTCAGGGGCCTTGTCCCATTTCGTCCATCGTCATTTCCAGTCGGCTAATAGGTGCTTCAGGTGTGCCCCGCCCGCGCGCCGGGCCCTGCTGCGTCGCGCCCAGCCAGCTGCCGTCGCGCGAGACATGGCAGCTCTGCACCACGGTACAGCCCCTATCAGGCAATATTGATTCCTGTCCAGCCAAAGTCGCGTGCCTGTGGAGCGCGGGCAGGCGGGCGGCGGGCAGCGCGCGCGCGGCACTGGATTGTCGCATAATTGCCTCGTCGGGGACTAGTCCTTGCCCGTGATCCAATAATTGACGCAAATTCGCCTGATTGGGACGAGGGCTAGGCCACGCATGTCCGACGGCTCGGCGCACTCTCTCCCTCTAATTTATTAATAGAAGCAAGACCCGCCGCGAAACCTGAGCTGCTCTTGTCACCGGCCTTGCTCGAGAGCCGCATCCCACCACCACCCACCGCGCCCTAGGACCCTCCAAGCTTCGCGCATACATAACGGTCGCCACTGCCGTGCCAGCCCGCCCCGGTCCGCGTGCGTCTCCACCCACGAACAAAGCGCCCTCGACCCGTCCTCCGCCAAGACGCGTCGCCCGTCGCCGAGATCCCTCGAGTCCTTCTCCACCACGCGCACGCGTTCCATGCGCGCCCGGTAAACGTCGTCGCATCACCATGGGTCGCCGAAAGATCGAGATCAAAGCCATCAAGGATGACAGGAACCGCTCTGTGTACGTCTCCGTCTCGCCCGGAACCACGGTTTCAATCGCGCTCGCGCTAACCCGCCACTCACATCCAGCACCTTTCTCAAGCGCAAGGGCGGTCTTTTCAAGAAGGCGCACGAGCTCTCCGTCTTGTGCTCCGTCGACGTTGCCGTCATCATTTTTGGCCACAACAAGAAGCTATACGAGTTTTCGTCCGGCGACATCAACGAGACCATCGGGAGATATCAATATGTGCGTCGCTTCCCACGGCGGGTTAAAAGGAGTCGAGCCTTTATGCACGCTACTCATCCGGGTGGTCGAATTCGATGTCTGCATGTATTTGTACGGGCTACGGCCGCGCATCTACGTCCGGATATTTGCCTCAGCTACCTGTGTGGGGAGAGTGCGGCGTCGTTCGCGAGGCATCGAATCTTTTGCAACCTACCGTCTCCCGAATCCCGTCCCGCAACTGCTAACGTGCATTCAGTATGGCGGCGCACACGAACACAAGGGCCCCGAGGACTTTATGGGCAAAGCTGATGCAGATGAAGATGAGGAAGGCGAAGACGAAGCGCACGCGCAACAGCCGGGCTCCCATTCGCCACCGGAGCATCCTATGATGATGCCTCACCCTCTGCAGAACCAACAATTCCAGCACATCCGCCATGCGACCCCGTCCGGGTCGCCCCCTATGCCAAATGGCATGCCTTTCCACCACCGCGCCTCCCCTCAGCCCCAAAACATTTCTCGCCCGAACTCCCGTGCGCACGTTCGCAGAACGAGTTCGAATCTCGCCCCTCCTCAGCCCTACCCCCCTCAACCCGCTCCTCCGCCGCAGAACGGCTATGCGTACAGACCGACCCCTCCCTTTTACACCGGACCGCCCCAGGGCATGCCGCCGCAAGGCCCTCCAGGTCCGCATCCGTCGCACCCGCCCCATCCGCCGCAGCCCGCCTACTCGCACCCGCCCCCGCACGCCCAGGTCCAGCAAGTATACATGCAGGAACAGCGCAGACAGTCAATGCCCCCGGCCTTTTCTCAACCCCCACCGGAACCGCCGCGCCAGGCCTCCGTAGTCCCCTCGCCGCCGCAGCCTGCACAGCACAACTTCCAAAGCCCACCGATGCCGCAACCCAAGCCTCTCAACGCAGCCGCCCGGAACCAAAGCATCTTCACTCCCATCGACGACAGCAGATCATTACTTGCCCAACATTGGGGGCCCAGCACGACTACAGCGGAACCGATGAAAGCGGAACCGGCGCCCGTCATGGAACGACCGCAGTCCATTGATGTTGCGTCAGTTGGAAAGCACAACCACGTTTCGCCGCAGCAGCCCACTCCTACGTCTCTCCCGAACCAGCCTCAAAGAACCGCATCAACCTCGTCACTGCCAACCATTCCGCCTCCCACACGAACGAGCAGCGTAGCCACAGACGCCAAGCGGCCCCGACTCAAGGTTCAGATTCCCGATGAGCATTCCGAGGCCGAGAACACACATGCTTCCGGTTCTCCCAAGGATTACAGCACAACAGGCCCCACTCCAGCGAGAGGCAACAACGAAACGTCAAATGCTTCTGGTGTGGTTTTGCCTCCGCCGTCACCCAGTGCGAGTGCCCTACTCAGCGCAGGAGCAACTGGGCCACCGAACCCATTCGCTAGGCCCGCCCCTCCTGTCAACAACGCAAACAACAACTCATCGCAACACAATCGTAACGATAACATGGACACGCCGATTTCTGCACTTCCCAGCCGCTTCATGGACGGCGGCCTGCTACCCTCGCCATCGAGCTTCTACCCGGAGTGGGGCTTCGGCAGCAATTCGTCAAACATGCTGCCCAGTCCGTTGACCTTCCAGACCCCGGTGGTGCAAAACGGGCCAAGCTTTCGAGACGATCCAGAGGAGAGGAAGCGTAAGACGTCCGAAGGTTCCGACGGTGGCGCAAGTAAACGGGTAAAGGCTTGAGCGCCAACGCTTTCCTTCTTCGCTGCATCTAGGTTGTCATTTCTGTTACATTCTCTCGTTCTCTATGTTGGTTCAATTCGCTCTTCCTGGGGGGTTTCCAAAAGTCGTCTGGCATGTGAATGTTGTTTAGACTGTCTTGCCTCGCCTTTGATTGTATTATGAACGGTGGTTCATCGTCTTCAATTCTTTCCATACCCTTTTTGCGCGATATACGGTTTTAGTTGCTCGTTTGCTCCTGGATACCCTGAGGTTTCAACACTCGTTCTGTCCTTCGCCTTCTCGTTGAATTCCCTTGGGGATGACAACGGCTTTATGGTCATTCTTTTCCCGGCACGACGTACAGCGCGTTGAGGTGGGCGGGTTCGGGCGTTTGTCCCTGGTTTTCACCCTGGTGTTTGGCGGCGATTTCGGGGCGGTTGTTTTGCCAGAACTAGGGCCGTTGGTTTACTCGTCTTGATTTTGTTTGTTGTTCGTCCATAAGAAATGTGTGTAGGTAGCTCTACCTGAAATACGCGGGTGCGTTTCTACACTCCACCACTATCGTTTTGTCTGGCTGCGAGAATACAAGGTGGTCTGACAGTGGCATGCGTGCAAGATTGATAATCACGTTAGTCAACGTACCTACTGCAGTGCCGCGCCGATGGAGTGGGCATGTGTTGTGCGTTTTCCGTCTGGATTGGTGCAAGACGGTGCGTATGACCTGTCTTCAAGAAGTACTCTGCATGTCCGGAGTCGAACGGACTCGCTCGGTGGGGCTGGCATGTCGCGGACGCGTTCCCGACCAAGATTGCTCTTGTTTCTCGCTAGCTCTCCCGCGCCATGAATCTGAGCCGGAACACGCGTCCTGGGGCTATGTAGGCAGCCGTCGGTTTGGGCGGGATGACGCCTTTGGGAACGCCCGCTGACATTACCAGCAAGGCGCATCGTGTCGAGGAGCGGACGAGGCTGACACGAGTGAGGAGGGGATTCTTATATGGTCCCGAGCAAGAGAAGCCCGAGAGACGTTTGCGGCGACGACCCGAGCCAGCCGAACAGCGCTGTTGCCGACACAGACCTCCGTCAGGCCTGATCGTATTCGCACTGCGGCTGCACAGTCGACGACGTCAAAGGCCAAGACGGCGCCCAACAGCGACTGAATCGCGCAGGTGCCCTCCTGCCCTGCGCGCCCGACCCCACCAAACGCTGTCGACCGCTGCCATTGCCGCCGCCCACTAACGTTATCCCTGATCGACCAGAACATTCGCACCGAGCGCGCCATCCGTTCCTTCGCCAGCTGTTCCCGGACCGTCATCCCCACCGAGGCCCATTGACTCGCCTGTTTGCGCCGCTGCTTCACCGTGTGACTTGCCGCCAACCGCACCAGACAGCGCAGTGCTCACCGTTCAGCCGCACGGGGCTGTCAAGAACCAAGGAAGCCCAAAGGACGCGCTCTTGCCGCTCCGCCGCCCTCAAATACCCCTCCGCCGCCTCAAACCCTTTCCGAGCGCCGCCCTCCACCTTCTGAACACACACACCATGGCCTACAACAAGGGCTACAACCCGGACGCGCTGCCTGCGCACGCCGAGCCTGACCAGGTCCGCTCCAGCTTCTTCCCCGCACCGCCGCGTCGAGAGGGCACCGAGTACTGACTGAGACCATTTTCCTGCAGGCGGCCGCCATGCTGTCCCAGGCCCAGCAGCAACGCGTCTCCCCGCGCCCCTCCTACTCGTCGCCGCGCCCCGGCGGAGCCGACTACAACAAGCCGCCGCCCCCACTGCCCGCCCACAGCGGCGGCTCCTACTACAACGACGGCCGCCAGCACAGCCCGCGGTTCGGCGGCGGTCCTCCCCCGCCGCACCACGGCCATCACGCCAGCGGCGTCGGCGGCTACGCGTCGCCGCCGCCGCAGAACTACGGAGCCGCGCCCGCGCCGACCAGCTTCAACCACGGCCGCCCGCAGCTGAGCCCGTCGGCACGCCCGCCGCCGACGCCCGCGCCCCCGCGCGACCCCAACGACCGCGACTCGCTGTGGCGCTTGTTCGCCGCCGTGGACAAGAACCGCAGCGGGCAGCTCAGCGAGAGGGAGCTCGGCTCGGCGCTGGTCAATGGCGACTGGACGACGTTTGACTCGCACACGGTGCGCATGATGATCAGGTATGGTTGATGCTGGACGCTCGTTTTCGTGCCCTGCAAACGGGAGAGCGACCTTTTTGGGCATCTGGGAGCTGACGGGGACCGTTTGAAAAACAGAATGTTCGACACGGACCGCTCTGGCACCATCAACTTTGAAGAATTCTGGTACGCCGATCACATTCCTCTCGGCTGTAGTCGCTTGTAGGATCGTCGTCGTCCCCCCTTCTGACGCAAGCCATTCATGTAGTGGACTCTGGGCCTTCCTCGCCGCCTGGCGCCAGCTCTTCGACCGCTTCGACACGGACCGTAGCGGCGCCATCTCGTTCAACGAGTTTGCGGATGCGCTGGTGGCGTTCGGGTACAGGCTCAGCCCGCAGTTTGTCACGATCCTGTTCCGCACGTACGACCGCCGCAACCAGAACGCCATCGGCTTCGATTTGTTCGTGCAGGCTTGCATCAGCTTGAAGCGCATGACGGATGTGTTCAAGAAGTATGACGAGGATCGTGATGGATACATTACTCTGAGCTTGTGAGTGGACCTTGTCTGTATGGTGGGGGGAGGAGATGAGGATCGGGGCTTCTTCCCCCTCTCGTCATCTGTCCAAACCTTGATCATCATGTTTTGGGTTGAGCATTGGACCATGTGCTGACTTTTGATTTCTTCATTCGAAAACCACAGCGAGGAGTTTCTCACAGGTGCCCAATCCCTCTTCCTGTTCAACTCGATATCCGCGAGAACTGATACCGGTCTCTATTAAAAGAAATTGTGGGACAAGCAGTCTAATGACGTTCGCTTGTTCTTGCTTCACCCTGGAGGAGGATGGGCCTTTTACGACAAGACGTGCAAGTAGCCTGCTCAATCCGGCTCGAACCAAACAAAAATTACACCTTTATGGCCGACACATGATGTCGGTGGTGACAAGCTCCTCCACTTCAATCTACGAGCCTTGATGCATGAACGGGCGCAATATCGGAAGCTTGACCCAACCTGCGGACGCCCTCCATCTTCCGAAACATGGTTTCCGGTATCATGCGTCGTATGCCAAGGCTGGGCATGATTTTCTCTTTTGGGTCTTCGCGGTCTTGGCTGGAAGGGAAAGGGGGCAGGGGAAGGGAGGGGGGGGAGGAAAGTTTTTACCGAGTGGGTTATTGCCACACCTTATTAGACGATTTGCTCATCATTTTCTCGCGGTCGGCTGGGGTGAGGAAGGAAAAGAGATCAAGACGAAGAAGAAGAGGAAAGTGTGCGACGGTTGCTCCCATCGTACCATGTTCTGTCGCCGTTGTCGTCGTCGTCGTCGTCGTCGTCGTCACCTGTCGTCATATTGTCTTTCCTCTCCCCATACTGATTGCTTGCCTATTTTCTTTCCCTTTTTGGTTTTCACTGTCCCATATATACCCTGTCTTTTTGAAACGTCGAAAAAAAAAGAAGAAAAGCAAATAACTTTCCACCTGTGCATCCTGACTGACTTGACTTGTTTGTATTCGTCTGCTCGTCCGGTTGTTGGTCGATGACAATAGGCTACCGCGACTCAAGCTGCAAGAACGACCATTGCGTGCGGCCTGTAATGCGTGTAATGCGGCGGGAGAGGAGAGGAGAGGAGGGGGTTTGGGAAGTCGTGAGAGCGGATCAAAGTGGCTGGTGCTGCTGCTGTCTGTCTTAAAGTACGAACGAACGGAAGCGACGCAGCTGGCGGCCCGGGCGTCATTGCGTGACCAGAACTCCTTCAGCCTGGCATCAACAAGGCTGTGTGTTGTGTACTGGCCCCCCAAAGCCCGAAATGATTGCTCGTTCCGTATATCTTTTGCTTACGGTCCCGATGGCTTACGTATAATAGCTTAGAAGCCTGCAAAGACTGAGATTTTCGTCGGGTATGTGGACGGCGGGCGATGTTACGTATCGCGTCGGCTGCACGCGAAGCTCCACCACAGGTGGTCACGTACTCGAAGCGTCAGCCGAGGATTGCAAAGAAGAAGCAATTGAGCGTGTTGTTGACCTAAAAGTCAAGATCCAGAGAATTACTTCTTCTAGCGTTTATTACCGTGTAGAAGAAAGACCAAGAGAAAGAAGAAAGGAGAAAAAATAGAAGACCGAACGCGCAAGTTGTATGTGTATAAGGCTTGACAGAAAGATTTACGCATGCGTGCTTTAGCTCCCTAAAAAACTCCTTTTTCTTCTTTCTTTCTCCGTCATCGAGGAATACCCACATCTCTTGCTACCAGAATTACGTCTCCCTTTCCCTTGTCCTCATCCAAATCGTATACACATGGACCCAAGAAAGAAAAAAAAGCCATACCCACCATCGTCAAAGAACATCAACATCATCAATCACATCATCATCCAAGTGAGCCAGATCTAAAACCCCTTCCTCGCCCACCCCTCAAGCCCCCTCCACACACACCCGTCCCTCGCACCTTCCTCCAACGCCTGCGTCACACCCTCGCCAAGACGGCCCTCTTCTTCCTTGCCCATCTCGGCCTGCAGCTTGACAAGCCACTTCTCCCAGTTGCGACCGGCAACGAGACCGGCGAGTTCGCGGGCGTCCTTGGTGGAGCCGCGCTTGTTGTTTCTCTCCTCGCCCTCGTCGTCGCTGAGGTCGAAGGTGGTGTCTTTCGGGGGCGGGGTGGGAGGGATGGTGATGGTGAGGCCGTTGTTGTTGGTGGTGGGAGGGAAGGGAGCGTTGACGATGCCGTCCAACAGCGAGTCGTTGCGCTTGTGCTGGTTGTGGCGGCGGTGGGGGAAGACGGAGAAGAAGGACGTCGGCGAGAAGGGCTCGACGTCGCCGTTGGACGCGATGGTCTTCTCCTTGATGTCCTGAGACGGGCTCGACACCTGCAGGGAGCTGCGCGGCGAGTTCAGCACGTCCGGGTGCCTGCTCTTCGCGACCGCCTCGTCGGCGCCGACGCTCAGCGTCTCGGTCCACTTGGCGCCGGGCCGGGGGAACGGCGTCGACGTCCACGCGCGGCGGACGTCCTTGGCGGCGAAGCCGGCGCGCGCGAGGCGGGGCAGGAAGGACCGGGTGGGCTGCGCGTCGTAGCCGCGCGTGCGCAGGTTGAAGGCGAACTCGACCGACACCTTTTGCGTGTGCGAGCCGGCGGCCGCGCGCATGACGTCGGCGTCCAGCAGCGAGAACTCGAGGTAGCCGCCCGGCTTGAGGATGCGCATGCACTCCTTCAAGCAGAGGTCGTACTCGTCGAGGCCCGACGCGTTGCCGAGCTGGCCCGGGTTGGGCACGGGCTTGGTGGTCTTGAGCAGCGCGTACAGGTTGCGCGCCGAGACGACGTCGAAGTGGCCGTTGGGGAAGGGGAGCGTCCAGTAGTTGGGCACCACCTTGTGGCGATGGTTGGGCGGGCCCTCGACGTCGCGCTCCTCGCCGTCAAGCTTGACGACCTCCTCGGACTTGGTGGAGACGGTGAAGACCGAGGTCAGGGGGAAGTCCAGAGCGACTTGCCACGCCCAGTCGCAGACCGACTGGCCGCCGAGGTCGAGGACGCGAGTGGCACCCTCGTCACGCGAGTGGGAGAGGATCTTGTAGGCGGGGCTGGTGATGAGACGACCGCCGTGGAGCTGTCTGGAAGCCTCAAGAGCCCAGAAGGCCGGTCGCACGAGCTCCAGAGCCTGCTGCTCCTTCTGGGCCTTGGCGATCTGCTCCTTGTGCTCGTTGGGGTCGTCCGTGTAGAAGAGAGAGACGGGGCGCGTCGAAGGGATCTTGGAGTAGCCGCACAGCTCGTACCTGCCGAGGAGCAGGTTGTTGTGCCGCTTGGGCGCACAGCGGCGCTGCAGGTGCACAGCCTCAGCACGGGTCAGACGGTGGATGAAGGCATCGAACTTGCCAGTAGTCTCCCTGAGAAACTCAAGCGCCTCGAAGAAGGTCGTGTCCTTGGACAGCGTCTCTTCGGCGACCTTGGGGGTCTTGGGGACGACAAGGTCAACGAAGCGGACAGACTTCTTCGACGGGGAGCCGATGTCGGTCAGGGAGTTTCTCCTCTCGTGAGTGACGGGGCTGGTGGGGCTGAGCATGCCCTCGAGCCAGTTTTCTTGGGAAGTGAGCCAGAGGCTGGTGCGGCTGAGGTTCTTGCCAGCAAGCTGGGCGAGTTCCTGAGCGTAGTGTTCGTTGTACTCGAACTTGTTTGCGCTCGGCTGGATTTCCATGATCTCTCCGACAGGGGACAGGAAGCCGTCGAGGGCATTGGGGGTGGGCTCGGAGGCGCCGAAGTTGGCAGGGACTTCGACAACGTGCTCAACAACGTTGTCCGGCCGTTCCCGCCAGGGCACGCCGTAGAAGTTCTCGGCGACGGATGTCGAGGGCGTCTCCTCGCGCCTCTGCTGGGGGGGAATGCTCCAGGTGTGGCGGGCAGAGCCCTGCAGCGACGAGAAGAAACCACCGGGCGACGGGATGGTCAAGGCGGAGAAGTCATCCTCGTCAGACCTGACGTCCGACGGGGTGTTTGTCAGGTCGGTGGTGAAGATTCGCTGGACGGGGGCGGACAGGCGCTCGCCGCCGACGACCTGGGTCATCTCGGCCTCGGAGACGTGAAGCACTTGGTCTCCGGTCTCGGAGTCGTCGTCACGGGAGATGTTGTGCAAAGTCTCCATGGCAGCGGGGTTGAGTTGCACAGATCCAGTCCACTCGCCCTTTTGGCCCTGCTCCGGGGTCGAGGGGCAGCTGAGGTGCTCCAGCTCTTCGGACGACAAGCTGCCGTCCAGGGACGGCTCAGCACTGGTTGCGGGGTCGTGGAGTTTGCGGGCGGCTAGCATGTTGAGAAGATTTTGAGCGGGAGTCAGAGCTGGGACGGGGGCGGGCGAAACTGCACTTTTCTGGAGCTTTTCGATGGTCGGCCACTGGGACGGCGACGGGATGACGAGAGACGGGTAGCGGTTGCGGCTGGACCTGGCGCTGGGGGTGGCACTGGACTTCTTGACCGAGTTGGAGCACCTCAGCGGGACCTCCTCGGTGTCTTCGTCGGTCATGTCGTACAGCTCGTCGAACTCGGGGTCATTCCGCGACCTGGTCCAGCGCGGCGAGGCCAGGCGCTCGGGGGCGCGCGGGGTGAGCGGCCAGTTCTCGTCGGCCTGGTCCTGTTGGGGCTGCAGGTTGTGGAGCGAGGCCTTGGGGGTGGGGAAGTCCTCGCTGTAGGTGGGCGACTGGTAGGAGGGCGAGACGACGGAAGCCCTGCCAGTGTAGCGGGCCCACTGCCGGGTGAGGTTCTGGGTGAAGTAGTCCTGGTAGATGTGGGGGATCTGGGGGGATTCCTCGATTATGGTATTAATGGTTGCTCTCCGATCCAGCGGAGAGGGTTGTGGGGCGGGCGGGCAGTAGGTGGTTGCGGGCAGATAATAGTTCTCCATTGCGGCGGCGGTGCTGGACGGCGGTGCTATGTATAGGTGAAGCGTTTGGAGTGGCAGAGGCCGGGATGCACAAGGGGGTATTAGATGGGCAATAACCCAGTCCGATCAACGGATAGCAATGCAGAGGACGGCTCCGGTCAACGGAAGCGCAAAGCGAGGAAAAAGAAAGAAACAAGAACTCAACGCGGCACAGCGAAGACGATGGTCAACATCCGGGGAGAATGGGATGGGCCATCTGGGCGCGCTGCGGCGGCGTGTAGCTTAAGAGGGCACGACTCGGTGGCCCGTTCACGCGCAGCGGTCAGTGGCGTATTGGCTGCAGGGGTCGACGACTTGCAGGCGCCATGGATTGCAGCGGAGCAGCGGCAAGAGAAGAGGCTCTTCGGGCGCTTGGGCGTGATCATGGCAGCACGACGTGTGCGTCAAGCGAGGGCGGTCGGCGGTTGGCTGGGGGTGAGATGAGCGGGCCAGCGGGCGGGGTGCGTGCGACGTTTGCACGGCGCGGGCGAGTGAAGAGCTGGGCGGAGGGCGGCGTCGATTGGATGGCAGCTGCTGTAAGCGCCGGCGGGCCCGTGCTGGGGCGGGTGTTATTTTGGGCCGCTGGCGCTACTGTGGGGCCACTCCAGGCACACCAGGCACACCAGGCGACACGACACCGCACCGCAGCAGCCAATTCGGGCACGCCTGTATATTGCTGCCATGCGCCCCGGCTGCAATGCCACGCGCTCCGTTGCTTTGCGTCGAAGCCCTCGCGTCTTCCCAGCGCCAACACGTACGTCGAGCTTGCTGCATCGCCCAGCATCTCCCATCCGGCTCGGTCTCCAGTCTGCAAACACTGCCTCGTTCCGCCCTCGTCTGGGCACCTTTCGACATCGCCGTGCCTCGGTCGCCGGGATGGCGCAGCCCAGGGTCGAGCCATTGGTGCCTGTCCAACGATGTACTCCCTACAAGCGCGCGCGGTCGGCCAGAACACCATCGGCGACGGCCAAGAAACTCACACGTCCTGCTGTGCGCGGCAGTAATCCGGGAAACGCATGACCGGATCTGACCTGTTTCCTTTCTGTTTTGTGTCTCCGTTGCTTTGGGTAGCTCTCGCGCCGCACCCCATAATTGGTGCACCTCCCCCGCCGGTCAAACAAGAACTGCCCGCCCATCTCTCTTGGCCCAGCTATTGCCTCCCAGTTTGCCTCGGGCTATACCAATGAAAATGCAATATACTCGGCATCCACAAGTCATGGCAGCTCAACGCGCGTCGCTGTTTGACAAGTGCAGGTGAAGCATCACGCTCCAAGATTTCTATTCGAGCCTGTCCCACGGCACGCATCTCAAGGTCATGATGACCCTCTGCGGCTTCTACGGCAGGCTCGCGGTAAGCCATCCAAATTGCATCTTGCTTATGCATGCTTCGCAAGAAATGATACGCTCCGCTGGCATGGCTACTTTGACCTTGAATTTGTGTAAATCTTTGAGCATCAATGAAATGTCTTGTCAGTTGGTCAGTCTTTGGAACTCGGTGCAGACCGGCGGCCATGCCAGCAAACGCACTTTCTACGCTGTCTGATGCGTAGCGGGAAAGCGGTACACTCCAACTTGGGAAAGCACTCGGCTTCTTCAACTTCCTTCTCGCTCAACGCGCGACTCGCTTGGCACTTGCCTCCTGTGGAAACCTCTTTGCTATATCATGTCTTCTTCAACCAACCATCCTGTTCCATCCACCATACATCTACATACATGACCCAACAGCCTATCTCAGTCATGGATAGACCCCCATCGCAATTTCTCGAAGAGCTGCTCAGGACAAAGCTAGCTGAAATCGAGGACATTAAAGACCAAATCGAAGCCGAAGCATCCAACCGTAGCGACGCCGACACGGAGCAGATCAAGCGGGTAGGCTCAACTCACCCCCATCTCCACCTCCCTTCACCCCATAGTCAGTAGAACTGACGGGCGGAAATAGAAATATGTCAGATTAATGTCTCTTCCCGACTCCAGCTCTGAAAGGGACGTGGAATTTAAGCCACTGCACCCCAACTGCCTCCTAGCCCAGCTTTCCCACACGCTCAATGGCATGCGCAGCACAATGGACTACTACGAACTCATGGCCCACCTGGTCAACCAGATGGCGGAGCATAAAATCGACAACATACCTTTCCACAAAATCACCGAGGATGAGGTCAATGCGCTGGCGGCTTTGGCAGAAGACCGGAATGTCAAAGCGAAGTACGTGCCCAAGAGGAAGCTGAAGGCTTCGCAGATGGTGGATGAAGGGTTGATGGTGAGCCTGAGAGATAAGGTTGTGCAGGCTGAAGAGGAGGAAAAGAAGAAGAAGGAAAAGAAGAAGAAGGAAAAGAAGAAGAAGGAAAAGAGGAAGAAGGAAAAGGAGATCGAGGAGAGCGAGAGTGGAGAAGAGGGTAATCCGAAGAAACGTCGACGTGCGTCTTCTTAAGCCTGAGACATGATTACCATCGCTTGAAAACAGTGGCATTAGCAAATAGAGCTCCAAATCATCGTTTAAAACCTTGGGTCCCGTGCGTCGCCTGCTATTAGCGGCGGTCTTTCCGAGTCGAATTACAGCCAATGGGCAAAAAGAAGGTTGTAGTAGCATGAGCGTGAGAGCGTGACGGCGTGACGGCGTGACTCGATGCCCGAGAGCTCCGAAGCTTTGCCCCACCAACTACAGCCCCTCCGACCTCACGGACGATCGCTCTGCAAAACCTCTACACAAATCCTTGACACCACCACCACCATCCACCCCAATCCTCAATCCCAACCCACACCGACCGCTCGACCGCTCGACCGCTCGACCGCCGACCGCGCCTCGAACCCCGCCTTCGCCCTCCGCTTCCGAACCTCCCGAACCGCCCCCCCACCACCGAAATCCAGACGAACAAAATGTCTCCGCCCGCGATAATAGCTCCCTCCATCCTCTCCGCCGACTTCGCCGCCCTCGGCCAAGCCTGCGCCGACACCATCGCCCAAGGCGCCGACTGGCTACACATCGACATCATGGACGGCCACTTCGTGCCCAACATGACCTTCGGCGCCCCCGTCGTCACAAAGATCCGCCGACACGTCGACCCGCCGAAGAAAGCGTATGGGAAGGGCACCTTTGATTGTCATATGATGGTCATGGAGGTGAGTTGTCTGTCACTTTCTTCTGGGGGAGGAGGAAGAGAGGAGGGAACCGACAAAAAAAGAGAGAGAGAGAGAGAGAGAGAGAGAGAGAGACAGGGGATCGAATCGAGCGCTTGCTAACGGCTTCGCACAGCCCAAACGCTGGGTCAAGGACTTCAAAGCCGCGGGCTGCAACCTCTACTGCTTCCACTACGAAGCCGCCGTCAACTCGACCGCGGCCGACACGCCCTCGGGCACGAGCGACGCCAAGACCAGCCCCAAGGAGCTGATCCGCTACATCCACGACCAAGGCCTGCAGGCCGGCATCGCCATCAAGCCCGGCACCGCCGTCGACGTGCTGTGGGACATTCTCGACAACCCGGTCAAGGAGGAGGTGCCGGATGTAAGTAGCCTTACGCGCAAGAAAAAGAAGAGAAAAAAAAAACAACCCCGGCTGACACATCACTGCCAGATGGTCCTCGTCATGACCGTCGAGCCCGGCTTCGGCGGGCAGTCCTTCATGGCCGACCAGCTGCCCAAGGTCACGAAGCTCCGCGAACGCTACCCGGACCTGCCCATCGAGGTCGACGGCGGCTTGTCGGAGAAGACGATCGCGCCCGCCGCCGATGCGGGGGCTAACGTCATTGTTGCCGGCAGCGCCGTGTTCGGTGCGGCGGATCCCGGCCAGGTGATTGCGCGGTTGAGGGAGGAGGTCGAAGGGAGGAGGAAGTGACTGCGTCAGCCGTCGTCGTCGTTTGATGTGGATTCTGGGCTTGGGGGAAAGAGGAAGCTGTGAGGGGAGACTGGAGGACATGGTGTAATTTGGAGAGTTGGCTGGCGATTTTTGGGGGCGGGGCATTGGTGGTTGATGGGTCTCAGGAGCAGCACGGAAATATTGAGATAGAGAAAAGAAAGAGTCTTCAAAGGCATTGCAAAGGTAGAGCCCGACGACCGTGAGGTTTTCCCGGTGGAGATTGCTTGAAAGATGGGGATAGAGAGGAATGAGGACAGTGAGACCCAAGCTTACTGACTGACCTGCCGTTCGACAACAGCAAACGGCTTTCCTTTGAGCATTCTGCTGAGGGCTGAAGCTGTATATATGCGCCGGTTACGCTTTGCGAGCTGTTGCTTGGAGGTGGTCTTGGTCATGCGCCTTCAGCTACTAGCACTGGAAGGAGGGGAGCACCAGTTTGATGAGAGATCCGCACTTGGGGATCCCGATTCGCTGAATCACGAAGGTGTACCCAGTGGATGTCTGAATCATGCGAGCTGACTTTCGGACCATGTTGTGCTGTATCCAACAGGCTCAGCCGAACAGTGCAACGAGGCGTAAAGCCATAGAGCAGATATGAAGAGCAAAGGAGGAATGACTTTTGCAATTACCGCCCGCTTAACCCAATTCCAGCAATACCAATCAATCGAATGAGACGTCCGGTCCAGATGTTCAGCAAGAGTCTATCAACGATCGCCCTCGACATGGGAATTGAAGGTACTCACCGTGCTTGCTCAAGAAGGCGTCTGGTCTAGTGTTCGGCCTCGGAGACCAGAGGTAGGTACATCTCTAGTCTTCCATGTGGAAGACGCCGGAACCACAATCATCCATCCGACTTCACCCGCAACAAAACCCACGATCGACGCCACTAAAGCCAGCTTCCCGGCCATTTCATTATCCAAAAATCACCTCATCCTCGCGCCACATACGTGACACGCGCAGAAGCACGTCAGGAAAGACAAGCAAATGCCGAGGACGAGGGGAAGTAGCCACATCGCGGTGGAGCCTTTCCCCGGGAAGAACGAGCAGCCCCAGATCTTGCCCGTTTCCCCGGCCGGGGAAAGCGAACGACCCCGGCGCCTTGTCGAACCACCCACCCCCATCCGTCCAGCGGCGATCCCCGCACCACCACCCTGTCTCCCTCTCCCAAACCTGCCCCGAACACACCGAGTCCGGAAACCAGTTGCGTCAAACGCGCCGGCAGCACATCTACGGGAATCCCCGCCCGATGCGATACCCCAAGAACTGTGTCACATAAGAGAAAAACCGGGGCCCGCGTGCGTGCGGCTCCGCCCATACTGTGCCACATGTGAGAAAAACAGAAAAGAGAACGACGATGGGCGGCAGGGCAGGCAAATGTACAGGGGGGTTCTACGTCCGCCCGCCAGAGCGAAGTTGCTTTTTCCACAGAAAACCGCGATACTGACCTACCATACCGCCAAACCGAGCATAACCCTCCGGTCCTAACCTCTCACGTCCCCAGAGCAATTTCGGACTCCCTTGTAGCGATTTTCAGCGCTGGCGATCCGCTGCAAGAAGGAAGGCTGTACATAATAGTGCGCAGAAAACGTGCGACGGCCAGCCACATGGCGCGATGATGCCGTAACGACGCACGTCCAGCGCTCTCCAGCCATGTACCTCACCCTTCTTGCCGCCGCAATATCCCCAAGACTTGAACGAGAATATGCCGAAAAGGAAACGTGCCACCGCCACAACCTCACCCCCTCCTTTCCCCTTCTCTCTCCCTCCTCCCTGGGCGCGCACACCAGGTCCCGGGCTTCGGTTCTGTGAAAGGCATCTCGGCAAAATCTCACACACACACATACATACATACACGGGCTGCAGCTCCGGCCGCCGGGTCCAGACCTTCTTCTTTTTTTCTTTCTTTCTTTTTTTTTCGCCCGCGCGCCTTATTCCCCAGCTCTGCTCGCCGAAGTCGTCCCAACGTGCGTGTGCCATTGATATTTCCTTGACTTCCCCCCCGCCTTTCTGAGGACATTCTGCTCCATTATTTTTTATTTGGATCTCGTAAGCGCAGGACAGACATTACGAGACCTTTTTTTTCCTTCCTTTTTTTCCTTACCGTGTACATGTCTAAGAATCCACCGACCTCAACATCAACCAGTCAGTCCACATTGGAAATGGAATAATTTCGCTTGCTGCCTTGCTTTGCTCGCTAATTGTTTGCCCTCTCTGCCTAGCTAATCCCCAATTTTTTTCCTTTTTTTTTTTCGTTGCTCTGGTGCCCCGTCGGCTGCAGGGAGGAGAGAGTGGGGGTGGAGGGAAAGGGAATGGGGGAGGAGAAGAAGAAGGAGAAGGAGGAGGAGGAGGAGGAGCGGACGGAACAGGGTGTGTTGGTTTTTTGCTCGCATTGCCGCCGCATGCGCGAGCCGGTCGCGCCATGCCCGTTATGGCAACTACACATGTTCCTCGTGGAAAAGAACCCATGCCTTTCGGTCGGCGATGACACGCGCGCGACACGGACTCGGGTCCGGATGCGAAAACGAGCCGAAGAGTGGTGGTGGTAGCATTGCGTCCGGGAATTGACCATGACGATGACCAAAAGCCAAAGGCGCGGTTGAGAGGATCTCTCTTTCCCTGTTTCTGATCTTGTTGTTGTAGAGAATATAGAGGATATGAGTCCTGAATCCACGGCCTCATCTTCGTCCACGACGCAGAAGGATGGGAACAAAGAAGAGAAGAAAGGAAAGAGATCATCCACACCAGATCGTCCATGGTCGACACATGATCCGCAGATCCTCGGCCCACTATCTACATCTTCCTCTTTTTGTTTTCTTTCCAAGCAGCAGGGAGGTAGGCCGCGGAGAAAGACCGAAGGTCTGATAGTAGAATGATCACCGTTGTAGCCAAGAAAAGATGAGCATCAGAGTATACGTACATGAGAAGGCCCGTGAAAAAGACAGACTGTGAAGGAGGCGGGCAGGTGGTGGTGCAAATAGAAAAAAAAAAAGAGGGCCAGTCAACCAGAGCAGAGAAAAGAAACAAGAGAAAGGAAAAGAGAAAGCGAATAGGATTGCCACTTTTCCCCCTCCCACCGGACCCAACGCCGAACCGGACCAAGCGGATAAGGGAAGTGAGAAGTAGGCGATATGCGGATGAGTAAGGCCGTTCGTTGTTGGTGGACAGGGAAAAGCGGTGCATGCGAAGTGTGATTGGACCGACATGGGGCGGGTGGGAGGTCGGACGAACCAAGCGGTCGGGCTCTTTCGAATGACTGGGGTCGTGATGGTGGTGGAAGGAATGACTGGGGGGGTGATGGAGTGATGGAGGGGGCCGCGGCGCAGACAGTGGGGGCAATGGAGAAAAGGTGACAGGGGGCACCGTGGTTCTCTGAAGTAGAAACTGATGCCATGCGCGCACTGACTCATGGTGAGAGAGGGAGAGACAAGAGATATGGAGCAGAATTAGGGCTCGATGCACCGCGCGTGCGTTGTACTACCTGGGGCTGGTTTGAAGCAACGGTCGGTGCGGACTTGACTCTTCTTTGCGCAGTCGACGTGCGCGTCCCGTTGGTCGCGTCAGTCTCCACCCGCCAATGGGACAAGGGTTCGCATGAGGGAAAGTGGGAACTCCCGCCATGCAATGTGCGTCAGACACGAGCTTATCTGCAGGTTTGCTGTTCTGCTGCTCTTCCACCGTGGCCCATCTGGTCTGGACGGCGACGAATGAATTCCTGAGAGGTTGCGGCGGCAATCCGAGGACACAGAGGAAGAGGATGGGTAGAACGGAGGGCCTGGAACTTCTCGTGTATGTGGATGTCCGTTTGTGGACTCATCGGCAGTGGAGACAATGTATACAGAGCTGCGGGGACCCCTTCTCTGCCTTGTGCGTTTCGTCGTAAGCGTCTCGTCCCGTTGCCCGGCCACTTTTACCGTCGCTGCGCTGCTGAGAGCGACCCTTCTGCAGTGCTGCGCTGTTTGGCCAGGAGCCGACCCCAGTGTGCATTATTGATGGGACCCTGCGTCGGCCACCACAATGGCTGTGGGACCGTCCCCGTACCGGCGCTTCTGCAACTTGCCTTGTCAATATGTCTGTCGCCGGATTGGGCAGGATGAGGTGCCGCTGTGACGTCTACTGGGACATATTACAGGGCACTATAGGTCCGAGGTGGCGGAGAAAGTACTCGAGACTGTCGCCATGCTCTTTGCCTTGTTTTGCCCCGTTTGCCTGCTTCGCGCCGTCTAAGTAGGTAGAGTGGTGTTGAGCTCGCTGATTAGCTGGCATCAAGGCGCCCGGAAGCTTCCAACGAAGGACGACAGGCGTCAGCGCAACCGATGCCACACAGCATCGGACAGAGGCCACGGTTTGCAGCCGGCGCATTTGCCGGCAGAGCAGAGACGTATGTGCGAATTAATCAAAGCATGCGGCCGTGAAGATGCAGCGATAGAAGAAGTGAGGGGCCAGCGACCCGGCATGAGCCATCCAGCACCGAAGTGCAAGTCATGATATGAGAGGGCCGATCGATCAAGTCGGTCGATCATGATGAAGATCTAAGATGGCTATTCCCTAGATGTGGGTATTCGAGGCGTCGGAGCCTGCTATGTCAGCGTTATGACGAAGACGCTGTGACTGGGCCCAGGCAGGCGTGACGCCAGCTTCGATGATTTGAGGATTTCGATCGGCAGCGGTCGTATGGCAGAGTGATTGGTGGCTGGTATTCCCCACCGAAACTCTTAAGCGGAGAACCAAGTGAGCCGCACTTGCATTGACGAGGCTGTGCAACAGATAGTAACTTCAGCCACGTACCGACTGCAATACTAGAAGTCCCAGCCTCGATGCATGTTGCGTGCACAATGCCTCGGGCGCCGGCCTGGTTTTGGTAGCGAGCTTGGCCATTCAAACGCAGTCTAGGCACGAAGATCAGCGTGAAGAAGTGCGCGAGGCTTATGGATGAGTAGTAGAGGAGCGGGGTGGGTATTCAGCGTGACCCCTTTCCTGCG